CTGCGACTTTGTCTGCGTGGCACAGTTACTTTGGGCATCATAATTTATTTTTGCGAAGATCTTTCACATATATATTAAAGCTGTTGCCCACAACGGCTTCAGCGTCATGTCGCTCTTGAATTTTGATCTTAAAATATAGACATATTGTCTCGGACATGTTTTTAGATCATTTATCCTACTTATTCTTTGATGAACGGTGAACCGTTGTCGAAGCGCACGCAACGGAAGTCCCCAAAGATGTTTTTTTCCCAGGGTTTTCCATATTTTCCACTATATAGCCTAAATTTTTCCTCGATGGTCTATTCAACGCCATCCAGAATCCAGAACTTTTCAATTAGAACCAGTAGTTTCTGAATTTAGCGCGTTCAAACAAACTCTTCAGTCTGAAAATATTAGTATAGATTAATGTGGCTAGAAGTATATAAGTGTATTATCTACTTAATGTTAAGAACTCATAATAATTATGTTACCGCGCAGAAATATTTTCTCCTCAAAATATACGTGTGTAGAGTGGTACTGAAAGAAAAACTTTTCCTTTATGTAATTCCGGGGTGTTTCGGACCGCGCTCTTGGAAAGAAATAACTTATGATATTCATTACTACTTCCAAGTTGCTCTGATACAAGTTAACAACAGTCAAAAAGATCTTTGACACGTAACTATCATTCAATAATGTACGAAGGATAAAATAGTTATACCAGATGGAAGACGGACAGATAAAGTTTGATAATTATTGATTGTAGTCCACTTTGATAGTAAATATACATATAATAAGTACTAACATGAATAAAAATATTTCCAACGGTTTAAAACGCTGTTATAATTACGTTATTTGTATGACCCGACGTTCCAAATGACGAAAAGCTGCCTTAAGCTTTTCGTCATTTGGAACGTCGGGTCGTAAATTACTTAAGTAATAAATTGCGGGTTAAAATCATTTTTAAAGCATATCTTGGCATATTCGTTGGTTTTCAGGTAGCAATGTGTGGCCGATAAAATCAACGGGTGGTGCGTTCGATCCCCGTCGGGTCCAACATAATTTGAATAATTTTTATTGTTCTGATACATGTCGGTTGGTCTTTCTGGAAATTTGGATATTAAGTTGGTGGTAGGAATTTCGAAATTACGAGTCACGAACCATCGTCCACAGAAGAAAAAGCCGTGAAGTTTAATCGCGTTTCATTTTCGAATATATTAAGTCAAAAATAGGCCGGTAGCGCATCCTCTTTCGATGTTATATGGCTAGGTATTACCTACCATTAAGTGAACTCCGTGCTTGTGTTGCCCCCTTTCTCATAATATATAATGTTTATCTACAATGGGTCACCAGGTTATTTTAACTATGCTGCTGGCATTTCTTAATGATAATAATCAATATTGACATTATAAGCAGTCTAGTGCGTAGGTAGGTAATCCAATTTAGGTATCATTTACGTCAACCTAAGATAGAAGAATTACCGAATAAGCTTAGCAGCAAGGAGGTATCTCTAAGTATTTTTTTTTTATTTTCTCACACAATTGCAAAGCAATGTACGGAGGGACTGGACATTAATTCAATCAACATTTTGTCAGAGCCACAACCTTCCGTCCTCAAATAAAAAAAACGAATGTAATTTTGTTTAAATATTAGACAGCGGATTTTTAAAAGTTTAAAGTGCTGACGTCAAAATAAACAAAATAGGATGCGATGATGTGCGTTCTTTTTTTATTTAAGTTTATATAAGTTATTAGGATATGTATATTTACTAAAAATAATTTTATTAACCATGTAAAGCCAAAAGTTTATACACAGTAAGGAATGTTTGGCAACTACTCATTTAGCTTATATCGATCAGCAACACACAGAAAGACGAGAAGTGGCAGTTTCTTTAGCTGTCGCTAAGACCATAGAAGGTGGTTACCGAAAAGCGCTGTGTGTATTTTTACGTTAAAAGAAAACAGCGAGTTCGATTGATGGATAGGATCCAAATATGATGCGTTGTTGTCCTCATTTTGGGTGTAATTAAGTTTTCGAATAGGGTAATTATTTCGTGTCTAACGTACATATCTCAATTTAAACAGTTAAAAGTGTGTTATTTAATTGTGTATATAATATCGAACACACTATAAAATCTGTGCACCAAGCAACACAAATATATCGTTAGTCTATATTTTTGCTTCAGATTTAAAGGTTGGCCAAAGAGAAACATACTATCATTATTCGTTAATAGGGGCACGCAGGGCACTTGACGCTCAGAGAATTCACGTACACTATATAAAGTACAGTGCTTTAACACGCGCAATAATAAGTAACTGCCGTAAGTATGTCAACAATTCCTAAGATTAAGTTTAGAGGACGTAATGAGAATTAATTAATTTTAATTTAATCTAAATATACTTATACTCATATATAAAGCTGAAGTGTTTGTTTGTTTGCTTGAACGCGCTAATCTCGGGAACTACGGGTTCGATTTGAAAAATTATTTTTGTGTTGTTTAGAGCATTAATCGAGGCAGGCTATAGGCTCAAAAACATTGCCCTGTGACTAATTCAAGTGAAGATAGAGCGGGAAATGTGTAAAGAATTGGCAATTTATTCATCATTATAGGTTTCCGAGGCGTACGCTGCAAAAACGGTTCGAGATACCTAAAAATGAAATTTAATAAAATCCCCCTTTAAATGAACTAAAAATAGTCCGCGACGCTATACGTCTATCTTTTAAGATTAACTTGCAAGAACGACGGGAAGAGACGCGACCGACGTCGTGGGTAACAGCTTAAGTTTATAAAGATAAAGGTTTGCAAAAACTTGAATTTGGATGTACATAATAAATATTCATAGCGGACGAAGTCGCTGCAACAGCTAGTTTAACTATACATATAATCGTCACATTTTATTAGTTTCTATTGAATTATTTTAGTTAAAGCTTATATTATGTATTTAGTTGGTAAACCCTTTAAATAAATAAATATTAATAACAATAAATTTGTACATAAATGTAACCAATACATTTTGCGTTTTAAAATTCTGTGAATATATTACTTAATTTGAATGAAATTAATATTCTAAATGTTGACAACATCTAAAGTGTTTAACTTAAGTTAAGTTGATGTGATTATAGAAAAGAAAAGTAAAGGTTTACATCTGATGTAAACCTTTACATCACACACGCTCTGCGCAAGCGTTGCGGTCAAACATTTGTTCATTTGAAAACACTTTTTACAATATACACATATTATATATCAAACCTTTTTTATAATAATTAATTAAGACTTGTTTTTAAAAAAAGACAAAACCTAAACCTTCACGAAAATAACAAAATGTGAACGCAACTTTATCTCTCTTAATCATTATAGAGTTCAAGTAAGGATTGCTAGAGGGCGCTGTTTTACAATAATTCAAGTCTCCTTAGCAATACATATAACACATATGCAGCAAGCCTTATATTCTGTGATTTTGTGCGGGCTGAAAAAAAATTTATAACTCACTATAAGTTTGTAAATTGTAAAAGTTACAACTAAAGAGTATTTTGTAATTACGGCTTGTTACATGTTGTCTTCCTACAGAAATTTTGATCACATTTAAACCACTATAATGTCTCTATTATCTCCTTTTACTTAAAAGTCATTATTTCATCTTACGTATATAAATAGCTAGAACACACAAGTATAACAGCCAATTCATCTCTGTTAACCAGTTATATAACTTTTCTTGTTATTGTTACCGTTTGATTTGGGTGTGATGTTCGTAAACAGTTTTAATATTTATCAGTATATAAAATTAATTATCTATTAGTATTATTATGTCCACGTATTTAACACTGCTTTTTGAAAAGAATTATAAAAACATTTTTGTTCTGTGTTCTGTTATAGTTGTGCTATATTCTGCTGTAAACAAAAACTAATCTTAAAACACAGACATATCGCGGACATTTTCTTAGATCATTATAGGAATAATTCTTTCATACATATTTCTTCCGTTTTTTACAGATTTGCCTCAGTTCCCTTACTCCTATTGGTGACATCGATGTTATATAGCCCATAGCTTTCCTCTATAAAGGTTCTATCAAACGCGAAAATACTTTTTCAATTTTCACCAGTTGTTGAGATTAGCGTGTTCAAACTACGTTAGTTCTCTTCATATAAACCTTCTTCATATAATATATGAAGAGAATATTACGAACGAATTTCTACAAGCACAATGCAGTACAACTATGTACGGAAAGAATATTTTGTTTGAAAATAAAACTATACTAATATTTTAAAGCTGATAGTGATTGACAGTCGGGTGTCACTTCATCACGTCTCGAGAAGTCCCTGCTACGAAGATGTTCGCTCTGATCGTCATTTATTCTCGTCTTTTAGTCCTATATATTATGTTAGTCATAGTACGAACATATTGTGAAAATTAACTGTAACTGTAATCTCGTATACACCGATACATAGTCAATTATGTATATATTTTTTGTTATTCCGATTCCTAAATTAAAACCTAAATTTAAAATAAATTTGTATTATACAATCAGAACGAAGGTACTCGTTCTATAAGGGTCTCAGCACACATATGGGATCGGAAAGGGATCGTAACCGTAACGGCTTTCGCCTCGCTGTCAACCAGGCGTCAACCTACCGTACGCACGTAACGAAAGCGTATCAGCAGCGCCTGTACGTCAACTCGACTACGGCTAGGCGACACCGCGCTTACGCGGAAAAAGAAAAAGATATTGGGTACACAATATGAATAAAGCAAGGAGGACGCAAGCGCGGGGACGGAGAGACGTAAGCGCGGGGACGATGAGCCGTAAGCGCGGGAATTGCAAGTTCGGAGCCTGTTCCGAGGCGAGGCGATTACGTTATGATTCCGATTAGTGTGCGTTGCAGTAGGGAGTTTAATACAAACCATTCTGAACGGCTCGAGGCGTTACGGTTACGATCCCTTTCCTATCCCATATGTGTGCTGAGACCTTAAGGATGGCCGACCGTTACATGTATATAGTTATATCTATGATATATAAGCTGTATTATGCTTGGCGTGGGTGAGTAATATTGTCGATCTGTCAAGTTAACTGTTTGACAATTGACAATGATTAATAAACAATAAATAAGTGGATATTGCGTTAGACACACGGTTCTTTGGATCGAGACTCGAGGCGGAGGTGAGACTAGTAATTATAATTTATTACTTGTAGTGACTGTGACTCCAATATAAATGTTAAATGAGAATAATTATTTTATTTTACCCTCTCTGAGGCACGTGTAACAATAGTATTATTTATACCTACCAGAAATTGCAATGTAATGTAATAGATAGGGCCGGAGAAAGATACAAGTAATAACATTACATTTTTTATGTATATAATTGATTAGATTGGTTTTCAGGGTTCGTCACAGATGATAAAAACGCTTCGTCGGATAATATTAAAATTTAGCTGTCAAAGTTAGTTTTTATTAAACTTAATTAAAAATGCAGCATATCATTGTCTTTCGGGCTGTTCGGCCGATGTGAGCGAGAAGAGGTTCTCGACGTAATTCTTCGAGCAATCGAGGAGTTAACATCTCCTGATGATGCCGTCCACACGTGATGGCGAAACGTCGAGAACCTCTTCTCGCTCACATCGGCCGAACAGCCCGAAAGACAATGATATGCTGAACGATGGCCGTGAAAGCCTTACACAATTTATTAATTAAAGATATTTATAAAATTTGTAACATGAACATATTTACTACCCGTGCCAGCGACTACGTCCGCGTAGAATTTAGTTTTGGGCATCAAATGATTTTGGGAAACTCTTTATAAATTACATGTTTATGCAAGTTAATTTTGAAAAATAGACATATACGATTGCGGACATTTTGTTAGATCATTTAAAGAGGAATTATTCGTTCATATATTTCTTGGAAGAATAATTTTTCCCGCTTTTCACATTTTCCATTATTCTTCACTTTTATCGCACGCAATGCAATGTTTTATACCCTAAATCCTTCTTCAATACATACTCGGAGTAGCACAAAAAACAATTCAATTCAAACAAGTAGTACCGGAGATTAGCGCGTCCAAACAAACAATCTCTTCAGCTTTATTATATTGGTTTATTATTGCGCGATAACGATAAATTGTAACGTGTGTATACCCCAATTAACTATAATACCGGCTCCAGACTCTCGCGAGGCGCTTTGTTGACTGCTGCCGTCCATCTTGCACTAGACGTAACGACTAATTAAATAAAATGGAGAGTGTGGATGACTAGCACTCGTGCAGTCTCCGCTCGCCAAGAATCGTGGCGAGAGTCTGGAGCCGGCAGTAGAGAGTGTCGATCGGCCATAAGAAGTTTACCATCTAAAATTTGGTTACTTAGTCTATGGTACGGAACACTTGGAGACCCACTCCGACTTTTTATTTATTTTTATTAAAAAAAAAACATATCTTTTAAAGTCTGCTAACTTTACATATCAAACGAGTTTTGTTGAATAATTTATTGTGGTTTTATCAAATAATTAAGCAACACCGCTTATATTCAGGCAGGCAATACTTAACCTTGATATTAGTTTTTTTTTATGAAATTAATCTAACTCCGAATATCCAAAGACAAAATAGGACGACAACGCATCTTGCCGAAATGTTAAATGGTTGAAGTATTTACCCGCCATCAAGTATACCCCGTGCTTGTCTTTCTCTTTCGTAAAAAAATTGGCCCATAGTTGGTGCACACGATTGCAAATCACGAGTTACCGGGTTCAAAACCCGGATGTAGCAAAATATTAGTAACCTTTATTATTTCTAAAACATGTTGGTATTATAACCCTGACCTTTGGAGATCACGTGAAGCATCATCATCATATTTAGATAAATGGTGATAGATGGTGCCGGAGGTAGGTGGGCTGCAGCCTACCCACCTGTGCAGCGTGGTGGGCTTTAAAACCTCTCTCCTATAAGTTCTAGCCTAATATTGTTTACAAATTATTTTAAACTACTGCCCGACGTTTCGTATGCTTTGCATACCATGACCACGGGAGGACCACGAGGGATCATGGCTGCTGCAAAGCGAACGATACGTCGGTTTAACTAATATGTTTCACTTTTGAACCGTTAAAATGTTTTATTAAAATCTGTCCTATTGGCGTAAACTGCACATAGTTGGTAAATGTAACTTTTCAGTTGGTCCAGATCATGGAGTCGTTAGTAAAAATAGAATCATCAAATTGGTCACTTTTACAAGATATTTTTAGAGAAAACTGGCCTAGATACGTCGTTCCCTATATGCTATTAGACACACACATTAGATATCCTGAATTAACTAAGTTATTTCAGTTGAAAGTGTACTGTCCGTACGGCAATTTTTCGAATGGGATTGTGGCTATAAAAAACTATGTAAGTGTTGTTATTTCGCTATTTACAAAAGTGTTGTATCATTTCCCCAAAATAACAAATGGGCCGGACAACTTCTTGTGTCTTTTTCACAAATCAAAGAAAACTTAACTCGTAGAAAAGTACCTAGTTGATCACAATACCATAACACAACGAAATTGTTTTCCTATAATTTAAAATAAGTTCCAGTTATTATAAATGAAACACTTTTAACGGTTTAAAACGTGTAAATATATTAGTTAACGTGTAATTTAAATAGAGCATAACTAATATTCGCGTTTTAAACCGTTCAAAGTTTCTTATTTGAATGTATGTAATATGTATTATTTATTTATGCTTTTATCAGTACAAATTACGTTATATCGTAAGACTTAAATATTAGTAGATAGAGGAAGTTTAAATATTTTTCTTAAATCGGCAATTGTATAATGTTAAACAAACGTATTTAATTCCAGGAAACTAGCCAAGACCTAATTATCTATCCGTTGAACAATACATCTGCAATGGAGGAATGTTTAAGAACAACTAAATTAATAAATTGGGACAAACCTATCGAAATACAATCAACAACCGAGGAAGTTCTGCAGATGATAATGCGATTATGTAGTAAGCTGAAGATAAAAATAAGTACAAAAGAAAAAGTTTTCACTCAATATCTTGATACAGATACTAAAATATTTACAGAAGTAAGGTATGATAGGTAATTTTTAATAATACAATTTTGACAATTTCTCGTTAACCATAAGATTCTATGTTTTAACGTCGAAATTACATTGCGGTTTTGATGGGGTTTTTGACGGGTCGGGGATTCGATCCATACCGAGTCAGACATTTTTCTAATCATTTTACATTTTTCCAAAAGACGTTGAACTTTGTCTGGAAATCTCCAGATTTTTAAGACATTAAATGTGTGATATCGAAGTTCGATCCGCACAAACTCATATCATTAAACTCGTGATATTTAATCGCGTTTCGATTTCAGTCTGTGTGTTTCCGAATATCCAAAGCCAAAATAGGCCGCCAGCGCTTACAACATATACAGTTGTTATGATTTAAAAAAAAATGTATTTTAAACTAATGAGGATAGTAGTCGATGATAGTGAGTGAAGTAAATACCTATCAAGTATTATATTATTTGTTCTTATAAATTTGTTCTGCCTGATAAGATATAAACTTAGAAAAAACGCTTTTGAATGTTAAAAATGCGACTACATTAGTTACTTATTTTTATTGTTATAAACTACGGTCAGACATTTAAGAATTGGGACGCTTTGAAGCTGTGGCCACGGGGGCTCAGAAAAGTCGGGTCGTAGTATAAATATGTCTAGCTAATACATTAAAATATTTCGCGTTTTACACCGTTAAAAGTGAACTCTTCAGATAAGCTATAGACAGCTTTTTTACTGGTTTTCACTTGGTTATATGTACATTTATCTTCCAGACTTCCAGTAGACACGTATGTCGGACAGTTAGTACCAAAACATTTAGGGCTAGTGAACAGTGCATGGCCCTACAAATACAGCTGGTCACAAAAATTTTTCAAATGTCTAATGAACAATGGTTTGACATACGCCCTGTACTCCATGGACCACGAACCTCTAGCGTGGATCACCTATGAAGGAGTTTTGACTCACCTACACTGCGTACCCGAGCACAGGAACAAAGGATACGCAGAATTTATAACTAAACACGCAATCAATTGTGTGTTAGACAGTGTGAAACATATCGTAGCCTATAATGTCGAAACGAATGTGAAATCACAGAAACTATTCTCTAAGTTGGGTTTTAAAAATATCGGACACGCGTATTTCACATTGGTTGAGCCAAAATGAGAATCTTACTTATTCTCGTTAAATTTAAAATTGTACGTTTAGTTATAAATACTATTAATATGTTTTGGGGTTGCCCACTTGCTTTCAAATAAAACGCATTTGACGGTTTAAATTGCGAAAAACACTGTTTATTTCTTAGGTCATCTTACTTGTTGAGGAAGAAAACATGTTTCACTTGCGTTAATGGGAAATGCTTTAATCTATTATGCCCCCTGTGTCCGCGATTTCGCCGTGTTGAATAGTTATTTTGAGCATCGAAATGATTCTTTGCAAACAGCCTCCTTAATTCTACAACTCATAGCTGTTACCCGCGCCTGCATCCCAACGTTCCCTGGAGTTAATCTTGAAAGATAGACTAGATAGAAGTATACTATTAGGGTACTTTTTGATAATTTAAAGAGGACTATTTCTTTTATACATATTTCTTATCAATAATCTTTTCTTTCCCTTAAAGAAAAATGATTTTCACTCTCTTTTCACAACTTTTTTATGTTGGTTGCACCATTTATCGACACAAACACCAGGCTGCGAACAATGGATGGCAAGAACGAATCCAAAAATCTAAAAAATATCCATGGAGGAATGATTTTTCTTTAAGTGGTGTAAAAATAGGTAAAATGCAAGAACGAATTATATAATATTATGAAAGCATATTGTAACTGGGATGGGCATATAATCTATACTAATATATAAAGCTGAAGAGTTTGTTTAGAAATAGAAATACGTTTATTCAGAAACAACACACAACAACAAATAAACACTTACAATTAAAACTTATTCTATAAACATACAAATTTCATTAAATATTAAATAAATACACCAATATAGTTGCCTCTGAAAAGGAAGCCACTCAGCTACGATAGGACTAATGTCCCAACGCTGATATTCTGTGGCCCCTTCAGCGGCCGAGCTAACGCAAGCCAGGTTGTTCGATACTTTTTCTATTATACACACAAACACTTTAAGAAATTACACTGATACTTCAAAAATTATAATTAAAACGAACGAAAGAACTCAAAGTCCGTTCACAGTAGATGAAGTATAAAAAACTTAATATATACGAATCGAATTGAGTAAATGGTTATTAAACTTTTTTTAATCCCTTTTCCTGCATCTTTCAAAAAATTTCGTCTTTCGAAACGAGAAACCTTCGAAGGTGGATAAGGATGAGGCAGTGTCGGAGTAGACTTCTTCCAGGTGAGAATCTCATAAATTATTCGTTTCGTCACGTCATTATTCTTTTTTGTGATTGTATTGGCTTGAAATGGGCGTTGTCCTTTCGTTCTTCTATTTTCCCTGAAGTGAAAAATAACACACATAACCTCAAAAAAGACTTGATTTTCATACTACTAGACTATATAGGTCACTATGTAAAAAGGCGCTGTGCAAAAATTAAGGTCACATAATTTAGCATGAGTTAATAAATTAAAAATAGGCTAAATCATAAAATCCTATTCTTAAAATTCTCATTATTAACCCTAATTGTCTTAAAGTTGACAAAAAAAATGAAACTCATAATTAGCTGAAGCCCTATAAGCTATAAATAATGTTAAGCCAGAAATTAAAAGTAGTAATTTTAATGATTCACCAGTCATTAATAAATTATTAAATCGAAATAATAAATAAACTCCTGCAGTCACTAATGTTGAAAAATGGACCAATGCCGAAACAGGAGTAGGAGCTGCTGTAGCATCTGGTAATCAATCTCCGAAAGGAATTTGTGCTCTTTTAGTTATTGCCCTAATAATAAATTAAATAAATTTATATATAAGTCATAATTTATTAATTGTAAATAAAAATTATAATTTCATCTCCCATAATTTAATATTCAAGCAATTGCTATTAATAATATAACATCCCCTACTCGATTAGAAAAAAAAAACTGTTAATATCCCCAGCATTATAAGATTTTGTATTTTAATAATAAATTAATGAGAAAGGAGAAACTAAACCAAGACCATCCCAACCTAGACAAATTCAGATAATATTTGGACTAATAATTATTAATATTATAGAAAAAAATAAATAATGAAACGTATTAAGTACATTCACTTCTATATTAAATAAAGTTGATATTCAATCTTATAAAACAGAAAAAATAATACTGTCTATAGTTTACGCGAGTAGTACACATTTAAATAAAACACTTTAACGGTTTAAAACGCGATATATTAGTTAAACTTGCTTAAGCAGCCGTGGTCACGGGGAGACCTCCCGTGTCTCCCCGTGACCACGGCTGCTGCAAAGCATCCGAAACGTCGGGCCGAAGTTAAAAATCATTTTCAAATAAGTTTAACTAATATATCGCGTTTTAAACCGTTAAAGTGTTTTATTTAAAAGAAAAAATAATATTTATTCTTCTGAAAGAAATTAATTCTTATTCTAAAAAAAAAATACTTTATTATTTATACTCAAAAATATTATTAAAATTATATTTAATAATATTAATACAAATAAAACAAACATAATTAATAACTAAAAATGGTTATCCACATTTATAACTCCCCACATCATTATTTTTATTTAAATTATTTAAGTAAAATCAAATTATTTCATAATCTTTAAACATGTCTATTTATAATTATGTGTAAAACAAAAAAAACATCTTTAATAATATATATTATAAGTTAAAACTGTGATAATAAATTAATAGAATAGAAAAGTAAAGGTTTACATCATACATTTTGAATGCAACGCTCTGTGCATGCGCTTTGCAAACGTTGCGTTCAAAAACTTGTTTATAATTTTATAACACATTTAATATACACATATTACATATCTTTATAACATTATTATTATTTTTTTATTTGTGCTATGGTTTCTGTACCGACATCTAGGAATAATTCATATTAAAACATTGATAATTTAGACTTGTTTTAACAAAAAATCTAAAATCTAAACCACCACGAAAATTACGAAATGTGAACGAAACTTTATCTTCCTTTATGATCATAGAGTTCAAGTTATAGCACCTAGAGGGCGCTGTTTAGCAATAATTAAAGTCTGCTTAGTGATACACCAAATATGAAGCAAGTCTTAACTCATAATGAAATACTGTGATTGTGTGCCGACTGCCGAGTGAAAATGAATAAAATTTACAACCACTATTAGTTTGTGAGTATAACATAGTTATATAGTGTATAGTTATAGCTGGTTTATTCATATTTAGATGTCTTCATTATCTCCTTTTACTTAAAAGTCAATACTTATTTAAGTCTTACGTATATAAATAGCTTCAACACACAATTATTACAGCCAATTTATTGTCTCTGTTAACAAGTTATATAACTGTTCTCATAATTGTTACCGTTTGATCTGGGTATGTGATTTTCGTAAACTATTGTAATATCTTTTAGTCTATATTATTAATTATCTATATGTTATACGTCCACATATTTAACACTTTCTGAAAAGATGTATAAATATCATTTTTGTTCTGTATTCTGTTGTAGTGGTGCTGTATTGTGCTGTAAACAAAAACTAATCCCTTAAAAAAGATAGACATGTACTGTCGTGGACATTTTAGATGATTTAATGAGAAATCTTTCTTTTATATTTTTTACCCGGTTTTTCCACACTCCCCTTGTTTCTTCCCTTCTATAATAGACACCGATGTTATACCTATAGCCTAAATATTTCCTCAATAAATGGTCTATCAAACGCAAAAGTAATTTTACAATTTCAACCAGTAGTTCCTGAGAGCATGTTCAGTCAAACTCCTTAGCTGTTTAGTATTACTACAGTTATAGTGATTTTCAAAAAAATATTTTTCTGTACGTAGTTAGCATTGTCATTTTGCGGAGTAGAATAAAAAGTTGAGCTATCATCCCGTTCCTAAAAACTCGGTAAAAATCTAACTCTTTTTTCTTCTAAATATATCTCCGTATGTACATTAAGTAACAGTAACAACATGTGTTACTAACAGTTCCAATTGACCTGTATATAGTAATCAGTTCACTATTATCGTGAGGTCAAATTGGGGCAATTCCGCTTATATCGATCCATGGTGCCAATTTTCATATAGTAAGTCCTTTAAGAAACTAGTGTTAACCAGCGTCATGGAAGAAACGGAGAAGAAAGATAACCGGCTTTGCAAATATGCTGCGGCGATTTCCAAAACTTCTTGCAAATTCCCACTAAAATATTATTTGCTTTTTATATAAGAGGAGGACAGACAAGGGTGGAGCTCACTTATTGGTTTGTGAAATACGCCAGCCGTACAACATCTAATGCGCTATCGACCTATTTTGGCTTTGGATATTCCGAAATCCATAAGCTACCAGCGACAGGATCTAATAAAGCCTCAATTACTTTAATTTTGGGCTGTCGTATGATGGAGATTAAGTTATTTTAGTTAATAAATTATTATTATCAAAAGAGAATAGAAAAGAGAACACCGTTAGAATTAACAGTTTAGGAAAATAATATTTAACGACATCTAGTAGGTAAGACAAAAGTTACAGTTACGACTTAAAATTTTATATTGTTCGAAAGTATTGAGAGAGGTCACTATTTTGGCGGCTTTAATTAATTAATTAAATTAAATGTGTCATATTCACGTTAACTAAATACAGTGGGTAATTAACTTGTTTAATTGTTGCAGATTATGGAGTCGTTAATACAAATAGAACCGTCGAATTGGGCACAATTACAAGATATTTTTAGAGAAAACTGGCCTAGATACGTTGTTCCCTATATGCTATTAGACACACACATGAAATATCCCGATTTAACTAAGTTATTCCAATTAAAGGTGTACTGTCCGTATGGACAATTTTCTAATGGGATTGTGGCCATACTAAACAATGTAAGTGTAGTTATTTTACTCTTTATAAGAGTGAAGTAATTTTAATAAAACACTTTAACGGATTAAAACGCGATATATTAGTTAAACAAATTTGAAAATGATTTTTAACTTCGGCCCGACGTTTCGGATCCTTTTGCAGCAGCCGTGGTCACGGGGAGTCTTTTAAAAATTACAAAAGTTAGAAAATCGAATAAGTTTAACTATTATATCGCGTTTTAAACCGGTAAATTGTATTATTTAAATGTGTACTACTCGCGTAAACTATAGACAGTATTTAAAGTAAAGTAACTGTTCCCTAAATTGACGAATGGGACGGACACATTCTTGTCTCTTTTCACTGATTAAACTTCTAATAGACAAGTAGTTGATTAGATGACTATAACAATACGAATTTGTTTTCCCGTGATGTAAAATTATAATCAGTTTCGAAGATTAATTGCCCTTGTACATAGAAAATATTTAACGGTTTAAAACGTGGAATTTATCAATAAACATATTTCAATTTAATTGAAATAGGGAGTAACTAATATACTTCGCGTTTTAGACCGTTAATAGTTTTTTATTTAAATGTGTACTACTCGCGTAAGCCGTCATGTCTTAGATAAGAAATAAATGAACGAAGATTAAATATTATTTTTATTAAATAAATGATGAATTTATTTTCAGGAAACTAGCCAAGACCTAATTATGTATCCGTTAAACGATACATCTGCAATGGAAGAATGTCTAAGAACAACTAAATTAATAAAATGGGACAAACCTATCGAAATACAATCTACAACCGAGGAAGTTCTGCAGATGATAACGAGGTTATGTAGTAAGCTGAAGATAGAAATAAGTGAAAAGGAAAAGGTTTTCACGCAATATCTTGATAAAGATACTGGAATATTTACAGACGTAAAGTATGATATTTTTAATTATACAACTTCAAAATTGTCTTGTTAACAATACATAAGTGTGAGGATCGAAATTACATTGGTGTAATGTGGGTTCGTTCGCCGCTGGGTCCAATATTATTCTAATACATTTATAATTTTTTTGAAAAATGTTGGACTTCGTCTGAAAATCCGGATATTAAGTGGGTGGTAGGAATATCGAAATAAAATCCGGATCACAACCTACTGCTATAAAAAAGTCGTGAACATTAATCGCGTTCTGGTTTCAATCTGTGGATTTCCGAGTATTGAAAGCCATCCTTTTTATTATTACATATATATATATAACTTAGAAAAAAACACTTTTAACGTTTAAAACTCGACACATATTTCGATGATGTCGAAAAACGAACGCTTTAAAACCAAGGTCGTGACCTCAGAAACCCACAGACGCAGTTAAGTTATGAATATTGCGCGTTTTAAACCGTTGAAAGTGTTGCCTCTAAAAGTGAACTATTCAGATAAGCTATAGACAGCTTTTTTAAATCAAACTTTAGTTGTAAAATTAAAAAAAAATGACTCACAATCTTTGCTTATACGTACATCTATCTTCCAGACTTCCAGAAGACACATATGTCGGACAGTTAGTACCAAAACATTTAAGCCTTGTGGACAGTACGTGGCCCTATAAAAGCAGCTGGTCGCAGAACTTTTTCAAATGTTTAATGAACAATGGTTTGACGTATGTCCTGTACTCTTCCGACCACGAACCTCTCGCGTGGATCACCTATGAAGGAGTTTTAACTCACTTATACTGTGTACCTGAACACAGGAACAAAGGATACGCAGAGTTCATAACGAAACACGCCATCAATTCTCTATTACAGAGTGGGAAACATGTTGTAGCTTATAACGTTGAAACGAACGTAAAACCACAAAAACTATTTTCGAAGTTAGGTTTTAAAACCATCGGACACGTCTATTGGACATTTGTTGAGCCAAAATAAAGACTACGAAATTTTACTAATTCTCATTAAATTTATAATATTATGTAACAAACTATTAATATTTTTTAGGGTTGTCCAAGCAAAAACTATCTTATTTAGATTTTTCACGAAAAATGTTAGTTAATTATCGAATAGCAACACGCACCTTGCGAATGACGTTTTGAGCCCAACATGCCGTCGTGTTCTCAATCTGAATAGATTCTTATATTACCTCATGTGCAGAATATTAAAGTATTTAAAAGGTTACTATTAAAAAATAATAATACGGAACCACCATCCATGAGTCCAACTCGAACTTGGACGGTTTAAAATAACTGTAAACATCATCTATCTGCCGTGTGTTAGAGAACTAATGTTATATTGTTGTTAAACACTAGCTTGGTCAGCGACTTCGTCCGCGCTGAACAGTTATTTTAGGCATCAAAATTTGTTTTTGCAAACCCCTTCATCTTAAACTGTTACCCTAAATGTTTCAGATCTTTTAAATAGGAATCATTCTTTAGTACACATTTTTGGGGGGCTTTTAACACACCGGAATCCCACAAAGATAAATAATTTTCCCGGTTTTTTCCACATTTCCCGCTGTTTTTTCGCTGCTATTAGTCACATCGTGGTGTATTATAGCTTATAACCTATTCCTCGATAAATGCTCAGAATAAAACACATTGATTTTTCAATTAGAACCAGTAGTTCCTGAGATAAGCGCGCTCAAACAAACAAACAAACAAACTCTTCAGCTTTATTAGTATAGACTATAGATATTAATTACATTACGTCGCCTTATCAGACTGACCAAATAATGAGTCGCGATTCATTCGTCACAATTGAGGACTCACCAATCGCGAGGTCGTGAGTCCACTTCATTACAATGCTAGCCTTTTGAATGCAGTACAAAAACTCAGTACTGACGCGTGGACGTGCTCAATTAATTGTGTAAAATGTGCGAACCATTAGTACTACTGCCTGTGGAACGATGGCACGAATTAAAAGCCGTGTTCCGGGGGAATTGGCCACGGGGGATATCTGGATACGGGACTCTGGATATTGAGGAACAGATTTTAAAGAACGGTGCCGATTATGGCTTTAAGGCGTACGTTGCTTATGGCGATCTCACTAATGGATTAGTGGGAATACATTTGAAGGTACCAACATAGATTTTATTGATATGTTATTCTGTATAGTATTATATGAAGGGTAGTGACATATTTTCGAGAGCCGGATAAAAAAACTGTTTGTTTTTTTAAACCTTAAATTTTTAAAACCATTAAGTTCGTCACATGTTGGATATGATGGTATTTTATGAATTAAAAAAAAAACGATTTTAGGTTGATTACATTGAAAAAAATTGACGACACGGGCGGGTCTTGAACCGAAATCCACTGGAAAATATTCGGAAGAAATTCGACGATAACGTGTTGAATACGGTAGTGGTTAGAGCAACAGTACGGAACACTGTGGATGCCGGTTCAAGACCCGGCCGTGTCGTTATTTGTTTTCAATCTGAAATCGATTTTTGACTTGCTTTTTTATATGAATTTAGTATAGTCCATTGTAATATTGTTGTTAATTTTCTTGCACATATTTATTTTGGTATCTCCCCAAATACGCTATCAACGTCACGCCCCTTATAAAATATATTCTTATATATGTTTTAATTACAAAACAAATACGCAACTATTACTTAATTAATCCATCTATTCTTATCTATGGTTATCAATATTCAAACATAGCTCCAATTTGGTGTCCATGCCCGTCTCCATTCTGAGTTAACAAAAAATACTAAAATGTCATTGGACTTAGTAGTATATTTTGTACTCTGTTGAGTTAATATTGCACTCGGGAAAAACCGCGTGTTTATCTTGGAATGTTTATCATTAACAGTTACCATACGGAATGGAAAATTTTCATTTAAAATTATTAGTATGTATTCAATATTTTTTCAAACAAGTAATGTATGAAAATATGTACTGGAGAGTGTACATAAATTAAACAATTGAGTTCAAGCCCTGCCTCTACTATCGATCTTTTTAACTAAATTGCTTTTCAACTTAGTACTGTCTGTATTATGCGAGTTGTACACATTTCAAAAAAACACTTTTAACGGTTCAAAACATATTAATTAATTTCTTTATAATTTAGTCATTACTGACGACGACTGTAAAGCATCCTCATAGTCGGGCCGTAATAAAAAAATAACTAATATGTTTCCTGTTTTACACTGTTAAACGTCTATTTCCATGATTTGTAATAAATACATTTTTTTTTACCAACTACCGTTACAAATTTCCTTAACATACAATCCATTTGAATAACCAATTTAGTGCACAGTCTAGTAATAGAACCTGGGACATTTGCTTTTACGTGACAAAGACCACGCCATTATTCACAAACGTCTAACACAATGGAAGGAGTCTGAGTCAAATTACAATCATATGTAAATCAGATGAGAGCGTCTAGACAAACAATGTAGTCTATGGACTATAAACTACATCATTGACGGGATCGTTTGTCTTATGATAGCAATGTATGGTTAATAATCAACGGGCCGTGGGTTTTGATCCCCGTCGGGTCCAGTATGTTTTTAATTTTTCTGAAACATGAAACGTCTGGAAATCTCGATATGAAATGGGTGAAAAAGCTGTGAAGTTTAATCGCGTTTCGGTTGCATTCTGAATCTCCGAATATCTAAATACAAAATAGGTCAACATCGCAACTTGTTCAGATGCTATGTGTTTGAAATCCCGGGGTGAACACATTTCTGTGTCCGTTTCACTGATCCGCTCTTTAACAGGCAAGTAGTTGATCAGACTTTGTGCCCTGCCTGACCGAAACATTTTTTTGTTTCCCTGGGATACGAACCCAGGACCTCTCGCGCTTAACGCAATACTAGACAATACGTTTAACCATTTAGCTACAGAGGCGGTCAAATGGGAGGTAGAAATATCGGAATTCCGCCCGGGTCACGAACCATCATTTACAGATGAAGAAGCTGTGGAGTTTAATCGCGTTTCGGTTGCATTCTGGATTTCCGAATATGTAAAGACAAAATAGGTCGATAGCACAACTTGTTTAGATGCTATATGCTGGGTTCACTTAATGAAAAGTGAATTACCTCACCTTCCTTCCTCTATGATAGCACGTTACATTAATATTAGTATCGTTTTTCAGGGAAAATTTTACGAAGTCGTAATTCAACCAATCAAAGAAGACATTACGGATCTGATTAAAGCCGTACGTGCTACCAAACTTATAGACTGGAGGCGACCTTTGCAATTTCCCTTTGCCCCTCAAAGTATCCTAGATGCAGTGAGAGGTATTCTACTCGAGAAGAAAGTTTTTATCAAAGATATGGCCACTACAGATACATTCTATATCGATGAAGACGCACCATATTTTAATGTAACGTAAGTATTGGTGTAGTGATAAAACTCTGCTGAAGGTCGGGAGTTCGAGGAGACATAAAAAACATAATTGTGTTAAGTTTAAATATAAGGAACAGCACGCTATTTTCAAACGAATAATTCATTTTAAAATTTACGTAATATTAAGTAATTTTATAAACATTTTTTCAACGTAGGGCTTCGTCTGGAATATTAAATGGATGGTAGAAATATTTAAATTCCATTTGAGTCACGAACCACAGATAAAAATGAGATTTAACCGTGTTTCGGCTTCAGTCTGTGGATTTCCGGATATAGGTCGACAGCTTATTTTGTTTAGATGTAACTATACTGTAATTAGAGTATTTCACCCTCCACCAGTATTATCTTTAGTATCCCATAAATATTATCCTTAGCTTATCTGTCTTCCTCTATCATAAAAATTCAACTAATAATATTTTAAGTCATTTAACACCTAGTTTCATAAACTTATCTAATCCATTTTATCAATTACATAATGTTGCAACACGATACAACCCAGCTAGAATTGTGCTTCAAAAACATATTTTTCTAAATACTGTCTATAGTTTACGCGAGTAGTACACATTTAAATAAAACACTTTAACGGTTTAAAACGAGATATATTAGTTAAACTTATTTGAAAATGATTTTTAACTTCGGCCCGACGGGGAAACGTGACCACGGCTGTTGCAAAGCATCCGAAACGTCGGGCCGAAGTTAAAAATCATTTTCAAATGAGTTTAACTAATATATCGCGTTTTAAACCGTTAAAGTGTTTTATTTAAAAAAGTCATATTCTTACTAATAATAATAATTAAATTATTTATTGCACAAACAAACATAAGAACATAGACACTTAAAATTATATATACAAAATAAAACATGTTTGCGCAAAGGCGGCCTTATCGCCTATGACGATTTCTTCCAGGCAACCTTTGCATGTAGGAATAAAAAAAGATGACAGTAAACTAGCACTTACAGTATCTTTACATTAAAAACAAATTAAAGGTCTGACAAATAAAATGTTATTATTTGAAACAATATATGTATATATGCTAGAATTACTTTATGAAATTTTCTAATAAAATAGTTTCTTAAGATCATATTCACTCACTATTCTTCTCATTCTTGAATAATAATAAACATTAACTTCTTGTAGACTACCACCAGGGTTTACATTCAAACTGATGACAGACGAATACGCGCAAATATCCAACGACACCTGGCCCCATAAACATTCAGGATCCATTTGGTATTACCACCTGTTAATCAAAGCAAAACTGGGGTATGGACTCTTCAAAGATGACTCGCTGGTTGCTTGGTGTTACGTCAAAGAAACGGGGGCTCTCGGCCATCTGTATACTCTAGAAGAGCACAGAAGAAAGGGTTATGGTCAGCTGGTGCTGCAGTTAATTTCAGACACACTAAGAAGAGAAGGGAAGATTTTATTCGCTTTCTGTGTAGTAGGAAATGAACCTGCTAGAAGATTGTATCAGAAATTAGGTTTTATTTTAAGCGAGGAAGTGCATTGGTGTGATGTTAAGCCTCTTGAGTAACTGTCTCGTATCCGACTAGCTATGTCCGCGACTTCGCGTAGTATAGTTTATTTGCTTCATAGTGTTTATTTTTGTAAATAACCTCAGCTTTATAAATCACAGCCGTTACATACGACGTCCTGTCGTTCTTGTATTATTATTTTTACACCACTTAAAGAAAAATCATTCCTCCATGGATTTCCCAATAACGCAAGTGAAACATTTTTCTTTTACTTAGTTAAATTTTCGTAATAAACTTTAACTATTTTTCACATATACATATTATATAAATTAAATATCCGAATAGATTTAAAATCACGATTTGAACCGACATCCACAGCGATCCATGCCGCTGTTCTAACGAAATTACATTGCGCGTGACCTCATGTATCTATAGGTTGAAAAAAAATTACGATGACGTTAGAGCAACAGGTTCGAGTCCCGCCCGGCTCGTTTCGATTCACCGCGTGTAATTATAAAAAAATACATATTTATACCTAGCTCGAATTGTGTAACTATTAAGGAAACTTTATTTAAACATAATTATTTAACTGTACAATCTAATAATGTTAAGAATTTTCTGTATCTTTGTTTACTTTATCCGATTAGTACACATATGTTAAAATAAACACTGTTAACTGTTTAAAACGCGAAATATTTTAGTTAATTTGTTCCTAAGTACGACCCGGCATTTCCTATGCTTTAAACCAACTGTGTTCAACTCCCCACTGTTGGAAGTGTTTTATTGAAACAAGTATTGTTAATTAAATACTGCCTATAGTTTACGCGAGTAGTACACATTTAAATAAAACACTTTAACGGTTTAAAACGCGATATACTCGTTAAACTTATTTGGAAATTATTTTTAACTTCGGCCCGACGTTTCGGATGCTTTGCAGCAGCCGCGATCACGGGGAGACTGCTAAGCATCCGAAACGTCGGACCGAAGTTTAAAATCATTTCCAAATAAGTTTAACTAATATATCGCGTTTTAAACCGTTAAAGTGTTTTATTCAAAAGTATTGTTAATATTATTTAATTATAAGAAAATAAACGATTAATGCAAAGTATTATTAATAAATGTATAACTTTATGGCGTTATCATTTAATTGCAGCAAGATATCGAACCCAAGTTCTTTTGATAACATCTCATTTATCTACTCTTTAGCTAGTCGTATTGAAAATAAACATACACCATTATGATGCAATATAATACTTTTATTAAGTCTGTAGTGTACATAAAACGATTTTAAGAATTTAAAACATGAAATATATTAGATGACATATTCTTAATCTAAATTTACCGGGGTATCTTGAAATAAAACACTTTAACGGTTTAAAACGCGATATAAATTAGTTAAAATTATTTAAATGGTGTATATTATAAAAGTACTATTGTTTTAATAAATTACCTACGGCTCGACGCTTCGTGACTAATATATATCGCTTTTTAAAACGAAAAGTGTTTTAGTTAAATGTGCCCTGGTTAATTTAGATTGGAAATATGGTAACTAATATATTTCGTGTTTTAAACCCTTACAATTGTTTTATGTACACTACACTAATGTGCATCAACTACGACAAAACAATTGGCACTAGCGTAACCGATTTGACTTAGATATTTAAGGGACACTTTCCATCTTTAGACCCCCCGTGACCACAGCCGCTTGAGGCATTCAAACGTCGGACTGAAGTTAATCTAATAAAAAAATAGTAACTTTTATTATATACACCTTTTATTTCCCCGTTTCAAAATTAACTTTGTTTATTGACCAACATTTAAATAAAACACTTTAACGGTTTAAAACGCGATATATTAGTTAAACTTACGTCTCCCCGTGACCACGGCTGCTGCAAAGCATCCGAAACGTCGGGCCGAAGTTAAAAATCATTTCCAAATAAGTTTAACTAATATATCGCGTTTTAAACCGTTAAAGTGTTTTATTGACCAACAGTAAAATAACAATTACTATTATAATTATAAAATGCTAAAATATTTTATTTTACTTCCTTGACTTTTTCAGACATTCTTTGGTGTATCTGATAATTTTTATTAAAATCAAAGTAATTCAATTATATAAATACTTTGTAGGAAATATAAATTATTACATGTGTTGTATCGGTTTGTTAGTTAAATTAGTCTGGCCATGTAAATAGATGGATTAATCTATTTACACGGCTACACCCGCGTTACATAACGAACTGTTATAAAATTACCATAAGAATTCGGGTGACCAGCTCATATTATAAGCCGACCCTAATAACACAAATTATGGAAACCTCTGGCCTACAATAAGACGAGTATAGCGGAAATATATTTACATACATTTCATTATATAGTATTATGAAAGCATATTGTAACTGGGATGGGCCTATAATCTATACTAATACATAAAGCTGAAGAGTTTGTTTGAAGTCGCTAATCGCAGGTTCAATTTGAAAAACTCTTTTGTGTTAGAATATTTTTCGACGAAGGCTATATGGTTTATATCATCGCGATGTGCAATGTCAAAAAACGGGGGAAAATTTTCATCTCTGTGGGCTTCCGATGCGTACGCTGCAAAAACGGTTCAAGATACCCAAAAATATATATGAAAGTATGATTTCTTATTTAAATAAAACACTTAACGGTATAAAACGCGATATATTAGTAATATTATTTGGAACGGGGAGACTCCCCGTGACCACGGCTGCTGCAAAGCATCCGAAACGTCGGGCCGAAGTTAAAAATCATTTCCAAATAAGTTTAACTAATATATCGCGTTTTAAACCGTTAAAGTGTTTTATTTAAATGTGTACTACTCGCGTAAACTATAGACAGTATGTATGATTTCTTTTTAAATGTTCTAAAAAAAAATTCCCCGACGCTGTATGTCATCTTTGAAGATTAACTTGCAAGAACGACGGGTCGCGATCGAGTGGACGCGTCCGATGTTGATGTCGGATAGCATATTAAATTTATAAAGACGAAGAGGAGGTTTGCAAAAACAAATTTGGATGCCCGAAGTTGGTGACATACCTAGTGTTTTAATATAAATTAGGATGTAATGGATTGCTTTTGTTAGATCGGCTCGTTGGCGTAATGGTAGCAATGATGGCTAATTTACGGGTCGTGGATTCGATCCCCAGTGGGTCCAAAAATTTTCTTATCAATTTATATTCTCAAACATGTTGGACTGAATATTAAATGGGTCTTAGGAATATCAAAATTCAGTCTGGCTCACCATCGTCCTCATATGCATAAGTCACCCAGTTTAATCGCGTGTCCGCTTCAGCAAAAACCAAAGATAACATAGGCCGACAACTCATCTTGTTTACTTGTTATGTGGCTTACCATAAAGTGAAACCCCATGCCTGTAATAGACGTCTTTCAAATATGTTAGGTATGCATGCCTTTCATATACACTATGACTTAAATTCCCCGGGTTTGGAACTCAAGACGTTTTTGCTTAACCATTGCATCGCAAACCTGTTTGATATATTTGAAAGTCATATATCTTCAACCGAAAGTGGGTCATACATACGATTCCGAACTGTCATTCTCAAATTGAAGACAAATAATCGTTTGTTCGTATCGTTTTCACACGTTATTGCTCAAATTAATTGTCACTGTTGGCTTTTAATCAACCACTGTTCACACGATTTGCAAAAAGTGTTTTTGATGTGTCATATATAATAGTTACATGACACAGTAACTTTGATGTCTGGAATTATGCAGTGTGATAGAAATTAGGTTGACTAAGCCCGCAAAAAACGGTCAAGTGCGAGTCGGAATCGCTAACATTAGTCACTAACATAAATACAGTTAAAAAGTATAAATCCTTGTTGCGCATGCGTTGTTTATAACAACAAAAAGATGACGCTAGCTTAGCCATAAGGGACACCTTTCTTCTTATGTCGCCCCGTGACTACGGCTGCCGTAAGGCATCCGAAATATCGCGGTCGTACTTCGGTACTATAAATTGAATTAAGCTAAACTAACTACGCATAGTTAGTTTAGTTTTATTCAATTTAAATTCAAATAATTTAATCCACACCAAAGTACACATACATAAATTACATAATGATATAATAAAATAAATAAAAACGTTTTTCAAACTTTGCTGTGGAAGGACACCACTCCGCTGTTGTTGTAACAACAAAGTGGCTGCAGCACGAATTTCAGTGATGGCACTCTGAGCGATAACCTAAAATAATAATTTAAAACTAAGTAAGGATTAAACACAACTATAGTTTTGAAATAAACTGCTATACGAAACAATATTATTGTATTTTGATATTTTCTCTTTGAAATAGCTCGAATGTCCGGTAAATAGCAACTGGAATTAGATGGCTTAGATGGCTTAGATCTCTAGCTTAGATGGCTAAATTTGTGTCCCACATCTGGGTACAATTCTGTCCCATAGGCCTAAGAAAACAGTCTTGGCTGAAATTTATAGGTTGACGAGCCTTCGCCAATACCGAAACAATACAAACAACGATATCCGTGACCGACACCTATCTTTGGGGCGCATTCGTGTATAATAATTCCTAAAAAAGTAATCTAATAAACTAAATAATCGTATGATATCGTATGAACGCGCTAATCTTGAGAACCACCGGTTCGAAAATAATATATTGTGTTGGTAGGATAATATATATAAAATAAAAACTGCAACACATATCAGCGAAGAAATAGTGGAAAATTGGTAGAAAACGGAGAAAATCCTTGACTTCACTCGCGTATGCTACAAACGCGGTTCAAGACACCCAACAATATGTAGAAAAGTAATTTTAAAGTTAATGTTTAAATAATCGAATATAATTTCCGGGATAGTGTACTTTTTTGATAATCTCACAAGAAATACTTTATTTAAGAATAGAACGTTTGCCTAGTCAGCTAGTAGTAGTAGTTCCTTATCTATACATACATCGATAGAGATAATATCTATATTAAATATCATCTCTAGATTACAACGTTCATAAACATTGTTACCTATAACGATAAGAGTTAAATAATTCTTTTACAAATCGCTGGAATTCACAGCCTTATAGGGCAATGACAAAAAACTACCGTGTAAGCGAACGCAGGTAGAGGCTAACCGCAAACATAGGAAAAATATATTAATATACTTTTCATTGATAAAAGCATTTACCGGTTTCGAACTTAAAATAATATTAGCAAACACATCCTGTACGGTAAATAGATTATTTCAGTCTGAATATATTTTAGTTACATAAACCATGAGATAATCACAATTCAGCATTGTCCATTACGGTTTACTGCCTGACTTCGAAGATCGGCGATGGTAACAGCGACGCGAAATGCGAAGCGATCATTCGCGGGAGTTCGTGACTTTAACTTTTACATTTATTCTCAAAGGTTTATCAAGTACATAGATACATATATATACAATATAATATAATCTAAAACTTATAGTAACTAGCACATAAATCGATATATCATTTACAGATAAGCACAGTTTATAACACAGGGGAAAAAAGAAACATAGTTATCTATGAATAGTGCAAGTAAATTGTAAAATGTCAAAACTCAACTGTCAAGTTTTATTCGCTTTCGTAACTGATTCACCTTACTACCTGTCATGATTATAAAAATACTTTTACCTATTTCTATTATTAAAATCGCTTATTTTGCTGTAAAAATGAATAAAGAATCAAATCAACCGAAAACAAATTCATCAATATATATATAAAGTAAAGAGAAATTAATTACAACCCAAGAATTATTTAAATAAAAATTTAATTTGACATAATTGATAATTTTGTTCTTTTGTTAATTCATGGGTTTGCTCTTTTGTGTGGCTCTAGTAGGCATATTCCACGTTGTAATCACGAAGTTTGGAATCGGCAAGTGTTCTTGGCAGAATCGTAAAAGTACTCTATTGACGGTGAGCCTCGTCAATCAAAGAACGCAATAGGTATTGTCAAAGCACTAACGCCGTGTCATAATTCTCATGATTAGTGGCTTTATTAATTCGTAAACATTACTTTTTGTTACACATTACGATTATTTTCTAGTAATTTTAATGTATGCAACATTCTACTCTAGAAAGCTGTGTTGTATTCACAGTTAAAGGTTGTGAAATGTCAAATGTAGGCCAAATTCTATAACTACTTAGTTCAGTTTTAACATTTCTCTATAACATGAAAGGCAAATCTTCCCGTCCGAAAGATTTGAACGTCGAATCAAATATCTGTCCAGGCCACAAACTATTACAGATGAAAAAGCTGAGAAGGTTTGTATTTTGTTTATGATAAAGGAATTATCGGCCGATAAGCGTGATCGAGAGCGTTTACTTGATGGAAGGTGAAGTACCCCATCCATATAACATTTTGGCAAGATGTGCTGACCCGGACGGAATTTTATTATAAACATAAACATTTAACGGCTTCAAACCCAAAATTAATAATATTCGAAGTTAACGCGATTTTTCGTTATACTCGCGTAAACTACAGATAGTATTTAATTAGGAACATTTTGCAGCCGGTGGAGATCGAACCCAAAGAGCCCGTCGGAATATCGGAATGTCGCAAATACGGTAAAAAACATCAGCCAAGCTGGAATTATTGGTTGTATCACGTATACAACAAAAGAACAAACGAAAGTGCAATGTGGGAAATAGTAGCAGGAAGTAGATGGATGAATGGGCTTTCAAGAAAATGCTGGCGCGAGTCGGAAATTACTATATAATCGAAGTAGTAGACAACGGAATTATAGGATGTTTCCTCTTTTCATAGAACAATTTATTATTATTATTTAAATAAAACATTTTAACTGTTTGAAACATGATATATGTATAGTAGTTAAACGAATATCGGGAACTTAATATAATAGTGAGGACTAGACATACTAGAAATTTAACCGACTGTAACTGTAACTGTAAGACGTCTGTAAGAGTCGAATAGTAAAACTTACACAAATATATGTCTGTTACATCTCCCACATATGGGTTTTTTTTTGTCAGAGGAGGACGGACAAGCACTTGATGGGAGCTAAAATATTCCAGCCATATAACATCTAAACAAGATGTGCTATCGACCTATTATCGAGGCTTTCGATATACGGGACACTTACACAATGTAGTGGTTTACCTAACAATCAATGTGATCGTGCGTTGATTTCATAAGACATATAAAATAATCCACTAGGTTATGGGAGGGCGGATTATAGCGAATGTTTGATGGGAAAATAACCATTTGTTCGAATGTGCGGGCGCTCGTTATGTCGTGATTTTGTGATTGATATACACTGTGATATAATATGTGGTATTTTGCGATAATCGGTGAGTCATCTTCTTGTATTTTATTTCGCGTTAATCATAATTAATCATACTGTAATGAAGATAACTGTTTGACGGTAGTTTATTTTTAAATATCAGTGCAATATGAGGCCGCTAGAGGCAGAGTTGCCTAACTACAATTTTATGACTTGAGCTATTTATACTTTCTTAGTCAAAAAAGGTAATCTACAAATTTCTTACACAAATAATTACAAATTCATTTTCGCATAAGTTAGTTACGCATTTTTATTTTCCTTTTTATTGAAAATCATGTTTTTCTTATTGAGAGAGTGGCCTACTCTCCCTCATATATCAATATGTAGAGTGAAATAAAAAATATTTTTCTTTACCATAACTTGTTCTTGTTTCAGAAGTTAGTAATCATTTAATTTTGATAAAATTAGAAATGGGCTAAGACCAGATTTGATTTAACTTCTTATAACGGGCGTAGTGTCAATTCGGCATTCCGAATTTCGGTTTGAATTGTCGAAATTTTCAAATATATTTACTATTTATTAAATAATTATGAAGCTACATTTCGCTACTGTTAGATAAGATAAAGCCAATATATAAATAATAATAGATTGCAAAAAAGTGATAACATGACCGAATCGAATCGAACTTTGGACTTTAAACTACACTTAAAGACTACACTTTAATAATGTCCTGTATCACTTTAATAAAATCAAGCACGACTTATGGAGTAAAATATATAAAGAAAATATTAATTTGTAAAGATTTTATTTGTGTCAGCGACTTCGTCCGCATAAAGTAGTAATTTTCAGCATCCAAATTTAATTTTTTGCCAACTTCCTTCTCTTCTTAAGCTTCTATTTTTTGGGTATCGGAAACCCGGAGAGACAAATAATTTGCCCTATATTTCCACATTTCCAGTAAATTCTTGGCTTCTATTAGTCACAGCGTGATATTTTAACCTATAGCCTTCGATAAATGCCCTAACCGCAAAAATAATTTCATGTCAATTCAAACCAGTAGTTCCTGAGATTAGCACGTTCAAACAAACAAACAAACTCTTCAGCTTTATATATTAGTGTAGATATACTTAGACAGCTTATAAGTGACTAGTTCAATACTGTCTTACTACTTAAATTAAATACTGTCTGTAGTTAACGCGAGTAGTACACATTTAAATAAAACAATTTAAATTAAAAAAAACTACCTTAGACGTTTTAGTTAAACTTGTTATTTTTAACTACCCCGCGACCATGGCTGCTGCAAAGCATCCGAAATGTCGAGCCGTACTTAAAAATAATTTTCAAACAAGTTTAATTAAAATATATCACGTTTTAAACCGTTGCAGTGTTTTATTTAAATAGTTTAAAAACCACTGACTCAAGTAAAAGTTTCCCTTTACGAAATTGAGCTGAGTTTGAAACATACATTTATTCAATTACAAATCAAATCTTCGAATTTAAAAAAAGGTAATAGGGCCAATATAATATTGTACAGTTGTTAGACTAGCAGTTTCAACAAATCGTATTGTCAATCAATAATTGAATACAAGACAAGTCGCATTTATAAGCTTTTTATTTCATTCGTTACTGCCACAAGAGAATTAGTTCTGTGAGAATTGTCTTAGCTACTTTGTACGATTTACTTATCAATCAATTTTACTACTCCATGCATTATATGATGTGAAATTTAAAAAATTAAATTTTAACCATAGTTCCAATATATTAAAAGATAGCTGTGCCCGCGTAAAGTACTAATTTTGGACATTAAAATTTATTTTGACCTTCTCAGTTTTATAAATAATAGTTGTCACCCAAGACGTCGTCCGCTTCACATACATTGTCGCGGACATTTTTCAGATCAATTAAAGAGGAAGCATTCTTTAATACATTTTTTGATTTCTTGAACCGTTTCCACAGCAAAGGAAATCCTCAAAGATGTTACTCGTTTTTACAACATTTTCCCGTTTCTTTGTTCCTATTGGTCGCAGTGAGATATTAAATAAACCTAAACGCTTTATTTATAATTAATAGCGTAAGCAAAGCAAAAAAAAATCGAACCAGTAGCTCCTGAGATTAGCTCTCTCAAACAAACTCTTCAACTTCATATTAGCATAGATAATTAAAAAAAAACACAAGACTAACTGCTACGTACCAAGATGGTTTCAAGACAGTTAAAGACTAAAGAAAGATCGGGACGGTAAGGCACATAGGGGTGATGTTGATGTCATCTCCTACGAAAAAGAAATCAAACTTCACACAGTCATATAGTGTTTGTAGTTTACGCGAGTGTTACACATTTAAAAAAAAACACTAACGGTTTAAAACGCGATAGATTGGATTAAAAAATATTTTAACTACGGCTCGACGTTTCAGTTGCTTTACAGCAGCCATGGTCTCGAGCAGGAATAACCAAATAAGTTTAACTAATATATATCGCTGTTTAAACAGTTTAATTCAAATCGAACAAACATTGCATCGGATTCCATTTTTTATTTAATGCTCTACACTGTAGATTCCGACTAAGTTAGAGTGCACTAACCAATAGGAGAACGCGGCAGTTTAAGTATGGACTTCAATCTTCTTACAGTATGCATCATTCCGTTGACGTCTGGACAAATCGATAGACAGCGTAAGAATGATCACGGCTGGGAAATAAAGCTGAACGTTCCAGGAGCTCCCGGGAACGATTATCCCACTCTGCATGAAATCCCACGAACAAGTTTCAATTGTGCTGGACGAGAACCAGGTACAGATTAAAGTGTTAGCATAATAAAAAGGATTCTATACCTAAGTATTATTTATAGTTTACGCGAGTTACCACATTACCGTTAAATAAAACCATTTAATGGTTTTAATTAATATGTACAACGAGGAATTTATTGGTTGATTTATTTTTGACAATGAACCAACGTGCTCTAGTGTCCAAAGCTGGTGTAAAACATATAAAACCCCGGAGTGTAAAAAATAAATAACTAATATTTACATGGTAGCATGATGAGAGAAAAATCGCGTATTTTATTAAAATTCTCACAAAATAAGTAGACGTGTCTAAAAGACAGAGAATAAAAATTTAGAATATTCTTAACTTAATACTTTTAGATTAACACTTAAAGACCTTTTTATTGCTTTCGCATTTTTTGTATTATGAAATTTATTATTGAGATTTTGGTGTGTAATTTTCAAAATGTCCTTTTTATTTCAGGCTATTATGCAGACCAAGAAACCAACTGCCAGGTGTTCAGAATTTGCACCTCAGGTTCCATTTACGGCTTCCAATCGTTCCTCTGCCCAAACGGCACCTTGTTCAACCAAGCGTTCTTCGTTTGCGACTGGTGGATGAACGTTAATTGTGGAAAATCACAGGAAGTGCATAACAACAATGAACGCTTCGCAAATTTAAAACCCGGCCCACAACTTATAAAAGATGTCAGAAAAATAATAACCCATCCAATGAGAAATCCCATAAAATCCGAATATTTAAGAAGTAAAGATTTAGTACCGCAACTGTACAAGCCGCCTCTACAAGAATTATTTCCTAACGGAGCTTTGATATCTAGTCAAGATTTAAATAATAATAACGTGTATGTACCAAGCAAAACAAGCATTGATGAGGATATTGTATCTAATGATATAAGTTTTGCTGCTTCTACAGCTTCACCGCAATTTACTTCATATCGATCAAATCAACAAACACAAAGACTAGAGTTTAGTAATCCAAGAACACACAATACCCAGTACAATCAATTGGCTAAACCACAATCTACGCCGATACGATATTTACTTGGTACACCTATTCCTATCAAACAAAAACAAGTACAATATAACCAAAATAATAAAAACCATTTAACTTATGGCCAACGGACCTTAGAATCCTATAGGGTTAATCCAAGAAAACAATCCCCACAAAGTTTATACCAGTTGCAGACTAACGGGAACGCAATAATTACAGAAGCTAAAGAAAATCTGGTAAGTACACAAATTCCACCAACTGTCATATCAAAGACAATAGCTTTCAAAAGTATAGTTCCCGGGGATAAAGCTGGCGGTCCAAAATCGAGAATCACTTTCAAGACTTGGATATTAAAACCAAAAGGTAATAAGTTAATAGTAAAACCGATTGCATACACAAACAAAAATATTGTCCAATCACCATCCGAACAAGTATCTTCGACAGTCATCCCATATGTATATGATAAGCCCACGCCTAGTTCTGACCTAATAAGGAAAAGTAACGAATATTTTTATACCAAACCAGTATCTGCTAAACAAGTAACGAATATTCCTGTCGGTCTATACGATCCACCAACCACGTTTCGTCCTACTTTACCCAGTAGACTGTACCTATCTCCAAATCTTGACATAGCTACGACCACAGTACCATCCCTTTACGAAGTATCAACTTTAAAATCTCTCCCTAATATCTACTTACCACCAACCAACTCAGCCCAACTTTCAAGGCAATATTTATCACCTCTTGTAAGATCGCAACAACTAATAAATAATAACGAAAAATTACAGACAGAGTCATCGTCGCAAACACCACAATATGAATTAATCGAACCAATAATAAACAATCTGCCATCGTTGACGGTAACTAAACACTCCAAAATTAATACTAATCGCAATAACCTTACTTTTACAGACATAATAACACAGGAAAAGTATGATATAACCGTGAATAATGTAGAAAAGACCCGTAAAGCAGTATTCGACTCGGCACCTCAAAAAATAACACAATATCAAGATAGTAATTTTATAAACAGCGATTACTTAAAACGGAACGGCGAATTTGAAAGCAAAAAGAATTTGCCTGCTTCTATCGCTACAAAAAGCGCCAAATTAATTTCAGCCCCTTCAATTAATCTAGAACCACCTTTTGAAAGCAATTTACAATATTTTCCATCAAATAAAATAACAAATCTACCTTATTATAAGGAGCCTGTTAATACTATAGAAAGAACAGTATCCATAAAAATAACAATACCTGAAAAAATCGCAAAAATATTATTCAAGAACGAAAGTAACTCCGAAGAACTGGAAGTGTTAAATACTGGCAGTAGTAATTATTATGTATACGCAAACAATTTGGGTACTGAATCTGACAACGGATTAACTCCGATAGGCAAGATATCACTTATTAAAAATTCTAATATTTCACGTTCACAGGATTTGGTGTTCTCGTTTTTGGCAGACTCCTTAAATGCTGCAAAACAATACAGTAACATTGCTACACGGACAGAACCAACATCTACAGAAACTTCTACACAAAACAATGAATACAACGATGAAGAAGAAATATCTAAGCAAATATCTCATCTCACGTCATTACAATTTTCAAATAATAACGATATAAACACATTCAATGATGTCCAGAGCTTACCCCAAAACAAGGATATTAATCAGCTATCAAAACATAGACAACACAATGAAAATAACCAACAGGTACATCAACAATCATCTAGATTAGTGACGTCGAGTTCACAAAATCCAAATCAGCTAATAAGACAAGAGACAAACAAATTTGCTAACCTGCTACAAAATCCTAACCAAATATACAGTGGTCAACTATATCAGTTACCTGTACCCGATGTAACACGTGAATTCTATAATTCGCCTAAAATCCAACCATCAATCAATCAGAACACTCAACAAAGGATAAAGTCACAAGATTTCATAAAACAACAAAACAGCAAGCTAACTAAAGGGACTGATGTAGAATTACTACCATCACCGTTTTCAAAACATCAACAATCATCACCCATTGAGCGATTAAAACAAAACGATCTTTCCACAAACTTTGACAATCTACTATCATCAGGTAATGGAATAACTGCACAAGTGAAAGATAGTATTGTCGGGTCACTGCCTCATCCATCTGAAAACGACAAATTATTGACATACAAAAAGGACCAATCGTATTATATTTTTTCACAGCTTCACAATAATAAGGAGAATCAATTTCATAAGACACATAGTGCTAATTTGGAGATCGTTCCATCTATAGCATACAAGTTGAAAGATCAGGTACAAAATAACGAGTTCCGTCGACCTGGAGACGAATATTTTACTTCGAAACAGTCGTTAACTACTAATGTTGATTATACTGTAAACCATCCCATAAATTACGGTGATAGACTAAGCAATAGTCAATTTAACAGTCCATATTCACAACAAAATCAACGTCTAATAAATAACGATGAGAACTCGAGGATAGAAGATTTAGACAGCAAGGAACCCAATGGTTATCCAAAAATATCACCACAACCCAAGTTTAACACTTGATTTAGTATTATTATCATAGTTCTTAAGTATTTATAATAATATTTCCAGTGTAGCTTAATTAAGACAATAGTTTTCGAATCTTTAAAACTGTTCTGATCAATATTTTAAGCTTTTAAGCTGTTATTTCTGTCTGTAAAAATCAAATTGTAATTACATACATTAAAGAATAAAAGATAGATGTAATGTTTTATTTTAATTTCTTTAAGAAGCATTGAAGTAATTCTTATTCCTTGATCAGTACCCTGCTGGGACAATCTCTTAACTAAACCTTAATTTTCATGTTCAAGTGGTTTCCCATGAAGTTTTCCTTCACCGGTTCGTCATGGGACTCGAACTATAGACTTGCGAAGTAGGTACATGATAAAAGCTACAATAATAAATTAATGAGAATTAAAATTAAAATAAGACCTAAATTAAACGAACTACGCCTGCTTGTAATTTAAATAAGATCGATACTTACTATCAATTGAATCCTAAAAAAATATAGAATACAACCATGTTTTTTTTTAGATACTATACCTTTTATTTGTTATATTTCATACTAGACCCATTTATTTTAACTGTTATGAAGTATAAAGTAAAAACGAATATAATTAGAAATAAATATAAGTTTCCTGTTTCTTACGTAAATTATGGAACTTAACATCGTATATCTGACGAAAAACCATAGAGTTACTTTACTTTTTCAATTCAATACAGTAGACGCGAATGAAAATCATTTATTTTTAAACCGAAGGCAAAATACTGTTACCATGGCAACTGTTTACTCAACGCTTTCATTTGTTTTGTCAATTTTATTAAAATGTTTCGCGTTATGAGAAAATAGTGGTTTTATTGTTCTTAAATGTAACATCCGCCTAGTGTTCTACGGTAAAACAAAAATTTAGTATCGTGGAGTCAACATATTTAAAGGTAGATATGTATTTACAGTAAAATGTTCATTTTATAATAAGTGAGATTTTGCTCCTTCTAAGAGTACATAGGACAGACTCATTTTTATGTTTGTTGCACTAATCGATTTACAGACAATTTTTGACGAGACGAAAACATAATTACCAAAAAATTCTAACCCACGACCTAGGATTTAAGGTTAGGGAAATTCAAAAGTATATAAAATTTTAAAAATTTAATATTTTTCACATATTATTTCACTTGGCACCCTATAAATTAAAAATCGATTGTTAAATATAAAAGCTCTTATTTTTCAATAAATATAAAAACAATATTTTAAAATAAAACACTTTAACGATTAAAAACGTGATACATTGTTAAACTTATTTGAAAATGATTTTTAACTTCAGCCCGACGTTTCGGATGCTGTGCAGCAGCTGTGGTCACGGGGAGACCACGGCTGCTGCAACGCATAATTTTCAAATAAGTTTAACTAATATATCGCGTTTTAAAACGTTAGTGTTTTATTTAAAAGTGTACTACTTGGGTAAACTTTAGACAGTATTTAACATTATTTTTCTATTATTACTTTATGTACTAAGCAGAATGTCTGATTCACTATCAACTGGCTCCACGGAGGCACCAACCTTTGACCTGGACATCCATACTGACCCAAGGATGCAATGGTTCAAAGACCGTATATTAAGTTACATCGGCATGAAAGATGATGAACTATTTTATAACATGTTGGATGAAGGTATTATATAAACTTCCTTTATTGAAATAACATTATTATATTTTAACGGGCTTGTTGGTCTAATGGTAGCACCGTGTTGCTTATAATCAACGGATCATTGGTCCCCACGGGGTCTGGGGGAGGGGGGTGGGGGGTTGGAAATCTTCGTATTAAAGGGGTGGTAGGAAGAGAAATCCGGGTCACGATCACGATCACCATCCACAGATAAAAGAGCTGTAAAGTTTAATCGCGTTTCGGTTTCAGACCGTGGATTTCCGAATATCCAATCCTCCCATCAAGTGAACCCCATGCTTATCTGTTCTACTTTATCATTAAGAAATATAAGTTTTTTTTCCTTTTTCACAAATCTATAAACACTGTACTTATCTCTTTTACAAAGGTGATGCAAGACAGAAAATGATAACATTTGTCACTGCACCAGTTCTGCCAAACGAATTGTCGCTGGACAAAAAGACATTTTATTTGTCCAAAATAATAGTTGATAAACTCATACATGAAGATATGGAGTTCACTGAATGGAGTAAGTCTTTATATAATAATTTAGTAATGATAACCTAACAGATAAAGATAAAACAAAGGCAATCTTTGATAAAGATTCCAAAAGTATTGTGTAGTAGGTATTACTTATTGGTTTATTTTTTTTATTAGGTGCGTTCGCGCCTTCTCTATGTTACATTACTTGGAGGGTAGTATGAGATATTTTTTGTAAATACAGCTGGACAAACGATGTATTCCATATCTCAATATTTCAATCAGGGATCGTACCTCCTCCTCCGCCGCCTCCAGCGCCGCCATCAAAAAAGAAAAAGGGAAAGAAAGCCAAAGGTGCAGCAGAACCTGAACCCGAGCCGGAGCCTGAACCGACGAAAAGCGCGAAAAGCATGAAAAGCATGAAGAGCATGAAGAGCATGAAAAGCATGAAAAGCATGAAAAGTGTGAAAAGTGTCAAAATAGGTAAATATTAAATTTAGAAATAAAATAAATAAAAATCTTCAAATTACTTCATTTTCTATATATAATAGAAAAAGTTGTATTTGATTATTTAAAACGAGAGTAAGTAAATTTAAGACAAATTGGGATCAAATTATCTGGTAATCCCAGGAAAACGAAATGATTTTAAAAGATATCATCACCTTTATTGAGAACAAGTATAATAAAACTATTATCCAGTTATCGTTTGCTTATGAACAATAGACTTATACTAATGACAGCTGTAGTCTTCTTCTATAATTTTTTTTTTATAGAAGAAGACTACTGGTTAATTTCATTTCATTGGGTTATTGTGATACTGGTGGGATATATGTATATGAAGATACGTTAAACAATTAAAATGCAGATGTTGATGCTGAAGAAATTGAAGCCGCGGAAATTGAAACCGTGGCAGCCGTAACAGAAGTTTCAGAGAGCGAAATGGACACGAAACCGTCTGTTTACTTTCAAGTAGAAGAAGAAGAACCACCTGTGGTCGCTGAAGATTTTTACTCTTTTCCTCCACGTAAGTTCTCCTATCCAAAACAGCCGACTCTGTACTAACAAGGCAAGAGAAATTAGACCTAACAAAAAAGGTTTCTTTCAATTAATCAAGTAGAAAAACTATTTTGGTAAATAATAAATATGATGTAATATTACATAATTCCAAAAAAATCTAATTTCAGCTCCGGAAGACCTGGATCCGCTTATAGATGGAACGCTGGAATATTATACAGTCGTTGTAAGTTAAAGTTCTTTCCTACTATATGTTTGATATTCATATTATGTAGGACAGACGAAAGATGAAAGCTAAAATCTACTTTTTTTGCTTTTGCTACTGCATCTTGTTAAGATGGTAAATGGCTGAATTATTTCACCTTATGTCAAGTGACCATGCCGGTAGTTCGCCATCTAGTATATCATATTTCTTGGTAATAACCATTTTTTCTTAACAGAGATCGGTACCAAGAATAATACAATATCCAAAACTCATTCCATTATTTGGAGCTTTTACGCCACAAGTGTCCAGCCGCAATCGTCGGTACATTTACTTCGTAAGACAAACCCAGGAAGAAATACCACTCTATGAAACTGACAGGATTACTAAGCTCAAAATGGCTGAGTCAGTTATAGTAGGTTGCACGAGTGGGAAGGTTTTGATGAGCTTAGGATTACAGCTCAAGGAGGTAATTTATCTGTCTGGGTTTTGTGCGTGTGTTTTATTAGACTTCATTCCTTCCATTACAAATTATATTATAAAGAAAACATCAATGATACAATTCTTATCTCCAATGTCTTATTACTTTTAACGTGATTTTATGCTTTTTATTCATTTATTGTAGACGTTCATACCGTTGTTCGAAAAGCAATTTCGGGAAATAAGCACGAGTTCTCAATCCCAGTCACAGACTGTGCTCTCTCGACAAACGTCATTCGCAGGTGACCACTATAACATGGATGAAACGGCATCTGATGTAAATATAAACTTATCATATTTTATGAACGCCACAGATCATAAAGAAAAAAGTTGTACAATCAGTTATTTTAACTCAATTTTTACATTTCAAGGTTAACTACTTACGACCTTCAGACTATAGAAGAATGTCTAATATTGCAAGAGGGGAGAACGCAGAGAGGCGGTAAAGTTGTAATCCTAAAAATGTAAGTAAAATTTGTCTTTGAATCTAAAATATACCCATTGCTTTCAGAATGAAAAATATGCGAGCGGTTTCAGTTGCGCCTTCTAAAGTGTTTAAAGTAACACGACCTACGTCCTCTATAACAGCGAAGGTACTAAACTATCAAGATCATATTAATAAGAAGTAGTAGACGAAAATACTGAAAGTATTCAAAAGTAAAAAAAAAAGTATTCAAAACACTAAAGTAATATTTCTTTACAGCAAACATCATCTATAGAAATACCTTTAACGAAAAGTAAGACGATGCAAAAAGGGGACAAGCAGAAGACCACAGCCGAAGAAGTAATTTCTGATATTAAAGAACTTGTAGCGATTGTTGACTGGTAAATACTATACATTAAAAAAGCCTATACCAAAAAATCTATGAACTATAATGTTATGCATCGATCTTTTAGGACTATAGAGCACATCGAAGGTGAGATTCAGTTGCCAATGCCAAATATACCGGCTCTTAGCGAGCCACACGGGCACACAGATGTTGAGGACCCAGAATTTCTCACCCAACTGGAAGAAGCAGTTACCATGTGGCAGACACATATCGATTCTACAATCGCTGCTTGTTTGGGCAAGGTTGGTTAAAATAGGTTTTTATACGCCAACTCTTATGTGAATTGTTTTTAAGTGGGCATTTAATTTTCATTTTGAAGTTTTAACTAAAAATATTGAAACATTTGACACAGACATTCTTGTCAATCTAAATATCATTGTTTTTATTTTTGATAAATGGTATGTCATCTATAATAAATAGCTATCACTTTTACAGACACGAGAAGGAGAGGGTCCAGTAGCTGAATTTAAATATTGGCGTGAAAGAGATGCTGAGATATCTTTGCTCGTAGAGCAGCTAAAACAACCGATGGTAGTCAAAATATTGGGTTTACTTCAGAAAGCCAATTCACCTTATTTAGATGTTAGTGCAATTGAAATCATTTTATTTTAAAACAAGATAAATAAAATTAAATGAAATATGATATACTTTGTATGTACGTTTGTTTTTCTATGCCCAATAATATTGTTTATTTAATTTCTTTTTCTAGAATTTCAGACAGTACAAGGAGAGACTACTGGAACAATATAATTTGGCAGGAGATAACCTAAAATTCCTCTCTACTCTCATGAGATTCTTTACTGTGAGTTTTATTTAATCGTTCTTTAGTCGTGTATAAATTTCCAAAACAAACAGTTGTGTTCCTTTTCATCATCATCAGGCGCTTTATTTATTCCCTTTTTTGTAAAATAGGTGATAGAGGACGATTCACCACTTCAGCAAGTAATAGACATTTTACCTGAATTGGTGGAGAGTATCTACATGATGTGGGTGTTATCAAAAGGCTACAGAACAGATGATACTATGATACCCCTAATGTCGAGAATATCTTGGGCGTTATGTGACAAACTTGAAAGATTTCTGGACGTGCACAAATTATTCGAGTAAGATTTTCGTATTTAAGACCTACAGAATAGAGCACAAGCAATTATAGGGTTCACTCGATGGAAGGCGACTTACTTACTTACTTACATAGGCCGAACTTTTTTTCAACGAGGTACCTTATGCTTTAGACCAATTTTGGCTTTGGATATTCGGAACTGGGAACGGACTGAAACCGAATTTTTCATCTGTGGACGGTGGTTCGTGATTTTTGATACTAGATGGGCTTTTGATATTGAAACAAATTTCCAAAGGAAGAGCAACATGTTTGAGAAAAAATAAAATGAATAAGAAACATCTTAGACCCGGTGGTGATCGAACCCAAGACCCGTTAGTTTAGCCATACATTGCTACAATTACACCAACGGACCCGTAAAAGTAATAATTATGGCTACGATATTACAGAATATGTTGATGTGTGTACATAATGTATAGAATATTTTCACATATCATTGTCTTTCGGGATGTTCGGCCGATGTGAGCGAGAACAGCCAGAAAGACAATGATATGCTGAACGATGGCCGTGAAAGCCTTACACAATTTATATTTTCACATGTTATTGCATATGATGGTACTATATAATTTAAAATTCGAAAATAAATTGTTTTCCATTCCATTCCATTTATTTTCGATTTTTAAATTATGTTGCAAATTGTTTATATTTTAGCAATAATCTATAGTTTCCTTAATGTTAATATGTAAATTACTCAACGACCGGCACACTTTCCCAAGGATGAGCGTTCGTCCAGCTCTAAGAGCTCAAATAAATAAACTAATAAATAATGATTTAACAGCAAATCAAATGAAGAAGTTTTGTCGCAAGCTCGTGCTGGACAAAAGATAATGGAGATGTGGCATGATTTGTACAAAGAAACGAGACGAAATATTGAGCTGAGTGGAAAAGGAGCTCGCTGGGAGTTTGATCAACCACTTCTTTTTACCAGGACCGATTATATAGGAACCGTAGGAAGGGATCTAGGGGACGCGATACAGGTAGAGATGGAATTAAGACCTTGGATGTACTAGATAGTAAATAAGATGGCTAATAAGTAACGTCACAATGATTCCCAAATACACTTAGGGCCAATACAAAATAATTGTTGATTACAGAGATTAATTTAGAAGAATTACATTAATCTTTAGTTACAGATCGTAGGTATATAATTTGTTCTGTTTTAGGTCCTCATTGACTTCGAAAGAATATTTGGTTTGGAACTCGCGTCCATTATAAGCGATCCAACCCAAATTGACGACGTTCGAAAAAGGGTCAAGAACTTAGTCTATCCAATTCGTACCATAGATTTCAGCGTATTTGTGTTTGATAATAAGGAGAATTGGGACGTTATTATGGGCGACTTCTGGAACGAAGTTAGATATCTTGAAGAGGAAGCTAAGAATTATATTAACTCGTGCTTTGGAAATTTACGGTAAGAATTTGTTTATTTTATAAATTGAAATAACAGACATAACACTTTAAGGGTTTAAAACTCGAAATATTTTAAATAATAATAAGTTAAAATAATTTTCAAATAAGTTTAGCTACTAGCTTAAAGTACAGCATCTATCTTTATCAATGTAATTATTTTACAATAAATAAATGGTGTACAGCTTTAACGGCTATCGTTCAGTATATATCTCTACGTACGTCTACGTCGGCCGAAAGGCCGCCCGAAAAACAATGATGTGATATTTTACGAGTATTATTAATATATTACTGTATCTCTATGAGTATATTCTTTATATCGTTTTATTCTCTAAAACAGATATAACCAAAGCTAGTTCTGCTATATTTACCTATTATCTATATTCGTCTTACAGTAACTCGGAGGAGGCTCTGATCGTGCTACTAAAGTTCTTAGAATATGACCTAAGGGATTCCATTAAGCGTCAGCTCGCGACAAAATTTGATCTGGTGATGAGGCAATTCATCAAGGAGCTCACAGCCATCGAAGATAAGTTTACGGTAAGGTTTCAAATTTATCCATAAATAAATTTAAAAAAGTTATAAAATTTAGATTGTCTCAAAAGCGCGGCATGTCACTACCAAAGAACTGCTTAACAAGATTTACATAACACTAGCAGAGTCAGTTTTAAATTATTGTATTGTAACTTGGGGTGGAGCCGCAAAGACCAAGTTAACTAACAACTTTTACGTGCACTTTGTTTTGGCTGATAGTAGAAGTCTTTGTGTAAGGAAGCTAGAAGAAAATTACCGAATACATTTTACATGATTCTGGATCTGTAACCTGGACCTCTTGAAATGAAAGGTATAACAATTAGACTAACAAAATAATTCACAAACATTTACTAATGTAATATAATCATTACAAGTTTTATTTCATTACAGCGCTTCCGTAAAAATCCTCCACTACTACGATACCATCCACCAGTCGCCGGTGCCATCTATTGGGCGAGGTCGCTCTTCAATAAAATGAAACAACCGATAATGAAATTTCAAAAGGTTTATTCATAAATAATTCTAAATAAAACACTTTAACTGTTTAAAACGCGATATATTAGTTAAACTTATTTAAAAATGATTTTTAACTTCGGCCCGATGTTTCGGATGCTTTGCAGCAGCCGTGGTCACGGGGAGACGGTCTTCTACTTAACTAATATATCGCGTTTTAAACCGTTAAAGTGTTTTATTTAAATGTGTACTACTCGCGTAAACTATAGATAGTATTTAATAAAAAAAATGTATATATTTTAAAGTTTATTATTTTCTATCCTTTGATTATTATTTTTTTATTACTGCCATGTTTCTAATTAGGTGGAGAAACTAAACGACTGCGAACAGAAGAAAGAAGCGTTTTTGCAATACAAGGCGTTTTCAAAAGTAATTAAAGACTACGAAGATACAAAGTATAGCGAATGGGTTGACGGCGCCTCCAAGTTTGTCGACGATATGATGAAAAAGAACATTCTTCACGTTGTTTTTAAGAAAGAGGAAGGTAAATTTACGCAATTTAAAGCATTCAGAAACTTGTATTTGTTTTACTTTTTTTTTGAATACTTGATGGTAGGTGATATACCCCAGCCTATAGCATCTAAACAAGATGTGCTGTCGAGCTATTTTGGCTTTGAATATTCGGAAATACACACTAACCGAAATGCGATTAAGTTTCACAGCTTTTCCATCTGTGGACGGTGGTTCGTCACCCAGACGGAATTTTTTTATTCCTACCACCCATTAAATATTTAGATTTCTAGATCTAACACCTTTAACAAAAATTATAAATTTAAAGTTAGAAACATGTTGATCGTGTTGGGGATCGAACCCACGACCCCTTGGTTATTATGCATACGTTGCTATCATTAGACAATCGAGCTCGGTAAAAAAATATTTTCTTATATACTATTCTATTGGGCACGATTTTTCAGAGACAGCGGCACCTGCTCAACGCGGTATGCAACTTACAGCTGCGGGAAAAGCCCACGTTGCAAAGAAAAAGGCTTCGATACTCTCTCTAAAACCAGCTGACGTCGTCAATAAAGAGATCGCACAGAAACGACGCAGAGATAAAGCATGTAATTTCAAAGAGTATATTAATTAAACGGTTTAAAACGCGAAAAATATATTATAATTTGTATTTAATTACCGCATGTAGATTGATTTGTTTTGCACCATTTGCGGAAAACTAAAATTAGATAAAGAAAATAATTGTATAAACTTGTTTTATCAGATTGATTATTTTTTTGTATTCATAAAATGTGTTTCAATAAAACACTTTAATGGTTTAAAACCATTTTCTCGTAAACTACAGATAGCATTTTATAGAATATATTTTAAATGTTTCAGTAATGTTGATGAGGATACCGGGGCAACACTACGAAAATGTGCGATCCCCGAGTTCTGTATCGCTTCTTGCTAAGGAAGGATTGGTAATTATTTTTCCCATATAGTTTGTTTTTTTCGATTAAATATTGATCAATATAATATATAGCGGTCTACTGGCTTGAATAAGTACCGTTGACGACTTTTCACCTGTCAGACAGTTGGCATACTGGCGAATTACGTTTGTATACGTAACTACCGCCATTGAATTTTTTTACACACAATCGTTTGGAACGATGCGATACTTTTAACCAATGTTTAATTGTGATTAAATATTATTTTAACCTAAGACATGACTTATTTAGTAACAGCAGCAACAGCATCTGCTCCGAAACGATCTCCTGTTGAAACATCTTTATTGCAGTTTAAAGTTACATTCCCGTTTTAAACCGTTTATTCGCTAGACTGATGTCACATGGCGAGACCTCACCGTGCACAAGTTGATGCAAGAGTATGATCTTGAATTTGAGCCAAATTTCGATAAGCAGATCTTCCTTGTGATACACGAAGCGGAACTTATGGAGAAATTGGGTAAGTGGTTTTTGATCTCGATACTTGCTTAGCCAAAATAAATTTGTACAAAAAGTTATTACACAAGCCGAACTATCTATACTAATATATACATCTGAAGAGTTTGTTTGAACGCGCTAATCTCAGGAACTTCTGGTTCGAATTTAAAAAAAAATGTCTTAGCATTTATCGAGGAAGACTATAGGATATAAAACATCGCGCTGTGATCAATTGGAGCGAAGAAGCTGCAGAAAATGTAGAAAAAACGGGTATAATAATTCATCTCACTGTTCTACATGCGGATGAAGTCGCAGGTATAGCTTGTATACTATAAAGAAGTTTCGAGAAAACATAGAAACTGGTTGTACAAAATTACATAGGGCGGATGAAAAAGATTTTCGATGTAACATTGGCCTCTGAAATAAAACATTTTCTGAAACATGTTGAGACGTGGTCACAAACCACTACCAACCACCGACCACGTGTTTCGGTTCCAGTCTGTGGATTTCCGAATATCCAAAACCAAGATCGATCGACAGCGTAGTGAACTCCATGCATGCAGATCTTCTATCACAAGTAAAGCTATCTTATATATCTTATTATAGTTAAAAAAAATATTATTTACGATTTTACAGGTTTTCAACTACCAACAAACATTCGGGATGTGTCAATGCAGAAGTCACGGCTGTACTATGAGCTAGAAGCGTTGGAGGTTATAATTTCGAAGTACACAGCCAGTACAAAATCACTCAGCCCATCTGAAACTCACCTCATGAAGCGTCACTTGTTGGACATGGAGAGACACATTCTACCTGGACTTACAAGGATTACTTGGACAGCGCTAGGCATTAATGATTATATTAAGGATATAACAAAAGGTTTTTTTGAGATCTTAACCATACTTTAGATATAGAACCATAAGTAGGCATAATTTCGAATTTAGGAAATTGGAAATTGATAAGTTGAAGTATTGTATGTAATTACGCGAGTAGGTTTAACACCGCATTTAACGGTTTAATACGCGAAGTATATTAGTTAGCTTATAATCAATTTATTTTTACTACGGCCCGACATTAACGCGTGTACATAAACAAAGTTAACTTATTTACAACCCACTTAACTACGGCCCGACGTTAAAATAAGTTGTATTAACTAATAAATTTCGCGTTTTAACCGTTACGTGTTTTATTGAAATAAAACCTTGAAAAGACAGTAATTTAATCTTCTTATTGTGCTTCATTATAAACTTCTTAATTTTCGTTTAAAATATGCATCTCTCAAATGATTTTTAAACGCTTTTATTTAGCTCGACCCGTACAGAATTTATGTATTTGTGTCAAAATTATAAATTGAAATTTTGAGCACTTTCCCGTTGTCAGATTGATCTGAAATTTGGTACACACATTTAATTAAGATGACAATATAATATAATAAAATCTATAACATAAATCCAAGATGGCCGCCGATACAAAATGGCGGTTTACGTATTTTTCCTTAACCCCCTCAATATGGGTATCAAATGAAAGGGCTACTACTAGTAAAACACGATCATTATGTCAAAATTTTTCGTACTTTTCGATGCACAAAAAATAAAACCGTTTAACTTAAAAGCTTTTTTACCGATATTTATTCATCAATCTTCTATTGAGAAACTAATATAATGAATACAGTAATGTATGTAACTTATTGTTTTTACTATTGCTTAGATTTTCTCCCTTTTAAAGTCTGTTCGCAATAACGTATAGTAACAATAATTAAAGTAAGAAAGTAAACATACGTTTTTATAACAGGTCAAAACTCATTGCAAGCAGTTTATCAGCAATTAAAAATGGTGGAGAAGGAGATTCAATTCCTTTTAGACCAATTGCAACAATTCAATTTGTTTCCGTTCGTGAAGCCCAAGGACTACATTGATCCTGAAACCAACGAACCTGACGACTCTTGGCTTTTCCCATGCAAGGTGGTGTACTGATACTATATTTACCCTTAAAACATTTTATACTTTCTTGGATTTAAATAAAACACTTTTAATGTTTCAAATGGGCTGTGGTTTAATTCGTAAATATGTTTAACTAATAAATCACGGGTTTTAAACCGTTAAGTGTTTTATTTAAATGTGTTCTCTTTACCTAAATAAAAACATATACCGCATAAAAACCGTCTTTATTAGATTATTTGTAGGTGTTGAAGAAACATTTTTACTGCTAGCAGAAAGACACACTTAAACGTTTTTGACGGTTTAAAACGCGCAATGTATTGATCAACTAAGGCTGCCGCAGAGCATTCGAAACGTCGGCACGTAGTTAAGATAATTTGTAAATAAGTTTAACTAATACATTTTGCGTTTTGAACCGTTAAAAAGTATTAAATTTAAGCGTTTTTCTTATTGTGTATTACTTCAATATTTCCAATAGGTTTTAAACCGATCAAAGTTTTTTATTTTAAAGTGTAATACTTCGCACAGTATTTGAAAACACACTTGTTAATTACAGACGTATTTCGTCGAAGTAGAAAATGAGAGACTGGAGAGGGTAGCGGTGTTATCCCGGATATATGAACGCATCGGGCCGATTCTCATGAAGTTGGAGTATTTGATCCTAGGATCCAGCACGGGACGATCTGAAGTCATGATTGCATACTACAACTATTGGGAGAAGAAAATATTCAAGTGTATTGTAGCGTAAGTCTGTGTAGCCTGAATTTAATAGACCTGAAATCCCGTTTTCTCGTGAGGCATGCGGCGAATAATTTTTACGTATACATATATGTATGTTTATTTACGAAACAATTTTTCTCCGGAATGGGAACCGATGATCTCTCGTGCGTAAAGTAATGACAGGCAACGTGTTATCATTGAAATACGGCGTCAGTCAATTAAATATGTGATAGACTTTATTATTATACTTAGGGCAAGGTTTGTCTTTGTCGTTTTGAGACTTGGTAATCCTACCTCTTGAAATTTGTAATTCAGGGCGCAGGCAATTAAAAAGCTAATTGAAACGGACACAGAAATGTGTTCGACCCATGACTCACGAGGGAAACGGAATTTCAAACACATTGTAATCTTTATTTTTTGCTTGCAGCCTTACGCTAGAAAACTTAGAAGATTTTCAAAAGTCACTAAGCGACAAGATGCCCTTGTTTCAAGTTGACGCAGTCTTGGTTCCACCAGACATTACCATGCGGCCGACGGCGTCTGAAGTTTTTAACATTGTTGGATATAATATTAAGCATTTTCTTAACAGGTATACTACCCTATTCTAATATTATTGTATTTAATAAAGAGTAACTATTAAAAAAAAGGTGATATAAGGATTTCGCGGCCATTTGCAAAGCTTATATCGAGCTGTTCAGTCGTCGGTTGTTCGTGACAATGAGATGACATCAACAAATGTTGCAAGTTCTTCGAATTGACAAAAATACCCGTTTAGTTCAGAAGCCAGAAACAAAATCTCAATAACGAGACCTCAAAATCCCATAAATGCTTTTTTTCTTCTGAGGTAGCTAAAAAAATAAGGGATAAATAAATTAACAAACTAAGTTGAGCGTTGTGCGTTTAAGAGGAGCGAAGAAACGGTCAAAAATATGAGAGAAACTTATTAATTTTTGGGGGCTACTGTTGCGTGCGCTGCGTAAACTGTTCCTAAAACCAAAAAACATGTATAAAAGAATGATTACTGATTTTTTCATTTAATTTTTAAAGATAAACTTGCAAGAACGCGGCTGACGTCGTTTGTAGCACTAGTATCAAATACTACTTTGACATTAGAGACACCCTTCATTTTCAGTTTCCCCATAATCGTGGTCAAACCTCCTACGGTATATCTCACTAACGTTTCCATTTATGTATTATGTTACGTGTACGATTTTTTATTCAGGCTTACTGCTTTTCCGCGTTGGATGAAGAAAACTTGCCTACCGTGTCCACCGCAGCGCCTGGCCGAAGCGACAGGCAACGAGTTTTACGTGTTCTCATATTTTGAAGATGTACTTCGGGTCGTCTCAATCAACGATATAACGCTGCTCATCCAAGACACTGTCTACCGGCTCACACATGACATCAACACCTACATTCAAAAGTAAATACATAATATTGTAAACGACAATTTGTATCCATCCTGGATTCACTTACATCCAAATATCCCAGCTATATAAATAACCAAACAAGATTCGTTGAATACTCTCTATAGTATACGCGAGTGGTACACATTTAAGTAAAACACTTTAACGGTTTAAAACGCGATATATTAGTTAAACTTATTCGAAAAATTATTTTTAATCGTGTTTTGGTTATCAGTGTGTGCATTTCCGAATATCCAAAGCCAAAATAGGTCGATAGTGCATCTGTGTAGATGTTATATGGCTGGGGTTTTCATCTACAATGAAAAAATACCTGTTTCAGTTATTTCATGTGCATCTCTTTATTTATTAATATCGATAAAAGATGGCGCTTAATATAAGAGTCACATTAAATACTTTGTTTTGCTTTTAAGTAGTTATATAGCGGCGTATGCTAAAATTTTAAGGAAAATAAGGTTGTAAGTGAATTCTTTGTAAAAGGGTTCCGTTTTACCTTTGAGTACGGAATCCGTAAGGTTTAAAACCGTTCTTACAACCCACTTATAAGTGTTCAAATAAAAATAAAATAGTAAGTGCTAAGTTTTATTTCACATATATATGTAATATTAATCAATGCAGGTGGCAAAAATACCAACACTTGTGGTCCTTCGACAAACACCTGTCCTGCGAGAAATACATTCAGAAACACGAACAGATACACAAATACGACGAAAAGTTCTTCTTCTTCGAGGACATTATCGCTGATCTGGACAAACATGCAAAATTCGTCGACGTGGGAGCGATACGAGTGAATTTGAGACCGATTATAAAACAGGTGCAGGATCATGCGCAGGATTGGAAAAACATATTGGGCCAGTGTATCGCTACTAAAACTAGGATGAATATGTACGATTTGAAGAACCAGATTGAAGTAAGTCGGATATTAGTAATGAAAATATACATAGGCGGAACTCGAACCCATGACCTTGAACATTTACAGGCGAATAGTACACATTTAAATAAAACACTTAACGCGAAATGTGTTCGTCAACTTACCTATTTACAATTTATTTTAACTACCGCCTGACGTTTCGCATGCTTTGCAGCAGTCATGGTCAAGGGGGGACGTGACCACGTCTGCTCCTATTAAAGTGATATAAACCCTTGTTATATTAAAACTGCAATTGCAATATATGCAATTTTTAGCAATAGAGTTCGTAGTATCCTCCTCAAGCAAGCATGGTTTTCACTTGATGGTAGATTCTCTACCCCAGCTATATAATTATATTATTCTTATTTATATATTAGGCCTATTTTAGGCTTTGAATATTCGTATTAGGAATATCAAAACAGCATCGAGTCCTTGGTGTTGTTTTGAAAAAGTTCGCGTTCTTGAAATAGAATCTGTGGACGGTGGTTCGTGACGCGGACGGAATTTCAAAATTCCTACCATCCCATTTAATTTCCAGTCGAAGTCCATTTTAGAAAAGAAATTGATTAGAAACATGTTGATTCGGTGGGTGGTACACACGCTATGATTAAATAATTATTCATATTATTGATATTTCTAGGCTCTCCGTACAACAATAAACATGAACATCAAAGGCCTGGACGATTTCAAACTTGTTATGGCAGCTATAGCTCAAGTGCAGCAGTTTACAGTCACGGCTGAAGTAAAATACAGAGGCATGCAAGGAATATTCAACATGCTTAGACAACACAATATTGATGTTAGTTCCTTAAATTTATAAACAATAGTTGTGCCAGTGACTTTGTCGGCGTAGAATAGTTAATTTGGGCATCAAAATTAGTTTTTGCAAACCTCCCCTTATTAATTATAGCTTTTAGCCAAGACGTCGTCCGTTATCGTCCTTGTAAGTTAATATTACAAGATAGGTACATATTGTTGCAGAGATCATTTAGATAATTTAAAGAGCAATTATTCTTTGTATACATACTAAGTACATTACGTAACCATAAGTTACATTTAACTCCAGGTGTCCGATGAAGATCTGGAATTTGCAAAGAACTTGCAAACATCCTGGGGAACGCTGTATCAAACTTCACTTTTCCGAGGCAACACGTTAGAGCAAACGAAAGAAAAGTTCTCTAAGCTCAATGTTGTGGAAATATCTAATTTCTTGAAGGAGCTGGACGATTTTGTTGAAAAGTTTGATAACGAGGGGCCGTCTACCGTTGGGGACGATCTGGATCGTGGATTAGTATTAATGGAGGTAATTATAAAGTTAAGAACGAGAGATAGCAATAAATTCTTTCGATCGTAGGGCATATAAACCTGATCACCTACTCGCCTATGAATAAAATCGATAAGTGAAACGGACACAGATAAGTGTTCGTCCAATGCCCCATCGGGAAAAACAGGACGACTGCCATATTATTATTAAGAAAAAAAACACTTAACAGTTGAAAAAACTAAACATATTAGTTAATTTAATTACGGCCCGTGACCACGGCTGCTGCAACATATCCGAAACGACGTGCCGTAGTTAAAATGAATTATGTAATAAGTATCGCGGTTTAAACCGTTAAGTGTTTTCTCTCGTAAAGTACAGACGATACCTAATTGATTAATTAATTTCTAAAAGTATCTATATGAATTATAAATTTAAAACATTTACGACACAGGCAGGACTTAAATCAGCAACCACAGCGATCCGTGCTTACACCTTTTCTTACACGCCATCGTCGATTTTTACACTTCTCGCGCAATTTACATTTATTTGTTTCATTAATTTCCTTTAGGAATACACAAAGTACTTCGACGAGCTGGAGTCTCGTAAAAAAGTACTGCAAGCTGCAGAACAATTGTTTGATAATCCTCTTGCCGATTTTTCCAATTTCAACCGCGCCAAAGCTGATTTCCAAGCGATGGACCAAGTGTACAAGATTTATAAAGCGCAGAAGAATGCCAGGGAGCTATGGGCGAAGACTCTTTGGGTTAATTTAAATCCCCAAGCTTTGGTGGATGGTATTGAGCAGTTCTTCAAAGAGTACAGGTAAAAGTAGATAAACGTTAATATTTTTGTTGTTAGGTGGTTCAAATGGGGAGGGTCAGCGTTTTATAACAATATTTAAATACATAAAAAATCTATACAATTTAAAATTGTTTAGATTTTTTTACCTTCCATGTTATATTTGTCAAGCTGACATTTTGTTCGTTTGTTTGAAAACGTTAATCAGAGGTACCTACTCCTGCTTCGAATTATACAATTCTTTGAGTGCTTAATCGCATGCGCTGCGAAATTGGTTCAAGAAACCAAAAATATTTGTATGAAAGAATGATGTTTTAAATGATCTAAAAATATTTCCACAACGATATATGTCTATGTTTTAAGATTAACTTGCAAGAAAAAAAGACCTATCCCGTCTTTCTCAATGGCTATAATTTAAAGAGCTATTTAGTTAAGGAACAAACATAAATTTTGACTCCCAAAGTAACTATTTTGTGCTGACGAGGTCGCTGGTACAACTACAGATATAAAGTCAATATTTGTAAGAGGAATGGGTATTTTTATACCGGCATTTTTACAGAAAATTACCGAAAGCTGTACGGCTCACGAATACCGGTTTAATGTTAGATTTGAAAATGAAACAGTTCAAGGGTGTGGTGCCTCTCATGGTGTCGCTGAAGAATGAAGCTATGCGAGAGAGACATTGGAAGGAATTAATGGCGAAGACAGGTGCGTTGATTAAGTCTTTGAGACTTGACTTCAATTGAAAACATGTATTCCCCCTTCACCCATATCCACACGCAAACACGATAATACAACATAATATATTTTGGGAATCTACACAGGTTGTTAGGATCTCGTTTGAGTGTTATTCGCATTTTTGCCAAGCATCTCTTTACCCTTTCCTAAGTCTTGAATCTGGGTTATTGATTTTTTTAAATAGAGGAAGCCAAAGTACGCCGACCATATAGTATATCGGCAGGACCTATTTGTGCTTTGGATATTTGGAATTCTACTGAAAATGAAACGCGATTAAAATTTACGGGTTTTTCATCTGTGGTTGGTGGATCGTGGGCCCGGACAGAATTTTGATATGCCTTACTTAAGAAATAAGGATAAACTAGCTATCCCCAAATATAGGCTCCATAAAATATCTAATTCATTTCCGGGGAATTGTATTCGTATGTATAATACATTGCCAGTCGAGATTTCAAATTTATCGATATCTAAGAAAGTTACAAAACTTAGATTGTCTCATAAGGCGTATTATTGTCTGAACGATTTCTTTAATGACAAGACCGCCTGGCAGTAATATGGATTGCTCCCTATGTTAATAAATTCACAATGTATTAGTTTATAAGACAAGTTTAAAAAAGCCGGACTGAGTATCTTGGGTGTTCTTCTCAGTTATGTAATTAAGTTGCTCTTTTGAACACTCCGTAGAATCACGACAAACAGACAGACAAACAAAAAAAATTGACGAATCTAAATATTTTTTTTTATTTTAAAGAAAATAAAGTTTATTTTGTTTCATTTTCTTTCCCGTATACCCCGGATATCTACGTGTTTCAGATAAATTATAAATTGGTAAGAAACATGTTAACCCGGTTGGGATTGTGATGATGTTGAAACTCGGTAGGGATTGAACTCACGTTAATTATTAACATATATTGCTACCAACAAGCCTGTCAAATATATTAAATATACCCGTACTTGTATATTAATTAATTGTAGAGTTAGATAGTTACGTCCAGAACCTGTACATGATGGTATGCTCTTGACAGGTCAAACGTTCGACATGTCACCGGAACGGTTTACCCTGGAGAATATGTTCGCCATGGAATTGCATAAATACCAAGATGTTGCTGAGGAAATTGTCAACCACGCTATAAAGGTTCTTGTCTATATTGTTTAAAGGTCTTATCTTATCTTATGATCGGTAGACAATAAGTGGGTTTTCGTAGGGTTTACAATTTAAATAAGTTTTAAAGTGATTGATAAATAAAGCTGGCTTCCCATTTTTAATAATAATAAAAATTCAATATTTCTTTCAAATTGGTGTAATCTCTAAGTGAAAATCGCAATTTTTGTTAAATAGCGCGTGCACAAAAAGCAAATTTTTTGCCTAGACACTAGACGGAAAGATAAAAATAATTTTAGGTTTTCTTTATATGCCACATTATTATTAAATGTTTTATATATGTATAGATTAACATATACTTTATATAGTATAGACTATATATTTGAATTATTTTTAGGAATTGGCGATAGAACGAGGTGTCCGGGATGTACAAGAAACTTGGGCTAATATCGCCTTTACTGTCACGAGGCATTTTAATCGTGGTGAAGATCGAGGGTACACCCTCAATCCTTGTGATGAAATCAGTGTCAAATTGGACGACGATGCCATGTCGTTGCAGAGTATGGCTGCTTCACAGTAAGTAAATTGAGGCTGCTGAAGCCAAAGTGGTCTAATGGCAAAAAATTATGATGAAGAGGAAAATAAAAATGTGCAATTAACTTAGGCAAAAATGAATTTGTACATTTATTTGTGTAACAAATAGTGTTAATAATTTTCGGGACCTGTGCTCTTGTAGATTAACATTTTTAAACAATGAAAATTTAATTAAGTCAAGTGATAAAATTGCAGTTAGGCTACTCTGGCTCTTGCGCCCTCAATTGTAGTTCAAATGTTATGATTTCAAAGTTAATTCCAAAAATCCAATGACTAAGTTGGCTAGAAGCTGGAATTTGCGTACAAGCTATCAAAGTAGCATTGTATGATTATCTAGGGATCGTAGACTCGAACGCCATGGAGGCCAACTAATTTCTGAATAAATTTTAATTATTCGGAAACAGGTTAGGCGTCATTTGAGTTTGTTGGTGGTAAGAATATTGAAATTCCGTCTGGATCACGAACCACCGACAAAAAATTAAAAAGCTGTTAAGTTTAATCGCGTATCAGTTTCAGGTCATGAATTTCTGAATATCCTAAGCCAAAATCGGTGGACGGCGTGTTTTTTTTAGATGCCATAGCGGGGTATTTTACCGGCCATCAAAGGAACCACACGCTTATCTGTTTTTATTTAGTTACTAGTGAACCGCCCCGGTTTCGCTCGGGTGCAATGCTAATACTAAATACGCTACAGAAAAACTGTGAACGTTGCATATAAAAACCTTCCTCTTGAATCACTATCGTAGCGTTGCGTAGTTTTAAAGATTTAAGTACTCATAAGGACAGAAAAAGCGACTTTGTTTTATATTATACTATGTAGTGATGTACAATAATTTTCGTCTGCTGGGTCATAATTTATTTTTTACATCTATTTAAATAAAACACTTTAACGGTTTAAAACGCGACATATTAGTTAAACTTATTTGAAAATTATTTTTAACTTCGGCCCGACGTCTCCCCGTGACCACGGCTGCTGCAAAGCATCCGAAACGTCGGGCCGAAGTTAAAAATAATTTTCAAATAAGTTTAACTAATATATCGCGTTTTAAACCGTTAAAGTGTTTTATTTAAATGTGTACTACTCGCGTAAACTATAGACAGTATTTTTACATCTATGTAAAATAATTTTACTAGGTTTATTGGTCCATTCCTGACCGTAGTCCAAACGTGGGAACGTCGTCTCTCGTTAATATCAGAAGTTATAGAGGAGTGGATGGCGACGCAACGCAAGTGGCTCTACTTGGAGGGGATTTTTGTAGGGGGTGATATTCGCACCCAGTTACCCGAGGAGGCCAAAAAATTTGATGATATTGATAAGAATTTTAGAAAGGTAAATTTTAAGTACTGTAAATTACGTTAGTAGCACATATGAAAATAATTAGTTTTATTTATTTATTTATTCTTTATTGCACAAAAAATAAAAATATTACAAATTAAAATTTAATGTTTTTACAACTCGAAATTAGTTACCTTATTTTTATTTAACCTGCTCTAAAACGTCCAAAACGTCGGTTCGTAGTTAAAATATATTATAAATAGATTTAGAATACATTTGGCGTTTTAAACCGTTAATTTTTTATTGTTGTTTAACTTTTTTGCGAGTAATTGGAAATTATCATTACTATAATTTAATATAATTAATCGTTCCGGCCAATAAAAAAATAGTTTAACTGTAGAGTTAAAGATTTTTTGAAATCTAACCTTCATATTACTGCTAGTAACTGTCATTTTCTTCCACAGATAATGTTGGATACCGCAAAGCGATTGAATGTCGTGGACTGTTGTACTGTACCGGGAAGATTGGAAGAATTTGTGAATTTGGGCTTAGGACTACAGAAGTAAGTATGGCGTTAGAGTTTTTGCAGTATTAGGTACGCGTTTTAATTTTTATCAACATTGAAATATGCTTTCAGATGCCAAAAGTCATTGAACGAGTATTTGGACTCGAAACGACGCATTTTCCCACGGTTCTTCTTCATTTCTACTGATGAGCTTTTGTCTATATTGGGCAGTAGTGAGTGTAATTGCGTCCAGGAACACATGATTAAAGTACGGAAGAAAACTGTTAATTAGTTTAATAAGTTTCACACATTGCATTCATCCATTTTTTTGAGATTTTAACGATAATACTGGCTGATGGAATCTGTTTTCTTTTTTATTTCATTGGTTTTTATGTTGTGTGGACACAGTGGAACTAAATACTATAACATACTGTAAATACAAACGTTATATTTATAAAAAATCTATTAGATTAAAAACCAATTTTCGACCATTTGAGCTACCGTGTTACGTCGTCGTATATATATATACGCTAGCTCAATTATTTAGACCAGTAGTATGGAAAGATGTGGATGCAGGTTCAAATTCCGCGCATGACTTTCTTTTCAATTTTAAACTCTTTTAATTTGTATAATGCCATGTGAAAATATTTGTTTTTTTTCAGATGTTTGATAATATAAAAGCCTTGGATTTGTATGTGGATCACACTAATCGTCCAGTTGCTGCTAAAATGATTTCAGCTGAAGGCGAGGTATGTACCCAACTACCAACACCAAAAAACCGTTACGTTACGCGTTACTTCTGGGAGGCATTTTCAAGGTGGAAATTATTATAAATAAAACATTTTAAAAAAATTCGACCACAACGTGTAGGACACGATAGCTCGATTAGTTAGTAGATCAACGGCACGGAACGCTGTTAATGCTGGTTCAAGTCATGCCCGTGTCGTAAGTTATAATTGATTTTTAATTAACTGATGCAGTTCCTTAAACAATTCTATATACTTAGTTTTTATTAATGAAATATATACTGAAATATATATATATTTTTTTTTTGTAGATTATGGACTTTCGCAACGTAGTGTACACCGAAGGGAGAGTAGAAGATTGGATGAATTTAGTTCTTAAAGAAATGCGAAACACGAATAAGTTTATTACAAAAAAAGCTGTTTTTTACTATGGAAAGAATTGGAGAGTGCAACGGTACATTTCTCTTACCTTCTTCTTTTATTACCTTCCACTGTGTGTGAAAAAAGGGCAGCCGATGGTATCGTAGAAATGTAAATTTTTCTCTAATGAAATTCAACAAAATTGAGAATTGTAGCTTATATTTAATGAATAAAAGTTATTTGTATAAATCAGCTTAAACTTTAGTGAAAATCTCACTACTTTTGGGGATAAATTATGATATCTTATCTGTCTGTCTCTTAAAAACCCAATATACAAACTTTTTTATATGTTAACGTCTATTGATTCGCAGACTAATATGGCTTATGCGAATAGGGCAAATTTAAATAACACCCTTTATTCTTTAACCCACACTTTGTTTCAATAAAATTAAATATAAAAACTATTAATTACTTTGAAAAGTTTGAACCAAATTCTTATTTCATAGAACGGATTGGATTATGGAATACATAGGAATGGTATGCTTAGCAGCGAACGGCATTTGGTGGACAGCGGAAACGGAGGAAACGTTCTACCGCATTCGAAAGGGCAACAAACGAGCTATGAAAGAACATTTAGCACAACAAAATGAACAGCTAGATGGCCTAGTAGTTAAAGTGAGACAAGGTAATCAACCCTTGCTGGCTGCTTGCTTGCTGTCGTTGAAAAATATTGTCAAAGACGGGATTGGAACCCACGTACAATCTGTGCGAGTATCTCTTCTACCTGTGTCACAGTCTTATGAATATTTTTATTATTTATATAAGCTCTCATACATATATTACCATAAGAAAATGATCAATATTTAAGCAAAAATTAGGCAGTTAAAAAATGTGTAACAATAATATTTTAAGGACTCGATAGCTCAATTGGTTAGAGTACGCTGACTATGCCGGTTCAAGTCCTGCCCGAGTCAAAGATTTTTTTCAATTTATTTTCTATTTTTAAATGATTCATGTGTTCAGTCGGTATTATATTAGTTTTTTTGTACTTTGTAGCTTACAAGTACGTACACATTTAAACAAAACACTTAACTATTTAAAACGTGAAATGTACTTGTAAACTTATTAATTTTGACAGTTATATTACTTAAGATGCTTAGGAGCAGCCGTGGCCATAGGAGTCCCCCTAGTAAATCAGTTAACTAATTAATTTCTAGTTTTAAACTGTAACAAGTGTTTAATGTAAATAGTCCTTTCGTTAAAACATTATTTAAAACTACGTTTTAATAAATCGTATTTATGAGATCATGATAAATATATGTTTTGTTTATAATTGCAGATCTAACTTCGAACGACCGTCTCAAGTTCCGTACTATAACCACTATTGATGTGCATGCAAGAGACATTATTGAAGGATTCGTAAGAGACAACATTACAGAAGCAGCGGAGTTCGAATGGGAGAGTCAGCTTCGTTTTTACTGGCTAAAGAAAGACGACAATCTATGGATTAAACAATGCACTGGTAATCAGCATTGATTTATCTTGTAACAAATATGTCCAAACCGGCCGAAAAATCACCTTCTTCCTAATAATCCATTCTCGGCAATCTTCATCCTTGGCTGTGTGGTATACACAGAAGGATGATGGTAGTATTCTAAACAAACGCTAGGTGTGTGTCGAAACATTAAAACACATATCGGACCTGCATTCCGATTCTACTAATTTAATGACGTTTCAATCAAGTTGCAGTCACGCTGCGATTAGGCTTCGATTCAGCGCCGATGGTATTCTCTTAATTTTCGCCAGCGAATTGTCAAATACACGCTGGCGTCATGTAAACTTGACGCGAACGTGTTTGACTTTAGACGAGAATACCAAAACCATTAAACGTCACTGCATCTGCACTGCTGCTTAACTTATATTAATACGAGAATCGGCCTGCTGGTCGAAAACAAGATGCTAATAATAAGCTGTACATTAAAAATATAGTTTGTGCAAACCTCGTGTTCAACTCTATAAATTTAGACTGTTACCCGGGACGTCGTCAAAACAGGAATCATTATTTTCTACATATTTTGTGGGTATCGTGAACTGTTTTCGCAGCGTACGCAACGGAAATCCGATGAACGGATGAATGATTTTTCCACATTTCCTGTTGTTTCTACTCTCCTATTAGTCGCAGCGCGATGTTTTATAGCCTATAGCTTCCATCGATAAATGGTCAATGGTCAACATTATCTTATTCGAACCAATAGCCTCGAGGTTAGCGCGTTCAAACAAACGAACAAACTCTTCAGCTTTATACATTAGTATAGATTCTGGACAGAGATTCAGGATAAAGACCAATAAACCAAAACCTTCTACGGTGACTTGGTAAAATTATGACTATGCTATTAATTTCAGGTACCTTCGAATACGGCTACGAATATATGGGTTTAAATGGACGTTTGGTGATAACACCACTAACAGATCGTATATATCTTACAATTACTCAAGCCCTGACTATGCAACTTGGTGGTGCACCAGCAGGTATTCTTATATACGTCACTGGTACCTTGGAGAGGGTCGTTTTGAAACCCAGTGTTCACTCGATGGAAGTTGAATCACCCAGATTGTATAACATCTTACAAAGAGCTCGACTTCTTTTGGCTTTGGATATTCGGAAACCTACAGGCTGAATTCAAAGCGCTAGTAAATACCAAGCTTTTCATCTGTTGGTGGGGGTTGGGCGGAATTTTGATATACCCATTATGTTTATAATATTCAAATGTTCTTAACGAAATCCAACATGACTCGTAACAAATATTTAAGAAAACTGACGTTAGTGACGGGGTTGGTAGTCTTAGGTGATGAATACATTATTTTTTTATTTATAATTCCTAAATAAAAAAAACTGCTCTAGGTCCTGCTGGTACTGGGAAAACGGAAACCACCAAGGACTTAGCGAAAGCTCTTGGCCTCCTTTGCGTGGTGACGAATTGTGGCGAGGGCATGGATTTCAGAGCCGTTGGGCAGATCCTCGCTGGCCTCTGTCAGTGTGGAGCTTGGGGATGCTTTGATGAGTTCAATCGTATCGACATATCTGTGCTTTCGGTCATATCTACGCAGCTGCAGTGCATAAGAAGTGCTCTGCTGATGAAACTGAAGAGATTCACGGTTGGTACTTGTAATTGTAACTCTTGATCGTCTTCGTGGCTCATTGCATGAGAAAAGTCGTGGGTTCAAAGGCTGGAAAACTAAATTAATAGTTCGTTTTATCAGGAAACATAAAGTACCGCCTGTTCGTAAAGTTAACATTAAATTGACGCAAACGTCAATGAATGTATAGAGTATTTTTCCTAACTTGGCAACAGACCACAACAGATATGGCCGATTTCTAATCATAGCGATTTAGTCATGCCCTTTTATAAAGTGTAGTCTTTGCCACAAATGACACGAGCTTAAAGATATATTCATTATGGACTAATTCATTCAGATTAAATTTTACGATTTCTATATTGAGGTTTTTAGCAAAACTGAATTTAAGGTAGTTCAATACTTCAATATATTATCCAGTGTCTCAAAATATTTTCAGTGTAAATCAATGAAAACCATCAGAAAATCTTAATTTTATGAAAATTGTGAGTTTGTTTACCAATAATGCCAAGTAAGAAAAAATACACTATAGTAGGGAGTGACTTTAAATATACAAATTGTTCTACAACATATTTAAACTTTTTTTAACAGTTTGAAGGACAAGAGATTGACATGGACAGCAAAGTGGGCATCTTCATCACTATGAACCCTGGTTACGCAGGTAGAACTGAACTACCCGAGTCTGTAAAAGCCCTCTTTAGACCAGTTGTTTGCATCCTGCCTGATCTGGAAATGATCTGTCAAATATCACTCTTTTCCGATGGATTTCTCACTGCTAAGGTATTTTTTACCATCATTCATTATTTAAAATAAAACGCAAAATATATTACTTTATTTCTTACTATTAAATTTAGTGCATTAGAAAATAATCTACTAACTTTTTATCTATACTAATATTATAAAGCTGAAGAGTTTGTTTGTTAGTTTTTGAACGCGTAATCTCCGAGGCTACTAGGTTGAATTGAAAATTTGTTTTTTTAGAGGAAGTTTAAGGCATACAACATTAGGAGCTGCAACCAATAGAAGCGGGGATCCATCGTCGCCGTATACAGGACCGGACACAAACACTCAACGCTGTCATCGGCATATTTCGTTTTACATAAGACAATACTATAGTGATCAAATAAAATTACAGGTATTGGCAAAGAAGATGACAGTGTTATACAAAGTGGCGCGCGAGCAGCTGTCGAAGCAGAGTCACTACGACTGGGGACTGAGGGCACTCACCGCTGTGCTGCGGATGGCCGGGAAACTCAGGAGAGACTCGCCCGGGCTGAGTGAAATTGTGGTGCTCATGAGGGCATTGAGGTAAACATCGCTGACTTAAGATCCACTGAGGTAACTTTGTAAAGCTCTAAATAGTATTCTAGCAGTTTATACCGTTATGTTACCATACCTTGGCTTTGTACCTTTGTGTTACCATATAAATTGCCGAGCTACTAAGATACGCGAATAGTTATTTTGGGCGTCATATCATTTGATTGCGATCAACCTCCTTTTTAAATTATAGCTGCCCGTGTCCCGTCAAGAACGACGGGAATTAATGATAAAAGATAGATATCGTCGAAAACATTTTTTAGACCATTTAACACAGAAATAGTTGATTTATACCTATTGAATATATAAATATGAAAAAAGGCAAGGTAATTCGGAGGGGTTGGCATTGACTTTTGACACATCGTGTATAATAAACCGTAAAAGTCATGTTTTTTTTATATTATTGTTTTTATCTAAACGCTAAATTACAACAATAATAACATAAGCTCTTTGCTATAGGGACATGAATCACCCAAAGTTCGTTTTTGAAGATGTACCGCTTTTCCTGGGCTTGATAAAAGACTTGTTCCCCGGATTGGAGTGTCCTCGCGTTGGTTATCCAGAATTCAATGCTGCGGTCATTGAGGTTTTAGAACACGACGGATACATTGTTCTAGCTCATCAGGTAAATTCATAATTTTTCAGCAACATATGTCATGATATTAAATTTCATCTATTTGAACTACACGAAAATGCGTCCCAACTATCGTAGATTATATATTATGTTTTTTTTTTATACCCATTGTAATGAATGAATCGTACACATCTATGTTAAACGCTTTTAACGGTTTAAGACGCGAAATATATTTATTATTTTTATTTATTTTAACACTGTCTCAGGGACCGCGGCTGCTAGAGAGCATCCGAAACGGCAGGCCGTACTTACAGTTAGTAAATTAAACATAAATTGACCAATATATTTCGTGTTTATAAACTTTAAAAGTGTTTTATTTAGGTTTTTGTTTTGTCTTTGACGACCGTCTCTGCTAAACTGAATGTGTTGCATAGCATTGCGTTAAACGCAAGAAGTATCGAGTTCGAATCCCGGGGAAACACTAGATTGTTGATGAACTAGCGGGCGAATGTGTTAGCCCGCCGGGGGAAACAGGATTTCACTTTTATGTTTTTGCAGGTGGATAAAATCGTACAAATGTATGAAACTATGATGACGAGACATTGCACAATGTTGGTTGGCCCCACTGGCGGCGGAAAAACTGTTATACTGCAGTGTCTCGTAAAGGCTCAGACAAACTTGGGCCTGCCGACCAAACTTCAAATTCTTAACCCTAAGGTATAGTTGAGGTTCCTAGAGGCAGAGTGGTTTAATAACAAAAAAACATTATTTTCAGAATGGAGGAAAATAAAAACGCGGAATTAACTTAGGCCGAAAAGAATTTGTTCTATTATTAGTGTAAAAATTATATTTACAATTTGTATCTTGTGTTAGGCCGGATTACACTATCTCCATAGCCTTTTATAACATTACCACTGACAGTAGACTTAAGTTGGAGTTGGTCACAAAAGCTTTGTTCCATTGTGTTACAAGAACTGCCAAAATCAACAAAAGCTTTAGCCGGAGAATTATTTACCAGAACCGTTTTGAAATATTTCGTGTCTGAGGTATTGCAACTCTTAGTCTGAATTTTCTTAATATGTTTGTCCCGTTGTGCATTCTTCTTCCTGCACTCTTCTACAGAATGTCCTTTTAGGTTACAGGATGAACATTGTTTACTTTGATTTATCTTCTTAAAACAGCTCTCTTCTAAATGTCCAGTCCGGTGACAGAAGTTGCACTTCCGGTAATCACTCTTCTTCAGTTTTATTTTTCCACACAATTTAGCCTTATGTAACACTTGATTACCTTGTTTAAGTTATTATTTTGAGCATTAAACAAACCCGAGTCTTTATGTTCAACACATTCCGATGATGTTTTCATACAGGCCAGGTACTTTAACAAAGAATTAGTATCATGACAACCAGCCGACAACGCTCCAACTTCTAACAATTTGTCTCCAAGTGTACCCACAATTGCTTGAGCTATCACATCATCACTCATATTACATGACATGCCAATACCCAGCTTATCATAGTAAAATTTTATTGGGTCTTCATCTTTTGTCTTGATACGGTTAACAAGTTCCCTAATCTGTGACAACTTATTCTTTGTGAATGGAAATGCTGTAATTAATTTTATTTTCCATTCATCCCAGCTAATATCATAGCAAGTTTGGCGTTCATACCAGCTTTTAGCATAGCCACCCAACTTAGAAGTGCAGTTGCAAATCAAAGTGCGTTCGTCCCAGCCATGCATATTAGCAACACCTTCTAAGTTACGGAGCCAATGTTCTACTGAGACAGATGATTTTTGAGGATTAAACTCTGGTATAAAATCATTCCGCCCCACATAACGAACCACTGACTCTACTCTTGGTGTGGTGTCATCATTATTGTAATTTTTCTGTTGTAATTCTTTAATCAACCCTTCTAATGCTTCGATTCTCTTATTCTTCCTTTTAAGTTCTTTTTTTTGTCGTTTACTTTTAGATTGTCTATCAGAATTACTTGACCCTGACGAAGAAGCACTAGTAGACCTATTTCTCTTCTGGTGCCGACCCATGTTAATAATTAAAATAAAGTCACACACAATAAACTTATACTGCTGTCTTTAACACTAATAATTGTCTTTGAATAAAGTAAACTTCTTTAACAAAAGTAATTAAATTCAGTAAAAGTTCAATTATCCAAATAGTCCTTAAATTTAGTTTAAAATTAGCACTTTAACAATTTAGAATAGTTCACTTTGTTTATTTATGGGTTGCTGAGCATTTTAACAGATATTAAAGTATGCTCAAATTATCAGTCTACTTATGTAAATACAAAAGTTCATGGAACAATCTCACCAAATAACCAGGAACATTTCAACACGCAACTGATGCATATTCAAGCACCCTGAAATGCAATCGTCACCATACCAGGATAGGTCACACAGATAAACCAGTTTCTCAACCAGAAAATGTTCACCCAAAACTTCAACAAACTTGTTGTACTGGAGGTCAGTGACCCTTAACGGATTGACAAAATTTGTGCAAAAATCAAGTATTAAGTACCGAACTGCATTAAACTTAGTTACTACAAGCGTTCTTATCACTAATTATGTGTGTCATCACCAAATTATATAATAAAAGCGTCTTTTCGCATCCAAAACCGCCAGTTTTATTTTTTCACCAAACTTTGCACTTTAAAAGTGAAATTATTGTCCAATTCATCAAAGTTCACTCGTGGGCAAGATCACTTATCGCACTTCTGATATTGTTAGGGCGGAAAAACAATGTTAAACTCTTAAATATTAATTTATTATACAAAATTAGGCTTAACCGACAGAATGCGCGCCAACGTTCCTATTTGACAGTTCCTGAGCTAGTGTCGGGACGCGCGCGGTAATCGCGTCGCACTAGTGTTGTGTCGTCCCCGCTAAATCGGAGGATTATTCATATCACTTGTAAATTAACATTTTTAGACTATGCAAATATAAATAACTCATGACATAAAATTGCAATTAGGCTATTCTGCCTATAACGGCCTCAATTTATAGACCTATTTTTGAACTATAAATTCAATTTAAATTGTTAAAGTTAACGCATTCTTTGTCTTCTTCAAGGCCTGTTCGGTAATCGAATTGTATGGAATTCTGGACCCTGTTACGCGAGATTGGACCGATGGTCTATACTCAAAAATATTCCGAGAGATGAATAGGTAAGGATGACAATTTATCTCCCCAAAAAACATGCATCTAGTGACTTTCTTGTAGAAAGAATTAAATTTATCATTATAAACAAAGGACAATAAATACTCAGTTTCAGTCGAGCAGGACACAGAAGTCTGTTCACTTACCTCATGCTCAGTATTACATACTGAAACGAATTTATGCCTATACTTGGGAAATTCAATTTTAAAATTGAAAATATTTACAGGCCAGCCGAAAAAGATGAACGACGCTATTCGTTGTTTGACGGTGATGTAGACGCCCTTTGGATTGAAAATATGAATTCCGTCATGGACGACAATAAGCTTCTTACGCTGGCTAACGGTGAGAGAATAAGGCTCGCGCCGTACTGTGCGTTGCTGTTTGAAGTGGGGGATTTGAACTACGCTTCGCCCGCCACTGTGTCTCGTGCTGGCATGGTTTTTGTGGACCCGAAAAATCTTGGATACCAACCTTATTGGGATAGGTAAAAAGTTTAATATTTTTAACATGTGCATATGAAGGCACTATATTTTAATTTAAAGATTGAAAAAAAAAATCGACTCGGGCAGGACTTGAACCGGCGTCGTCAGCGTTGCGGACATTTTCGATTTTTAAATTAAAAACTTTTTCCCAAACATGCTTACGAAATTTTATCACGATTGTAACAACCAACAACAACAAACAAGCAAAGCACATTCAAAAGGCAACTTTTTACTAAGTTGTGTCACAGTAATTAACATTAGGTTTACATAATTATTTAAGTTTTTTTTTCTTACCATGCCATTTTGTACTCTTTTAGATTTTTTTTTCTCTTTTTAATTATTATATTTCTTTAAATTAATTATCACTTATTCATAGATAGGAAGATTCATAGTTGTATAATATATATTTGTACTGTCATAGTTACTTAAGTCTGAAATAGTTAATTACGCATAATTTTTGGTTATATATGAACTTAATGTAATGTTGTACGAATTTTAATAAATAAATAAATAAATAAACCTTCTTTGAAATATAGAAGAATACAGGCACACCGATCTTTCCTAATTGAATTGTTCTGTATTTTTCCCTTACATTTTTTTTTATTGTATTTTATAAATTTAATGTTAAAAGTAATGACAAATTAGATGATTATTTTCAGCATAGCTATCGCCAACGTCCATACCACGTTGAATACACCGGTTCTCGTCCGATCACCGAAGTTAAGCAACGTCGGGCGCGGTCAGTACTTGGATGGGTGACCGCCTGGGAACACCGCGTGATGTTGGCTTTTTGCTAAATTAACTTTTTTTACAATGAAAAGCAATGTCCACATACTTAACACTGCTTTTCGAGATAATAACGATATATTTCTTGCGCCGCAGATAAATACGTATTTTGGGCATTTGTTTTTCAGATATGAAGTAATAAACTTGAGGAACGAATCAACAGTTTTGAACTACCTACTTTTTTAAACAGAATATTTTTTTATTACATACTTAGGAATTCAGGATTACAATTATTTAACACAATTTTAACGAACGGCACATGATAGTAGAAATTAAGCACAACCGCTATGGTACTTCGAAAAGTCGGGTTGAGATGTGGGACTTTGCTTTTCATTGTAAAAAAGTTAATGTAGCAAAAAGCCAACATCACGCGGTGTTCCCAGGCGGTCACCCATCCAAGTACTGACCGCGCCCGACGTTGCTTAACTTCGGTGATCGGACGAGAACCGGTGTATTCAACGTGGTATGGACGTTGGCGACAAATTTTCTGAAATAGAACATCATACTAAACAAAACAATACAATGTATATTCTTTACATAAATACGTCTTACATGTCTAGTTACTACGACCCTATCGAAAATTGAAATTGTGTACTAATATTAAAGAAGCAAATCACAAATTAATGCGTCATACAAAGCTATCTATATAGTATATGATGAGAAAAACACAACACAATATGATCAATTTGGAAATAAGTGTTCTACTATTTAGATTCCGATAGGATGTTAGATAGAATTTATGAATTAAATAATATAATCAACAAATGCATATCATTGTCTTTCGAAGAATTTGCTTCGAGCAATTGAGGAGTCAACATCTCCTGATGATGCCGTCCACACGTGATGGCGAAACGTCGAGAACCTCTTCTCGCTCACATCGGCCGAACAGCCCGAAAGACAATGATATGCTGAACGATGGCCGTGAAAGCCTTACACAATTTAGACAACAAATGTTCATGCTTTACACAATAGAAAAATGCAGAACGTTTTTATATTGTTTTACTATATTATTTAAACTTTTTAAATATTTATCTAATGTGTCAATGTCTAAGACAATGTCTAATCTATATTTTCTTTTACAGATGGCTTCGTGGTAGAAACAATGAAGAAGAACGCGAACAAATGGCCGGTCTCTTCGACCATTATGTACCAGGCGCTATTAATTATATAGTTTTTGGTCTGTTTGGTCTGCAGCAGCAAACGCCGTTAAAGACAATAGTGCCCCAGACTCCACTGAATTTGGTAAATTATTAAACTAAAAGCCATCGTTACAACTTTACAAAAGCGTCGAAACGACGCATCTACCGTACATAAGGACCCTTCATAGAACGCGCTCCCGATGACAACAGAAAGTTTATTCGCCTAAAATATCAAAAAACAAAAAAAACGGAACTAGGATAGCAGAAAAAAAAACTATACACAATTTCTTGTCAATCTCAATATTTATCAACTAGCACTGAGAGAAAATTTCTTCAAATATGTTTTTTTTTACATTTAGTTCACAAAAACAAAAAAAAAGAAATAAACAATAAATATATTCGTATAGATTTAATAATTATAAAAAATATTACAGGTCATGCAACTCTGCTATATGATAAGTGGGCTGTTGCCAAACCGAGAGGATAGCAACGAAGAGATAGACAGAACGGTTGTTGAGTGCGTCTTTATGGTCGTGAGTATAAAGCTCAAAAAAATAAGGTATATTGGTGAGGGTATTTTAGCCAGTCACCCATCCCAGTACTATCCGCAATCAACGCTGCTTTACTTTGGTTATTTGGAAACAATCTTTGTGAAACTTAAACGTCATTCCAAACTGAACGAAGATGCAAAATCTATATAATTTTTTTTTATATTTAAGGGGGGGCAGAGAAGCATGCGGTTCATTGATGGGGGGGTGAAATACTCCCGCAATATCGCATCGAAACAAGATGTGCTCTCGACCTATTTTGACTTTGGATATTCGGATCTGTGGCCGGTGGTTCGCGACCCGGACGGAAATTCGATATTCCTTCCCACCATTTAATATCCAAATTTCCAGGCGAAGTACATGTTTCAATAAAATCATAAATTGGAAAATAAGTTACATGTTGGTCTTTGTGGGGATCCCGTCATATTATAGAATTCGAATGATACAGGTTTTAAATGTAATTTTCTTTCAGTCCATGTACAACAGCCTAGGAGCAGCCATTATCGACAACGGTCGATTTGATTTCGACAACTACGTCAAGAAAGCCTGCCCCATGATGCTCGTCGAGGATAGCCCAGAGAAGAAAGCCACGACTAGTAAGTAGAATATACATAAAGATGTTAGACGTTATTTTGATTGATTATTATATTTAATGTTCTCCCCGTGACCACGGCTGCTGCGAAGCATACGAAACGTCGGGCCGAAGTTAAAAATCATTTTCAAATAAGTTTAACTAATATATCGCGTTTTAAACCGTTAAAGTGTTTTAACCATAGATAGTATTTAATATCGTAATGACTTTTTTATTAAAACTGTATAGTGACGTTCTCGTTAGACTAATGATAACAACATATGGCTAAAAATCAGCGGGCCATTGGTTCGACACCTTCGGATCCAATATGTTTTTAATGAATTTATACTTATTCTGAAGTATGAGGACTTCATGTGTTATTCGGTTTCAGTCTGGGGGTTTTCGAAAATCTCAAGCCAAAATACGTTTTTTTTGGGTTGTTCACCTTCTATCAACGGAACTGCATGTTTGTCTGTTATCGTCTATCATAAAGCAAAATGATTTCAGAACATTTTCCAATGGGATTTCCCACGCTGTACGATTACTGTCTCGAGCTGTCTACCATGACGTGGGAGGCGTGGGAGTGGCTAGTCCCACAGTATGAGCACGATCGGGAGATGCGATTCTCGTCTATCCTCGTTCCCACTGTGGACACACTGAGACTCACTTGGCTTATAAAAATCATGGAGAGCGTAAGTGGATGTTTTTAATCTATGCATATGTAATTAACCGTCTCCATGACTCAGTGGTTAGACGCCTAGAATTGCGTTAAGCGCAAGGTCCTGGGTTCCAATACCAGGGATACAATAAATTGTTTTGGTCGGACAGGACGTAAGTGTGATCAACTTCATGCCTCTAAATAAATTGATTAAATGGATGAAAACAAAAGAATTAAATATTGTTAAAACAAAGTACCGGTAAATATATAAGCTGGTACTATGCAAAAGGTCCCGAAAAACCCGTTCACTAAGGCTAAACTGATGGATTTTATCTACTTGCTAATCTGAACTTATGTGCCTCGTTTAAGAGAACGATTCCAAGACCTGACATGATAACGCCTAAGGCCTATCTTTATGCCACAGATACGGTTGCTAATAATACGTATCATTTGTTTTTTAGGTCGAAAGACCGGTCCTACTAGTCGGGGACACTGGTACGTCAAAAACTGCGATCATTACGAACTATTTACACGGCCTTCCAGCGGACAAATATGTAAGCGGTCCCAATATTTAATAATCTGCCTTATTATTGATCTTTACTTAGGCCAAAGTAAATTTAATTTAGTTGTAATCGAATGTCCAAAGCCAATGTAAGTCGGCAGCGCGTCTTGTTTAGATGTTACATGTTACATGGAGATTAATGACGTTTCGATTTCAGTTTGCGAATTTTCGATATTCAAAGCCAAAATAGATCGACATCGCATCTTGACTTTGACTTTGATCTTGACTTTGGCAACACGAATTTGACTTATTATTGGTCTAAGAATTATGTTAGCAATTTTCAGTCACTGTACTCTTGTAGATTAACATTTTTAGATTTTGAAAATATAAATAAGTCAAATCATAAAACTGCAGTTAGGCTCCTCTGCCTTAATCGGCCTCATGTATGGGCAAGTATAGAAACAAAAATGTGTAAGTCAAATTTATCATATACCTACTCTTAAAACACTGATCTAACCTTTAATTTCAAGTTTCCGATCACTGGGGGCGTAGCTCAGATGGTAGAGCGCTCGCTTAGCATGCGAGAGGTACCGGGATCGATACCCGGCGCCTCCAATTGTTTTTATTTTATCCTTTCAGATAATACAACAGATGAATTTCTCGTCGCGGACCTCTTCAATGGACGTGCAAAGAAATCTCGAGTCTGTCGTTGAGAAGAGAACTAAGGATACCTTTGGTCCACCTGTTGGCAAGAAGATGCTGGTCTTTATCGATGATATGAATATGCCTATAGTACGTCTCATCATAGATTATATTAGTATATATTAAGACATTATTTAAATAAAATTACGGCTGTACCTTCATAATGAAGTAAATGTTAATAAAAAAACATGGCGGCTTCCCTATTACTGTAAAGTAATCAGGACAGAAGTGATTACTTAAATAAATCAAAGTTTAGGTATTATTCAATGTTACAAAACCAGGAATAGGAAATATTCAAAAAAATATATATCTATAACAATTTTATTGTACCTACATGGCTAATAAATTAAAAAAAGCTATCGCGTCACGGTAAATGGTTGCTCACTAGAGTAAAGTGCCGCCCTTGTCGTAATAGTTCAATCTAAATAGATTTTTACATATACATATTTATATTAAAATATAATATAACTATGCATTTGTTAAAATAATATATTCCCTATTTAACAGAGGTTTCTTAGTTGAATAAGTTTCAACAAAATTATACTTTGCATCACAGGTGGACACCTACGGAACGCAGCAGCCGATAGCACTCCTCAAACTCTTGTTCGAAAGAAAAGGTTTTTATGACAGAGGCAAGGATTTGAACTGGAAGAACTTGAAGGACATTGGGTTCCTCGCAGCCATGGGCAAAGCTGGTGGTGGTAGGAATGACGTGAGTTATAATAGAACACTATGAGCATATTATATTTGTACGTAGCTAGCGTATGTAGTTAGTTCGTGACCTACCAAAATAACCAGATTCTTGGGATAGAATGGAAATAATCCGCAATCTGAGTTATTTATATTATATATATTTACAAAAAAAACATAATACAGGCGAAATATTAATATACAATAAATATAACAGACTAAATAAATTACTGAATGATGTATTCAGGTTATTTTAGCAAAGTTCGACCAAATTATTAGAAATAAATAATGGTCTTAGCGATTTAACGAATGGCATATCATTATCAGTCGTGTTAACCTTTATTTTTCAGGTCGATCCCCGTTTTATATCTATGTTCTCTGTATACAACTTACAATTTCCGTCTGAAGCTACCCTACAGCGTATATACGTGTCCATCCTCCAGGGACACTTCTCCATATTCCCGGACGAAATACAAGATATTGTTGACAAGATTGTGCAAATGACATTAGACTTGTATAAGGCAAGCATTACTCACTTAATAGTACGTAGTAAATATAATAATTATTGGAAAAGTACACTGTTTCATAAAACATTGCTACGGAAGTATTGCATTCAGTATTTATAACCACTATAGCTGTTTAAATAAAACACTTGAACGGTTTAAAACGCGATATATTAGTTAAACTTATTTGGAAATGATTTTTGACTTCGGCCCGTGACCACGGCTGCTGCAAAGCATCTGAAACGTCGGGCCGAAGTTAAAAATCATTTCCAAATAAGTTTAACTAATATGTCGCGTTTTAAACCGTTCAAGTGCTTTATTTAAACGTAAAAGTATTTTATTTAAATGTGTACTCGCATAAACTACAGACAGTACTCACTATACTGTTTAAAATATTTGAAAAATATTTTTTTTCCTAGATTATTATAGTGGATCTCCCGCCTACACCAGCCAAGTTTCATTATATTTTCAACCTGCGGGACTTATCTCGTATAGCAGCTGGCATGCTGCTTACGCATCCCAATTTCTTCAGCGAGAAAAGAACGATTGTCAGATGTTGGAGAAACGAATTCACCAGAGTAATTTGTGACAGACTCATCAATACGCAAGTATGTTCATTAATTTTACAGTTCAACCAATAAACAAGATCTCTTTATAACCCCGAAATTATCATATTTCTTTGTGTTACTAACACTAAGGTGGTAGCTAAAATGTAATTTGAATAACCAGGACAATGAACTGATGCAAATGCATATACAAGAACACGTGGCTAAGTACTTCCCAGAGGAGGAACCAGTTGTTCTAGAGGAAATCGTCATACCAGAAGAGGAAGAAGCAGTTGCTGAAGAAGAAGACGGTAAGACACAACAATGTATCAAACAGGTACATACGTACGTATATACATTTTTAAAAATTAATAACGTGACGATGTTCATTGTTTCTAAGAATTTGGGGAACTGAAGCCTAAAATAGAAAAGTCAACAGTAGCGGCAGAAGCAGAGCCTGCTATCGAAGAAGAAGAGGAAGTGGAAGTTGAGAAAGAGCTAACAGTAAGTTCTTTTGAGTTCTTGAACTGTGACTAACCAGAACTAAATACAAACTAGTTTTTATTTAATTTCAGCTCGAGGAGTATGTTCTCCGCGATCCCTTATTATTTGGGGACTACCGTAATGCACTGGACGAGGAGGAAGTTAGATATTATGAAGATCTTTTGGATTATGAAGCTGTTTATTTCCTTTTCCAAGAGGTATATGCCTAGTTGCGCCTTAGACTTGTCTAGTACTTTTCTCAAATAATGGGCGGAAATTAAAACTAAGTGTGTACAATACAATACAGGGCTTTAAAACCAATAACGAACACCCAATAACAATAGTTTCATACATGCCAAATTAGTTTTTCTTTCACTAAAGAGCTTTCTATGTGCAAGCGAGCTGTTTGTCGCCATGTTGTGGATTAGAAGAGCGTTCCATTTTTAAATTACATGACAGACATGCATTTTCATACAACTATTGCCGGCCACGGCTCGACCAGTACAGCAAGTTTGATTTATCTCGAAGAAGGTTGTCAATCGTTTTAAAATTCCATATTGTTCACATTCTGAACGGCTTTTTTTATTAGATCCTGGATGAATACAATGAGCGGATAGGTAAGATGTCTGTAGTCCTATTTGAGGACTGCCTAGAACATTTGACTCGTACACACCGTATATTACGAATGGACAGAGGAAATGCCATGATTATTGGAGTCGGCGGATCTGGCAAGAAATCTATTTGCAGATTGGCCGCATTTGCAGCTGGTGAGTTCTAGAATTGCTCGTAGTGTAATTTAAGAAATAATTTAAACAACAAAAACGTTTCAGGTTGCGAGGTTTTCGAAATAACTGTCACGCGTAATTATAACGAGAACACGTTCAAAGATGACATGAAACGAATGTATAATCAACTGGGAGTGGATGGAAAGCCTACTGTGTTCCTTTTCACTGCGGCCCAGGTAGATAAGATCGATAAAATTGATTTTCTAAGTGCACGTCATTATAAATTCGTAACTAGGGATCAGTTGTTATTTCTAAAGGAACTGATTTCTAAATTCACGATACATAATAAAAAGATTTAGTGATTTAAGTTTCGCTTACCTTTAGTCAAGTTTGTGCAGTAATGTAGTAGTACTGTAATTCATGTATAAAATGCTAAATATACGGTTGCTGCAAAGCATCCTAAGTGTTTGGCTGTATGTAGAATAATTTTTAAATAAGTTTAACTTATATATTTTGTGTTCTAAACCGTCCGTGTTTTTTATGTTTACTACTCGCTTAAACCGCAGTTCATATTTGACCCACACCTATTGGTAACCGCGGTTATATATTTTAACAGATCCTTGAAGAAGGTTTCCTGGAGTTTATCAACAATATCCTGATGATTGGAATGATACCCGCTCTCTTTGGAGATGACGAGAAGGACGCTATTATAAACGCTGTCAGAAATGAAAGCAATGAAGCCGGCTATGGTATTGCTAAGTTGGTACCGCCATCATAATCTCTGTCTTATCTAGTGCTTCTGTGCCTGGTCCACCCTCTCGTGCTTAACGCAATGCTAAGCAACACATTTTAGTATTTAGATAATGAGGTATACAATCTATTGAAATTGTAATTTCGTTAATTAACCATTTATAAAATTTTTGCAGAGACGCTGTATGGAACTTCTTTTGCAATAAGTGCGCTAATAATCTTCACGTTGTTCTCTCGATGTCACCAAGTGGTGATATATTGAGGAATCGGTATGTATATGGCTACAGTCATTTAAATATCAGTTAGCATACTCATCTTCAGACAATGAGGACCAAATTTCAGGGTTTTTAGTACCGGGCATGAGTTCTGAAGGACCTGATCGGTGCATCGATGAGCATGTTCAGCGGTTGATCCCGTAGATCGTAACTAATTTAGAGATGGTGGCTATAAATTCCTACCAACTCTTCGGAGCGTAGTGGGTTTATATCCCCTGGCTCTTATATCCCCTATCTCATGGTAGTAGATACCAGCACATGAACATTTATAGACAGTAATTAATTAATGTTGTATTGCAGTTGCCGAAGCTTTCCCGGTTTGGTCAATAACACAACCATTGATTGGCAATTTCCTTGGCCCAAGCAAGCTCTTTTGGCGGTCGCCAATGTGTTCCTAGCAGATGTAAGTAGATGTTGTTCCTTTTATAAATGGCAGTGTTTAATTAGAACACTTTAACGCTTTAAACTTTTTAGCGTCAATAATTTTAAAATTCGTAATCACCGCTGCTCTAAAGCATCAAAAACGTTGGGTCTTTATTAAAAGTTATACAGTTTGCGTTTTAAGCCGTAACCACTTTTTTTTTAATTTCTTGCGATAACTTATATCTTCTAAGAATTGTATTTTATTAATATACGAAAACAGCCTTATAAAAACTATTTGATTTTTAGGTGGAAAAGATTCCAGAGGAATTTCGGCCAATCATTGTTGAGCACGTGGTTCATGTACATATGTCCGTCGCACGGTACTCAGTAGAGTTCCTCCTGCGTTTGCGAAGGAACAACTATGTCACACCAAAACACTATATGGACTTCCTCACCAACTATCTTTCACTGTTGAATGAAAAAGATGCATTTATTGTTGCGCAGGTGGGTTTTAAGTCAAAGTTTTGCCACATTGTTCTAAGATTAAGATCTAATCGTATTATGACGAAACATGTTGAACTGGAAATATGTAATTTAAATGGATGGCAAGAATATCAAATTTCCGTCCGTGAACCACCGTCCATAGTTAAAAGCTGTAAAGTTTAATCGCGATTCGGTTACAGTATGAGAATTCCCGAATATCCATAGCCAAAATAGATCGACAGCACATCCAGTCTAGATACTATATGGCGGGGGTATTACATCGACCAATAAGGGAACCAATTCTCAATTAAACATATTATTGACTTGCCTTGAAGAACATAATAGTTTCGGTCGACCAGAGCTCAGAAGTTTGAACAACTACTTGTATGCTCGGTAAAATAGTCGTAGAAATAGGTCTGCTCCATATGCGCTTTGTAGAAAAACAATTTGAAAAAGATTTTTGTTCTTTTTGTTTTGTGAAAAGATATCGATTTTATTTTTAATAATTTAACGTCAAACGTAGTGCGAACGGTTGATCGGTGGTTTGGCGAAAATTGAAGAAGCAAACGTTCAGCTCGAAGATTTGAATGCAAAGTTAGCGGTTCAGAAAGTAATCGTCGCTGAACAGACGAAGGAGTGTGAAATCTTACTCAAGGAGATTTCTGTTGGTTCGTTCTAAAGATACAACTTTTATTACAACAACTTATCTAACAGCAGTTTGATAAGATTCCAAATTGTTTTGACTTTCTGATTACTTTGTAACTCTGTAAGCTATTTCTCTTATTAAACATTAATATTTTACAGCAACGGAGGCAGCCGTAGCCAAGCAATCCGTTGCTGAAGTGAAGAGTGTGGAAATTACTGAACAAAGCAAAGTTATCGCTGAAGAAAAGTCTGAAGCAGAAGAGGCATTGTCTGCCGCTTTACCAGCTCTAGAGGCAGCCAGATTAGCTCTATCCGATTTGGACAAGAATGATATTACAGAAATTAGATCTTTTGCCACGCCTCCTGAAGCAGTACAGGTATAATGTCAAAAGAATTTCTTAACTACTTAAAAACAATACAATTTAAGTTTTATAGAACGTGGATTAGCTGAATACAATTTTTTAGGTTGTTTGTGAGTGTGTGGTCATTATACGAGGGATCAAAGACGTCAGTTGGAAAGGGGCTAAGGGAATGATGGCGGATCCCAACTTTTTGAGAAATTTACAAGAAATGAACTGTGACTTGATAACACAAGCTCAAGTTAAGGCCGTCAAAGCCCACATGAAGAAAAGCAAGAAATTAGATACTATGCAGCAAATAAGTAAAGCTGGGTTAGATTTGTTCTTTCTTTCCTTCTTCTATATATTGCGAACATATGTATATTATATATATCTTAGCGTTGAGTTATTTTATACAATACATTTTTCGCAGATATGGTCTCCTTAAGTTCGTAATAGCTGTTCTCGGCTATTGTGCAGTTTATAAAGAAGTCAAGCCTAAACAAGATAAAGTCGAAGCTCTAGAAAAGGAATATACAGAAGCTTGTAACTATCTAGCTTCACTGAATCGCGAAATCGATAGACTACAACGTACGTTGAACGGATTGAATAACCGTTACGAGACCGCGATTCTTAGAAGGCAGGAGTTGCAAGAAGAGACCGATATTATGATGCGACGGTTAGTCGCCGCTGACAAGTTGATGTCTGGGTTATCCAGCGAACAGAAGAGGTGGACTGAAGACTTAGCAGCATTATATGTGGAACAATCTAGGTTGATTGGTAACTGCTTGCTTGCAGCGTCATTCTTAAGTTACGCTGGTCCGTTCTCGTTCTCATTTAGGCAAACAATGATTTATGAGGACTGGCTGGGAGATATTACCGATCGAGGAATTCCATTAACGATGCCATTTACTGTCGAAAGAAATTTGACCAATGAAGTGGAGATCAGCGGGTTTGTATCCTGTAATAATATGCTTTGAATGCTTTATCTTTGCATTCAAGTCAACTTAATGGTACATATTATGTTTTGAGTATTTAAAATTTTATATACTGCTAGGTGGAATTCTGAAGGGTTACCACCCGACGAACTCTCCGTACAAAATGGTATTCTGACTACAAGAGCATCTCGATTCCCGCTATGTATAGACCCACAGACTCAAGCACTCACTTGGATAAAAAAGAAAGAAGCTAAAAACAATTTAAAGGTGCCTTGGTTACTCAGAAATGTATGAAATAGAATTTGAATTTTTAGGGTATAGGTTTTAAAGGCAGTAAATTTTAGGTGTTATCATTCAACGATCCCCAATTCTTACGCCACTTGGAAATGGCGATAAAGTACGGTATGCCCGTTCTCTTCCAAGATGTCAATGAATATATCGACCCTGTTGTCGATAACGTTCTGGAGAAGAATATTAAAGGTATCTTTATGTTTTCGAAATTTGTATGTGCTTTAAAGTTAATACATAATTATCTGCTAGGAGAATATTGAATTTTATTATTATTTATTTTATTTGGAAACGAAACAAACAGTCACATGCAGAACAATAGAATATTTAAAACCTAAAGCAATTAGGCCAAAAGTTTCTCTTATTTATACATACTTGACGGAAATACAACAAATCGATAAGATAACACAACGAAATATCTAAAGAACAAGAACTAATAACAATAATGTAGGAACTACGACTTAAATATTAAATTATATCTACAAGTTGTGTATTGTAAGATCCCATTAGAAAAATATCACTGAATTTAATTTTTTAATAGCAAAAAATTCTAATAATGAAACTATTTTTCACCTACTTAGTGCTCGCTATTTGAAATATATCTAAATATACATTATTTCATTATAGTTGAAAGTGGACGCACGTTCGTTATCTTGGGAAGTTCTGAAGTTGACTACGATCCTCATTTCCGAATGTACTTGACCACAAAGTTGGCAAACCCACAATTTAACCCTGCGGCTTACGCTAAAGCTGTCGTGATCAATTACACAGTCACTGTGCAGGTGTGTAATATTATTTAAGACTTAGCTGTGTCGGCGACTTCGTCAGCGCAAAATAGTTATTTTGGGCATCCAAATTTGTTTTTGCAAACCTCTTCTTCATCTATATAGATATAAGCTCACGACGAAGATCGAGTCTCATCGTTCTTGCAAGTTAAAAGATATACTGTCGCGAACATTTGTTTAAATCATTTCAAGACGAATCATTCTTTCACATATATTTTGGGTGTCTACCGTTTTTGCAGCGTATGCATCCACACTTCCTGCTGTTTCTTCTCTCCAACGCAATGCTTTATAACCTTCCTCGATTAATGATCTAACTAATAAAAAAATAATCTCTCAATTCGAACCAGTACATCTTGAGATTAGGGTGTCCAAACAAACAAACTCTTCAGCTTTATATAATAGTATAGATTAAATAAAGTATAACACAAGCGGAGATAAATCATTTTCAATTTGTATTAGGGCTTAGAAGACCAACTCTTAAGTGTTGTTGTACGCGCCGAGCGATCAGATCTGGAAGAACAAAGAGAAAGTCTGATAATAGAGACTAGTGCCAATAAGAGTTTGCTGTCCGGTTTAGAAGATTCCTTACTAAGAGAGCTTGCAACATCAACTGGCAATATGTTGGATAACGTTGAGCTAGTCAACACCTTGGAGAATACAAAATCAAAAGCTGCTGAGGTAAAGTATAATGGGGGAAAAGTTTAAATAAAACACATTTAACGGTTTATAATGCAAAATATAGTAGTAAGTTTGTTATTATTTCATTTTAACTATGGCCCGACGTTCTGAAACATTAACACAGGTTATTAATAAGTTTGAAAAACAAGTTATTATTATTCACGTTTTATACTGTTAAACGTGTTTTATTATTATGCACTACGTGTGGACAAAGTTCTTGCAACCGAAAGTGCAGAACTTATTCCTTTTACTTTTCTATGTTACCAGGTTATGGAAAAACTAGAGCTAGCGGAAGCTACAACAAAAGACATAGAAAAGCTAAGAGACGGTTATAGACCAGTTGCGAAGCGTGGCTCTATTCTCTTCTTCGTTCTATCAGACATGGCCGGAGTCAATACGATGTATCAGTATTCGTTATCTTCGTATCTGGACGTAAGTGTAATGTCTAAAATACAACTCTATATTTGACTACGACGAGTATACTAAACGGATGACTGCGCGGTTTTTCGTTTCAGGTTTTCTCATTTTCCCTCCGAAAAGCGATGCCTAATGTGATATTGGTGAAGCGTCTAAGAAACATTATTGATATGCTAACGAAGAATGTATATGACTACGGGTGTACCGGTTAGTAACTTAAAAAAAGCAAAAATTATGTTTGGTCTCTCCAATTTTCTTATAGTATTTTTTTAACAAATATTGCCGATTTCAAACCATAGAAAAATACACTATACATTTGTAGGTATATTCGAGCGACACAAGCTCCTATTTTCGTTCCAAATGGACATTAAACTCCAACAAAGCGAGGGCACTGTGAGCCAAATGGAACTAGATTTTTTCATAAAGGGAAATGTGTCTTTAGAGAAGGCTGCAAGGGAACGTCCTGCAATTTGGATTCCGTCTCAAGTTAGTGATTAAGTTTTGACTTGCCTGTATTTTAACTTTTTTTTTAAATTTTAACTGGCCTATATTTTTCTAAATGTTAACGGCCGGAATTGTATAGATTTTTTTTAAATTTTTACTAGCCTATATTTTTATTTTAACGACTACTTCAATAATCTCTCTAAATTGGCAATTTTTAGGGGTGGCAAGATATAGTAAAGCTGAGCTTAGACTTTCCCGAAACCTTTGGTGAACTACCAGACCACATTACCTACGGTCTAGAAGCTTGGCAAGAGGTATAATTTTCTATTGATGAACGTTTAATGTTATTTGAAAAATACTTCAAAGCTAAGAATATACTTGCTATTACTTCGAGAGCTAGTTTTTATCAATCTATCGTATTAAACCCACAAAAAGCAATAGAATAGCTAGTTGAAAAACTCATCACTCTGTTGTTTATGCGAGTAGTACACATTTAACTAAGACACTTTACCATTTAAAACTCAATATATATTAATTAAACTTATTTCGAATCGAAGCAATGTCCTCATTACCACGGCTGCTGCAAAGCATTCGAAACGTCGGAGCGTAGTGAGAATAATTTCCGAATAAGTTAAACTAATATATATCGCGTTTTAAACCGTTAAAATGTTTTATATAACTTTTAAAGTACGTAGATTGAATATGAGCATAATTTATTTCTATGGCGATATAATTGCTTTAGATTATATTTTTGTTATATTTACTTTCTTCTAGTGGTTTGACAGTGATGCGCCGGAGACGGCGGAAATACCAAACGACTATCGCGATAAATTGAATCCGTTTGAAATGCTCATGTTGTTGAGATGTTTCCGCGTTGATCGCATCTATCGAGCACTCACAGACTATATCACAGTCACCATGGGTGAAGAATACATCACCCCTCCTGTTATTAGGTAAAATTATTAATGAAGCCAATAACTTATATTATCATAGCGCGATCATGTTATCACGAAGCAGAACTATTTCTGAATAGACTGTATATGCAAGTAAGAAGGTAGCCGGAATGAAACTTGTGTTTTTCCTAAGGTTTTTGGAAACAGGATCTTGCAATTAACTATAGCGATAGCTTTAATCGTTTAGAAGCAGATCCAGTGTTTTTGACATACATATTTTATAACAATTTGACTAGTCAAAACGACGTACTGTAACTGTATATCAAAGTAAAGATCTTTTGTTTAAATAAAAAAATACATTCTTGCATAATAGTTTTGTGGACCTAAACTCTGAAAGCTTACATATTTTTCACGTGATGGCGTTATTTAAAAATTAAAAACGTTTCTAGATTTAAAAAAAAATACGACGCCATCGATTCTTAAACCGGGCAGCCTCTCTCGATTTTTATTATTTATTTATTTATTTTAATTTTCATAAGTAAATTCTTTTAGTTGTCTTACAGTTTCATATGTATATATTATACATAAATAATTGTTTTTTTAGCTTGGACGGCATATTCGAACAAACAACACCTTTTACCCCGGTGGTGTTCATCTTGAGCCCTGGTTCTGACCCCACAGCCGATCTCATGAAACTTGCAGATCGATGCGGATTTGGTGGGGGCAAGTTCAAATATCTATCATTGGGACAGGGGCAGGAGGGGGTAAGTTACGAAACATTAAAAACTAAAATATTTAATTGGTTATAGCTTATCAGCTGCAAATGAAGTTGACCCCAGGGCCCAGGCCTTGACCGCCTTTAATTAAGATACGTTTAGGAACAAGATGGTGATAAAAATAATTCGTTGTATACTCAACTAGGTGATCCGGCAAAGATTTTGTTGTTTGCAAGATCAACAGTTGATATAAATAAAGCATTAATTGCGACCAACTTAAAAGATAAACATACATATAAGTGTTTTATTTGAAAATGTAATCCGAATGTCCAAAGACAAAATAGGTTGGCATCTTGTTTAGATGTTATATATAGCTTGGGTATTTCATAGTATTAAGTGAATCCTACGTTTGCCTGTTCTCCTCTATCAAAAGAATCTTGGCCTTGAATTAACTTAAATTTTTGTTTAAGGCTGCACTGGCACTGCTAGAAGGAGCTATATCTCATGGTCAATGGCTCATCCTGCAAAATTGTCACCTCCTGGTGTCCTTCCTTCGCGAGTTGGAGAAACAATTGGAGATGATGGAGAAACCACACCCCGAGTATCGATTATGGCTGACCACGGATCCCACGCCGACATTCCCTATTGGCATATTGCAGAGGTCTTTGAAAGGTGAGATGTATAGATAATCATAATTATTGTGCCCGAGTCCTTCGAAAACGAAGATTTTTTATTTGATTTACAAGAATCTTTAATATCTTTCACATGTACACAGGCATATAAATAAAAACCGAATTAACTTCAATTAATTAGAATTTATGATATAACATAATTGAAATACGTTCTTGTGGGACATAGAGCTAGTTTTTTTTTCTGCGTCTGTTTTACTGATCGATTTTTTAAATTTCAGTTAGATGTTCAGACGTCTGTGTTCTGCCCGAGCGAAACAATTTATCGTCTCCCGGGTATTCAAACCCAGGACAGAGACTAAGCAACTTGTTTATCTATTGATCCTTGTATTGACATATTTCAATACTTTAAAAATTATTATATTTGATAAACAGTCGTAACGGAGCCCCCCAACGGCCTGAAATTGAATCTTCGAAACACGTACTTCAAAATGCGTGCGCATGCTTTGGAAGAATGCCCCCACCCTCAATTCAAAAAGCTCGTCTACGTTTTGGCTTTCTTCCACGCCGTTGTGCAAGTAAGTAATATATAATTTATGTCGCTTCAACCACTTCAAACGAAGAATAGTACTTTACCACAGCGTGTAATTATAATGATACTATTAATATTACAGTCATAACACGATGTTTTATTAATAATTAATGGAAAAGCGATAAATGGTTCGACAAAGTATACGTTACTATTCTTTGTCGAATTTAGGGTCCTGTTTTGGTCAATTTACGCTGCGAAGTTATTATTAAGTTCAGTAAAGTGTTTAAAATACTATACTTTATCACAGATTAAAAACATGATTTTCGTTAATATGAAGATCGTGTTGTAATAGATTTATTTTCGTGTTTCATTATTGCACATAACTTTTTCGTCTATATAAATGTAATTGATATCATATGTATGTAACTATAAAGTTGAAATCTATTTAAATAGATTTCAACTCAAATGAAATTAAATAGATTAAAAACGCGTACTATCCTTAATATTGTAGTTTGTCGAATCTCATCAACCTACATCAAACAAAGTATAGTTTCGACTAACTAAATGTAAACAGTAGTTTTCACAGAATATATATATATATTTGAGACGTTTGTTTATTATATTATTGCTTATCGCCGTAGCTAATAATTTCCGAGAAGGCAATATTTTCAAAATATAATTTTATCGTGTTTAACATTTCGAAATATTCTCGATGACCTCTCGCTTGAATTAGCTCTCGGTGATAACTTATCGTACGTTTTAGGAACGTCGTAAGTACGATAAAATCGGATGGAATATCTCGTACGACTACAGCGAGTCGGATTTCGTGGTTTGTATGCAAATTCTACAATGCTACCTCGAACGCTGCTACGCTGTCAATGGGCCGATACCATGGGCTACTCTCAAGTATCTCTTCGGCGAGGTTAGTATAAGTACATTACTGCAGCGGCCAGTACACATAAGTCCATCTTGTAAATAGAATTTTCCTGAAATAATTCCCACCATTTAGGGCTAAGTAAGTAGAACAATTCAGAACTTTAAAACAAATGACGATTTGACGAACAACTAATAACAATAGCTGTTTACGCGCCTAAGTTTTTTTTTCTAAACAGTTTCTATATACCAGCCAGTTCGAAATTTAATTGAAACCTATGTTAAGTTACCTCTTTGGTCGCCATGTTGCGGGGTAGAAGATCGTTCCATTTTAAATTACACGACAGATAAGGATTTTAATACAACTAACTAACCTTGTTTAAGCGCATGAGGTCTTTGGGTCGAATCCCGAGAAACATTAGTTTCGGTGGAGCTACACCTACTCACAGACACATTCTATCACCAGCCCTGTAACCTTTGTTATTTCTCCATTTATAAAGTTATCAGTTGATTTTTATTGCACCGGAAAAGATTTTCAATCATATGCTATTTTGAGATTTCGATAAGATGTGATCGTTTGACTCATCATCACTTCAACAGGAAATGATCTTTCAAGACTAGATCTCTATCAGTGCACTTTATTATCATATCTCCGATAGTAAATTCTAGATTTTTTACCGACTTATAAAAATAAGTCTAAAAATCTAGAATTTTTCATCATACAAATCAAAAAGTTACATAACTTTTATAAGCCGAAACAAGTGCAAAGACTCACACGTAGATGCCATGGACTTGATACAAAAATTTCATATTTTATGTTCCCTAAATACTTTTTAGTTTACAGGAGTCGTACATATTTAAATAAGTCACTTTCACGGTTCACAACGCGAAGTGTAATAAACTTATTTACAATTTTCACGACGGCCCCGACGTTACGGATGCCGCGTCAGCTTCAGCCGTGGTCACGGGGGATCGGAGATGTATGCTGCAAAGCATCCGAAACGTCAGGTCGTTGTTACAATAAATTGTAAATAAGATTACGTTTCGTTTTAAACCGGTAAAATTGTTCTAAACTGTTCTAAAATTAATAAATTGTAAGTACCCTTTTTCTCGTTAACTATTTCGAACAACAATCGGCAGAATGGAGTTTGTTTGCATAGACAACCGCTATGAATTATTCATTTTTAGTGATTATTTCTAAGCGGTATCAGAAATCCATATTTCATGGAATCAAGGTTTTTTAAGATACACGTTTGAGGCAGACAGTACAGTGTTAATAATTTAGAGTAACTTTTGTACCATTACTACTAAACGCTAATTCTTCGCCCGTAAATCTTGTAAATGCAAATTTAGAGCTCTTTGTATCCAATCTTTGTAACATGATACCGATGTAACAGGTAATGTATGGCGGTCGTGTGATCGACGATTTCGACCGTCGCGTGGTGCGAACGTACATGGAAGAGTACATGGGTGAATTTCTCTTCGACAAGTTCCAACCCTTCCACTTCTACCACGACGCGCACTATGACTACGTGATACCACCTGAAGGGGAACGAGAAGAGTATATTGGTAACAGTGGCTAAAAGAATACGTAATGTATAAAACTAGGTGACCCGACAAACGTTATTTTCGCATATGAAATATTTCGACCTAATTTGATTACTATAGCTTTAACGGTTCTAATGATATAATCTTAAGAGAGACATATTTTATTCTGGACATTTTTTAATTTATTTATAGAAGAATTTTCTTAAATACTTACTTTTTGGTATGTTGAAATACGCATACGCAGCGTACGCAATGCAAACCCATAGAGATTTAGATTAATATTTTTCCTGTGCTGTCTTCATTTTCCACTGTTTCGTCATACCTATTGATAACTAACATCTTGATGTTCTATAGCCTAAATCCTCCCTCGGTAAACGATTCAACCAAGACAAAATGATTTTTTAAATCGTAGTTCCTAAGATTAGTGCGTTCAAACAAACTCTTCAGCTTATTAATAGTTTATATTTCAACTTACTCGTATCAATGTCCATCTTCTCGACACAACTCCCTTCCATCATAGACCGACACTGCTCTAGTTAGTTTTAGTTATGATTACCGGAACAGATGGATTAACGTTTACTTATTTGTTTTTAACTTTAGAGTTTATTGATACCCTTCCATTGGCGAACACTCCAGAAGTTTTTGGACTACATCCGAATGCTGAAATTGGATACTTCAGCCAGGCCGTACGAGAAATGTGGGGGCACTTAATCGAATTGCAACCGCAAACGAGTACGTATTCTACAGCTACTATGTTCTGAATGTCCGTAGCCAAAATAAATCAAGTGCACATCGAAATTAGATGGCTAGATTTATCTTTCATCAGATGAAACTCATGTTTGTTTGTCATCCTTTGTAACTATACCAGAATATTGTAGCATGTTTATATTTATACCCAAGAATTTATAGTGTTTATTTATATAGCATACTTTCAGTCGCCTTTTTCATAATGTTTCTATGTTTTATGCTGGCAGTTAGGAAAATCAAAGGTAGGTGTGAAAATTATTTTCCTAATTCATTCACAAGTTTATTATTTCCTAATCCGAAATTGACTGTAATTATTTATATTAACTATTCTAATAAAAATGACTACTAATCTACTTTTACATTTACTATATGCAACTTTTAGTGGAAACGGGTAAGGATATTTTGATAATAACATATAATTAAATACTGTCTATAGTTTACGTGAGTAGTACACAATAAATAAAACACTAACGGTTAAGGGAGACAGTCTCCCCGTGACCACGGCTGCTGCAAAGCATCCGAAACGTCGGGCCGAAGTTAAAAATCATTTTCAAATAAGTTTAACTAATATATCGCGTTTTAAACCGTTAAAGTGTTTTATTTAATAACATATGATTATAAATTGAAAAGACAAGGGCGGGCCTTGAACCTGCATGTACAGCCTTTGTGGTGTTGCTCTTTATATAATGCCATTATGAGCTATACATTTGAAAAATATTAGTTGTCAAATAATACGTTATTAAAAAAAAATACAACTGTAATTTGATATCTTTTAAGCAAAAAGTTGAATTAATAATTACTATTTTACATTCGCCGGCCGTAACTAGGTAAATAATTCGTGATTGTTTTCAGGCGAGGGCGGCGGTACCATGAGTCGTGAAGACTTCATAGATATGATTGCTGTGGACATAATAAACAAGCTGCCACCGGAGTATGAAATATGGAGAGTGAGGAAGCAATTCGAAATGAGTATTACACCTTCAGCCGTTGTTCTCTTGCAGGAATTGGAGAGGTATAACTTTTGAACTATTTCATGAATTCTTTGGGTAGTATTAAATAGTTGACTTGGACAAGATGAGAAGATTAAATAATTGTATTAACGGTACATCATACTTAACTATGCTGTTTAGCATTGCATTAAGCGGGACAGCGGGACAAGCTGTGTTCAAATCCCGGTAAAACAATAGATTGCTTCAGTCGGGCAGGGTACAGAGGTCAAATACTTAGCTGAAAATAAAATAAAACCGTACCGGACACAAAAATCTCTTTGGCCTATGCTCCACAGAGGGGAACGCGATCACTTTACTTATTACTTGAGGTAGTAGAGGTAGAGACAAGTTTTGTGGGTGTTTAAATCGTAGGAAAATCAAGTAGAAAGGGTTATTATGACATTCATCAATATTTAAACGATAAACGCTTGGGGTTTGGAGGAACATACTCTTACAAGAAAAATACGTGCACTACACACGTAAAGTACATACAGTTTGTAAAATAAAACTTGGCGATAAAAAAAGGGCGGCGAGTTTCTTGCCAATTCTTTTTCGTTCTTTCAACGCTCTGTTGTGACTCTATAGTCCTAAGTTTCTAATTGGTGTGACGTTCATATGTGTACCTAGTTGCCAACGTTACTTGACCTTCAAATTTAACACTTTTAACGGTTTAAAACGCGTTTGTAGATATGTTTAACTAATACATTTCACGTTTTACACCGTTAAGTGTTTTATTTAAATGTGTACTCGTGTAAACTACAGACATTACCTATAGACCTTTTTCAGATTCAATCGCCTGATCGGTAGAATGCGAAGTACTCTATCCTTGCTTCGCAAAGCATTGGCTGGTGAGATCGGTATGGACGCCATACTAGACAACGTATCCTACAGTCTGTTTAACGGGCAGCTACCGAATGTGTGGCGCAGTCTTGCACCAGCCACGTGCAAAGGACTCGGTGGTTGGATGGACCATTTTATAGCCAGGACGAAACAGTACACAGATTGGGTAAGACAAGAATCGGAAAAAGATAACAACAGTTGAGATATTTTGTTTAAAAGTACATATACCGCAATAAAAATCTGTTCAGCTGGAAAACCCTCGAAGGCATAGGCGGGAGTTAAACCGGAAACCGGCTAATTTGTTTTCCTGGGTTGCAAGCCGGAAACTAGCTAATTTGTATATAGAAAGCCAGGCCATAGAAATCGAAAGTACTGGCAACAAAAATGCATTTTCTAGTTATTTCTTTAAGTAACGTAACGTACAGAAGACAAAAAGAAAGGTTTTTGCATACCAGCATCAAGAATTCAATAAACAGAGTTTTTCTTATTCAGGCAACTATGGAAGAGCCGATAGTGATCTGGCTGTCCGGACTTCACATCCCGGAATCGTACCTGATCGCACACGTTCAAATGGCGTGCAGGCTCTACACCTGGCCTCTGGACCGCTCCACGCAGTTCACACGAGTCACTAAGTACATCTCGCCTGATGACATCGAAGAACGACCTGTCACGGTTTATTGTTTATTAATTTAACCTTTAAATAAAATAGTTTAACAGTTTAAACCGCGATATATACTTGCCAGTGACCACGGATGTCGCACAGCATTCGAAACGTCGGGCCGTAGTTTAAATAATTTTCAAATAAGTTTAACTAATATATATCGCGTGTCAAACCGTTAGTGTTCTATTAAATTGTGTACTAATCGCGTAAACTACAGATAGTGTTTTAACCTATAAATGTCCCACTGCTAGGCGTAGATCTCTAGATTTCGTGTTGATTGATAGACCATATATCGTAGAAGGCTTTGGGCTATGTTATATCACATTGCGTCAAATAGGAGCAAAGAAATAGAGGGAAATGTGGCAAAAACGGGGAAAATTGTTCACCTTTAAGGGGTTCCCTTGTTACCGTGGTAACCGGTAATCGACGGCATGCATGGGCACGGAAGTGATGAACTGTTTAATATCGAAGTATTATTTTCTAGTGTAGATAGAAGGCCGGGTGATCAGTCGATATTAGCTGCTAAATGTCACCCATTTCCCCATTCCCATTTAGAGTAAGTTCGGACGAAATCGGAGTACCATTTCGCCCGACCCAGAATTCGATCCTGAGACCTCGTGATCTTCGTTCAAGCGTACTAACCAGATCAGCATGGCAGTTTTTATATGGCTGAAAATCATTTTCTTTGTAATTGCACGGTATTGCATTTTAAGGGTTGTTACGTGCGCGGTTTGTATCTGGAGGGAGCGAGGTGGGACGTAGAAGATGGTTGTCTGCGTCGTTCGCACCCCAAAGTCCTGATTACTGAGCTGCCGATCATGTACATAATACCTATTGAGTTTCACAAACTCAAGCTTCAGGTATGTCAACATAAATGCTATTTGTATGTTAACTTTACATATTATCTAAAAGTTTCGATCAATACTTGCGTTGTTGTAATGGTAGGAAGGCTGATAATCAAACGGCGGGGGTTCGATCCCCACCGGGTCCAACATTATTCTTATAAATTCTATAGTTGTTCTGAAACATGTTGGACTTCGCCTGGAAATCTGGATATTCAATGGGTGGTAGGTACATCGATATGCCGTCCGGGTTACCAACCATGGTCCATAGACGAATAAGCCGTTTTAACGCATTTCGATTTCAGTTTGTGGACTTTCAAATACCCAAAGCCAAATAGGCAGACAGTGCATCTTATTTAGATGTTATATGGCTGGGGTATGGTCATCATTAAAAAACGAATCAACATAAAATAGGGCATGATATCATTGTACTATTATTGGATAATATTGTATTCTAAAACACTTTTATATATAACTATAACTCAAAAACTAATATAATTATTAGATAAGTACTTTATATCCTCAACTTCCTATAAGAATAGTTTTTAATAGAGCTTTGATAACAATCGAAAACATTTCACAGAATACCCTCCGCACACCAGTATATACAACATCTCAGAGAAGGAACGCCATGGGGGTGGGGCTTGTTTTTGAAGCTGACTTGTGGACGGCAGAGCACTGCAGCCACTGGGTACTGCAAGGTGTCTGTCTTATCATGAACACTGACTAGTCACGGAATAAGTGTGTTTACAATTTAAACTTAGTTCTTTTTGTATAAGAAAATAATGATTCTCTTATGTTAAAATATTATTGTTTGCTGTAACAGGATTGTAAAATAAGTTTAATTTATTCAATAAAGACTGATAGATACTTTTATCGTTGTTTATTTTACATAGAACATTGGACACCGGTTTGTGGGAGGCATAAATTGTAGAAAGACGATGATAAAAAGTCTTTCAGCGGCTGCCATTTTACCCATCCTTTCTTATGGAGGAATTCTTTTGTCTGCTCTTTACCGACGTAATGTGGATCCTAAAATTAAAAAAAATATGATAATTTTAAAAAAAATATAATTTAAAAAAAACCCTCGCGTCTCCCCGCGGCCACGGCTGCTGCAAGGCATCCGAAAGGGGCCGTAGTTAAAAACAATTTTCAAACAAGTTAAACTGAAATATATCGCGTTTTAAACCGTTAGTGTTTTATTTAAATGTGTACTTCTTGCGTAAATTACAGACAGCACTTAATATGATAATTTTGCAATGACAATATACATAAGTAGGCTGTAGTACCAAAATAAGTATAGCCTCTAAACCTATATCAACATATATATCTATATATAGGTAGGTTACAAGTTAGGAATACTTTTTGGTATATAGTCATTGACCCTTTTAATATAATTTTCTTTATCAATAGTTTTTTGATTGCATTAAATTACTCACAACAACTAACAATCTAGAGTCGTCTCCATTTACATGTATTCCCATTATGCCTTTTGACGAGCAGTCTACATCTCCTCCCATCATTACTGGAGACCCAAACCTTTGGAAATGAGTCTTTAATTGTTCTACTATGCTATTTAAAGCATCTCCTTGGTTGACATGGATAATTTTACATGGCACATCATACAACTTGTCTATTACCAAACACACCTGTAAATAAAGATTTAGACATTTCAATAACTTAAGGTACTTAGAAAAGATAAAAACAATTATATAAATAGTGACACTTGATCAGTCAGTGTGTCTTCTGATAAATCTACACTAATATTATAGAGCTGAAGAGTTTCTTGTTTAAGCACGCTAACCTCAGGAACTACTGGGTTGAATTGAAAAATTATTTTTTTTTGTTGGTTGGAAGTATTTAGTCCAGTACAGCTTTCACCTTATTAAATATCATACAGTGACAAAAAGGACCAAAGAAATAGTGGAAAATGTGAACAAAACGGGGGGAACATCTTTGTAGGTTTCCAATGCGTGCACTGGGAAAAATGTTCAAGATATAGAAAAATATATAAGGAAGAATGATTCCTCTTTAAATGAACTAGGTATAATAATGACGGTTTGTTTTAAGTTTAAAACACGATATATTAGTTAAACTTATTTGAAAATGATTTTTAACTTTGGCCCAATGTTTCGGATGCATTGCAGCAGCTGTGGTCATGGGGAGACAGTCTCCTCAGGAAAAATCATTTTCAAAAAAGTTTAACTAAAAAATATCGCGTTTTAAACCGTTAAAGTGTTTAATTTGAATGTGTACTATTCGTGTAAACTATAGACAATATATAATGACCGTTTTTAAAAATTAACTAGTAAGAACGACAAGGCGCGGGTGACGTACTGGGTACACTATCTATAAAGATGTGGAGTTTTGCAAACATACCTCGAAACTACCAATCCATTCTCTTGAATTCAAAAAAGATTTTGGCTTATCTTCCATATCAACCAGTATTGTCTGTATTTCTTTGACAGTCGGTACAGGGCATTTCTTTTGAAGATTGTGATTCATCCAAGAACATATTGTCTGTAATGTCCTATAACCGCAACCCCAACCCTTAAAAAATCAAATTAGACATGTTTATCTTTATAAGGACATCGACAATAAACACACTGTTTTATATTAGATTTCTTTTAGCGTTTTTTATGTAATAAGTTAATTACCCGGTCGTCAAATCCATCACACAAATAGTGATAATATTCATAATTTCCATTTACTAAATAATAATATTCACCCAAACTTTTTTCTTCACTTAAATGCACGTTTAACGTCAGATTTTGCGATGACATTTTTCTTACGTGCGTGTTATTGCATACACAACAAAATGTTACAGCTGATTTTGACGTTGACATTGATGTCAAAACTTAATTTCACAGAACAAATATTTTGAAGAGAGTTTTATGCGAATTTTTAAATAAACTACTCGCGTAAACTACAGACAGGATTTAATGCGTATTATTTTATATTGGATTCAATAAATGCAAAGATCATTTCATAGCCTATTATCGAACACAAAATATGATGTTTTATTTGAACCCAGAAGTACCTAGTCCCTCATTCACTGCCTCAACCACTAGGCTACGGTTTACTACCCAAGAAGTTTTCATTGCCGTATAGACTCAAAAAAAATGCTTCAGCCTTTTTTTACTCCTAAAATGGTAAAATAACACTAGTAAGTTAATAAGTTAACACTAGTATACTACTTAATAGTAATTATACTTACTTATGTAACCAGTAATAAAATTATTAAAGACTTCGAATACTTCACATACTAACATAATAAATTTATTCTTTAAAAACAGTGTGTGTATTGTCCTGCAATTTACAAGTACAGCTTGGCTGATGTTTGATTAAGTGATAATTATTATTTATTTAAAAAAAGACCTTGAACTATTCGCTGATATTTAAAAAGAAGTCTTATAGATAATAACATAGAAGTGCTTATGTTACTTAGAATGTATGTATAGATCTGTACTTGTACGTTGAATAATGTAGGTATAGAGTAATTCAAGCTCTACTGCATTAAAAATGTATTATTTTGCTAATAACAATTGAGCAATATTATTAATAAGCAACAATGACTACTGAAAGCTTGATTATTTAAGAGAAAATAAGAAATGAACCGGAAGTTGACAAATTTCGAATCGTGATATCTCACTGATATTTTTACCCCAAAATTGTGAAATGTATAAATAAACGTGTGTAATATGGTCATGTCTTCGTATAGATTACAATAAAAAATATTGAAAGCATAAATCTGTTATATTCTTTAAGTGATCTTAGGGATTAAAAAGCGAATTTTAGAACTATGAGAAATTTAAGTTTTGTTTGTTTATTTGAACGCGCTAATCTCAAAAATATTTTTCCTTTGGTTAGAGCATTTATGTGAAATGTATGTGACTAATACAAGCGAAGGAAGCGAGAGACACCGCGACAAATGTGAAAAAAATTGTGAAAAGTATTCATCATTATGGGTTTCCGAGGCGTACGCTGCAAAAACGGTTCAAGATACCCCAAAAATATGTATGAAAGAATTATTCTTCTTTAAATGATTTAAAAAAAAAGTCCCGGACACTATATGTCTATCTTTTAAGATTAACTTGTAACAACGGCGGAAAGGGACGCGACCCACGGCGTGGGTAACAGCTTAAGTCTATAAAGATAAAGAGGTTTCCAAAAACGAACTTGGATGCCCAAAATAAATATTCGTCATTGCGTCAAGCACAACCGGTTTTAGGTTTGAATCCCGTCAAAACGTAAAGTCTAATGAGCCTGATAAAGACTTTCAGTGGAACAGACAAAGAAATGTGTTCGTAGAATACTTAGTTATAAATATTTATTTGTAATATATATAAACATTACATTAAAACCCCCAGACGCATTGCCACCTAAATAAACATTTCAACAATTTCTGCGAATCTACTTATTGTTTTTTTTATTTCAACAAAACAATTAGTAGAACTCGCGGAGGAAAAAACGCGTAGACTACGTTTTGTAATCTACTAATATTTGATCTTTGCGGGGTTATCGCCACCTTTATAAGAGGCAGACGCGAAAAATTCGGCGTTATTCCTATTCGATTATCTATCTGTGTTTGTGTTTTGTGGCTATTTAAAAATGAAATTGGTACGTGGATTTTTAGTTATATTTTGAGTATATACCACTCACATATGTGTTGTTATTTTTTACCGGCTCTGTCTTTAGTATGAAACCCGGGGAAACAATATATTGTTGCGGTCAGGGCACAGGATCAACTACTTGCCTGTAAAAGAATCGATCAGTTAAACGGACACAAATGTGTGTTTGCCCAATGCCTCACGGGAGGAAACGGGATTCCACTTACTACTTACGTACGTGCATATAATATAGAGTACTAACAAAGCAACTATTAAGTAATGCTTTTAAAAAAATAGTCTAAATAAAAATAAAAAACCTATTAATTCTTGATGATAAATCTTGTAGCAGTCGTAAATTTGATATTAAATTTTATTTTAAAAACCTCTCGGTTCTTTTGTTTTTTTAGAGAAACTGTGACCATGTTTACACTTATCAATGTATTGTCTCTGTGTTATCTTTGCTGTGATTGTCGATAATGGAGGAAGGATTTTCAATGTAACTTCAATAAGCAAACTTAAGTTTCGATCAAAAATTAATTACCAATATGCCGCATATTAAAATTAATAAAGACGTGACGGAGTTTAAAACATGTCTGTTATACGTCCGTTACAGTACAAACTTAACTACACTTATCAACAATGTTCAAAGTAATTCGACTGTGCGTTTTAATTAGACGATATTAGGCTGGAGCCTGGCCGGAGCACGGGGTAGTTCTCCTTCCATCGAGTGAATCCCACGCTCGTCGATCCTTAATAAAAACAAACAAACATTACAAATCATGCTAACAAGGGACGTTACTGGATTTTTTTTAATTTACTCATATTATTTAAGTAGCTCTTCCATGAGATCAGACTTACATCCGCTGATGTCATGTCTTTGTTGTATTACCAGACCGAATTGAGTGTTATTTTATTTTTTTGACACATGTAGTTCAGTCCGGAAATAATGAGGTTTCATAAAAAACTAATGGACCATGGTTAGCAATAGTAATAATATTAAAACGAGATCGTACGTGTATTCTACATAAATCTTTAAATGAAATAAAAATGTGATTTTTTATCGAGTCATATTTATCATATAACTACATTTGAGGGTTTTATCTTCTTTTGATAAGTGTAGAAAGCGAAAGTTTTCTGCAACACGGTAAACTACTTATATTTATTGAAGAAGTCGGTAGAAAAGATTTATCGATAAAAAATCGAACCCAGAACCACGCTTAATGCAACACGTGTAAATACCTATGGAGGAAGTCGTGGAGATATTACTCATGTTTCTCAACTCACATTATTAGTTAGATTGTTCGATTTAAAACTGTCTAAATATGTTTATTTTACATTATAGGTAATTCTCTTCACTGTAGCGGCACTGGCCTGCGCCCAAGGTGAGTACTGACTTGACTAATATTGATTCAACTGTGCTAATATTAGAATAGGCCATTTGTCGCTCAGATTTTCCCAATGTGATAATTATTTGCAGAATAAACACAAAGCTTAAATATTTACAATATAATTTTCCCAATTTAGCAATCTGTCTATATCAATAAAAAAAATTATTTATACCAAAGTATTGCCGAATTTACGCGAATAATACACATTTAAAACACATTTGACAGTTTTAAGCGCGAAATATATAGCAAACAGCTCGTCTAGTGATCTCGGCTCGAGCTTGAATTGGAATATACTAGGTATATTCCGTGTTTAAAACCGATAAAAGTATTTTATTTAAAAGTGTAATACTCGCGTTAATCTATAGTGGTCTATGCCACACTTAGAAATATAATTATTTCTTTTGATAGAGATACTAAGTTACGAAAATTATATTATGAATGTTTAAGCTAGTGTTGTTTCCTGTGCAAATGATTAGTGACCCCCCATGACCACGACTACTGCAATATGAAATGTCGGGCCGTAGCTAAAATAAATTTAAAATGTAAACTAATATATTTTGTGTTTAAACCGTTAAGTGTTTCAATTACTTATATATCTAGAATTAAAACACTTCTAACTGTTTGAAATGGCAAATATATTATTTAATTGAATTTACGTCAACAAAACGTCGTTAGAAATGTTTAATTTAAATATGTGTAGTGTGTAGCATATTTTTTTTGTTAAATCGAAGCCAATATTAACATAAGTATTGGCAGTAACAACAGCCTTCTTCTGAACCGAACCCGTTCACAATGCTTTTTCTGAGACTAGTTTACGAACATAATTATCGCAAATTAACGTTATGCATTTGTTTTTTTACAGTTTACGCAGCGCCACAAAGTAAGTATATAGACAACAAAAATAAAAATATAATAATTTCTCTATTAAATTTATTTATTCATTTGCACCTTATTTATTTTATATAAACGCTTGGTCGGTTGCCATCGATTGTTACTGGCCAGTAACAATTAATTTTGTCGTTGCTTATTTAATAAATGTTATCTGTGCTTTGTTATTTATATGTGTATATACTTAACACTGTTGATTTAAAGCTAAAGCTAGCTTTTATATAAAAATACAAGTTGGAATTATTAGATACGTTTATTTGTCTATCCAGATTTGCTGGATAGACATATGTACTTTCCTAATATTTCTTTACTCTCCTCTAGACGACAGTAACATAAACTCATTACAATAACGTTACATTGTTTAAAGTAAAGGCATAGGCGGGACTCGAACCCGTAACGAATTCAATGCCTGCATAAATGTCTCGGACTTAATTGGTAAAGGGGGCTATAATTGGTATGTTGTTGTTCGTGGGTTCGCGTCCCGTTTGTTCGTAATTTTTATCTAAAGTTACTTATATGTCGTTAAAAATAAGTAGAAGTTAAATCCAAATAAAGCAATTACACCAATCTTTAATTTGCAGTTCACATTATACTCAACAATGATCCATCACACGATGGTATGAAAAACTATAAATACAATTAATTAATTTCTCTAAAATCATTGTACATAATATTATAATTATTTACTTACAGTCCACGTTGTCGACAATCATTACGATGATCCGTCACAGGGTATGAATAATTAAATAACACATCATTAAATGAATATCATTACGAAAGTAAATATTTTGACAATTCTTTTCCTTTCCAGTCCACGTTGTCGACAATAATTATAACGATCCATCGCAGGGTATGAACGAAAATTTTAATTTCTCATTATTAAACAGTAAATTTGTACTTTAAACAAATGTATTTCCATTCCAGTCCATGTTGTCGACAATAATTACGATGATCCCTCACAGGGTATGAAAAATAAAATAAAATACAATTCAATGTATATCATTTTATTAAACTCAATATGTTAACGACAATGTTTCCTTTCCAGTCCACGTAGTCGATAATAATTATAACGATCCATCACAGGGTATGAACGAAAATTATATTTTATCATTATTTAACAGTAAATTTTAAAGTTAAACAAATATATTTCCATTCCAGTCCATGTTGTCGACAATAATTACGATGATCCTTCACAGGGTATGAAAAATCAAGTATTACAATTTAAAAAATACTAAACTCAATATATTAACGATAATGTTTCACTTCCAGTCCACGTAGTCGACAATAGTCATAATGATCCATCACATGGTACGTTTTTTTTACAAATCAATCCTTTACTAATATATATATAATTTATTATAAATGCGAAAGTAACTCTTCATATGTTGTCTGTCTGTTACTCTTTCACGTCAAAACTATGGAACGGATTTGAATGAAATTTGGTACACATATGGTCTAGACCCTGAGACCAGAAAGGACATAATTTGTACGGAAATTCGTGGTTCTTGAAAATAGAACATTGAAACTTTCTTCTTTGGCTAGGAAAGGAGTGGGGGTGGGACTGGGAGTGGGAGTGGGAGTAAGAGTAGGAGTGATGAGAGGTGAGAATGTTGCGACAACGTAACACTTGCAACATGGATTGGCAGCGATAAATAAGCAATTACATAATTTAATAAACAGCCTAAATAATTAAAAATTCAACTCCAAGTCACTATTCCACGCGGACGAAGTCGCGGGCACAGCTAGTATGAAATAAATAAGCTTGTCGAAAACTAAAACAGTTTTTTTTCACTCCCACAGTTCACGTAGTGGAAAATAAACCGCCTGGTATGCATTTTTATCTTTACACAACTTGAATCCTCAATTAATCTATAATAATATTATAAATGCGAAAGCAACTCTGTCTGACTGACTTTCCGGCTTTAACTCCGAAACTACTGAGCTGATTTAAATGAAATTTGGTACACAGATATTTTAGAGTTTGAGCAATTACATTTTAATGCCAAGAAAGGGTTGAAAAAGGGGATGAAAGTTTGTACGAGAATTGCGTGATTTTTAAAGAAAAAAAAAGAACAATGAAACTTTCTTCTTGGCTTTTTGGGAATAGAAGTAGGAGAGGAGGTGGGAGTGGGGGTGAGAGTGAGAGTGACAGTGGGAGTTTGGTTGCCTTAAATGCGCCCTTTCATAAATTAATAAACAGCCTAAATAATAAAAAAAATACCCCAAGTCACTATTCCCGCGGACGAAGTCGCGGGCACAGCTAGTATGAAATATAAGTATTGGTCATTTTATTATAATAATTATTTCAGTTATTATTGTTGTCAATCCTATCGGACTAAACAGACCAACACGAGGTACAGAATACGTAATAAACTTGACTAATAAAATAACTCAATAACTAAGTACAGCAAATAACTGTACCTACACTTCACAAAAATCTACTACTTACTAATTCTTACAATAAAATAACTTTTAACGGTTTAAAACGCGTAATTTATAAATAACTACTTAGTTACACTTATCGTTGAAATGTCGAAAGGACGGGCCATAGATAAAATATTCTTTTAAATAAGTTTAATTAATATATTTCGCGTTTTATAGCGTTGAAGAATTTTATCGAATTTGTTAAACTTGTTTACATTTCGCATTTTACACCGTTAAAAGTGTTTTATTTAAATACTATTTGCGTAAACTACAGACACTATTATATTAATTTGCTGCTATATATAATATATTCCAATTGAATTAATATACTAATACTAATAATAATAATACTTTATCGGTATCGCTTATAATTTTCTTCATATCTAAGGTGTTACTTTCATAATGGCGCAACGTATAGTGATTGAATCCTTAAAAAAAATAACAAAAAACAAAGTAATTTAAAGTTATCACATGAGATACACTGGTTTTGGCAACTCATATATTTTTTTAGTTCATAACACTGGCATATAGCTTTTTTTTCACAGTTATTCAATAAATGTATTTTTTTCTAGTTGTAGAGGATACTGCCTTCTACAGACCCACCTACGGACAAAACGGTAAACTATTATACTCTATAATATTATCTACTTATAATTATAATCTGTGGACGTTAGTGGTTCACTAATATTGTTTTTTTTTGTAGGTGGCGTTGACCCGGGATACTACCAACCCGGAAACGGACAAGGTAAAATTTATTGTTACTAACTCGTTGGTGTAATGGTCGCAATGTATAGCTAATAATTTAAAGGGTCGTGGGTTCGATCCCCACCGTGTCCTATATTTTTCTAATCAATTTATAATTTTGTTGAAAATGTGGATTTCGTCTGGAAAGCTGGATATCACCGTTCACAAATCAAGTATAATCGCGTTTTAGTTACAGTCTGTGGATTTCCAAATATCCGAAGTCAAATTGTTAGAGTGGAAAATTTTATCTGCCATCAAGACATACTCGTCCGTCCTTCTCTATCATAAAAATATATGTATATGTATAATATGATCTATTTATTGTTCGTATCTGTGGACATTGGTCTTACACTAATGTTGTTTTTTTATAGGTGCCATTGACCCGGGATTCTACCAACCCGGAAACGGTCAAGGTAATTACTTAAAACTATTTTAATTAAAAACCGTTTATAACATGTTATACATCATTTGATTTTTAACTACTTTTAACTACCCTTAACTGAAAGGCTATTGAGAGGCATTTGAAATGCTGAAATGTTTCAAGTTATTGAAGTTGATATTTTTATAGCAAAACTTTACAAATATGTATAGATTTCTAATTCGCGCTGAGTTTTGAATTTTTGTTATTGGAAAAACCTTAGTTGTTATAACATAATATTTATTATATCATTGTTATTCGGGCTGTTCGGTGTGACGTGAGCGAGAAGAAGTTCCCGACGAAACGAGCGACATCCGCAAGAGTTAATTCTTCGAGCAATAGAAGAGCTAACAACTGATGATGCCGTCCGCTCGTGATGGCGAAACGTCGAGAACTTCTCGCTCACGTCGGCCGAGCAGCCCGAATAACAATGATATCCTGAACGATAGCCATGAAAGCCTTACACGAGTTATAATATTTATATTTAGATATTATTTTTGCGTGATTCGAATGTAAGATGTGATAGCGATATAAGAAAACGCAGTCACAATTGTGTTGAAGTGACGTCAACTTTCACTATCGTACGAGTACCAATTTTAAATTTACACAAAGATAAAGTAAAGTGGACTATCTGATAACTAGACAATAGACGCGTAATGGAATCTTTAACGGTTTAAAACACGGAGGAAAAATAGTATTGTGATCAAACCTTTTGATAGCTTAGAAATATTTAAATAAAACAGTTTAAACGGTTAAAGAACGCGAAAATCACTCATGTTTAATTTAACTACGGCCCGAAGTTTTAGATGTTTTGTAGGCGTTTTAGGCATCTGTTTTTTGAGGTGCCCCTGTGACCACGGATAAATACAAATTACTGCAAAGCATCTGAAAAGTCGGGACGTAGCTAAAATAAGTTGTAAATAAGTGAATCTTTCATATTTTAAAACGTTAAAAGTCTTGTATTTTAATGGGTACTATATATAGACTGTAGGTATATAGCCGTGTACAAATTTATTTATTTAATAAGAACGACGTGGTAATTTCTGATCATTCTCCATTTTTCTTTTGTTTCAGTTGTCGACCCCGGATTCTACCGACCTGGCAACCCAAGTAATTATAAACTTGGATTAAATGGGATCACTTTAACATAAAAAAATGCATTTTAATAGAAATTATCTTAAGATTAGTTTACCTAAAATTATTGATTCTTTATTCATAAAATAAGTTTAAGATTTTAGTACAGACGACATACTAAATATTATTGATTCATAGGCGCCGTTTAAAATGTCCCTGGATTATATGGAAAATTTTCTTCTTTATTTAAACATTTTATTGCACATAATACAGACACTAAAGGAAACTAGAATAAATTGCATTTGCAATGGGCAGCCTTATCGCTAAAGCGATCTCTTCTAGACAACATTTTAATACTTGTAATAATTTCACATTTTGATTCTTTACATGTACACCAGATGACGCTAGTATAGCAGGTGGGTGTTTCGGTTTTTTTTACATTTTTTTTTAATACAAAATTGTTTTTTTATTATTATTTTTAGTGGCATTTTACCTCAATTATAAAATAATTTTCTTTCTTTTTCAGATATTTCGCCTGCTTACGTCCAAGGCTCTGGCCCTAGTATGTATCTTACTTGAGAAATATTTAATTTCCATTAAAATGCTTATTCCTAACTAAGACTTAATTAATTAAATATATGTCTACTGCTAAACAAATATTAATTTAACTTTTTATTTTTCAGACCAATATGAGCCAATCAGTAAGTATTTATTTTGTGTTTTTTTTTTAATACAAAGCACAGAATTATGTTTCGTTTGAGGGATCATGAAATGAATTAAATTGAAATGCACTGTCGACCTTTTTTTTTAATGATAGAAAAGGATAGATGCTACTATCACTAAAGGGGTTCACTAGATGGTAGATGAAATACCCTAGCCTATAGCATCTAAACAGGATGTGCTATCGACCTATATTGGCTTTAGATATTGGAATTTTTGAATCGGGCATTAAATATCCACACATGCTTCATAGTTTTCTGGTCTTAGGCAAGTTTGTTACACAACCAAACAGTTTAAAAATAAAAATTTAATCCTACTTATAATTTTCAGGCAACGGACCTGAATTCGTTGAAGACGGAAGGAAACACTGTAAGTTATTTTAATATAATAATTAATTAAATAAAATATTAACTTATAAAGAGAAACATACTGAGCTAAAATTGAAAGAATCCAGTTGACCTGCTGACGAAATAAATTATAATTCTTGTTGCTGGACTATTTTATTAAGTTCCACCTGGTAAGGTAATAAGGTCCGTTCATGGCAACACATCATTTATAATACAGAAGCTCAGACAAGCTTTGGATTATTTCTTGGTTTGTAGACGACCTATCTTGGCTTTGGGTTTCGATGTTCGTCAAATTTTTGTCTGTAGTTAATGTTAAGGTAGTACGCAAGTAGTATACAATAAAACAATTTTAACGGTTTCAAATAAAAAGGATTTTCATCTGTTTCAGACGACAACCCCAACCTCCGCAGTGGACACTACTAAGTTCAACTTCTTTGTTGCCTTTGTAACTTAGAGATTATATATTTGCTATCTTTGTATCTAATACATATATTCTGTTTTTTTGGCCCAAAAATATATACGTAACCTTGTATTTTTTTTGTTTTATTTGCCGTTTCCAATTTGGGGCAAGAGGCGAAACATTTCTGTTTATGATCATTCTTATACAAACAAGTGGTTTGAAGAACTTCTATTCACTACCCAACTGAAACAAGTTATCGTTTGCCCGTGATTCGAACCCAGGGAAAATAGTTCTAATATTTAATATCGCTATTCGGTTAAATTTATTTATCTTATTAATCATTAAATTTTATATAGCAGAACCCAGTTACATTATTCAACACTGCGACAAAAATTATCATTATACATAAAATAAATTAAATACAAATTACTTAGAAAATATAAAGTAAAAAAGCCATTTGAATGGAAATTGTATGTAAACAAAAGCTACCAGCGAAACGGATACAAAAATGTATCCGCCCCGTGCATAAGGGAAACGGTGTTTGTGTTTATAGGAATTTTTGTATAAATTTTAACGTGTGTCTTAATTTACTGTATTCACAGTTAAATACTGTCTATAGTTTACGCGAGTAGTACACATTTAAATAAAACACTTTAACGGTTTAAAACGCGATATATTAGTTAACGACGATTATTAGTTGACCCCGTGACCACGGCTGCTACAAAGCATCCGAAACGTCGGGCCGAAGTTAAAAATCATTTCCAAATAAGTTTAACTAATATATCGCGTTTTAAACCGTTAAAGTGTTTTATTTAAATGTATTCACAGTTTTTGTTATTAAACGACTGCCATTTATATAGTTCTTGATCAACCGGGACTCACCATGTGTTGATAACTCCGGCAAATTCCAAACTCCGGGCTTGCTTCAGAAATAATAAAAAATGCAAATCCAAATGCCGAAGCAATTTTACCCGAGCCAGTATTTGAACCCCACATCTCATGAGTTTGGAGTCGAATGTATTAACCACTAAACTAATGAGACAATTGTAGCGGCAGAAGTTAATTAAAATGTATCCGCCTTTTAATTATAAAAAATGGCGAACAATTACATGTTAGACGTTTAAGGAGATTACAATAATGTTATTTCTATAGAATCGGATCTTTTAATTGGATAATTGCTCTAAATCATGTGAACGTTGTTTTATTGTCATTTCCCATCCTCTAATGAATTGTGAAATTATTGAATTTGCTATAAAAAGGCTCCATCTGTTAATCTTAGTTCAAACACTACAATGTCTCAAAGCGTGGTAAGTTTAATACAATTTTTAAGTAAAAAATTTAACCAAGTTTGGTATAGCCTATCTCGTAACGAGTACGTCAAAGGCTTTTTTTTAAGGTTCAGTATTAGTAAGTATAAGATGGGAATCCTCCCTGAGTGACCAGAAATAATTTAATTCATACGGTTTTACCTGCATAAGAATTTTTTGATTTTGATGGAAGATGTTAAAAGTTACCTGGACAAATTTCATTAAAATTCGTTGATGTTTGTGATTTCAACTTGAATTTAAAGTATTTTTTCTCTAATCATTAGTTTAAAATTAAATGTATGTTTAAATAAGTGCAGATCCTAATAAAAAGCCTAAAGTATTAAACGGTAGAACGACAAAATAGTCGATCACCATTTCTGGCTCAAACCAAAATATCAATGGTCATAATAATTTTTTTTTATAGTTTCTGATGTGCATGCTAATGCTGGTAGCAGCATTAGCCGAAGACAATCAAAGGGATCAAAACCACGTGAATCCCAATCACAATTTCAACCAAAACTATCCAAACCCAAATCACAATATGGATTTTAGTAACATGAATCCAAACATGGACTTTGGTAATATGAATCCAAACTTGAACATGAAGCCTCGAGGTGATAACAAACATAATCAAAACGCCACCAAAATGCCTGATATGAACAAGGGTCCTGATATGCAGAAGATGTCTGATATTCCAAAGTTACCTGAGAAACAAGAAAATGGACCTAGTGCAAAGAATTGAATGGACGAACATGGACATTGCTAGTAGAGTATAATTATTAGTAAAATGCAATACAATTAGTGTTAGTTTAGTCTAAATTTGTTAAATAAGACAGAAGAACTAAAGATTGTTAAATCATCATGTTTATATAAAACACTTTAACGGCCTAAAACGCGATATATATTAGTTAAACTTATTTGAAAATTATTTTTAACTTCGGCCCGACGTTTCGGATGCTTTGCAACAGCCGTGGTCACGGGGAGACAGGTCATCGTGTTTGTGATTCGTCGTAAACTTTTACTTTGTTCAGCTTAAATATTAGTTTGTGGTCTAGGAGTAAGTGTACTTCCGTTATCGAAGACGGGGTCACCAAACATTTTTGACCACATTTGGATATTCTCCGTAAAGACATTGGCTTAGTAAACCTCATCATCTAGTGATCCCAGCTTAGATCACCAGACATGGAAACTGTCGGAATATGTATGTATTTATATTTACTTTAATTATTTTAAATATCAAGCTGCTGAACTTGTGAGATTTAAATAAAACACTTTAACGATTTAAAACGCGAAATGTTAGAGTTTGTAGTTTATTATTAGAAAAAATCGCACTTCCTTTCTTTTAAAAGTTTAATTTAAAAATGTTTGTTTCTGTGGAAGTTTAAAAAACAATTTGTAATCGCGTTTTAAACCGTTAAAATGTTTTATTAAAACTTGCGTAAACTACAAACAGTGTTTAACATGTGAGATGTTTAAAATAATCCGACTTAATTGGAGATATGTGATGTAGTTTGGTTTGAGATACCTATTTCTGACCTATGACATTATTTTGCATCAGCAGATAGTAAAGATAGCCGATATTATTGCTAAAGTGAATAAAATGGTAGTACAGGAATGCTTCTTGAATTAAAGTATGGTATATAGTATTTATTTTATTATAGATGTTTGTAGACATAGTTATTCAAAACAGCAATAAAAATAAAACATTAGAAAATCTTTAAAAAACATTTATATGCGTTTAATATCCCATTTCTTGATAACCTTTACGGTGAGAAGGGCCTTGACCACCAGAGCCGAAACCCTGGTTACCTGGTCCGTAACCCTGGTTGCCCTGTCCAAAACCTTGGTTACCCTGTCCAAAACCTTGGTTACCGTGTCCATAACCTTGGTTACCAGGCCCGAATGCCTGGTTTCCGGATCCATGTTCTTTATCGTACCTGGGGGCTCTGTTGTGGTCGAAACCCTGGCTAGATAAACCACTAAATTCAGTACCTGGCACAGATCGACCTTGGTTGTAGCTATAGTCTTGAGGGAGTCCTAAAAAGTAAAAATATGTTTTTAATAAAGCATTTTCAAAAATAGTGTTAGCGTAAAATGGTTGTTTGGCCATCCAAAATTGTTCCCTCCTCCTCATCTTTATAAAATACAGCTGTTATTCACGACGTCAGTCGCGTCCCGTCGTTATTGCAAGTTAATCGTAAAAGATAGACCGTCGCAGACATTTATTTAAATCATTTGAAGAGAAATCATTCTTTCATACATATTTTTGGTTCCTTGAACCAAAAATATGTATGAAAGAATGATTTCACTGCGTACGCAACAGAAACTTCGCAGCGTGATGTTTTATAGCTTTAAGCCTTCTACGAAAAATGCTCTAACCGACACAAAATGATTTTTTCAATTCGATTCAGTAGTTCCTGAGATAAGCGCGGTCAAAGAAACAAACTTCTCAGGTTAATAATATTAGTACAGATATAGTATGTCATACATGGAATATAATATATTCTTACCGTAGACCATTCCGACAAGTAAAAGCACGCAGACGAACTGAAAAAAAAGACAATATTATTATATCAACAAATAAATTCATCATTCAATTCACTTGACACAAAACACACTTAAACAAAACACTTTAACGGTATGAAACGCGATATAAATGAGTTAGCAGAAACGACGGGCAGTAGTTAGTAATTTGCAAATACGTTTAACCAAGATATATCGCGTAATTTACAGACAGTATAGAACGCACTTACGTTAAAAATAGGGGTTATTTGGATTTGGTTTATTGTACTTTTTCCATAAATATAATTCATAATTACAATAATACCATAAAAACATAAGCACTACTAATGTGGTAGATTTGCAACTTTCGTCAATTATTTTTGTAAAACAAATAAAAGGTTTGAAAACAGGAATTACGGTTAAAACACTGTCTTTCATTGGTTTTGGGATTAGCTATATATGACTACAAAACCATACTATCCCACTGAACATTCATAAACAATACTTTAATTGATTAGATAATTAAATCTAACATAATTGGATAATAGATTACAAACATATTATTCCCATTGTAAAGTTCTAAAACTGAGTGTAGAACGAACGAGAACACCAGACAATAACCATTCTAAAATTGATTCACAATTATTTTTAGCGTCTCCTGCTCACCTGTAAATATTGACTACACTTCTATGGTAGGTATTATTTACGAGTACTGAAATAATAATAATCCTAACTTACGCTACCATCGCAGTACTTAGAATTTATATTCTACTTCTTCTTCTCTTCATTTGTACATAACAGTGTGATACTTAGTTTTTCTTACCTTCAAAGCCATTTCATATACAATTGACAACGCGATATGAAAATACGAGTTGTTGTTTGTAATTACGAACAGTATATGATGCAAGTCAGTACTAGCTTATTAAAGATATTGCGCCTGACCTGTTTTATATATATGTATAGCTTTTCCCGATAAAGATTATTCTCAGAATGAAATTGTTTAATTAGTTACTTAGTCCCAATTCCACTAAGAAATATTGTCGCTGATTAACAAACATGGCGGCTATTAATGTTAAATTTAGTAATAATTATTTCGTGTTTAACAATCGATACATTTTAATCAATAAAAAAGTTTATTGAAGGAACTGGGTCCTAGTAATCTATTCCAAAATTTGAAACAAAATAAATCATTTTAATTGGAGGTCCATTGGTGAGGTTATCGTTTATGTTTTAAACAATAAATAAATGTTTTGTTGTTTCAATACAATTATGAATCACTAATAACAACGGAGGAGAAAACGTTTTTGAACTTACTATACCAACCTGACGAGGATGAAGGCAAACTTTTAAAAGAACCTGAATATGTCAAGCCACCTATTTTCCACCACAGGGAAGTTCAGCGGAAGTTGTGCAAAATGATGTAACACTGATTTGAATACGCTACAAATTATTATGACGAAATAATAACCCAAATGATAACTTTAGGTCATTGCGGCTAATTTTAAACGAGCAAGATGTTTATATTTTCCATAGTTTCCAATAATAATTTTATACTAATTAAATAAATAAAGGGATTGCCGCAGGATCAAGCAAAGGTATCTTAGGATGGTTTGAAATTAAATTCCCCATTATTAATAAATGACGTATGTGAAGATAGAGGAGAACATATCCAAAGCCAAAATAGGCCAACAGCGCATCATGTGCATATGTTATATGGCTGGGGTATTTCACCTTCCATTGTGTGAGCCTATGCTTGCTGTCCTCTTCTATTATTAAAAAAAATTCTTCTTCTTCGTAAACCGACTCAAAACAGAGCGGTTGTACTTCCCGGTTGTGTGCTCATGCAGTTTGCCCTACTCGGCTTTCCTTATATGCAAATTCAGAAGAACTCTTACATAATTCTAATAAACAATCTACCCTGACAAGACTACGCTCTATTTAGCATCACTGTAAAGAAAGTCAGAGCCCAATTTGCATATGAAATAAAGAAACTGCTAGCGATTAAGTCGTAATAACCACTTCCATATTCGGATATCCCCTTTTACAAGGGCATTGGAATTTTCCAAGAAAACTCTACTGTGTACTAGTAAACATAATGAATATTACAATTAATTGTAAAAACTAAAATTATCGTAATGCAGTACTGGTCTTTAATTGTAAAAACATTTAATTAGCATTTTTAGCCTTTCAAGCGTTTTAAAAATCTCAGCAGTGATAATATAAATTCTACAACTACTATAATTAATTAAAGATTTTAGGTTGAAAAAAATATCTAACCAATTGAGCTCATTGGTTAGAGCAAGAGCAAAGGTTTCTGTGGATGTCAGTTCAAATCCCATCCATGTTGGAAAATTTTTCATATGAAATTTAAAAAATATTCAAATTAGAAAAAATGTCAGAAGCTTTTTTTTATAAGTAAAATGCGAATACTATTTATGTAATAGATGTTTTATTCGGTACAACAAATCAAAATTTCTAGTCGGAGTTCGATGCAATTTAATAAGATTATATTTACATAGCAGTCCTGAAATATCTGCCGCTAACCATTTCAATGGAAGATACGAAATGGATGTAGAAATTGTATCTTTAACATTTAGTGTCTCATCACGCGTTGTATATTTAGTGTCCGTAGCCGTGGCCGTATCCATAACCACCATAAGCGGGGGCAGCTACCGCAACGGGAGCAGCGACCGCGACTGGAGCAGCTGCTACAACAGCACCAACGCCGTGACCAGCTCCGTAACCGGCTCCATAACCAGCACCGACGCCATAACCAAGTCCGCCAAGGGCCAAACCGTCCTGTCTCGCTACGGTGTCTGCTACAGCCTGAGCCTGAGCAGCGCTGTTCGCCACAGCGGCGGCCTGTGCTCGTGCAGCATTAGCGATACGAGCGGCTTCGATAGCACGAGTGTTAGCGAGCGCGACAGCTTGGACACGAGCTGCGTTAGCTACACGTTCTGCTTCAATAGCACGAGATAACTCCCAGGCGCTGGCGGCGGCTGCGCGTCTTGCTGCTTCAGCGGCTCTAGCGTTCTCCAAAGCGGCAGCCTGGGCCCTCTGTACGTTGGCGATACGGGCGGCATCTAAGGCTTGAGCGTTCTGGATAGCGTTGGCTTGTCCTGCTCTTGCGGCGACTTCTGTGTTGCGGGCGCTTTGGATACCGGCGGCGGCAGCATTTCCGATCTGAGCGGCTTGAACTGCTTGAGCGTTTTGAATAGCACTGAGTTGAGCGGCGCTTACTGCTCCGGCGTTGTTGAGTCCGGCAGATGAACCGGCTCCCAGGCCGAGACCAGCTCCACCGAGACCTACGCCAACAGCGGCGCCGGCCAGGCCATGTCCTGCGAGTCCAGCGCCGAGACCGATTCCACCGTGAATAGGTCCTGGTACGACTACGGGTGACAGGTAGCCAGTTTGGGCTGTTTTGGAGTCAGCATGCTTTTCCTTCGTCGCAGCTAAAATAAGATTTGAAGTGTTAATAGAAGCAATAATGTTTGAAATAATATTAGTCATCCGTTGTTGTTAGCTAACCTTCTCCAAGTACTTCATACGCCAATGCGAAGACAAAAAGAATCTGCAATGAAAATTAGTTAAACTATTTTGATCTCTTATTCTTCATCTTTTTTATTGAGATTGTTTTAGACAACCTGTGTTAAAAAGGACATCTTACCGTAAGTCGGGACATCGCAAAGTTTGTTTTGTCGGCTACGAACAACTAGATGGAGCTATGTAGCGGTAATGATGCCTTCCGAAAAGTGAACTGCACTTTTATACTGCACCGAAAATTATTAACATCGAATTAACAATTCTAAATAGACGGCCGATGCCGCCCTATTTGAATAAAATTATTTGCTCATGTAAAAACCGATTGAAGACCGGTACGCAAGAGCAGTCGCTACGGTCCACCAGGCTGCTACCCCTCGTTATACATTTGTGCAAAATGAGGTCTTAGCGCAATAGCATACATATTAAAATCGTGTACTTAAATTTTCCACTTTAATTCATGCTGTTGGAGAAATGTACTTCAGTACAAAATTCAGTGAGGGAAATCTTCAGCCCTTAGCACATACATCCTCTGAAATTGACTCCAGTATTGACAATACAAACGCAGTTTGTTAAGTGATTTTCAAAATATAGATTATTTAAGTTTTAGGTTAGCGAAAACACATTTAAAGAACCCGAAGTTCCTATAGAAAACAATTGGCGTAAATTTGTGTAACGGAAATAAAGTTATAACATATTGGTTACATTGTGTTCATTTCTAGTATTGCCAATTGATATTTAGAATACCGCAAATCCTTAGCGCCAGCCTATTACAAACAATGACTAGGGGCGAATCTTAAAAAGGATTTTACGTTGGCATAAATCTTATATCTATGACAGAAGATAGAGAAGCATCGGGTTCATCAAATGGAAATACCCCAGCGATGAACTGACGCCCGTCGTATATAGTAGTAATAGGCCCCTCAAAAAGTCGTGAATTTTATTACGGTTTCATAAATAGTGACGAACATCGAGGAAAATACATTTATTTTTTGAGAATTTAAACGCCCCTGTACAGTTTAAGTCTAAACAAGTACTACAACTACATAACTACTGTAACATTTTAAATATTGCATGCAAACGTATGACGATAGTTGAAAAATACTATTAATGTTAACGACGAATCGCTACGTCTGTTTGAAAGAAACAATATTAATCGTTTAAATAAAAAACTTTAACGGTTTAAAACGCGATATCTATTAGTTAAACTTATTTGAAAATGATTTTTAGATCCGAAACGTCAGGCCGAAGTTAAAAAAAAAATTTCAAATAAGTTTAACTAATAGATATCGCGTTTTAAACCGTTAAATTGGTTTATTTAAATGTGTACTACTCGCGTAAACTATAGACAGTATTTAATATTAATCGTGTCGTCCGTTTCTTCTCTACCTCCTTATTTAGCCGAAGCTTTTAAGTTCTTGGTGCCTCGTATACATAATTGTCTAGCATCTAGACTACAGAAAACAGATAATATCTACTTGAATACTCCGGAACCCACATTACTTAAACCTGTCGTCAAGCCTCATTGGAGTTACCGAATCTTCAAAGGTCTTTATGTAAGCAGTTACTTGACCGCTTATATTTATGAAAAACTACATGTCAAAGTGTCTGACTGGCCAGTACCGGTGGGCATATAAAGAAACAATAGTATCGCGTGCTATTGTTATTCGTAAATCCACTTTACTTGGGTAATTTTAACGTTCAATTGATGCAGAATAACTCAACCAGTATCCATGCGTACGTTTACGAAAAGTATCCTTTTCATTTTAATAGGAAGTGTTACGATAATTTATTGCTGGATGTTGTCATGTTGTACAAATTATGCCGATATTTATTACCTATTCCAATATTAGCCTGCTACATAACAATATTGTTAATCGCCTTGCCTCGAAACGCATGAGGTCCTGGATTTGAACGGCAAAAAACGTTTATTCGTTTAGGTAACTAAGTATATTAATTTACATTAACTACCAGTTCTCAAATAAAGAGCGTAGAACGAAGAAAAGAAAAGAAGTCCAGGGTAGTCCATAATACGACTACAAATGATAATATAATAATAATTGTCTGATCACTGACAACATTTTTATGATGACACATATAATACTTAATTATTATGTATCTTTATTCCTTAATTTATACAATTAAAATAAGATGCATATTTTATTTACTAATAAAACGTTTGGGGAGGCTATTGGCAGAAAAAGGTGTCCCCAAATTTCTTTCACAATTTTGATTTTCTTCACCATCATCATCATCATCATCCTCCTGTCTTGACCATCACTTCCACACTCGTTCACTTTCCGTTGCTTGGATACGATTCCATATCCTTTAACCTTTTCGTTTGTTCTCATTATATGTTTGGTTCATTAAAGTTTCCCTGTCTTTTGAATTACATCCTTGCCTTTTCCTTATTCTTGAAACTGTCCATGTCTAAAATTTTAATAAAACGCTTTAACGGTTTAAAACGCGATATATTAGTTAAACCTTATTTTAAAATGACTTTTAACTTAGACCAAACGTTTCGCATGTGCATTTGCATTTGCAGCAGCCGAAACGTCGGATCGAAGTTAAAAATCATTTTCAAATAAGTTTAACTAATATATCGCTTTTTAAACCGTTTAAGCGTTTTATTAAAATTTTAGACTTGGTATCTTTAAAATTAGTTTTCGTAATAAAATGAGTTCTCACTATCTCTGCATACTTAGCACTTCTTTTTCGGAAACATTACTTTTCTTGTGTTATCTTGCGCTGTAGAAAAAACATATTCTGTTCACTTGTTTCTGAGATATGAAGATTATGATGCCGTCCGCTCGTGATGGCGAAACGTCGGCCGAACAGCCCGAAGTAAGTGGCATATATGTTGTATAATGGTAAAGAATTATATCAAATCGCAAAACCTTACCATTGTTAAATTGATTGAAAAAAAGACATAAACATATACTATTTAAATTATAATATGTAGGAGTTCATAATTCCAGGGCGTGTTGTTGTTAGACAGCATTCAAATTAACACACTCTAGTTTAAAAAGAAATACACAGTTGTACACGGGACAACACGAATTTTTTTGCATGATGCAATTACTAAAATTATTATTAGCAAAGGAAATTCCACAATTTGCTATAACGTGACAAAAGGCGCATTTTTAAAGCTACATGCAAAAATTACAGGCGAAGATTTGGTTGTTTATTTGCTTATTTCTTATTTCATTATTTTTTTAATAATTATTTATATGTCTGTTTATATTTGGGAATAGACTTGGGATAGGGTTTTTAGATACAATCAAAATTTGTAACGTAAAAATCTCTTAGAATAAAACTATGATTTTAAGACAACACAATACAGAATTATATTTAAATAGGTACTTTTTTACCTGTAGCGTTCCTCAATAAACGCTCTACCTAACACAAAAAGAATTTTTCAATACGTACCCGTAGTTTCTTAGATTAGCGCGTTCAAACATACAACCAAACTCTTTATATATTAGTCTAGATGTACTACTCGTCAAAATACTTAATATTGAATAAATTTAGTCTACGAATGCCAGAGTGACAACCAAATATGAACTGTATTTTTTTTAAGTTTAATAATATCTAAATCCGGAACATATGTAACAGTCGGATTTAGGCTTTCCAAATATTATAGGCCGATATACATCTTGAAAGATAGTTGTAAACATAGTTATTTGACGGTGAATGTGTCGCAGGTACAGTAATGTACAAATATATACTTGATAATTGACCTAACATACATTGGAACACAAAGAGACGTAGAGTAGAAAGATCTTTTCTGAGTATTGAAAACGGACAATATTAATAACACTTTATTATCTGGCATGAAAATAAAATAAATTAGAAAAATAATTAAATATATGTCGGATAGAACTGAAGATTTTTTTTAACTTCGTAATTTCAGGAACACAAAAATAATTGTTCGAATTGAACAATTGTTTTTATGTTGGATAGACCGTTTACCAAGGAAAACGTTAGGCTATATAACACCACGCAAACAATCGAAGCGAAGAAACGGATTTGATGAGGAAACAGCGGGGGAATTTGTCTTTGAGGGTTTGCCGTTACGTGCGCTGCGAGAACGGTTTAAGAAACAAAAGAGAAGATATACGAAAGAATGATTCTTCGTTAAACGATCTAAAAAAATACCCCGACAGTCTATCGTTTAAAGTGAATCAACCATCAATTCGGTAGGAATAAATGCATTATTACCGAATAATTGTTAAACTTATTCGATATATTCAACTTTATCAAAAAAAATGTGTTGTATTATATAATAAAGTTTGAATACAAAAATATATATATTTGTTGAGAAAATAGTTTATATAAAGAAATAAAAAAAGGTATTGATTATAACAATCACTCAAAACAAATATAATTTGTTTAGAATGAATTAAAGTTAAATATATACACAAGAATGAAGTAACGGTTATTAATAATAGTTTTATTGATAATGTTTCCGGACTGATGCGATGAACAAATAAAAAAAAATTAAGTAGCTACTTAGTGTAAGGACATCTGCGTCAGCTGCGTCGTTTCCATGCCAACGCTGTTCTTGAGAAGGAGGTCACTTCGAAAATGGTCCATATAAGAGCAGCGTCAAGTTCAAGGAAAGTTCAGTGCGAACGGAGTTATATTAAAATAATTTGTGCCTCATGTGAAATATGGAAAATATTCGCTTATTTTTACTTAGGGTGAGTGATATTTTTGTTAAACAAAATCTCTCCCCGTGACCACGGCTGCAAGCAACCGAAACGTCGCAGTTAAAATAAATTGATCAGTTTACTAATATATTTCGTGTTTCACACAGTTAAACGCGTATTATTTGATAGGTCATTGGTCTAGTGGCTATTAATAACTGCAAATTATAATGTTCACGGTTCGAATTCTGAATTGAGCGTAATTTGACCGTTTTATTTAAATAGCAATTAATAATTAAGTAATTTCAAGCAAATAACTGGTTGACATAATCTTTCTATATTTCAGATAATTTTGACATCAATATTAATAAATATTTTAGTAACAAAAGATGTGGAAGCGTATCAAACCGTCCAGTCAAATAGTTCACCAACTTACAGAAGAAACACACAAAGGCGTAATTGGTCGAACATTTACAATAATATGCCACCATACCTCGTGCTGAATAGAAAAACCGGATCGTACTTTCCATATTATAAATTCCCATATGAAAACAGTTTAAGAAGGAATTCTGTACGAAATACAGGAGCAAGACAGTGGAGTGGAGTTTAAGACTTATTAGAATTAAGGAAATAATAAAATAATATATGTTTTTTTGTCTTTTATTTACAAATAAATATCGCCCTTACTCGCAACCCTAAAACGTCGAAACTTATAGTTCGCGTTTGAAACCGTTTAAAATATTTTAAATAATTACTTATCACTCGGTGTTACGGGTTCGATTTCTGATGGGGTTTCTAGTATCAATTTATATCGATGGGGGGGTAGGAATATCGAAATTCCGTCCGGATCACAGACCACCGTCCACAGATAAAAAACCGTCAAGTTTAATCGCCTTTCGGATTCAGTCTGTGGATTTCTGATAATCTAGTACTAATAGTTCTTGCAGGGCTGGCCGGTCGATCCTTTTCTATCATAAAAACATGTCTATCGACTCGGCTTCTTCAGATAAAAACCTGATTTCAAAGGGCTGCGTGGCCCTGAACTCGTAATGGCCTTGAATGAAGAAACTTCTTGCATCGGTTCAATAATTCAAGTTTATAAGTATCATAAACTACCTGATCCAACAAACCTTGTCTTGTTGTTTAATATTATGTTCACAGCAATTGTTAATAATTTCTTAATTTTGACTAAATTTTATTATCGTTCAAACGGTTCTTGCGAATCTTAACTGATAGACTTGTACTGTCGCTGAAATTTTATAAGATCATTAGAAAAATCGTCCTTTCATAGATATTTTGTGGTTTCTTCAACCGTTTTCGCAGCGCACGCCACGGAAGCTGTAAATATTGTCCACTGCTTCTTCGCTCCTTTTGGTCGCAGCCTAATGTTCCTCGATAAAGTATCTATTCAACACAACAAGTTTTTTTTATTCGAATCCGTAGTTCCTAAGACTAGAGCCTTCAAATAAAAAAACTGTTCAGCTTTATACTCGTAATAATAGTACAAATTGTAAAGCAACGCAATATAACTATGTATGTATTGCGATGTAATTTATGGAAATCTGAGAATGTTAGCAGGAAAATGATTTCTAGAATAATATTATTAAATTAATAACAGAATGTATTTGGAATACCTCGGCTTTGATTTATAAATACTGGAATTACCTCATTTTTTTTCTACGCTCGTTCCAAGAATTTTATTATGTATAGGTAAACAAACTAGAATCCTTCTAAGTCACCATTACTAAAAACATACATACGGTATACAAATTAAGAAATATTAAACAGTACATTTGAACTTATTTGAATGTAAATTAATATACACTACGAACTGAAGTTTCTGGTGATACTTTACGGCAGGTGACACGGGGCTGTGAAGAAGTGTTTTATTTGTGGTGTACCAGTTGCGGAAACCACAGACAATACTGGAATTTGGGTAGATTAAAAGAAATTGGAAGGCGTTTTATTGAGAATGTCTAAGTTTGGTCCTGAAATTATATTTAGCTGAAAAAGTGCATCCTTTTACAAACCTCCGTAAATTGACCACCTCTTAATTTATCTATTTAGATTCACCCCACAATGAAAAAACGATCACTAACGCTACGTCCCCGTATATCAAGGACTAGCTGAGTCAACGACTTCGTACGCGTCCCGTCGTTCTTGTAAGTTAATCTTGAAAGATAGACATATACTGTCGGACTTTTTTTATAGATCATTTAAAAAGAAATCATTCTTTCCTACATATATTTTGGGTGTATTTAACCGTTAATGCAACGTACGCAATGGAAACTCATAAAGTTGAATAAATTTCTCCGTTTCTTCAACATTCTGCTGTTTCTTAGCTTCTATCAGTAACAGAGCTGTATAGCCGTTAGCCTTCCTCGATAAGTGTAATGTGGATAAACGTTAACCAGCACAAAAATAATTTTTCAGTTCGAACCTACAGTTCCGAGAGATTAGCGCGTTAACAAAGAAAACCAAGAACAAACTCTTCAGCTTTATATATTAGTTGTAAAGTCATAGATGAAAGGCGAAAATACTTATAAGAACCCTAATTGCACGTAAAAGAAATTTACAATGTAGGTACATGTACATTGTAAATTTTCACATTAACACATTCATTTACACATTTTCACATTAATCACAACTTTTTCTGATGATTACAGATTCTGGTTTATCCTAAATTGAACAAAAAGTAATGGTGGTGGCAATTTTTAAGTAGGTTTTTATCACTGCAATAAAGCTATGGAAACATTCCAATAAAACTTTAACGGTTTAAAATGCGATATATTAGTTAAACTTATTAGAGAATGATTTTTAACTTCGGCCCGACATTTCGGATGCTTTGCAGCAGCCGTGGTCACGGGGAGACTATGGAAACAGTTTGTATATTTGATAACACTAACAAGATCTCAGTGTTGCAGAGAAAGAGTGACAGAATAGAAAAGCGTTTTCAATGAATTATATGTTGAATTGTCTGTAGTTTACCCGAGTAATACATATTTAAACAAAATACTTCAACGGTTTAAAACGCGATATATATTATCTACGACTCGATGTTTCGGGTGCAGCAGCCGTCTCCCCGTGATCACGGCTTTTCGAGTTTTCAAATAAGTTTAACCAATATATATCGCGTTTTAAACCATCAAAATGTTTTATTTAGATTTATATGTTTACAAGTAATCTCCAAAATAATTCAACAAAACTTTGTGAATAAAAATGACGAGGGCAGCGCCAAAAGGAAGAGTAAATTAGATACTTCCACTAGAGCTAAAGATGCTAAGCTTATTTTAATGAAATGTGTTGCCTATAAAATACGAGTGATATAGGCTAGTGTATTTAATAGATGCTATTCTAATAAAAGGTAATCTAGCCACGAAAAATCTAAAAATGATATTGAAATAGTGGTAATAATGTTGTTTTAACGTTAAAATATGGTTGTTCACTTCACTGCTTGTTGATTATAAACACAATATCAATATTTTGTGAGGTCAACCGTCAGCTCATCTCCTAAATAAACCAGTTCCCTAATACTTTGTTTATGTAATTTGCATAACCTGAATAATCATCAATTTGTATCGCTTTGAGAACGATCTATGTTTTGCCTTAAGTTACCGGAATTTAAAAAATGAGGATTTACTTAAAATGTCCACAGTGAGGAATCAATAATCTGTAGATTACGTTAGTAGTATACTTAAAAAAAACTTGTAAACGTTTAAAACGCAAAATATATTTGTCAAAAATATCTAAATTTCAAAGGAACTTTTTTCACGTCCAGAACACGTCAGGAAGTTAATACAAGCTTTAAGAAATTCGATTATCACAGACGGTAGCTCATTTTTTTTTGATAGAGGAGGACAGACAAGCCTACCCCCCCCCCCCCACCTCCCCCCCGCCTGAAACCAAAACGCGATTAACTTCACGGCTTTTTCATGTATGAACGGTGTGCGTGGATCCGTTTTGTAACGCGGACGGTATTCCAATAATGCTACCACCCATTTTATATTTTCAGACGAATATGTTTCAAGAAAAATAAAAATTAGTGAGAACCCACGACTTGTTGATACCATACAGGACACCCACGAGCCCGTAATTTTATTTGAGGTAACACAATAGTCGTAGTTTTGATTCCGCCCGTTTTATATAATTTAATTAAATAATTCTATTTTATAAGAATCTTAAGTTACTTAAAGATATGAATAAAGATTAGAGTTATCATTGGAAATAATTGAGGAATGTTTTTATTATATTTTTTTATAGCCGTCTCTCAATTACAACTGTGTAATCTCTATTAATAAGTGGAAACTTTGAAAAAATACATAATCAACTTTTTACTGCAACATCTTTAGCAATAAGAAAAGGCTGAGTACGTCACCCGAGCTTGTCTTGGACGCGGGATGTTACCTTTTTTCTGTATAAATATGAGGGAAGGTGGAGAATAACATTAGTATACGGTTTCGTAGAGTGTAATCATGGCTAAAATTGCGGTAAGCATTTAATTCTTGACTATCTTGATATTGATAAATAGTTAATATTTTAAACTAATATTGCTATATACATAATAAATAATTTACTATATCGTTTGTATGAAGTGTGATAACAGACAGATTTGTTTTACTAATAGAATCGTCTTAGTCTTCCCGGGATTCGAACCAAAAACCCTGTAGATAAAAAATAAACAAGTCATAATTTTTTCGGTTTATCGTTGGTTTTTCTGTCTGTTGTTGGAAAAATCCAGAATATCGTTTGTTAATTACCTTAAGAGTATATTATATTGATTATTTATTTATTTCTATCTAATTTTCACAGATATTTCTCTTAGCTTTAATCGCTGTGGCCGCTGCCTACCCAGGTAAAGTTCTTAACTATATTATTATTTACTTTAGTTAAAAACAAATATACAATAAGAGAGTAGGCACCAGTCCTCCAAATGACTTGATATGGTTTTTTATTATAAAATAAAGCATTTACCGAAAACTAGTTAAAAAAAGATAAACTTAGATAAGCTTTTAATCAAGCTTTTAAACAAAGTAATTTCACAAAAAATAACGTTTTTTTAACGCAATTAAACAAACTCTGTTGCTTAACAGAGACAAAGTATAAAACTAGGGAGCCAGTTATAAAGAATGACTGCTAATAGTTGCGTATATAATAAAGTAATTCCTTTGTATATAAATAATGTAATCTTATTCCAGGCTACGGTGGCGAACAACATGATTACGGTCACCACGACGGAGGGTGGGGCGACCACGGCGGACATGGTCACGGTGGGCACAAACAAGACGAAGGATTCGGTCATGGTGGCGGGCACAAAGTAGACGAAGGATTCGGTCATGGTGGCGGGCACAAAATAGACGAAGGATTCGGTCATGGTGGCGGGCACAAAATAGACGAAGGATTCGGTCATGGTGGCGGACACAAACAAGACGAAGGATTCGGCCATGGTGGGCACGGTAGCCACGATAGCCACGGAAGTCATGGATATGGTGGCCACGGCGAACACGGCGGCCACTACGGTCATTACTAATTTGTGATAATTTATAATAAATAACCTATAAGAGATGTTTTTTATTTTATTTTTTTGCTGTCGCGAGCATTACCTAAGGAACTAAGTGAAGCCTAATGACATTAGAAATTTGTAGGGTTGATTACTTGCGTGTCCGACCTATCAGTGCAACGGACACTATTACTCAATATCAATATTACATTGAAAAATACCAAAAACTCTTGTACGTAGTAAACATGAGGCTTTAAAAACATTTTTATCATTGGGTAAAACCCTACTTTGCAAATATTAAAAGTTTGACAGTCTTTTGAAGTGGGCAGAAATGAACTAATACTTATCTTATCTTTTTGGGACATGAGTCATACATCTCCCACTTAGAATTAGATTTTGAATCAAATAAAACACTTATGAAACACTGTCATAATGCATTCAACAACCGTTTATCAATTTAGCTACAGTGGCGGAGTCAAAGAAACCGGCCAGTGAAACGGACACAGAAATGTTGTCGCCCCATGCCCCACAAGGGCAATCGGGATTTCACTATTACAACAACAGTAGTCACAGAATGAACTTTCCCCACTTAAAGAAATATAATTCGCGTTTAAAACTGTTAAAAAGGTTTTTCTACCACTCGCGTTAACTACAGAGTATACATAAGACCTTAGAGTTATTTAAATAATAATTACAATGGTTTTGCTTATCAATAGTATGTACAGGCAGATCGTGAAGAAGCCTCTTAGCCATGCGTGATCGAAAATATCTCTTCCCCCCCTTCCCCCACCCCATTAAAGGAAGGACCCCATTCCTTTAACTTCCGCGATATATACTGTAGTCCTACCTACAAATCGAAACAGTTGAACGCTTTGTTATATTGTTGACATTAAATTGTTTGTGTCAACTGTACATATATGTATATTTAATGTGCAAAATGAAATTTCCCGTCTAAAGTCTTAACCAAGATTAGATATGTCAGTTCGGGTCAGATTTGATTACGATCATTTCTTATATAAGATGATCACTTGTACATAGAATCATTGAGTTTTGATATCTCGAAGTAATACTATCGCAGACAAGATGGGTAAAGCAATGGTGAGTCTAAAGACTATAATTATATTGTTATTGCATCTCATACGAATCAGGATGTAGTTGATAATTATTGCAATCTGAATACTGTCTGTAGTTTACGAGATTAGTACACATTGAAATAAAACACTTTAACGGTTCAAATATATTAGTCAAACTCACGGTCTGACCACGGCTGCTGCAAAGCATCCGAAACGTAGTGCCGCAGTTAAAATAGTTTAATAGATATATATCGCGTTTTAAACCGTTAAGGTAACCACCAAGTAAGTTGCTCTTAAATGATCCAAAAAAAAATCCGCGACGTTATGTCTATCTATTAAGATTAACTTGCAAGAACGACGGAAAGGTACACGACCGACATCGTTGGTTACTTAATAAGTATGTAAAGATGTAGGGGGTTTGCAAAAACGAATTTGGATGCCAAAAATAACGATTCTCGCGGACGAAGTCGCTGACACAGCTAGGCATTTCGTAAATTACTAGCTGATCCGGCACACATTGTTTTGTCATTTGCAAGATTAACATTATTATGTTGATATATCTCTTACCAATAATTCGGTGTAATGCAATAATTTCAACGAATTTTGATTACAATAAAAACGGTCTTGCTTGGGCATTCGCGCAGATTTTTTCGACAACTTAAAGAGGAATTATTCTCTCATACTTTGGTTACTTGCACAGTTTTCGCAGCGCACGCAACGAAAGCCCTCAATGATAAATAATTTTCCCCATTTTTCCACATTTTCTTTGATTTGTAATGGCTATAATAAAATATTTTATTGCAGTTCATTCTGCTTGGTTTGGTCGCCGTAGCTGCCGCATACCCAGGTAAATATATTCACTAAAGCTACATCGAACATAGGGAAATCATTTTAAAACAACTTTTAATGAATTAAAATGCCCACTGTATTGGACAATACGTTCGTTTACTCGTATTGAATGATGGCTATGTAAAAATAATTGTATTGAAATGTCAAAAAAGCTTAGCGCAAATCAAAAAAGTACTAGCTTATAATATTTGGGGTAAAATTGCAGGAGGATATGGAGGTGGCAGTCACGGAAGCCAAAGTGGCTTGGGTGGCTCTGGCTCAGGATTTGGGGGTGGACAAGGTTTTGGAGGTGGTCATGGCAGCCACGGAGGCGGCTTAGGTGGTTCTGACTCAGGATTCGGTGGTGGTCACGGACAGGGCTTAGGTGGTAGTCACGGGGGTGGATTTGGAGGCCACGATTCCGGTTTCGGTGGTGGTCGCCCAGGAGGTTTCGGTAGTGGCCAGGGAGGCTTCGGTGGTGGTCATGGAGGATTCGGTGGTGGCCAGGGAGGCGTCGGTGGTGGTCATGGAGGATTCGGTAGTGGATCTCAAGGAGGCTACGGCGGTCGCCCGGGAGGATTCGGTGGTAGCCAGGGAGGTTTCGGCAGTGGCCCTGGAGGCTTTGGGGGGAGCCACGGTGGATCTGGAGGCCACGGCAATGAAGGTGGTTTTGGTGGAGGTCATGGTGGTTTCGGTGGTGGAAAAGGCCAGGGCTCCGGCAGCGGTGGTTACGGCCACGGTGGTTATGGTGCTCACTAATAAGTTGTTAAAAATTTAATAAAGCAGTTAAGGACTTAAGATTTTTTTTTATTTTCTTGCTAAACCTACAATGCTATTCTTAAACCAATGTCCCTTTAAAAGTAAAAGAAAACCCACTAAAAAGAAAAGGTTTTAGGTTAGACAGAAGAATTGTAATGTTTAATCAATATTCATCTTTTGTATTGATGTAGTAAGGCAAGAGTTAACTGCAATGTCAAACTGTTTTAAAGAGCCAGTAAGTGCAAAACAACATTCAATAAAATAATTGCTTACAAGCAATAACCTTAAAGATAACCTTTTTGATCATAATTGAAGGCCACAAAAGCGCAATTATTATGCACAATGCATAAAATACAAAACTGTATTATTCACACATTTTTAAGTGGGTAAAAAAACTAATTAACAAATAGTTACAACAAAATTTTTAATAAGATGAGTTTAATGTAAGTCTGATTTAGACAAATATTAATAAAACTTAGTTCACAGGATGTACTAGTCAAATGTCATTGGTATATTGTGGCTCCACAAAATAACTAATTCATTTGCGGGGAAATTCTATTCGTATGTATAATACATTGCCAGTCGAGATTTCAAATTTATCGATATCTAAGAAAGTTACAAAAACTTAGTATTATTGTCTGAATTATTTCTTTAATGACAAGACCGCCGGATTGCTCCTTAGGTTAATAAATTCACAATGTATTAGTTTATACGACATATTTAAAAAAGCAGGACTGAGTTTTTTAGGTGTTCTTCTAGGTTATGTTGCTCTTTTAAACAACTGATCAACTTCTTTCAGTAAAATGAACACAGACATACGTGCGCCCCATACCCCACAGAGGGAAACGGCATTAAAAAAAACTTTTGCGTTCGAAATTAATAACTATTAATCGCACACAGAGGATCTCCAGGATTTCCTTACCAGCTCCATCAGCTTAGTAACGAGCTCGCTTAAAAATTTTAATATTTTTAAGTATTGCACATAATATCAGTATATACAATAAAAATCGATTTTAGATTAAAAAATAATTTGTAAGTGTTAAGGTTAAAGGTGCAAGCAATAGGTTGAAAAAACGATGACGTATAGGACATGGCAGCTCAAGTGGTAAGAGCAACGGCACGGAACGCTATAGATGCCGGTTCAAGTCGTGTTTTTGTCGTATCGTTTTTTTTTTCAATCTAAAAGCTATAAGCTATTTTGTTTTCTGTGCACCAGCTGTGTTGTTCCAGCTGCCGCTGCATCGTCGAGGATGTTATGTAAGTGGAAATTACATAACATCATTATTAGGGAGCTATGAACTAACTATTAATGAAACTCCAAAACTTCATACTGTATATAATAAATATATTAATAATTTAATCTCTAGTATGTACACTAACATTATTTACAGATCAATTTAAATTTTTATACACGTTTTAAAATAAAAAGGCAACTATTCTAACTTTAAAGCATTTTAGAAGGCGAAAAACGAACACTATACTAATAATTAATTTTGAAATAGACATCAACTAGTAATAAAATTTTAGTGGCCACAATGAATCCCTTTCATGTTTATCCAAAGACTCGCATTGTGTTGTCACATTCTAAATGTAATGTTGTCTCTTTCACACCTTGGATGTTGCACGGTGGATACAATGCTTTTCACCAAGTCTTTAGTTATTTCGAATCACAGCATTGTAAACGTTAAGTTAATGCAAAAATTATGAGGCGTCTTTAAGGCGTGAGATGTACCGAGTACTGACCGATATCATTTAATAAGTTGTGTCAATAATGTTATTTTGAGATAAACCACTTTTAACGGCTTGTATCGTACAAAAACTGTTTATTACTACGACACGACACTTCGGATGCCTTCCCCTGCAATATGCAGATACATGCGTCGCGTTTTGAACCGTTAAAATCATTTGCAATGAGAAAGTACGTTCTGTTTCTAACATGTTTTTTTTTTTAATTACATTAAAGCAATCTCGCCAAGAGATTCATTATTGCCAATAACAAGAAATATATTAGCATATCCTACTCCAATCATTACCCTGTTACAAGCGAGTCAAAATTAAAGTATTTCAAGTATACAATAAATAACGATAAATATTTTATTTTATAACAAAGGATTAGCACTCAAAAGTGTATTTTAGTATCTCTGTTAACGATAACAGCTCACAAAGATCAAAGGCCGATAAGAAGATAGTAACAACAATAAAAAAATCGTACAAAATTAGAAAAACACAAAAGAAATGCTTGAAATAAAACTAGAGTAGAATAAAAACAGAAAACTCTCGAGCCCTACCTTGTGGTAGAAAACCTAATAGTCGGCAATAACAAAATAATTATATTATTGGAAGGAAAACAATTATTAACCGTTGTTTATAATCGACAACGCTTTCAAAAATAGGTGAAAGCAATGTCACATTTGTTGAAACGAAATTTGTCCACGTCAACTTAGAGTTTACACTATAAAATCCCCCCTTGCTCTGACAAGAGATACCGCTACTGTATCATAGTGTCATGCATTATGTTAACTACCCTAAAAATTATTTAAACTTCCTTATAACGCGAATCTTTCTGTCATTTGAATATTGGATTATTTTCATTAATTATCACAAGTGCTTGTTATAAAAATCTAATATTGCAACAAAGTTAGCCTCGAGGTAAGTGCAAACTAACAAATTCGTGGAAAATGCAACATACTAAATGAGAAACGCGAATATTGAATAGATACCAAAATATTTCGTCGTCAGTTTCGTGCTAACCAGAATAGTTACCGTTTATAACTGTATTTTGTCTAATGTAGGATGATAAGTGACATAGTGTGGCGAGGGTAGTTTGTAATTTTGCGATACCATTTGATTTATGCAATCTAACATCTATCAATAATAATATTAATCAAATAATTTAAATATTTGCATGTGCAATATGTAGATGTATGTACTAATACAATTTTTGTACGACTACTCTCTTATCTGATTAATTTTACTGTCATAAAATTGACTGTCAAACTTAATATCCTAGATTAGACAAAATGAAAAATGCCCGTACAGTCCATGTGAAGGTAGCTTACAATATTTACCCGCAATATTAGGGTACTAGTAATTTTGAAACCGTTTCTCGTTCTACAGCTAAACTTATTTTAACAGTCCTTTCAATTTTGTATTAAGAAATAAGGCGTTGATTTCGATTAGAAATGTGTGCTATTAAATAATAATAAATATTTAGGTCTAATAATTACTGAAATAGTGTTAAATTCAGAATAACCAAGTGAACGTAAGGAAGCCTTTTCACAGCTTTAATTTTATAAAGCTTGAACTAATTTTAAATTTATGGTGTAGTAGTTAGAACAAAATTTTCAACAATCCAATAAACTTAAACCTCACGTTCATTATATAAAAGTTGACACAGACCGCTTCTTCTTCTTCTAAATATACGTAGGACAATGCTCCAAACTAGTGCCGCACGCGTCACAAGCTTTCGCGTCTCGCTTGTTAACGAGCGTACAAGCGGGGCACTCCCTGCCACCGGAAGTCAAAGGTTCTATTTCCGGTCCCCGTTTCGATTTTCCACACATTTCGCACGCCTGCACGTTGTTTCTGTTGAGATACGTGCATGTGGCGCACTGCCACTTTTGCTCGTGTTCAATTCGACTCGGTGTTCGGTTCGGCGTTCGCTCGCGGTTCCCGTTGAGCTTTGGGGGTGATTGGCGCGAATCCGGTTCATCTAGCGATACCACCAGTTGGGCTTTTAGGTCGTACGGGTGCGAACTCGTACCTGAAAAAGATTTTTTATGTTAGACATGGGCAGTTAATGGGGCTTGTTGGTAGATAAAAATATCCCAGCCATGTGATGACAAGATGACAGTCTATAGATTTGCGCCAGGAAACGGAAACTACTTTTGGTTTGTTCTTTCGAACAATCTAAGTAAAAACTAAAATAGAGAGAACGCAAATACACATACATAAACTCAGTACACATTACATAAAACGGAAGTGGTCTTAGTTACAGAAGTTTAAAATGAATTACACAATGTGTTCACGTTTTAAATAGTTTGAAATGTTTTATTAAATCATCACGTTTCTATTTTGCGTTTAAAATTGTTTAATAATAACATAAAAGACAATGACATGCCCAATATGTTAGTATACAGGTACAGGTATATATTAATGTATAAATCACTTACTTGGTACATTTTTAGAACTGTGCCCCTTGTGTACACCATTCTCTAAAGGCTTTTTCGATTTCTCGATCTCAGCTGCGACTAGTTTGACGGGCTTCTTCACTTTCTTCACTTCAGAATTGGACGTCGTTCCATTTACCGTTTGCTTTATAACTTCTTTCCTATCCTTTATATCCTTCTTTGAGAGCAATTTGACCTTATCCGGAGCAACTTTAGGTGTGACTAGACCGTCTGCCTTCGGATGTGGTATAGACTCTGGCTTTTTCACTTTCTTCTCCTCTTGTTTCTTTCTTGTCCTCTTCGCTTCTTGCTCTAGCTTTAACCTCATTAGATTTTCGTTCACTTTCGCTGTTCTGTACATTTCTTCATCGTATGACCTGTCTAAGTTTAAAGCTTGCAGTCCGTCCTCCAAGTCCATCGTTGTCGGTTGGAATTTTCTCCGCTCCTCTCGTTCTAGTCTGTCCAGGGTTCGCGAATCTCTGTCCAAGGATTGAGAGAAACCACTTTTGCTATCTCCTTCTTGGTTCTTGCTCGATAGATTTCTAAACACGTAGTCCCAGCTTTCATACGTCCCCATCCCGTCTTCTTTAGCTTTTAGTGTAGGTTGAGTATCAGATCTTGGGAAACTGGGTATGGACACGTCACTATATCCGGATTTTGATCTTCTGTCCAGTCTGTGTTTTCGTCTGTCCTCCTTTTCAGAGTCAAGTTCGATAAGTTGTGCGGTGGGTACTGTTGGGTAGCGGTATTGAGGATGGTATCCATTTATGGGGACATTCGTAGCATGCTTTATAGGGGCATAGACCGGAGTAGGTATCATGTAGGGTGTTTGTAGGGGATAATAGTAGGGCACTCCGTAGGGTATCATGGGGACGTTACACTGTGGAATGGGTACAGGCATGTCAGAGTGGGGATAGAGCATATGCGGCATGGCCATGTAGGGATGCATAGGTGGCTGGATTGGTTCTTCTATAGGAGTTTCGGGACAATGACAGGGTGTGTAGCCGGTGTCAATGAGACGTCGTTGAGGTTCAGCCGGCATAGGCATGTTGGAATATATTTCGTTATCTGAAATGAAAGAACAATGGTTACGCGTGTTGATATAAAAAGAAAAATAATAAAGATGAGAAAATGCAATAGAGGTATTATTACAGTTTTTGGTTCAGGTTTAGAAGGGGTCGTAATATTTGGCTAATAATCAACGGGTCGTGGGTACGATCCCCACCGGGTCCAATATTTTTCCAATCAATTTGTCGTTTTTCTGCAACATTTTCGACTCCCGAAATCTGGATATTGAATGGATAATATCAGTATTCCATCCGGGTCACGAACCATCGTCCACAGATGAAAGAGCCGTTAAGTTTACTCGCGTTTCGGTTTCAGTCTGAGAATTTCCTACTATCTAAAGCCAATATAGGACGACAGCGCGTTTTGTTCAGATGTTGGACCCTACTACCATTACGGAAAAGTTATACCGTCAACTTATTATGCCCGCTTTGAACTCAACTCACCATCAGTATATCCAATAAGCCTAGAAACAGCACAGTTTACATCCGATACAAAGGAGGAACGATCTCGAGCAATTTCCACCCACGACACGCGACCTCCGTTGCCCCACACACTCTCCCAAATTGAAGACATGATCTGTAAAAATTTGATATATTAATACAAACATAGTGTGACAATTATTTTATCTCTATTTACATAAAGACAATTTTTAAATGCTTCCTCCTTTATAATACTCTCCACAATGTAGATAAAAGGGTATGGCTAATAATAAGGTACGTAGGTTCATTTACACGGTTCCAATTTAAAAACTTCTTTAGGAGTTCTGGACTTTTAATGGATGTTAGGAATATTGCATATCGGTCTAGGCCACGGACCATATAAGGAAAAAAGGTCTAAAAATGGATTCTAAAACGTTGAAAGCCTATTCTAATAAACATACGTCGACAGCACATTCTGTTTAGATGTTATATGGCTAGAATATATATCAACTTCGAACTAGTGAACCCATAGTCTTCTGTAATAAAAAGATGTGAAACACTTAGTAGTAGGGACATCTGGTCAGTATGTACTTAAGTTATTCTCGTGACGGGACAGTGGACAAGTAATGCCAAATAATAATCTATACTAATATTACAAAGTTGAGAGTTTGTTGGTTTATTTGAACGCGCTAATCACAGGAACCGCTAGTTCGAATTGAAAAATTATATTTATGTCGGTTGGACCATTTATCGCGGGAGATTTTAGGCAATAAAAACTATTGCGTCCAATAGAAGCGAAGGAGCTGTGAGGAGGGAAATGTGATGTGTGAGAAGAAAAAAGGGGCTTCCGTTGCGTATGCTGCGAATACGGTTCAAGAAACCAAAAACAATGTACGAAATGATGTAATACAACATCCGCAACAGAATATGTCTGTCTTTTAAGATTAACTCGCAAGAATATCGTAAGTATCAGCTAGGAACCAAAAAAAACAAAATACTCATGCAGCGCTCATTCAAAATAACATGCCAAGTTGTTACAGTACATGAATTATTACAGTGCTACAAAAACCTTGCTCAAGCCCGACTTACACTTGACCAGATTCTGCGCATTATTTATTACTTGTATTTATAGTCTCTATTGATTTAGAGTAATAACTTTACCTGACATTCACACTGAGCAATGAGAGCGTCCCGGGATATTGCAGCGGCCATGTCAGGACAAATCGGTCCGTCCAACGCTAGACGACCTGCACCGATCGGCCGATAGCCCATCGCTTGGAGCAAGCTTTCGCCGCCTATGAGATTTGCTTCGACTTCATGTTTGAAGAAGCCCGAATATAACTAGAAATTACAACGTAAATTCAGATAATGTTGAAAATAATGATGACATTACGTTAAATCAAAACATTCCAATTATTTTCAGGTAGGCAGAGCAAAGTCGTTCCGTTCAAGTCTCTGAATAAAATCGATTAGATTTTGAAACAGACTCAGAAATATATCTGCCACTAGTTAGAATCCAGCCTGCATAGTTTTTTTCTACATTGTGTTTTATAAATTAAAGACCGGTTTTACTTGATTACGGCATTACAATTATCGGCCGTACTTGAACCGGTATACACAGCGTTCTATGCTCTTGCTTTCACCAATGGTTCTGTGCCACTTCAAGTTAGGGACAATTATCATTTCGTTACTATATTATTGTTTATTGTTATTGCTTTGTATCTTAGTATTAAGTTGGCAAGTAATGAAAAAATATTGTGAATATTAATTTTTATACAAACCCACCCGAATAACTTTATATTCTTTCCTCCATGGCTGTGCTAGTAAGTTTCCAGCATATCGTGCTAATGCTGCCCAACCTATTCCAGCTCTGTATGCACTATAATCTTGCAATTCATTTACAGTCCGTTGGAACACTTTACCAGTCTCGGATAAACCAAACTTGCACTCGTGTGGGACTAAGGATAAGTATTCCGTAATATAGCCTGAAAGAAAGATTATATTACAATGAATAAAATCATAAGCTCAATACTGTCTGTAGTTAACGCGAGTAGTACACATTTAAATGAAACAGGTTAACGATTTAAAACGCGAAAAAATATTTAAGTTAAACTTAATTAAAAATTATTTTAAGAACCGCCCACTTTTTTTGGCGGCTAAATACCAACTACAAGAGAACATTTGGCGCTAGTGTAGCAATTTTTACTTTGATATCAAAGACTTTCTCCGTCTTCAGTCTCCCCGTGATCAAGGATGCTGCAAAGCATCGGAAACGTGGAACCGTAGTTAAAATAATCTTCAAACAAGATTAATTAATACATTTATAATTTTTAACCTCTAAGTGTATTATTCACTTAAAGTATAAGCTAAGCTACACAAAAACTAATCATAAAAAATCCATAAACAATAGCTTTACAAATTACCTTCTAACTTTTTCTTCTGTTGCAGTTTCTCTGGGCTGTCGTCAATCTCTAAATAACTATAGTGCGTGTCTTCTATCCGCCTCCATAGAGCTGGTAGACGGTCGCGTAGTGCTACATCGCCCATACAAGACATTATCACCATTACAATGAAAGCGATCTAGGCCGGGAAACCTGAAACTGTGAGAGTGAATATTTTTTTAAACTAATAAAAACATCAAAAACTATCAGTCCGAAAAGTAAGTTAGGTACACTGATGAAGCATTTCAAACTAAAAACTCAAATTTGCATTTACTACCAGTCCTTAAGTCATGAGCGTAGAACTAACAAGAACTGGCAAAAGAGAAAACATTGCTTTCAGTTCTTTTACTTATGGATTTTTCTAGCAAATATTCAGAAGTTAGCTGTTACACTTTAGGTTTAGAAAAATCATGAATGTACTAATGATAATTTGATGGCAGAGTTGCTGAAGATAGAAAAATCTCAACAATAGTCGACTTTAATAACAGTAATGTAAAAGTAACAACAACTTGTATCTTATATTGAGTAACATGTTGAAAGCATTAACTTTGATATTTATTTTGTATGGTATAATGTTGCCTTTGAAAATCTTTATACAAGACGTAATAGTATATTTTTTGGTAATGTTTATTGTAACACATCAATAAAAGTTAAAGTGACATTAACTTTGGTTTAAATAAGGTTTAGTAATCTTAATTTTTATGGTAAAAATACATAAATGACAGTATTCAAAAATCATTTTTATATAGTACATAAGTAAAATATTTTTGTTGTTAAAAAGTAAAAAACTAAATCCATTGTCTAAGGGTTATAGAGATTATATATTATTGTTTCAATGTAACTATATCAAATGCTTATCAATAGATATGGAGTACAGTGCTCTATGACTCATGACAACAACATTTTATATACTCCTAATAACACATGTATTGTGTAAGTTTAGGTGATACTTATTATTTTGATAACACAGAACCAACATATACAGATATAAAGAAAATAATTACTTAACACTTTTTCTTACCTTTACTAATCAGATTTATTAATTTTTTATAGTTATAACAATATTTAAAGGTTAAACATAGGCTCGACGCATCTATAGTTTTCCACTATGCTTAGAACTGCTTTAAACACACTAGGTCTTGGATTCAAACCTCAGAGAAGTTAAATATGCACTATTGACCAGACAAGAAATTATAATTAGAAGTCTTACAACTTCAAATACTTCAGGGAAATCTGTAACTCCACCCCAATAAAAGGGAAAGTGGATATAGCACACAATAATATTAAAGGATAATATAGCTTCAATAGATAATTAAGCACCCATAAGGAAAAGTAAAATATCTTATCTTGGATTATTACTTGAAAATTACTAATTACTTACATTTCAGTTAAAATCCCTTCAATTTTTTATTTTATCATTGATTAGCTGGTATTGGCATAGTAAATAAATAAACCTTACTAGGAAAACTTAAATTTGCATTGACGTTTCACAGCAAACGGTTTTAAAGTGTTATAATACGACTTGGTATGTTAAAATAATAAATACATGCTTTAAACATGCCTGGAATAATGTACGTAGTCATACAAGAAAATAAACAGGTGCGATTAAAAATGCAAATTGGTTACAATGTGACGACACAGCTAAATTCTTACACCGATTACGGTTAATTGGACGCTTTACATTTGTAATTAACAATATAAACTTACCGATAAATGTCTCATTCTTTTAGGTGTCAAAATTATTTCACTGCATCGAATCTAGAGCGGACAAAAATAGTACACCCAAAATAACAAGGACAAGAACTAGATTTTAGGTCTAACTTTTATAAAGATCGATCGACTAAAGTTTTAACGAAAATATTTTACATAATTTCAAAATGTGTATAATATCGTGGTACGTTGTGGTAAGACAAATATTCTAAATAATTAAAAACAAATTTTTATGTACGAATTTTGTTTTGAGTTCTGACGATTTTTTGCTGTTTGCAGTTGACACATATTTGACGTTTGATATGTTGACTGACAACTTAACATATAACATATAATATAATGCCACAGAGTTAATAAAAGTGTTAAGCATAGTCAGCAAGGACAGCATATTCTATAAAAAAAAAGTTGATGTCTCAATTTACATTATAATATGTATATTATATATTTAAGAAAATATATATATTTTATTTTTACTATAGATTGTAATCTATAGTAAAAATAAAGACATTTTTAAGCTATTATGTTATTTTTAATTGATTTTAACTGCGATCCAACGTTTCGTGTGTTATATTTAAATGTCATGTACTACACGTGTAAGCTGTTGAAGAAAGAAAATACTTCAAAGTACTATTATACTCTAGCTTAACATTTTTGTATTAGTTACGTAAGGCTGGCGTCCAACTACGAAAAAGTTAGAAAGTGTCATGTGTCATAACATGAAGGATATTTAAATTTAATACTTACATTTTAGACGACGTACAATGGTAAAATATATTGCTTTTATGGACGTATTGAGGCAGGAAGAAATTGAAAAGTTCTATCAAGTATGTTACGCGAAATATATCGATGAAAATACTTAAATTCTAATTAGAATTTAAAAAAAAATATAGAACCTAAATGTGCGGGGCAAGCCGCGTGGCTGAGAAGTGAGAACTAAGGTCCCATACATTTAAGAACGAAAAAAATAAAAATTAACTATTGTTTAATTATTTATGGGGAACGGTGAAATTGTAGCGGACAACGTGGACTGATCACCCGTCCTGCCGAAAGTGTCCCCTATAGAAAATAATAATTGTTTAATTATTTATTATTGTTTACTTGTATTCTAGGCGTGCCAAATGCATCGAGAATACTATAAAGGATACCCTAAAAGTTATCATCCTTTAATGTACTTTAGAGAACCAGAATACGCATTCCAGTGTCCGCCTGAAATGTCAGAGTAAGAGATTTCTTAAGCTTTAATTAATTCGTTATTATAACAAAACACTTTTAGCGGCTTAAAACACGAAATATACGTTTTGCTTATCAGCGGCAACGATAACGGGGGGCAAAGCGTCCGAAACGTCGAACATATATATTTCGCGTTCCAAAACGTTAAGTGTTTAAAACTAGACAAATAACGACTACCTAAAGAATTGTATATATCCGAATTTACATTTTCATTTTTCTTCTTTAGATCGTACTTGAGTTTTCCTGCTTATCATGTGAAATATAAGCAACCCTCGATTTTACCCTCAACAATTGGTCGTACGTCAGGGATTCCTCAATTGCCTCACCGTTCCTTAGCGGGTCGTTTCAATAAGACACCTTGTAAAGCTTTTGTAAGATGATGATTGAAACAAAAATGTATTACAGAATTATTTTCTTTAATAAATGTTTATTTATTATTTCACTGTGTATTCTACTAGTCTCGGAACCATCTATGCTAAATCAATAAACGGATTATAATACATATTACTATTATTTTTTTTAAGTAATTATAAAATTAAATTTCATATAAAAGTCAATAAAAAAAGTTAACCTAACGCATGAATATAAAAAGATTAGGTTGACGTACAATAATTACTGATTATCACTTTTAAATGACAAAGTCAAAATACTGGCAGTTGAGTAAAAAAAATACAACCGCCAAATTTGAACTTCTTTACCAATCAAAACCACGACAAAATTAAAATATAGAGTACATTTTCGGTTCGCTAAATTATTCGTTTATTATGGATATCTATTTTGTTGATAACGGGCGGCAAGACGAGATTGAAACATTTTATGAGGTACAGGTACCTAAATTTGAGACCGCTAGAGCCAGAGTGGCCTAATAACAAAAACATGATTTTCAGTAAGGAAAATAAAAATGCGCAATTAACTTAGGCGAAAATGAATTTCTATAAGGAAGAATTATGACAATTTTCGGTCACTATGCTCTTGTAGATTAACATTTGTAGACTATAAAAATATGTATAAGTAACTTAAGACATAAAATTGCAATTAGGCTACTCTTCCTCTAGCGGCCTCATGTAAATTGTGAGTATGCTTTACTCGTGTACCATTTTGTATATTGTTTGACCAGGCCTGTCAGCGTCATAGAGATTATTACAGAGGATATCCAAAAGCTCATCATCCTCTGGTTTACTTTAAAGATCCTGAATACTTGTACCAATGCCCTTCAGAAATGACACCGTAAGTAGGGACTCGATTGCCCAAACTCGCTACATAAATAGTATCTAGCTGGACAAGGGTATACAAAAGAAAAGAAATCATCGGGTCCTCATTTTGCCTAGCTTAAACTTATATAGGGACCCAAAATTATAGACAGGAAAAAGAACAGATCGTATGCAAAAAAAAAAAATTCTTTTATGGTTGTATTTTATTACTAGCTGCGTCAGCGACTTTGTTCGCGTAGAATAGTCATTTTGGGTATCTTGTTGTAATGTTTTGCAAACCTCTTTCACATCTTAATAAATTTAAGCTGTTACGCACGACATCGATCGTGTCCCGTTATTCTTGCAAGTTAATTTAAAGATAAACAAATAACATCGCGGACATTTTTTTAAGTCATTTAAACAGAAATTCATTCTAACATATTTTTTAGATGTCTTAAACCATTTTCGCAGCGTACACATGGGAAACCCACAGAGATGAGTGATTTCCCCCCTTTTTTTAACACTTCCCGCCATTTCTTCGCTCTTATTAGTCACAGAGCAATGTTGATTAGCCTTTAGAGAACGCTCTAACAAAGAGTTTTTCAATTCGAACCAGTGTCTGAGAATGGCGCGTTCAAACACACAAACAAACAAACTCATCAGCTTTATATATATGAGTTTATATTCTTAGAAGCAAATGCAAAAATACAAGTTTTTCTACAGCACAGTAAATACATTGTTATTATTTCGAAAAGTCGGGTTGAGATGTGGGACATTGCTTTTCATTGTAAAAAAGTTAATTTAGCAAAAAGCCAACATCACGCGGTGTTCCCAGGCGGTCACCCATCCAAGTACTGACCGCGCCCGACGTTGCTTAACTTCGGTGATCGGACGAGAACCGGTGTATTCAACGTGGTATGGACGTTGGCAACAAATCTTCAGAAATAAAACATCATACTCAACAAACATATATAACATTTCAACAAGATGTGCCGTTGACCTAATTTGACTTTTGGATATTTGGAAATTCATAGAAACCGAAACGCGATGAAACTTGATTTATTTTGTCGTTTAATGATAGGAGGATTTTAACGGTTTAAAACGCCATATATGTATAATAGTTAAACTTATTTGGAAATTATTTTAACTTCGACATTAGAGAAACCCTTAATTTTTAGTCTCCCCGAGCTCCACCGCTGCTGCAAAGCATCCGAAACGTCGGGCCGTAGTAAAAGTAATATCCAAATAAGTTTAACTAATATATATCGCGTTTTAAACCTTTAGTGTTTTATTTAAATGTCTACTGACCGCCTAAACTATACACAGTAAGTATTTGATCTTGTCGTTTCATTCACAGTGTATACCTATCATTCCCAATGTTTCATGTGAAATACAAACAACCGATCGTGTTGCCGAGTGAAACTGGACGATCTAGCGGAATACCAGCTCTTCCGGACCGCACACTCGCTGGACGTTTTAATAAGGCAGCTTGTAAAGCTTTTGTTAGATAAACGCATGATTTGTGGATTAAGTATTTAAAAAATTAAACGTAATATGCATTAGACCATATAATGTATCCTTACTTCACTGGACCCAAAGTGTTTTTAGTTTGAGTGATTATTGCGTCTTGTGGTCTGGGGCATCGACCTCGGCTTGAACCACCGCTATGAGGGGAAGAACCTTGAATAGTTGATGGAAGCTCACTCGAGTGAGCGGTAAGGAACAAAAGTTAATCTTTGACAATCTTGCGCAGCTGCTTGCCAATCGGCGCAAGCGCTTCTGCAAGCGGTAGGTATAAATGTCTTTAGTGAGGATGGATGTCGAAGCAGCGACAAATACAGTAATTTAAAAATTTAAATTGTTTCTAAGGGATTCTTAATTACAACTTATCTTGTTCCAGTACCATATAATCATAGACCGGCTTCTGTTAGAAAATAAGAGCAGACAAGTACAATATAATATAAATTAATAATTAGTAACGTAAAACAATGGTATAAAAATAAAAAAAGTAGTAATTAAGAAGAAGTAGACCAGGTCCCTTTTGACCGAGGAAGGGAAGACCCCGTTGTCATTAGCTAGAAAGCTTCTAAGAGACAAAATTTAAAAAAAAAAACACTAGTAGGTTAATTCGATCAGTATACCAAGCTTTACCTTTTTTGCTTTGCAATGCTTTAGCTGTTTGCGCTAGGTAGACCAGATCAACTATCTTTTACCAATCCCAATAGAAAACGAATAGCCAATTTATATATTTGTATATACAGTCAGAATAACATTAGTCCAACCAAGTGTAGTCCAAAAGGGTAAATTAGTACAGGCTAGAAATACATAATAACAACATGTTGTTAAGATATGTAATTAATAAAAAAACACTTGTGTTTATAATCTAAAGTAGAACGAGGACGAAAACTCCGGTATTCTTGATAGAATAAACGTAAACTCAGATAGACCGATGCCACCGCTGAAGTCCAACTTGATTTCTTCTAGAATCTGAAACGAGAAAAGTTCCGAAGTAAACTGCATGGTCCTTAAAATATCTTATCGTATTGTAATAAATATAGGAAATATTAAAAAGTATTCAATTGGTTAAACTAAATATGAAGCCAGATCCAGAGTAGCCTAACTGCAATTTTATGAATTATTTACATTTTTATAGGCTAGAAATGTTAGTCTATAGGACCAAATATAACGGCAGAAAAACGTTTTTAATACTTTTCATAATTATAGTGTCTCTAGAGTGTCTGTAGCTAATGTAATGTAGTGATCTAAACTTTTTGTTATTTCAAAAACTCTAGCTCCTAAACTACTCGGCCGATTTTAATGAAATTTTGCATATTTTACTATAGTATGTATGATTAAGTGTTAAATCTACATGCCGTATAGTAAGGATCTGCTATTAATTGTATAATGCGAACGCGATTCGAACAGAGGTTCGGAATCGGTAGCTAAATTTGGACAGCAAGTATATGACATATACATAATAAAAACATGATTTTTAGTTAAATTTCTAAATAAATGTCCCGACAGTATATGAACACGGACGCAAACTACGCCGGGGACCAGCTAGATTTATGAAGATGAGGAATTTGCAAAAACAAATATGGATACCCAAAACATCTTTTGGACCAGTCGCCAGTTCCTAAATAAAGGGGTTTTATAACCTGTCATATGCAATATCATATAAACATATTATAATGATAAGTTTCATAGTCTTACAATCTTCGCAATTTTAGCTTTGGAGTGATGATCGAGGCAGTGATGGCGGTTGTCTGGATCCCAAGTCAGGCGATCTAGTATCTTACTTATGTCCTGTGCGCTGATTTGGTTATCCTCATCTATGTCTGTAAATAGAAAATACAAGAATACACATAATATACACGTTTGGCTCGTTGGTGTAATGGTAGCAATGTATAGCTAATAACCAGGCCGTGGGTTCGATCCTCACCGGGTACAACATTTTTTCTAATCAATTTATAATTTTAAATAAAACACTTCAACGGTTTAAAACGCGATATATTAATTAAGCTTATTTGAAAATTATTTTTTACTTCGGCCCGACGTTTCGGATGCTTTGCAGCAGCCGTGGTCACGGGGAGACTAATAAATCGCGTTTTAAACCGTTAAAGAGTTTTATTTAAATGTGTACTCCTCGCGTAAACTATAGACAGTATCCAATTTATAATTTCTAAATCATGTTCGCCTGGAGACCTGGATATTGAATGGGTGATAGGAATATCGAAGTCATAAAGCTCCGTCCACAGATGAAAATGCCGTCTAGTTCCATCGCGTGTCGGTTGCAGTCTGTGGATTTCCGAATATGCAATGCCCAAAATAGGTCGTCATTGTTGCCTGTTCTCTTCTATTATAAAAATTAAAAATCGTCAAACCTTAGAAAGAAATATGCTATTTTAAAGAATTTGTTAAACTAGCGAAATTATATACAGTTTCAATAAGATCAGCTTGTTGAAATGAAATCTTGAGTCTGGTTTTCTCGAGACTTGTAAAAATTCTGGTAATTTTTTTGTGCTCATGCATTTTAATTATAAGCATTTGGTAAGATGTCTGTGTTCATACAATGGTAGACAATACATAAGACACTTACCGAAAATTCTAAACGCCCAAGCAGCCTTCACGTCGCTGGGACAATCTGCGCTCATGACGGAGCAAAGATCTAATAGGTCTTCAAAGGAGAAACAGTTGTCATTTTGTGAAGAAAACACTTTAAATATTCTGTCTTGAAAAGGATTTGTCTGTAACAAATATTTTAATGCAAATTATGTATCAGTCCAACATGCGACAATTAATTTAATATATTAAACGGCCTAAAACACAAGATAAATTGGTTTCGGTCAAAATAAAAAATGTAAAATACGACAAAACAGATGGCGCTACGGATTTAGCTTTAATATGACAGCTGCTTTAAAAACCGACTCCTGAGAAATCGTAAGATAAATAAGCTGGCAAAAAAATGTCACGTTTCAAACCGTTGAAAGTACTTAGTAGTTTACTAATTAACATTTTTCACTTACTTTTAAAACATCGAATTTCTTAACGATGTCCGCCTGACTGAATCGGTGTGAAAAATTGGAGTTCACCTTCTCGGGATCAATGGAATGGAATTTCTTCATTAAACTGAAAAATGTAGAACATAAAGCATAAGCAAATAAGGAACGCATGTTAACACTGTAGGTATCTGTTGTTTCAACCGTTCTAGCATCCCCCATAGACTTCCAGTACGACCGGTCGTTCGCTAGTTGAATCTAGCGTTTCCCTGCTACCTTGACCAGGTCCTCAGTCCACCTGGTGGGAGTTCGTCCAGGTTTTCGACGTCCGGTACGTGGTCTCCACTCCAGAACCTTTTTGCCCCAACGGCCGTCAGTTGTACGAGCTATGTGCCCAGCCCACTGCCACTTCAGCTTGCCAATTCGACGGGCTATGTGGCAACAGGTGACTTTAGTTCTCCTAGGGATCTCGTCATTCTTGATTCGATCACGCAGGGTAACTCCGAGCATAGCCCTTTCCATCGCACGCTGAGCGACGCGTAGTCTGTGCACCATGCTCGCGGTGGGAGACCATAGGTATTTAGCATGTATTAGCGCTAGCGCTGCTAATAGCATAATAGCGTAATAAAAAAGCTAAGCGTTACAAAATGGTTAAATATACTTACTAATATATTTCACCCTTATTTAAATAAGTTAACGACGTATAGTCTTCAATTAAATCCTCAGTTAATAAATGCTTTGTTGTAGACGACCCCATTATTGCAAATACTGTTTGTTTAATTATAATTCGCTATCTTATCGATTTGATTGTAGCAGATATATATGAAATTATCATGCGTAGTTGTTTTACAAAACATGACACAGTACTGTATTGTTTCGTGTAATAGACTTAATTGTTTTGAGACCGGAACCGCGCTGATAAACCAATGACGCGTTTGTCGTTGATTGAATTTTGTCTCGATCTATGTTCGCTCGTCTTTTGAATTTTCAGGTTTTCATTTTGTTTTATTGAAAGTGCAAAATGGAACCCTATTACCTAAGTAAAAGGATTTCTTTTTTATTCTTGTTACATCCCGTTGTATCTTAAGAAGCAATAGTAAACACGGTAGTATTCAAGTAATGATAACGTATAGGCACTTGAATTATTATTCAAATACTCTATTGTATTTTTTGTTAAATAATTACTTTAAATCAAAATAAAACGCGTTTAGCAACTTCAAATAACTAAGTGTTCATAGTATGGAATTCGCACACGAGTCCAACTCACACTTGGCCAGTTAAATATAGAATACTGTCTGTAGTTAACACGAGGAGTACACATTTAATACTAAACAGTTAAATCAATATATAATGCGTTTTAAATCTTTAAAGTATTTTATTTAAACGGTTAAAAGTTATAGACTTTAATATTTCCCACGTGGTATACTGAACATGCACTTTTATATTGCACATGACATTATATAGTCGTCATTAGATTGAAAAATATTTACGACAGCGACTTGAACTCGATCCACAGCGTACCTTCCTGTGTTTCAATCTAAAATCAATTTATTCAGTTTAATATTTTTATCTTAGCCATAACTATTAAAAAACAACCTAACCTCCAACAGACAGAATACTATAAATAAAAATAATTAAAACAACGACAAATGTATTTTCAAAATAATTTATTACTTAAAAATCCAACTGAGAAACACTCAGCACAACAGACTTACATCTATATTGCCATCTTTCACGCATTCGGGAATACAACAGGCAACGAATAAGCTAGTCAATGAAAACCAGTCACACTTTTAAACTAAATATCTGACTACCGTCAAATGTTCAAACGAAAGATCCTTCTATTATATTTAATATTACCTTTCTATAAGGAAACACACAGTTAAAATGTGAACTTAAATCACTGGGTATTAAGGTAAGCTGATGAAAAAAAAGGAAGCACAAGACACGAGCCGTGTTTTCTACTAACAGCCGAAAGAACTAAATTAGACTACTTAATGTTAATTAATAGAACTACAAAGTAAACTTCGTCAAAGGTTAAATGAATAAAGCAAAGAAATGAAGCTGGATAGGCGTCAGTGGTTTTTAACTGGACCTCGACAAGATTCAAAGTGCAGTTTTCGCGACTAACACATTTTAATACAACTGAACGGTTCAAAACGCGAAATATACTTGCTTAACCCACGATGATCACAAACGTTAGATTGAGTTAAATAAGTATTATATTTTGCGTGTTAAGAATGTCTTTATCATGAGAACTGTACCGCGGTACTGTATGCGGATAACGATGTGAAGTTGAGGAAATCTCGAATTTACGCTAAGCTGTTTGTTATGTTGTTTTATAGGTTATTTGGAATTGATTTGTAACAGGAAAATATTCAGAAATATTTCAAGTAGACTCAGATCTAGGGTTATTAGGACCATCTCGGCTGTGTTTTAGAGATAGACATTACCATACACTTTGTCTAATAACATGATGACGTCATAGTACACAACAACAATATACAAACATCGCTATGCATTTATAAACTACGTGTAATGTATTTTTTCTAACTTGGCATATTTGTCAAACAAACACACAATTTAATTAATTTTTCACAAGCTTTACAACAATCCAGAGGGATTATATATTAAACTAATTAAATTACCTCAATTTCAAGCAAAATTAAGGAAAATCATGAAAATTAATTTACGTAAGAAATTTCTTTAGTTTGACCTTTACATAGGGATGGGATTTAAACGATAATAGCAGGCAAGTCACACTTATCGATCTTTGAAAAGCGTTACAAACGTCTAGTAAAATAATAATGAAATAAAAAAAAGTTCGTCATAATAATGATTTTAAATATTAAGGTCGTTGGGTCCATATACAATTGATGTTTCTTTATCCCTGTGTCATCTGCGATGACAACTTCATTCTATAAAGGGTCACCACTAACTTTCGATGGTTTGAAATCGGCCATATTTGTTGCGTTTTTAGCCAAGTTAGAAAAAATACACTATAAGTATATTTATCGGCGGCCCAAGTTGCTGAAGAGGGTGAAAATGAAGTTATATCGCTTTTTCCAAACGTTCGTGCAAATTAAAAGATGTGCCTTCGCTTACAAAGTAAACACAGTTTAAATGCTTAACTCCTTCATCGCTTAGGAAAATCAACATTATCAAAGCTGATCTGTCTTTTCGCTCTCATTTTAGCTGCATCTTCGAACGAGGGCATAGAATTTGATTTCAGAGCCACCTTATCGAATATACTCGTACAACTACTGTTCGAGTTTGAGTCTACGTTCAACATCTTGTCTTGCAGCACATTCTTCATCACACTCTTGGATTCTGGCTTCATCAGATCTGAGCAGTTTTCCTTCACCTGGCTTATAAGTGGTTTGTTTTTGAGCTGTTGGTAGGCGGAAGCGGATATATAGCCACTTAGTTTGTTTGACTCATTTGCCAGTTTTATCTGTTCGTCTTGGAAACACTCGTCTACAGTTCTGCCTTGGATGATTGCGAAGACGTACTGCTTTGCTAATCTGAAACACGTGACAAAAAAATGAACCTTATATCAATAAAACGGATACAAACATATTTTTGCCTAACGTGTTAGGTAGTCTGAACATTTTTAAAGACATTTAAAGCAATTTTTCCATACAAATAGTGTTGCCTGGAAAAGATCGCTCTATAGCGATAAGGCCGTCCATTGCAATCCATAACTAGTAATAATATTTTTCCTCCTAATAGTTGTATTTTGTAGACTATTTTTAAGGTAAAATTCGTATATACTTTGTGTTAGTTGCGATAAAGAGTAAAATAAATAATTAACCTAAGTTGTTAAATTTTACCTTAGCTTTGCTGTTAAAGTGTGTCCGTAGCTACAATCAGATGTTTTTTGTAACTCCGCTTAAACAACTAAGCCGATTTTAATGTGTTTTGCAATAATGCTCTTAACCTCTCAAGGCAAGTGATTAATCTGGCAGCACCCTGTATAAGCTACTATAAGACGGTAACTTTGTAAACCTTACTTGAATAATGTGTCGGAGGTAGACAGTTTTGGTGCGTTCAATTTCGCAGAATGAGCGGGAAGAGTGAGGAGTTTCCTGGTTAACCGCGCTAGAAGAGAAGCCTTCTCTTTGAAGCCAGGCGAGGACATACGCCAGCCGTGTAAGCGTAGGGCTTCTGATACAGCCCAGAGCAGTTTCTGAAAGTTTAATATAATAAATAAATCAATGTTGATGAATGCCTAACTTAGGTGATATTTGTAGGTAATTTAAGTAATTTAAAATTAAGATGTATTTATTACATTACATAATTAAATAAATTCAATTGGGACTCTGACCTCTTATGAAGGTATGGCCAGTAGCTATATGTCCAAACCTCTACTGCATGACAGCATATGTCAATAGGGATAGCATGGACTGCTTTTTCGTCCTAGACCAAGCGTAGACCACCCAATTTCAAGATCATTTTGAAAAGATCCATAACTTGGTTTTTAGGTCATCAAAGTTATTTTAGAGAAAGATAGTGTAAGCCTAACACGTGCTCATACTATTACTGAAGTATTTAAATAGAACAGTAACGGTTTAAAACGCGAAATTTAATTTCTTCCAACCATGACCAGACGTTTTAAAAATATGTTCACTAATATATGATATTTGACTATACCTGGATATTTTTAAATATTCACCTTTTTATGCAGTTCATTCAATTCAGCACTATTTTTAGACGACAGCATTTCCGATGCTCTTCTATTCAACGGTATAGACTGTGGACAGTCCAGAGTATCACCACCAAAGGACAAACTCTTAGCTATTTTACTTCTATTTGTATCTATATCATCATCATCTCTTTTCCTCTTCAAAAAGTTGTCACTTGATGTGCCATCCATACTTTTAGTCTCAGCTTGTCGTATGGGAGATCCAAATAAAGATCTTCTCGACTTAATAGCTTGGTTTGGAACAGACATGCTATTCGTTCTGGATATGGTCTGCTTGTTGTCTGGACTAATGAATAGTGCTCTTTTCAAGGTCTCTCTGTTTGGTTGAGTTTTAGATAATTTGTCATCCATGAGCAACCGTCTCATTGCTTTTTTCTTGCTTGAACCACCTGTTTTAGGTGTTTTAGACGGTGTTTTGCTTCCAGAGGTTCGTCTAGGTGTCTTCTTACCAGGTGTACGACGGTTCTTGGGGCTTCTTCTGTCGGTTGAGTTTACTAACTTCCTGTGCGGAAAATAACTAAAGAAGTTTGTTAGTCAATATCTATTTTAAATATTTTGGAAACATACTCTCTCTATCTGACTACAACGGAGCTAAAAGGTAGCAAATTATAAGACGTTGAACCTTAATATGTAAGTGTTAAGACTGAAATTACATTACATAAAAATTGGACAATCAACAAGCCATGGTAGCTCAATTGGTTAGAGCAGCACGGAATGCTGTGGATGCCGGTTCAATTGCTCGTATGGTAATTTTTTTAAATCTAAATAGATTTTTAATTTAGATAATGATATAGTTACTGTGTTATTTTTAAGATAAGTTAGATTAAAATAAGGTGACATCCGTCTATTTTTTTAATATTTTCTATAGGGGGTATTGATTTAAAGGAGGATGATCAGTCCAACCATAACATGATTTCCACTTCACCCATTTTCCCATTCCTTCTATCTTATCATCATCGCCTATCTATATCATTATGTTTAAAGTGAGGTTGTGTAGTTGAATTCTTATCTTTATTGGGTAGTCAGGTGAGTTTTATGCTCTAATACTATTAATACTTACTTTTTATCAATGAGAACCATTTTGGTATTAGATGCAGTTTTTTCATTGATAGTGGAGGCGCTGCAAAATGCTTGGCGGCGGCGAGCTAAGTGAGACAAACGACGTCCGGGCGATTTTGCTTGTGCCATTCTAAAAAAAAAAACATTTTTTTTAAGACTTTAGACACAAGTTCATTGGATGGGAGGTTCATAACAAGTCACTCAGATTCACGGCTAGGTCAACCGTGAATCTTGGTTGAAACATTTTGGAAATTATTATTATTTATTACATTTTTTATTTATCTAAATAATTTTTAAAATTTAAAAGAGAATAAAGTATTGTATATTTTTGTACCACTATAGAGAATATTTTTAAGATAATTGGCGTGTGACATATTGTTATTAGTTATATATTGTTATCAGTAATGAGCTTGTTACATATTAAGAGTAAATGTGTTGGAACTATTGTTAAACAGCACTTACACTAAACAAAATTGACGCGTTAGTACACATTTAAATAAAACACGTTAACGGTTTAGAACGCGATTCATATACTACGGAGATACTAAAGATGAAAGGTGTCGCTAATGTCAAAGTATAGCGTCATCTATTGGATCGGTTTTTGGTGATCCGTGGCCAGGGCTGCTGCAAAGCATCCGAAACTTCGGGTCGTAGTTCAAATAAGTTTAACTAATATATTTTGCGTTATAAACCGAGAATAACTAGCATTGTACTCACTTAAGTCTCAATGCTTTCCATTTACTAGCACTGCTTGGTGACTGCAGTCCTCCAGAGTATATGTTAACGCTTGTGTCTGTTTCAGCACCAATGAACCTCTCGGCATACCGTAGCAATAATCTTTCATACTTTTCTGAATGATTAGTTAAGTTATAGCTGAAATGATTTTGAAAAATGTTAGACTAAACAATAATAAAAGTATTTTTTTATGAATTTGTACACAACATTTAACATAAACTGTTGGAAGGCAACTATATTATGTATTGAATTATTGTATTTGTATACAAAAGTGCCCTGAATTATTACAAGACCTCAAAAATGTGTCTCAAAAATGACACAGCCTTAGCTAAAATTAATTTTAGGATTAGAAGATTGATCCAATAATCGAATAATTTTATTATTAATCAACATCAGTGCCGGCGGTAATAACGTTGTGTACTGATTCAAAGAATATCTTTCCATCAAGATATGTATAAAATGTAGCAAAGTATGAAGGTATAGGAAAGAGAGCCACAACGCCCTGTGTCATTCCTGGCTAAAGGCACCCCTTCTTACCAGCACCTAGGGCAATCACCCCCAACTACTGAAAACATATTATTGTAGGGGCAAAGATTTTACCATTAAGTATACCCAGTTTTTCCTCAAGGAAGAAGATAATTGGAAATAAAGTGATATATTCAGAAGTTAACCTTTAATTAGTTTCCCAAATAGGAAATACCGATTATTAAGTTTAAATAAAACAATCAGAATATGCCCATTTACAGCAGGGATGCACAGACTTATAGACTAGGGCCACTCGGGCAAATCATTAACTGATGGCGGGCCGCCAGAAGTATACAATAAGAATAGAAGACACTAATGTATTGAAATCGAAAAATAATTTATTAATTTCAGTATTTTTTTTGCTATCAGTCACCAGTACTCGACCGAGCTGTGGTCTGTGCATCTCTGATTTACAGTAACCACAGTAGAGCTTAAAAGAATTTGTTAGGGACTTGGTAGACCAAAAGCGCATATTAACAAAGAGATTGTATTAAACGTCATCTCCTTAAACAAGTTCTGTTTTATACTGTACTAGCTGTGCCCGCGAGGCTGTTTTTTAATTTATCTAATTGCGCATCATTTATCGCAGCCAACAATAATATGTTGTAAGTGCTACTTTGCCGCAACACTCTCACCTCACATCACTCCTACTCTAAATCCCACTCCCACTCTCACCCCCACCCCCACTCCTATTCCCAAAATAAAGCCAAAGAAGAAAGTTTCATTGTTCAAAAACCACGAATTTCCTTACAAACTTTAACTTTCTCAGGGTCTAAACCATCTGTGTACCAAATTTCATTCAAATCTGTTTAGTTGTTTTAGCGTGAAAGATTAACAGACAGACAGAGTTACAATATTAGTAAGGATGTAATTTATAAGTTAATTAAATTGAAAATAGGGTAAAGGGCAAATACTTACTAAACATCATGGTATCTGCATTTCATAACTGTGGGCCAACCATTTTCCTTAGCTTCTGTCTCTGAGCTTTGTTTCAATTCAATGCTTCTATCATTTATACTAGAATTAATATCCAATTTAGAATCTGTGGATATATTTAATTTTTCTGCCTTCAAAGAGATTCCAGTTTCAGCTGGCGTAGACTCACAAGTTTCTGGTACTTGAATGAATGAAACCTTCTTTGTTGGTGTCTTAGAGTTTTCTTCTACATTTAAATGTTGGTCGGAGTTAAAAAGCGGTAGGAAGGTATAGTACTTGTTGAGCATTTGAGTGACATCTGTTTTTATAGTGGTCACAGATGGCGGAGGTAATACACCTTGGAGAGTTTCCTGGAATAGTATTTCAAAATATATTATTACATATTAAATACTCTGTGTATCACATTTGGGTACCATGTGGTGTGGTGGCGATGTTGCTGCATAATCTTTATTTCATTACAATATATTAAGATGTTGCCAAAACATTGTAATAATGTTAGTTATTTTATGTTTTAGTACATTATAATATAGTTTCATATGTGAAATACATATGCCTTTTATGAAAAGCATATATTATTTACTAAAATAATAACAGATTATTTTTATACAAATTGGTATTGTTTCATCCTATAAGAACAATAAATAAAATTTGGTATTTGGTACAGTGAAAATAGTTAGTTTATTGTAAGTTGATCAAGAGAGGAAAGAAAAAAACTAACCTGAATCTTTTTCATTTTTTTCTTTTCAAATAACTCTACATCTTTAAGAAATGACCAAAACGGTTCTGGCTCATCCTCAGCTTCACTGTCATCCGCTTCGGAGAACATATCCGGTGAACGTAGTCCACTATCGAAAGACGCATCAGGTGAGGAATAACTTTGATCATTCCATTTTGAGTTACTATCATAGGCCTCTGAATCCTTCATTTTAACCTGATATTGAGAGTCAGAACTACTTTCTACTAAACGTTCATTATTAGTATCACTTATAACCTGTACTTCACTTTTACCATCACTGCTTTTAGTATCACAATCATAATTTAAGCTGGTACCTAAAGCTGTTATAGGATCTACAATAGGCTTTAACCTCTGCACATGTTTTAGTGTACCATTAAACGAGAGTTCACTAATCGGTAGTTTAAACACGTTTTCGTGTTTTGCATCAAATAGTGGCACACTGTCAACAGCATTGTTGCTGTTCTCCATCATAGAGGATATAAACACAGGTTTAACACTTCTGGGCTCATCAGTTCTAGCATCGGCAAGGTCGGTATTGTCAGAGGATGTTATAGATGCCACTAGAAATATTGATTTCTCCTTTTCAGAGTCACTATCCTTTCCAATGTTTTCGTACAGTTGAGACTCGCACACATGAGACGTTACATGTTGTGGTACAACAATGGACAGGTCAATGTTCCCTGCATTGGAACTCGCTACGCTTGAGGATGATGCACTGTTGTGTTCTTCAAAATTTTCTTTTACATTAAAACTTCTCATATAACGCTCGTACATAGAAAACGTATCACTCAACGATGGACAATTTGAGTCCTCAAAAGATTCCATCACAACAGCTAAAAACTACATTGTCTTCTAGAAAAAATGTGTGTGCCCACTAAGCTCATGCTAGAAAAGTAATTAAATGTGTACCTTAAGATAAATGCTTAAATTAAAGAATTAAGATATTTAAATCTAAACGGCAGATGTTTGTTTCATTTTACACTATCGTTTATTGTTAAGCGGATAGCAGGTGGTAAAGCTACGCCATTTTGAAATAAGTCACAAATATTGTATGTTTTTTTTAATATTTAATGGCCTGTAGCAACGATGTTTAACGATGTTTAATATTTCTAACAAGGATTATTTAGTCTGTGGAAATTCCTATACTTAATACTCTGTGCATAGTTGCATTTCTCTGTGGCACATACCATAGACTTATATTATATTCAATTATTGTGTTTTATCTTGTTCAATGTTCAATTTATATTTTGCTATATGTGGACGGTGCATGGTTTTCAACAAGTTTTACCGTCCTTCATGTAGTTAAACGTAATAATATTATTGGCCGATTGTCAGAAGTCAAAGAATACAACTTTTAAATTTGTTCGTAGGAAAGGTAAGTCTAAATGTTATTTACTTGAAGTTTCCTATATAACATAAGATTTTCTTGTGGTTTTAAAATATGTAATGTTTTGTTTTGCTTACACAGTATAATGTTAATTACAATGTATGTGGACGGTGCATGGTTTTCAACAAGTTTTACCGTCCTTATCATCGTAGTTAAACGTAATAATATTATTGGCCGATTGTCAGAAGTCAAAGAATACAACTTTTAAATTTGTTCGTAGGAAAGGTAAGTCTAAATGTTATTTACTTGAAGTTTCCTATATAACATAAGATTTTCTTGTGGTTTTAAAATATGTAATGTTTTGTTTTGCTTACACAGTATAATGTTAATTACATAGCTAAGTTACAAGACAACATTGTAAAGCAATTGGAAAGTGTAAGCAAAATTACTCACACAACTTTATTTTTTAATAAAAATATATCACAATAATATATTACATGGCTTACATTACATTGAGTTTTCTTGAATATTTAATTAGAATTCATTTGTAATTAATATGTATTTGCTGAAACTTAATACATCTGTACTTCAGATAATACATATTCAGAGGTTTGTAGAAAGTGTCATGACAACCACTCATAATATTCTTAGCTGCAAAGTTAAATTAAATTTGTTTCTGTGACTTATCTTGAGCTAGAATATAAAGAAAAACGTCGTTAATAATTTTCTTTTAATTCCTATTCTTATTTTACACAGTTGTCACTATGATGAGGGTACCTTCTGCATGTATATGTGCAAAATAAATAATAAAAAAATATAACTAATATTACTTAAATAAAATATACAAGTATATACCTATTGTGATATGTAAATTAAAAATTCGGTAGATGTGATATTATTTATCGTTTCTTATTTTTTTTGTAGTAATTTTAACAGACTGAGTTTAATAATGAAATAATTTACACTATTTATACAGTGATAACAACTTTTTCTTAAATAATAATAAGAACTATATCTAGTAATATTTAAGCGTGAGATACCATATATTTTCTTAGAGTATATTGTGTAATTAGTATAAATTAATACCGCAATGACGTTTCTTGACGTAATTTATACGTAAAAACAATTTTGACGACATAAGAATTTTATAGTCCTTGGCAAATATTCATTCTGGTTTAAATCCGTAATAAAAATGTATACATTCAATTTTAATATACAATGTATTAATGAAATTTGTATATAAACAACGTGCATAAAATCAAGTGCAATTATGAATATTAATTAGTTGGCGAGATATTTGTCGTAGTTGTCTTCATATCTGCGCCTGCACTAACCCCTGACTTATGTCACTGTTTATTATTACTTCTTGCACTAATTTTAACGTCTGGCGTTTGTTGTTACGAAATAGTTGAACTTGTTTTGAATATAAAACCGCTCAGCTGTCTGTAATCTGTACTAATATTATAAACCTGAAGAGTTTGCTGGTGTAAACGCGCTAATCTCAGCAAGTACTCGGTTCGAATTGTAATATTCTTTTTGAGTTGGTTGGACCATTCTTTAAGGCAGGCTTTAGGCCAAAAGCAAGCTGTGGTCAATAGGAGCGATGAAACAGTGCAAAATATGAAAAAAAGAAACGGTGAAAATTATTCCGCTCTGAGGGGCTCTCCGATGCGTGCGCTGCGAAAACGGTTCAAGTAACCAAACATGTATGAAATAATGATTTTTCTTTAAATATTAATGGGCCAGTCATTAGCGTCCCGCTAACGACTGTCGTTTACAACCATAATTTGAGAAGGTTGTTTGGAAAAATAAATATGATGTCTTAGAGAACTTTTCCACGCGGAAGAAGTCACGGGCGCAACTATCTATACTAATAATAATATTATAAATGCGAAAGTAACTCTGTCTGTCCGGCTTTAACGCCAATACTACTGAACTGATTTAAATGAAACTACTTTTTAATGCCAACATTTTTGAAGCTAAAACAATGAAACTTTCTTCTTTGGATTTTTGGGAATGGGAGCGGGAGTGGGAGTTAGAGTAGGAGTGATGTGAGGTGAGAGTGGGAGTGTTGAATGTGCCCTTTTATAAATAAAAAAACAAGTTTATTTTTATAGTTATTTGTCTAAATAATTAAAAATACTACCCAAAGTCCCTATTCCACGCGGACGAAGTCGCGGGCACAGCTAGTAATTTATAGTTTGACTTTTGCAAATATCGAATGCGCAGCGCTAACAACATTCTTACGTAACTTTAATTAATGTATTATATTTTAATCTATCAATCTATTATATTACTAATTATAGGTATTTCTGGCTTAAAGCTATTATCAATTTAATATAATTTAAATGCAAAGAAGTCATCTCATTTCTCACAATCTGATTGGATTATGATTTGTATTAATTTAGACGAAAAAATACATTCAAAACATGTTACATGAAATCAAGACCATCTAGATTACTTTACATAGACAATGCAGTGTCAACGAACGACGTAGCTGATGTCATTAGCTTCCGTTTTCTAAATCGGAAATGTATCAAAAAAAATATATGAGACGGCTAGAAGCAGAGTAGCCTAACTGCAATTTTATGACTTGTCTAACAATGTTAATCTACAAGAGCACAGTGACCGAGTTCTTAGACTAATAATAACAAACAAATTTTCACCTTAGTTAGTTGCGCATTTTATTTTTATCCTTATTAAATATCATGTTTTTATTTATTAGGCCATTCTGCCTCTAGTAGCCTCGTGTATATTGGGACTTGCGATCCGTGATCATATGCTCATATATATGTAGAATTGTAGACCATGGAGCCTAAAAGCAATCTCAGCTTCAATGTTGAATTTTACGCCTTAGATTTTGCTATCTCGGGGATTCGAACCAGTAGCCTCTCTTGCATGTAGTGTTTCAACAACTTTTTAAAAGATTATGCGTTTCTTAGCTTGGTGGTCTTTAAAGTGGCGGTCGTTTATATTTTCTACTTCGCACTGTGGTTTGAAATAATTGGCTTGAGGGAAACCTAACCTGGGCGGAAACCGGTTTGATCGTTATTTTTCCATTAAACTTTTTACTGTAACAATTTGCCGAATTGGATTTCTGAATTAACATTTTGTTATCACCGCCTCGAGCAAAACGGTTGCGATATGTACGTACGTACATACTTGTCATAAACTTAATAAATAGATAAAGTTTATGACAATAGTCACTAACCTGGCAAACGGTTCTTTTTCAGATCTTAAAAGATAATCATTCTCTTAAACATTTTTGTTGGCTCCTTCAATCTTTTTCGCAACGCACGTAACGAAACCCTTAGATTCTAGCCTATTCATCGCATGGGTATGTTTTATAGACTAAAGTCTTTCTCTATAGATTCTCTAATCAAAACAAAAATATATAACATTTTTCAAGTAGTTCTTAAGATTTTTAGTGCTTTCAAAGAAACAAATAAACCTTATAAATAAGATAGTTAACTAACTAGTTAATAGTTTAACTACGGCTCAACGTGTCGTATAAATCTTGTTTTTAAGATATAGAAACGTTTTATGTATATACGTACTGCGCGCGTAAATTACAGACAATTCTGAAAACAGTGTTACATGCGCCAGTGCGGATCGACGACATTATTACCCATTTTTTTCTTCGTCGTCGGTTAAAAATGCTAACTACTCTCTTTATGTCGCGCGGCCAAGTGTTCGAACACGTTATCGTTATGCTTCAGTGAGAATTATTCGACATTATCATAAAGCGCATTATAATAACAATTTCGATAGTGCATTAGGCCGTATTGTATAACAACTCGTAAGGTGACCTGCTTTTTGGAGTTCCTTTACCGAATATTGAAGCCTTTTATAGCTTTGAACTGATGGCAAATAATTAATATAGTAACCCCTCTTAAGACCTAAAAAGGGGGTCCCACGTCGTTCCTTGTTGGTAGGCCACTGCTGTAAAGCATCCAACACTTCGGACTAGAAGTATATTTAACGCGTCCGCGCATTCAAACAAACAAACTCTTTAGCTTTATATTATTAGTATAGACATAACTAGTATATTTCGCGTTTTAAACCGTTAAAATTATATTATTTGATAAAAGGCAAAATCCTTTGCGTAGAAATGACACACATTCACACTTGCTAATAATTTTCGTTCTTTACTCAGCTTCTGTTGAGTTAAACAAGGGAGGTTTTAATTATATTTATATTTTTTTTACACGACAACATAAACTCAATCACAAGTTAACTTATATATACACAATTTTTCATTATCTTTAGCCTTGGGTGTTCTCATTGAGTAAAATGTTTATTTATTACATTTGACGTGTTATAAATGCGTATTACTGATACAGATAAACAGGTGCAATTTCGATACTATCTTTATAAATATTATTTTATTTCATGACATTAATGTATTATTATATCACGTGTTTTGCTAATGCTGTGAAATCTTTAGGGACAGACAGATGTAGTGTCTCTTACTAGTGATGGCGAATCGTCGAGAACAAATTCTTAATTACGACGGTCGAACCGCTCGAAAACGGTCAAACATGGCCACGAAGGTCATAAACAATTTAGACAAACAAACAGTTTAAAAAAACGTACCACAAATGTATAGTATAAAAAGCAATTTGAATTTAGATAAACGCCTCTGTAGCTGAATGTTTCAACGTGTTGCCCAGCATTGTGTTAAGCGCGAGAGTTCCTGGATTCAACCCCGGGGAAACAAAAGATTGTTTCGACACCGATCACTGAATCGTACAGATAAGTGTGTTCGCCCCATGTCCCATGGAAACGGAATTTCACTTTAAATTATATTAGAAACTAATTCTGCGGACTGGCTGACCGCTTATTTCCCGGGACTCGAAACTAAGCCTTTTGAAAATTTCAATATTTTTCACATGTTATTGCACATGATGACAAATCGACAATAAAGTGGAAAAAAAATACGACTCGGGCAGGACTTGAATCGGCATCCTCAGCGTTCCGTGCTGTTGCTCTAATCAATTGAGCTACCGAGGGTTGAGCAACAGCACGGAACGCTTAACCCTCTATATAATGCTGCAATTCTGTTGTCCCGTGATTACTTGCGATGGTAATAATTTATACATAATTTCTCTTTGCGCAGTAAAACGTAATATTTTTTGTAGAGTACCTACCAGTGACAGGTAAAATCTATCGATAATCTTCAATGCAGGTATTTTTATTAAATACAATGGTATTATATTTTCTTTTATTTTTTTTTCACAGTCCACTTGTAACAATGGACGTTATTAACATAGTTGCTTAGGTACATGCGATGTACATTCAGTTCAGCGAAAAGCCATCGTAAAATTGTGTACAAAATAAAACGAGCTTTTATTTATTCAATACAAAATAAATGATACTTTAAAAGTTTATGCATCCATTAAAAGCGATTTTAATATGTTTTTTTACCAAACGTTATTGCGAGAAACAAGTACGTATTCAAATTTACATTTTTCTCATTACCTTGTAACTTTTCGGTCGAAATTCCGTCCGGGTCACGAACCACTGATGAAAAAGGCGTAAAGTATAATCTGGTTCCGCGTCCAGTCATTTGCAAATATCCAAAGTTGATGTATAAAGAATGTTTTTGTTGGGGTCCTTCAGGTACCATCAAGCGAACCCCATGCGTTTTTTTCCCCCTTTAAATAAAACATTAACGGCTTAATTAAAAAAAGCGATACATTAACGAATAAAACCTTATTTTAGAAATCTGATGATTTTTAACCTTAACGACCCGCGTATTAGGTGCTATGTCTATGCTTTGCAGTTCAGGTGGTTACATAGCGGAGACGCATTTTCAAATAAGTTGAAAAAACCTAATGTGTAATACTCGCGTTTCGAAGCGTCAACGCACGGAAAGTTATTATTAAATGCCGTGTACAACTTCTAAACTACAAATAGTATTTTAGCTTAGTAAGAACTATAAATTTATTAGAAAAATATTGGAGCCGGTGGGGATCGAATCCACGACCCGTTTATTAGCCATCCATCCAAATGCTCCCTGTAAGCGACGTGTCCTACACGTCATCGTCGAATTTCTTCAACCTATTGATGCATACATCTCATGCGCATTGTAATTTCTTTAACACTGTCGTTGCCGTTTTAAGTCCTGCCCGTGTCGTAAAATTATTCAATCCAAATAGATTTTTAATTTATTTATTAGCAGCCACTTGTTAATGAGCGGAATAATGTTCCGTTAATTAATGTGCCCTGTTTATCTCACGACGATGTATCTCTTGAACTTTGTTACAACATTCTAAATATTTTTATCGTAACACGATAGCTGTGTTTACTATGCGGCGATGTTATTGTTTAGAATTTCTAGAAAATTATTGACCGTTTACATATTGGTAAGTGTTTTAAAGGATAGGAAAGGGATTTACTTGATATGCCGTCGACTTATTCGTTGAGCATCGTATTATTTGTTTTGGCAAACAACCTTCTCAACTTTATAAATTGTTAGCTGTGCCCGCGACTTCGTCCGCGTGGAATAGTAACTTGGGGTAGAAATTTTCATTATTTAGGATGTTTATTAATTTATGTAAGGGCGCATTTAAGGCAGCCAATCTATGTTGTAAGTGCTACTTTGTCGCAACCCTCCCACCTCACATCACTCCTACTCTAACTCCCACTCTCATTCCTACACTCACTCCCACTCCTATTCCCAAAAAGCCAGAGAAGAACGTTTCATTGTTATAGCTTCAAAAATCACGAATTTCTATACAAACTTTCATCCCCTATCAACCCTTTTCTAGCATTAAAAAGTAGCCTATATCCTTTCTCAGGATCCAAATTCATTTCAATCAGTTGAGTAGTTTCGGAGTTAAATCCGGACAGACAGACAGAGTTACTCTCGCATTTATAATATTAGTATAAATGTTTGTAACCCACAAACAACATCGTCATAAAGAAAAATCATCATACATATAGTTTGGTTTCTTAAACCGTTTCTGCAGCTTATAATCTATAAATTTTAGCGTCGTCCACGTCCCGTCATTCTTGTCAATTCATCTTAATACTATTTAAAGAAAAATAATTCTAACAATCATAGCTTTATGGTTTCTTTAAACTCGCAAAAATGAATAATTTTCCCCTTTTATTACCTAGCATTTCCCTCTTGTTTCTTTACTTTTATTGGTCGTAGCATAACTTTTTCTAAAGCGAAAAACACAAAAATTCTACTCGCACTTATAGAAAAGAGATAAAAAACTACTGTTTATCATGTAAACCCACTCCTTAATAAATAAATTAATATAGTGGTCGTAAACGAATGTTATTGCTTCCGTTGATATCATGTCATATTTTATGTAACATACATTTTGTTAATATAGAAAGTACGCGATATTACCACAGATAGTTTGTAACTTTTCCATTCCCTGGTTTACAGTGATGGAAGTGCTGTCGATCTTCAAAGAGCTGCTGCATGGAGCAGCGGAACATGCGGTCAGCTACCGCCTGGGTCAGTCTGTGCTTCGATCCGTGGATAAAATGCTTTGGACTGTAGAGAAATCTGCTAGATGGGCGGTACCGCCTCCTCGTAAGCTTATTTCATTCTATTACACAATTTTTCATGTCCTACGAAACGAACGCTATATACCTCACTAGCTGCGTTAGCGACTTGCGCCCGCGTAGAATTAATTAAAAATTTGTTTTTACAAACCTCCTCTTCATCGTTATAGATTTAAGCTATAGACTACCACTCTGGTCGCGTCCCGTCGTTCTTGCATGTTCATCTTAAAATGTAGACATATTGTGTCGAATTTTAATCATTTAAAATTATTCTTCATTACACATTTTTTTGGCTACCTTGAACCGATTTCGTATCCTCCACGTTTTTTCCACATTTTCCGCTGTCTCTTCGCTTTTACAGCCTTCAGATAAATGCTCTAATCAACACAAAAAAAAACCTTTTCAATTCGAACCAGTAGTTCCTAAGATTAACGCGTTCAAACAAACAATCTTTTCAGCTTTATATATTCGTATAGATACGAGTGGGTTCGAATTTTGGCGACTCAAATAAGAGTAGGAACACAATTTTTTTACGATCACAGAAATGCCTTGATTTTGAATTTGGAAATAGCTCATTTAAGTTACCTTGTTTAATTCCAGTGGATCAAGACGATAGACAGCCGGAGTTAGTCCGACCGCTGCCCTGGGTATTGTTTCTGATGATGCTGGTAGCTCTTCGCGTCACACGAGAATCTATATCGTTAATCAACCTAGCTCTTGGGAAACCTCCTTTGCGGTCCGCTGATATGGTAAGGATGAGAATTTACGAGTACAAATTCCTTTATTGTCCAAAAATCTTATTTACTTTAGGGGCACATTAGGAATCCGATATAGGTTAGAAGACGGATACACCCTACCGGGTGTTAAGAATTAAAATGATAAACATACAAGTTCTTATATGCTAAGTAGAAGGGATTATACAGAACGATATACTTAGTTAAAAAAATTGACTATACAATCTATACTAATATTATAAAGTTTGTTTGTTTGGACTACTGGTTCGAATCGAAAATTTAAATAAAACACGTTAACGGTTTAAAACGCGAAATATATTAGTTAAATTCATTTTTTATGCTTTGCAAGAGCCGCGGGGAGGCACGCGGGTGTCTACCTGTGACTGGAGTTGCTACAAAGCATCTGAATCGTCTGGTCGTAGGTAAAATAATTTTCACGTAATATCTCAACAAGTTAGCATCTAAATAAAACTTTTTATTGTATAGAATGTATGAAATTAATAAATAATGTGATGAGGTCTTTCTGAAACTTTCTTTTCACTTTAGTTATAAAGTATAAAACACGGTTACATAACGTTTAACAATATAATACAGTTTATTATCTCAAGTATCCGCTTAACTCCTTACTTGAATATTGAATTGAAGTAATTAAAAACATGTTTACACACAGATATGATTACAAATAAAAACTAGCTCCATTGTTCTTCTTGTGTTCTTAGTTGCGTAGTTAAATAATTTAATCAGACATTACATGAGAAAAGGGGAAAAAATATAACTATAATGATGATTTCGTACACAAATATTCTCATATTATGTACGTACATATAATGAGATTTTAATTATATTTTTTGTATGTCCGACATTGTTATATGTTAAAATATATATTATCTGTAGTCATGTCGGTCAGTCACTGAGCTTATATAAATATCTAAAGTAAAAACTGATGACACATTTAGCAATGTATGAATAGTAATCAAGGGCTCGTTGGTTCGATTTCAACCGGATAAAAGATGATACTTAAGAACATTTTCAAAACACAAGTATAGTCTTTAGTATACAATTAAATCAACTTTTAACGGTTTAAAACACGTACTATATTAGATTACTAGCCACCCGAACCATGGCTGCCGTAAATCATCCGAAACGTAGGGCCGTTGTTAAAATAAAGAGTAAATAATTTAACTAATATATTTCACATATTCGAAATAACAACTTTATATCCATATTTCGGTTTCACTGGACACTGGTTCACTGGTGGATGGACACTTTAAATGTTATATGGCTGCGGTGAAGAATATAAACGACATGCTTGTCTGTCCGTCTGTCATAACAGAAGCTAATATGGTCTCGAGTCCAAATTGTTCACTTTATACAAGACTTGGATCTGTCACGTGTAATAGAAAATTACAAGTCTTAAATCATAATTATAAATACTTTATGATGCATCCGTAAACTTTGCACTGGATAAGATTAAATAAAACTGGTGTTTAGATAAAATTACTTTTTAATGTGGCCGATATATGCTCGTTATCAGATGTCCTATTTAAACTAGCCGTGCCCGCGACTTCGTCCGCGTTTAATATTTTTTTGAGCCATCAAATTTATTTTTTCAAACAAGCTCTGCTTTATACTTTCTAGACCCACGTCATCCGCGTGCCGTCGTGCCGTCTTTCAAAAGATGACATATATGTCATGGAGTTTTTTGTAGATCATTTCTAAAGGAATTATTCTTTCATACATATAATTTTGGTTTCATGAACTATTTCGCAGAGCACCTCAAGGATGCCCTCGAAGACGAACAATTTCCCCTGGTATCTTCCACATTTTCTAGTTCCTCGCTATTATTGTTCGCATCGTGATGTTATATAGCCTAAAGCCTTCCTCGATAAATGGTCATGGTGTAACACAGTTTTATATAAAATGTTCAATTAAAGGAACTAGCCGTTTCTGAGATAAGCACAAACAGACAAACTCTTCCGCTTACTTAAACCGTCATCCATAGCCTTCGTTTTGTTGCTCTGTTGTTCTGCTCTCTGTTTCGGCCTGTGTTGTAGTTTTTTCCCATCTAAAATCGATTTTTAATTCATATAGTGCCATCATGTGCAAAATATTAAAGTTATCAAATATTAATACAATTTCTTTTTCGTTTTAGGTTACGTATATTCAAAGCAAACGGCGCTATCTGCGCACATTGAAATACCAAGGAAACAGGATGATGCGCGCGCGCAGCGAACCGTCGCAGTCTTGGCGAAGTGGGCTCTACTCACTCTTCGAGTTCACAATGTGCTTTCGTAGACCGCAGTATGCTAATAACAACTCGCAGAACAGTAGCGACGAGGTCATGGTAAGTTAAAATATTTTACTATTCGAATTCATCAAAATTGATTCAGCCATTGTGGATGCGTTAGATAAGGGTCTAAGTTATTTTCAAGCTAGACATCAAAGTATAGAGCTTAATTTTTTATATCACTAAATTGTTTTCAAAATATGACAATAATTAATTGATAATGAGATTATTATAATTGATTTATTAAATAAAACTAAACAGATTCAAACACTAAATATATTAGTTGACTTATTTTTTATAACATTTAACTACAACCCGGCAACACTTTTACGAAACGTGAAATATTTTTTTATTTATATAAATTTAAATATTTGTGTTAGCTTATTAGTAGAAAGAAAAAGGAAAAGATAACAAAAAAAATTACCACGGCGCGACTTCTTTGGATGATTTTGTATAGCGGGTGATTTTGAATAGTGTTTTATTTAAATGTGTACTACTTGCGAAAACTACAGACAATGCTAGAGTCACATCTTCTTTCTTATAGTTTTGTCTGCATTTTTAAATTTTATTTTATTAAAGATAGTGTCTCACAATAACGGAAACCGTTCCACGAGCGAGGCCAGCATGGAGAAACTGATGGAAAAGATGATGGTGGACCTTGATGCTGATTCGGATGAGTCGTCCAATTATACGGTGTGTATATGGCAGCATAGATTTTGATTGGGCTTATGAGAAATGCTTCTTGGATCTTTAAGCTGTTCGGCCGTTTACTTTTTCTTGTTAGAGAGGGTTCCTCCAAGCAATCACCGTAGAACAAACGCGAATAGTTGTCAAAAAACTCGCCGCCACTCTTTTTTATTGTCAACTTTAACAGTCTTCCAATACTTGATATTATGTCCTTATTTATTTGTTAGAGCAGTTTCTTGCGAACCCAAAGCATTTTGCTGTATAGTTATGTACTGTTGTTTTAATTTCCAGCTAACAAACGCGAAAAGCGACAAATCTGATTATTCAGAGTCAGACGTGGAGATCAGCACGCTCAACAGGTCCTTCAACGACGACACCAAGAACTCCATAGAAGAGCACATCATCACGTCCACACCGGAAACGACACTCATCAGCTTGCCGAAGGAAGATATATCCGTGATAAAGGATAGCCACGTTGAATCGATACTCAACTTTATACGACATGAAAGCAATGGACAACCAGCTAATTATAGGATAGGTAAGCAATAAAATACACGTTGAACTGTTTAAAACGCGATCGGTATTTTAAAGATTAGATATTTATTTTGCGAATATCCAAAGACAAAATAGATCGACGACGCATCTTAGATGTTATGTGGCTGGGGTGCATCTCCTATTATGTAAACCCCAAGGTTCATTAAAAAAACATATTAAATACTTCTGGTGGTGTACGCGAGTAGTACACATTTAAATAAAACACTTTAACGGTTTAAAACGCGATGTATTTTAGTTCAACTTGTTTGAAATTTATTTTTAACTACGGCTCGATGCTTTACAGCAGTTTTTAAACAAGATTAACTAAATATATCGCGTTTTAAACCGTTAACAGTGTTTGATTATAAAAAGATATTACCTAAATTAGTTAAAACCTTTAATTGTGAGATGACGTTGATAATGCTTTAAAGCGGCCGTGGACACGGGGTTTAAAATTATTTCCTTTCAGTTCGCGTTTTGAACCGTTAAAAAGTGTGCTTTGTAGTCTGCGATATTACTACTATGTACATGCTTAATTTTTAAGATTTTTCCTTTGTATACTAACTAACTATTATATATAAAGTCATGTCTCTACATTATAGCTTAGTTTTGTAAACCCAGGTATAATAATATACGGATTCTTTAAAGTAACATCTTAAAGAGTGTGGTATTTCAATCATTCTGGGCTTTCCATCTCTGATATGCACAATTGTTTAAAAACTGTTCTTCTTTCAGCCAACGGTCGTTCAGTACACTCATCGCCTGTTACAGAACGGTGAGTCCAATTTGTTCAAAAGTACTTTTGTATATTACGTGGGGCATGGGGTAGACAGATGTCTGTGTGCTGTATAGTCTTATATCTGTTTTAACGGTTCTTCCGCACGCAAAAGTGTTTGTGCATTTTGCACCATGTTTCTAAAACACCATTAACAATTCTTTGTCGGGAAATGGTTAGTCCGGTTATCGTACCAACATCCACAGATGAAAACCGCGATGTTAAATCGCGATTCGACTACAGTCTATGGATTTCCATGTGTCTATGGACCGTACTGGGTTCCATGGACCCTACTGGGTCCAACATTATTCCAATTCGAATCCATGAGCCGTACATTGCTACCATTACTCCGACCAGCCCGTCAAAAGATTTAAAAGCTACAGACACTATGAAGGTTTTACGTTGTAATATATTGTTTCAGAATCCAAGAAAGCGAATTAATATTCTGAAGGTTGAAAGACAAGCGAAGAATGCGGAAAAAGTTTATTTATAAGATATTATTATTTATTTATTTATTTTCATTTTCAGTCAATATAGCTGGGAAAATGGGGGGGGGGGTTGGTATTTTTATTTTGCCAAAAGTTAACCCTTAATTATGTTCCAATGCTCAATGATTTAAACATATTCAACATACTGTAAGACTTAACCACTTTCGACGCTTTCAAATGTATCGGGTCGTTGAAAGTATGTTTACTAATTTTCGCGTTTTCACCTGTTAAAACTTATTAGCTAGAGACAATAGTGTAAGATTATTTATATTATAAGTGCATCTATATTATACATTATTTTTTATCATGTTTATAATGAATTGTATAATGAAATGTAATCAAAATTTAAGTCTTAAATTACTTAGTAGATTCAATTGGAACGACAAGTTTCTGCTACCAAAACTTTTATATAGTTACACACTTTTCTAAAATATTATATAAACGAATCTCCAAAGTTATATATAATAATAAACGGCCGTCCCATTGTGCCTTTAAGATATATATTGGTAGCTATTTAGCTTATAATAAAGTTTTATAAATGCTAACAGAAAACAAAGTTAAGCTAAGCTATATAATCTATGATTTATAATTTTTGATAAATAATGTTTAGAGTAAATTTTACTATTGGAATCGTTGACTATTTTATTTGTTTATTTAAAAAATATTTGTTGGAGCAAAAATTATGGTAGGTATAATTTTTTAGTCTAAGTTCACAAAATTGTTTTGTTCTTTCCTTTTAATACCATTTCGGGGGGTCTTAAGTGCCACAAATGAATTTAAAAAACTTCTGGAAATGTTGCAAAATGTATGGATTTGTAATTAACGTAATTTGTATGATTTCAATGATTTATAAATTAGCAAGCTATTATGATATTTTATTATTGTTCTATTGTACTATAACATCTATGAACAACTTTATTCATATCTTAGTTAATGGTTATAAGAAATAACAGGGCATAGTCTTGTAAACTCTACGTTCCTAAGCTATTTTAATTATTATTTATTTCGTCATATATTTTTAATGTACGTGGTAAATGGTTAAGTTAACTCATGAAGTAAAATTCCAAATACTAAAACCAATGGTGGTGTTTCATCTTCGAGCTTGTCTGTCAAATGTCAACTGTCATAGAATAACATAAAAATAAAACAAAGCTTGCATCCTTCAATTCCAAAGCTTTGGCTGTGTCTATTTAATAAGACTGACGAGAAATTAACATTAATGTTCTTATCGCTATTTTTTCTCGAAATAACCTATTTAATTTATAATTACTTAATGTTTGTATACTTTGATAATAAAAATGTTTAAAAATATATGGTTTTATTTAGTGTACATTCATTTTTCTAGTGACGTCAGTCTTCCGTGACGTCATTTTCTTGGAGCAGTAAATTTATATCCAGTATATATAAATTATTCAAACATAATCATTTACTGTCTATTAAATTCAACAGAATCACGTTAAAAATATAATTTTATTACGTTTACTTTAGTCTTTATTCAAAATAATGTTCCCCACTGCGGTTTTTAAATGACCAAGTTGTTTCTTGACTGGAACCAATTTTAATAAAAAATTGTATGGAACACCATACTTGATCTATACATAGGCTGCCATAAGATTTATTTTAGATATTATCATTTTTTACATTTTCCACTAAAAATATATTTTAAATAATTTTGTCAAAATGAACATACATATTTTAAAAATAATGTGATCGTCTGTCAAGTTTACGAAGCTGGATTTAAATTCAGTCAAATATGTAAAACAAAGTACATAATGTAATAAATAATAAAAAGTCAACTGTTTCCGCCCGGGATCGAACCGGGGACCTTGTGCGTGTGAAGCACACGTGATAACCGCTACACTACGGAAACTTATTATGCCACGCTGAAATAAAGATATGGTTCTTGCAAAACAATAAGAATAAAAAAAAAGAAAAATTACTTAATAGATTGATCAAGTCTCGAATAGGAAGACAATCTGAACGAATATTTGTACCAAAAATAATACAAAAAAAGAAAAACCTCTTGTCTTGTTGTAATCGGTTGAGACCGGAGCCAGTCTCGCGACATCGTCGCCCGCGAGTGGTCGCGGTCACTTTGTGCCGCGCTATCAGTGATTAGTGTACAAATATTGCTTTTCACACCGCCATTTCATAAAGACATTTACCATGGACCCCGAAGCGTTCTTAGACCTGGCCAACCAGGTCATAAAACTCAAAATGTACCCATATTTCGACATCGCCCATTCCCTGCTTTGCGCTCTTGCAGTCAGAGAAGACTTAGGCTCTGGTAATGTATTATTAGATATTTTCCCGCCAATATTGTATGCACTACTTCCGTATCCTGAAGCCAATATTCGCGGCGGATTATTTAATGTGTCCGTATTACCACGCCGACGTACGAAAATAAATATCGTATACGAGATAAAAATAGATTAGTTCCCTGCACTACGAAATGGAACGAGCATGTTTAATGAAATCAATTTTGAAAGTCAACCTTTTATTAGTTCTACGGATCATTTTATATTACTAAAACATTGTAATTAATAACAGTTGTTATAAAATAAGTAAAAAAATAATTAACTTTACCTTTTTTTATCGCAGTGATAAAAGATTATATTTACGTATTTATCTGAAATATAATCGCAAATTACATTTTTCAGCTGTCAAGTTTATGAAATTACTATAAATAAATTGCACATTAGTCTTCTAGAACCTTACGCGAAGGTTATTAGTTTCTCTTTCATTAGCCGAGTTATAACGAATAACTAAAGGACACGTTATAACAATAATTGCTTCGTCGCAAAAAATATTCATTTAATCCTTAACATTTTTATAGATGAGAAAGTAAAGAACTGAATTATACTCAAATAATATTCTTTGACTTATCTAAAAAATTTTTCACGGGCTCGTCCGGGATTTGAACCCGGGACCTCTCGCACCCGAAGCGAGAATCATACCCCTAGACCAACGAGCCACGTCAAACCATTGCGAAATTAATGACAACGTTACCCGAATGCCACGTCATCTATTGCCACAGAGTTAAAAAGTTGTAGATCTGAAAATGTTCAACTAATTTTTGAATAAAATTTTTACTCTGTTATTGTAGATCTATGAAAAATAAGTTATAGCAGGAATTTGATGGATAGCGTACTTACAAAGTAATTTATAATCTGCACATATAAAGCTAAAAACTACTCTCAAAAACAAAATTGTTTAGCTTACATGCAGACCTTACATTGATACATATTTAACGTAGCAGCTATTAAAAAAATTATTTACACAGGACAGACGCAGGATTGACATTATTAGTTTAATTTACACTTAAAAGCTTAGAATTTAATCTTCTTGGTTAAATTATAAAAAAGTTCATTTATAATTTAATTAATACTAATATTCCGCTTGTATTTTAAAAGATATAATAAATACAATTCTTAAAATAAGACCAAAGCTATAATATTATTATAAAGCTGAAGTGTTTGTTTGTTTGAACCCGCTAATCTCAGAAACTACTAATAGAAATTATTTTTGTGTTGGTTAGAGCATATGACCCATAAAATATGTATGAAAGAATGATTCCTCTTTAACTGAGATAAAAAATCCCCGATAGTATTTATGTCCATCTATTAAGACTTGCAAGAACGACGGAACGCGACCGACGTCGTGGGTAACAGCTATATTTTATAAAGATGAGGCAGAATTTTGAAATTACAAAACTTGATGTCCAAAATAACTATGCGACGTAGTCGCTGGCACAGCTAGTATAAAATATCGTTCTACATTTACAGGTGCTCAAGCGTTCTCCCGCAAGCATCCTCTAGCATGTTGGCTGTCCACGATGTTGGTGATCTTCGCCGGCGGCATGGTGGCCAATGGTCTGCTCGGGGAACCCATTCTAGCTCCATTGAAAAACACACCACAACTGCTTATTGGCACCATAACATGGTATGCAAGCTTTTACTTATCATTCCTGTCTTCCCTTTTCTCCTATTTTTTCTAAGGTATATTTATCTGCTCTTATGTTCCATTCTAAACTGTTCATGTTTCTATCCGCAATGTCATCCTTTTCTCTCCATTCGTTATGTCTGCAAGTAAGCAAAGTATCTACGCCCTAATCTCTAATGTTTTTATCAGCAAATTATCCTTCGCTTTAACCGTGACTATAGCAAATTGTATATAAAAAGCATACAATATATGACACTTCTTGAAACGGCAATTCAAATATTTTGTTTATGTTAGAGAAGGATAGATAAGCATAGGATTTATCCTTACTAATATTATAAATGCGAAAGTAACTCTGTCTGTCTGTCTTTTACTCTTTCACGCCAAAACTACTGAACGGATTTGAATGAAATTTGCTATACAGATGGTCTAGACCCTGAGAAAGAACATAGGCTACTTTTTATTGCGAAAAAGGGATTGTAAGGGGTTAAAGGGGGGGGGGGATGTTAGTATGGAAATTCGTGGTTTTTGAAGCTAGAACAATGAAACTTTCTTCTTTGGCTTTTTGGGATTAGGAGTGGGAGTGGGAGTGTTTGATATAAGGCGAAATTCCACAGCCTATAGCACGTTAACGAGATGCGCTATCGACCTATTTCGGTTTTGGACATTCGAAAGTTCGAAGTCCAACGTATGCCACATTTTTTTCGACACATGTTGGACTCGGTTTCTATTAGTCATACATTGTTCTTCTTAATTAAATATTTTTTACATATATCATACAGTACATACATATTTTTAAAATAAAAAAGAATTGGGCGAGATTTGAACCAACGACCGTCTTAAGAATGTAAATACGAATTCCAGGTACGTAGTTTTCTACACACCATTCGATGTTGGCTACAAGGTGGCAAAGTTTCTTCCCGTGAAAGTGACTGCATCGGCCATGAAGGAGATTTACCGCGCGAAGAAGGTCTACGATGGGGTCACACATGCAGCTAAACTATATCCTAATGCCTACATCATCATGGTAGTTATTGGTAAGTCGTCCCATGATTTCTTTTTTCCGTGAGTCCAAAGCTTTTCCTACTTGGTCCAGTTTTATTTCATTAAATATGAATTGCAAGTGGTCAGTAGCTTCCGAGTGTACACATTTAAATAAATCTAAATTAACTGTTTAAAACGGGAAATGTATGACTTTTTTTATAAAAGATGGACATAGATAGATTAGTGTAATACCCATCTATATATTTAAACAAGATGCGCTATTTTGGCTTTTGATATTCGAAAATCCACTATGTAATCCACAATCTAGTAATGCTTTCCAGCAGTCGTTGTCACGTGGGGCCACGAAACATTGGGCCGTAGTTAAAATAAATATATGAACTGAAATATATTTCACATTTTAAACCATTAAAAATGTTTTATGATTATAATCATTAATTTTACAGACAAGTATGAGTATTTATATTTCTGTGGGCTACCGGACCGTAACCTTATATTTTCACGGGATTTGAGCCCGAATTCTCCAAATGTAATACGTTTCAATAATCTTCTTTGTTTTGAGATACTTATTTAATTTTAGAGATAGTAATCTAATTTTCACATAGACAGAATTGATATTCGTTAATATAATTTATTTATTATATGTTATAGGAACAATCAAAGGCAACGGCGCCGGGTTCACGAAGCTCGTGGAGAGGTTGGTTCGCGGTGCTTGGACGCCCACTGCTATGGAGACGATGCAGCCCAGCTTGTAAGTTCAGTTTGACACTCTTTAAATACAGCAGGAATATTAAAATCCCTTTAACAAACATGTTTGGAAATTTTATCATTATTGTGACAACCTTCTTCGAGATAAATCGAACTTAAAACCTATACCTGTTATGTTTAGCTGTCAAATAAATTACTATGTAAAATCATATTTGTCGTGTAGTTTAAAAATGGAACGATTTTCTACTCCGCAAAATGGCGACCAAAGATGTAACTTATGAAAGGTTTACTTTAAATTTCGAACTTGCTTGCACAGAGACAGCGGTTGATTTAAAAAAAAAACTTGGCGCGTAATAAACGCACCAAAGAGCGTTTCGGTTCTAATTTTCCTAACTTTACTTCTTAGTTTTAATTTTCGCGTATTATTTGAGAAAAGTACTAGAGAAGCCTTGGCCGCAACCAAGCATTATAACCTCCATCAATGCCTCCCTTGCCGCTCGCTGCAGTAATGTACTATAAATAAAAAAACCTTTTTTATTAAAAATGGGATATAGTAAATCTTTTCATCATTCTTATGCCAATGCCAAATCAATTTCCATTTTTGTCAACAACTAGGTTAATTCATTTCGCATTTCTATTGTTTCGCACGCGATCTCGTCTGCTTGGGGAAAGCCAAAATAGTTTGACCATATATTTCACCTTCCATCAAGTGACACTCATGCTTGTGTCCATCTCTATCATAACATAGTGGCTTCCACCAGCATGTTATTTTTTAACTAAGTTATTTAGTAACTATAATATTCTATAGCTAATCTATGGCTATATAATAAAAATATACATGTAGAAAGCCCTGCGGTGGATACAAAACCTTGATGACTATAATAATTACAATGGCATCTGTTAAAAAATTAGTAATTTTGAAAAAAAAAATCGATTACCATTCGAGTACAGAGCCGATGCTACGCGCTTCCATATTAATATAGCTCAAAAACCCCTAATTATATGTTTTAGCTACACAAAGGCATCGCTGGTCGCATCTATAATCTTCGTGTTGGACAAAAAAACTGACCTAATATCCGCGCCGCATGCGCTGGTGTACTTCGGCATCGTGATCTTCTTCGTTTACTTCAAAGTAATTATTATTAGCATAAATAACTAAGATATTAAAGCTGTCGACTGTCAACGCATCGAAAAACAGTCTCAATTCTGCTATTTACTGATTGGCATTCTTCTCGTGTACTTGCATGACACCGTCGTGACACCTACTTTTATGGGTACACAATTTTATTGTATGTACATATATGCTATATAATAATATAGTATGGTATAGTTAATTAAAAAAAGGTTTACTTTTTATTAAATACTCTGAATGACTTTATAGAATGTCTTCAATTACAATAGCCAACAGACCGACGATTAAGATATTACATATTTTTAAGTATTGTCTGTAACTATTGTCTGTAGTTTACGGGAGTAGTACACATTTCAATAATTTATTACTATTAGTTTATAATACAGTAGTACGAGAATTATTCAGTTTCGTATCCGCGAATGTGGCAAATAATAAACGCATTTAAAACCGTTTAAAGTGTTTCATCTAAATATATGTTTATCAATATTTGACATTTCAGCTATCTTCAATCTTACTTGGCATCCACGATCCATTCGTGCCGTTCGAGAACTTGTTCAGTGCATTATTCCTCGGGGGAATTTGGGATTCTCTGGCCAAGATCCTTGGAAAGGGGCAGCCCAAAGAGGATTCCAAGGACGCTAAGAAAACAAACTAGATTCAGGTAAATAAGTTTATCAATATGAGGAAAAAACATTACACGTTCTTTATGTTGATAAACCTTTCCTCAATAAGTATACAATACGTTACATATAATTACTTGATTGAAACGCATTATAAGTTAATTAAATCCAATAATGACCCAACGTTTCAGATACTTTCCAATAGCATATTCATTATAGCAGGTAATATTAATTCAGTACATATTGTCTTTCAACACGTGTAAAACTTGTTTGTTTAAAAGTATTTGTTTTTTAATAGCGTATCTTATTAAAGAACACAGTCAATTGATTTCTTAAATATTTCAACTACATTGACAAAATTATATAAAATTGGTATCCGGTTGAGACCGGAACTTATTAGAAAAGTGACAGTTGACATTAGGGATGTAATTAGTGTATAAATCTATTCGATTAATTTTATATTATTTATAGTACTCGAAATCGATAGGGAATCGTAAATACAATCGTTATTAATTTGTTAAAACAAGATAACATTTAGGCGTTCAGACGTGGAACTTGAAAATTCTCTACCGTGCATTGCTTCACATTAATTTTCTCTATTGACTTACGAATTACAGAAAAATATGTAGAAGTAATATTATATTTTCACTCAACATTGTGTGTTTTTATTTACAGGTTGTACCTACGGAACCTACCGATTGCGGGTTGAGACGTTAAACATAAAATAATAAAACAAAAAAAAAATAGTAAAAACTCCTAAATGATAAAAAATGGCACAACGACCAAAGTTAATTTTAAGTATTTTAATTCATAGTTTGACTAGTCCTTTTTACCGTAGTATTAATGAATTGCTTGTAAGTGTTTAATAATTTAATATTAGATGCAGATATAATATAAATACCATAATGTATTAATGATTTTTTAGACAGGATAAGCTATGGAAAGTTGTGGTTAGTCCTTAATTTTTTATCTTGCCTGTATCAAATGCACAAAGCCAAATATGACAAATGTACAACTAGTATTACCAAATATTTTTTATCTATGACTGTGTTAATTGACATTTTATACAGATAATTACTTACTTGCTTGCTGTCAACCTGGTCATATTTTTGACAAACCGCGCCTTCTAGTATGACATCACTTTGGTGTGCAAGTCATTATTACAATAATCTGTCACATTTCACCAAAGGAGTGACAAAAAGAAAAAAAGAAGATGGCCTTTTATAAGGTAATAGTCGTGTTAATAATTATTAGTGACTAGAAGAAGACGCACAAAACGTTAATATTCTGTATCCCAGTTCCTGTTTTGTAATTAATATTACGTGTGTAAAATAATTTATTATGAGCGTTGTAATTATTTATATTTTACCGAAACGAAACGCGAAGACGAATTCCTTCCTGATTTTTATAAGCCATTTTGTAAGACTTCCATTTTGTTAAAATAAAATAAGTTACTTAGTTCGGTCGTCGTGATAGAGAGAGTCGAGGCAAAACGTCGAGAATAAATTCTCAATTACGACGGTCGAACAACTCGAAGACCTAAGAAGGTTGTTTCTTGTTTTGTAAACTGTATTTAAGCACAATTGTATAATATTGAAACGTCTGATTACGTTGCAGGGGTGCATGCGATGAAATTCACACGTTTCGTTTGTTTTAATATCGATACAGGAAAATAGGCACAAATAACCAATAATGGAAGGAATAAATTGTTTTATTACCAATGTTGGTTTTTATTGAATTTTGTATTTCCCGAAATCGCGTCTATTTAATATTAGTCATATTTACTTTATGGAAGAAAGGAAAATATCAGTTATTTTACCTAGAACAATTTAATTTAATTTGGTGCCACTTCAGAGCAACACAAACGGAAAAACTATTCCTTTTTTAATGTAAATAAATTTGCAAGAACGACTAGACGCGACCGACGTCGTAACAGCTATAATTTATAAGATGCCGAAAATAACTATTCTACGCAGACGAAGTCGCTGGCACAGCTAGTTATGTGTATAATCTAACGAACAAGTTGTTAAAAAGAACATAGTGTTGAAAAGGCCTAAGTCTACGGCCTAATTAATTCACGTCGACTAGCTTAAAGTTGTAATAAAAACTTGCTTTACAGCTTTATCGTTTGGTGCTTATATTACACTCAAAGTTAGGTATATCAAGGCTAAGATGAGCTAACGGGATTCTCCGACCTCTCTAAATCGATACGCGGTTGTCTAAGCTAGCTCTAATAACTGATGGATAATATTTTATAGATTAGTGAAGGTCCGTTATGCCAAAATGGGACATGGGGCTGACATATATCTGTGGCGACTTATTAATAATTGCTATCCTATTCTACTTACCTACAAACTTTTTTATTTAAATTTGTAATATTCTATTGCGTAAGTAGTACCTAAACACTTAAATACCTTTGACGGTTTGAACCCAAAAAATCCGATTTTTTCAACTATTATTAGACGTTTCGATGCTTTGCAGCAGGCGTAGTTGAGGGTGAACTCTGTATAAAACACCGTACAATATATTTCGTGTTCTAACGTAGCAAGTAGAATACGTTTGTGCCCAAATAAAAATATTGTGTTTTGCCGGGATTTGAACTCTCTACGTTTTAATTAAACTGTCATTGAAACGAATGCGGTCATTTAAGTTACGAGACCATTTATAAAAAACAAAAACTGATAAAACATTAATAATTTTTGACGGACGTTGGTGTAATGACAGCAAAGTACCTACTGGCAACAACGGGTCGTGGAAACGTTACGCATTAGTCCAACATTGCTCTAATCTATTAAATTTGTTTCTGAAACAGTTGGACTCCGCAAATTATCTGAAAATCTGGATATAAAATGGGTGCTAGGAATATCGAAATTCCGCCCTGGTCACAAACCACCGTTAACAAACAAAAAAGCCGTCAAGTTTAATTGCATTTCGGTGTCAGTCTGTCAATTTCGAACATCCAAAGCAAAAATAGGACGACAGCGCATCTTGTTGACAGTTATATGGCTGGGGTATTTCCATGGACTGAAACAATAACACCTCCTACTATATTATCATAAAAATGCTTTCGCTTAATTCAACATAATAGGTAATTATTCATATTATGTTTTACCTTATACACATCCTATGATGCGTAACAGGTATCGCAGCTGAGATCTGCAGGGTTGTGTAGCAAGGTAAAGTGAGGTCACTGTCGGGCATGACAGTTCGCAGACACGGGCCGCCTGTTACACAGAACACGAAGGACTTGTTGATTCTGCGTATATTATAAGCTTATGTTACAAAGCTAAAGAGTTTGTTTGAACGGAAAATACTGGATCGAATTAAAATTCTGTATTGGTTAGACTATTTATCGAGAAAGACTTTATTATTTCACGCTGCAACCAGAATGCAAAAGAATGCGATGAAACAAAGAAAAATGTGAAAAAAAACTGGAAAAATTATTCATCGAGTTATGATTTTGTAAATTAAGGCACATAATTAATACACAAAAATCCTCTTTAACACTGTTAGAAGTAGATGAGTAAAAAACTTTTGGTTTCTTATTATTTAACATTAGTTAATGACAATGTTCCCTTCGGTGTAAAAGTAGTCTCCGGTGACGTAGTATGCAATGCGTGCGGACATCACACGATAATCACATTTCTCGGCCTCAAGAAGCTCTAGTCAGAAGCGCGCGCGCATCCAGTCTCGTCGCGCCCGCGCAGCCTAACGGAGACTTACTATAAAATAGTGCAGTGTTAATGGGATACGAAATCACACGTGAGTATAGTAATATTGAATAACGGTGCTTATGTGAAAGTGAACGGCTCACAGTTATTTCGTTTCGTTTGAATAGACGATCAAAATACCGTAAGTTTTCGTCGTTTCGCCTTTATGTTAACGGAAGCTTTATAGTTATAACTAAATTGTTAAGTATAAACTACAGACAGTAGTTTATGCGACAGTACAATTTAAATAAAACACTTTTAACGGTTTAAAACGCGATCTATATTAGTTAAACTTGTTTGAAAATTATTTTTAACTTCGGTCTGACGTTTTCGATGCTTTGCAGCAGCCGTGGTCACGGGGCGACTCAACGACACAACACGCAAACATCCGAAACGTTGGGTCGAAGTTTAAAAAAAAATCAATCGCATTTTAAACCGTTAAAGTGTTTTATTTAAACAATTTTTTATTATTAGAAAACTGTAAAACGATTTTACACTAACTAAGTTAGAATACTACGAGAGTTATTAGATCGTAAGATTCTTGGAAGGTTTGCGGTTCTGCGAGAATTATTATTATTACTTAATGGTTGGTGAGCGCGCAGGATGCTGCAGAAATACGAGAATCAGGATTCAACAGGATATGAGTAGAATATTAAAGAAGTAGTTTTAAATTGTTGATATATAGCAAATTTATATATTCATATGGATATAGAATTATATGTTTGTGTTAATTAAACTTAATTCTTTGCCCAACTAAGGACTATATATTTGAGCGGTTATATGCTATTAGGAAAAACGTACAAATGTTTTGTTACTTAATAGTGAGTTAGTCTTAAAAGATAGACATATAATACCGCATTTTTTTTAGATTGCTAAAAGAAGAAAAATAATTCTTTTGCAGTGCACTCAACAGAAGTCCTGAATGATGAATAATTTTCCCCGTTTTTCTTCCACATTTTCCTTTCTTTATTCACACCTATTAACAGCAGCCTAATGTTTTATAGCCTTCCTCGATAAATGGGTTCAACCAATACAAACATTATTTTTTAAATTAAAACCAATAGTTCCCGAGATTAGCCCGTTCAAACAAACAAACTTGTAAGCTTTATTATATTAATAGATCAATGTAAGAGTACATACAACCCGTATAAAAATAAATTTAAATATTATACTTACTTAACGTTAATAAATTCAACTATCCATAAAACTTGTTTTAAATGTTTGACGAAAGCTTAATTTTATCATAGATCTTTCAACTAAATGTCGATTCGGATATAAGGGGTAAAAAATGTTAATCAAACTTAGCATATTAATTCGTATGTTTTATTATTATACTTTGTAAAAGGCAATACAATTATAACTTTCATATCGCAAATTAAGTTAAATTTCTTGTAGAGCATTAGGAATTATATGATAATATAGATGACATGTTTTTGTTTATCGAAACCTACGTAGACAATTTTGATTAACATCATAATATCATAGAATCGATAATAAAATATACATATTTAATTACAAAGTTAGACCCTTTAAAAGTAATTATTAACAAACATACACCTCCTTTAATACCCAATAATATCCAATCTACCTAGACTGCCATTTCCATTTTCTTGGCACCTCCATCTCATCGATACTTTGTTTCCTGAACTTTCCTTTACCTCCTTTGTTCGGGAATGACGTAGGGGAAAACTTTTTTAAAATTACTTACATTGGTCATAAACGGTTTCAGTATTTAGTTAGAACTAGAACGATCATCAATAATATATTAATTACTAGATTTCAATTTTACTAAGTTTATTCTACATTTAACATTTTAATTCTAAAGAAGGTACAACTATTTTAATAGGGCACAAATGTTTGAAAACTTTAATAATTTTCACATGTTATTATGGGCACAAATTTAATTCAAATTATTAAGGTAACCTTATTAAATAGTATAATGGTAGATCGCCTTATATATATTTGCTACTAGATACTAGGGGATCCCTATGCAAAAAAAAATTTCACCTGTATTAATGATAAGTCAAAGTAATCAATATTCTTAACAATAATTTCCTTCGTTAATTACTTCCTAAAAATGGCATCATTAGTAAGTAATAGTTTATTCGAATTATTACATTATTCATTATCAATTACCTGTAGATACAATTTCTAAAACGGTAATTTGATAATTAGTAGTGTAGTGAAATCCCGTTTCCCCCTCGTGGGACATGGGACGAACACATTTCTGTGTCCGTTTCACTGATCGTTCTTTTTAACAGGCAAGTAGTTGATCAGACTTCTGTGCCCTACCCGACCGGAACAACTTTTTTATTTTGTTCCCCTGGGATTGGAACTTGGGACTTCTCGTGCATATCGCACTACTAGGCAATACGTTTAACCTGTTGGCTACAGAGGCGGTCTAAATATAAATTTATTTAAAACTCTTGTTCAAGTTGAATACTTAACTTAACTCTTAGGTACTACTTTTTAAATTTTAGTCAATAGTCAATACATATAGATATTTTTTAAACAATATTAAACAAATAATAATAAATTGCCTTCACTATGTTCAATTAGTACGGTTATGCCAGTCTTTTAACGCATAAACACGACTATTTCTATAACTAAAACTTTGGCCTTTCCTTGAATCATACAAACAATATATGACATACCTTGCAGGCTTGTAGTATTTAGTAAGATGTTTTTAATAATATCAATATCATATAAGTACATTTGAGGTAATTGTACTCACTTCCTTTAACTTTGAGGGGAAAAATCAAGTATTACGTACGTAGAAAATGTATTTAGCAAATACATAGTTTGCGTAATTTTTTATTCGGTCGGTTATATTTACTAACTAGCTGTGTAGCGCCTTTGACCAGGTTGAATAGTAATGTCTAGGTTTGGTTGCCCACCAAACCTAGTTTTCATTTCCAAAAAAATTAGCTAATGACAATAATCATATTAATAATATTATAAAGCAATGTCAGCGCCACTTTATGTACATGTTTTAAGATTATTTATAAAAAACAACGGGACGGAACCGACATTGTGGGTAACGGTTTAAATTTATAAAGATGTAGAGAAGGTTTTCAAAAACAAATTTGGATGGCCAAAATAACTATTCTATACGAACGAAGTCGCTGACACAGCTAGTGTATACATGAATGTAGAAGTTGACGAATTACTTTTTCATTCTTCCTTATTGATTAATTGATCATAATTGATTCTCGCCTAGTACCCACTATTAGTAATTGGAGATATTTGAGCTTACCTTCAAGTCATGGTGATCATCAAATATTATTTCCTCATCCGCATCGCTAGACGTGACTGGAAATCTACTACGCATTTCGAAAGCACGATTTTTATTGCACATTGTTTTAAACCGTTGCAAGAGTGAAGGCAGAGATGCTATTTGTACCTAACTGTGCGAGAAAATGTACTTAGTTGTAGCAGTATTGGATACGTGAGTAGTACACGGCAATGAAACCATTTTGACGGACCATTTGAATATAACCTGATTAGTTTATTTCATGTTTTAAGCCGTTATACGTGTTTTATTTAAATAAGTACTACGCACACAAATAGCATGTCCGCCTTCACTCGCAAAACCGTTTAAAACAATGTGCAATGCCAATTTTAAACAAATGCTTATATGTGTACTATCGCGTAACCGTACAGTTACACTGAATTGATACAGTTCAGAGCACTTAACAAATATAGGTTTTTTCATTTTGTTTAATTCAATTTTACTTGTTGCAGACTAAACCGGCGACAACATGCCACAGTTCAGAACGGTCTTGGTAACAGGGGGAGCTGGTTATATCGGCAGCCATTGTGTTGTCGACCTCCTCGATGCGGGATATGAAGTTGTGGCTATAGACAATTTCGCCAACGCCGTTGGTGATGAGGAGGGCTCACCAGCTCTGGCGCGCGCTGAACAAATCACAGGAAAGACAATCACGTTTTACAAAGCCGATCTACTGGATAAGCCGCAGATAAATGATATTTTTGATAAGGTTATAATATAATATAATATACTTGAATAGGACTATCATGATATCTTGTAACTTACATCTGATTAGTAGGAAAGGATATAAATTAAATTTAAAATATTTTAATATTATAAAGCTAAATAGTTTGTTTGTTTGAAAGCTCAGGAACTACTGGGCCAATAGGAGCGAAAAAACAAAGGGGAAATGTGAAAATATAGGTCAAAAGATATTCTTCTTTAAATCATCTAAAAAAATGCCGGGACAGTATATAACTGGCAACAACGACGGGACACGTGTGTGTCAGCTATAATTTTAAAGCTAAGAAGATTCTTTCGAAAATTAATTTTGATGACCAAAAAACTTATTCTACATAGATCTATATAGACCGCCTCTGTAGATAAATGGTTAATCGCATTGCCTAGCATTGCGTTATGCGCGAGAGGTTCTGGGTTCGAATCCCAGGGGAATAAAAAAAACAGTTGTTTCGGTCGGGTAGGGCGCAGAAGTCTGATCAACTACTTGCCCGTTAAAAAGAACATATCAGTGAAACGGACACAGAAATGTGTTTGCCCCACGCCCCGCGAGGGGGAAACGGGAATTCACACAGACACAGTATTATAAGCTTGAAACCCATTTTCACTTGTTTCAATTATAATAACATTCGTTAGAATTTCAATTCAAACACTTTTAAAGTTTTAGAACGAACGCAAAATATATAAACTTACAATTTATTTTAACTACTGCGCGACGTTTTCGATGCTTTGATGCCGTGGTCGCGGGGGGTCAGTCTTAGAATGTTTGCGTTCGAAGCATCTAAAGTGAATTCTCAGTCAATAAACTAACTAATGGTTTTATGAAATTGGGTTTAAAGCTGTAATAATTGTTTAATAATAAAGCTAAAAACGCGTTTTTATTTTACAGCATAGCATAGACTGCGTAATCCATTTCGCAGCACTGAAAGCAGTCGGTGAATCCATGCAGCAACCTTTACTCTACTATCAAAACAATCTACTTGGCATGCTTAATTTATTAGAGGTAAAATATCCAATACGTTTTTTATAGACATATTGAACTACTAAGGGTGTTTCAACAAATCTTTTAAGATCAATACTATGTTTGTTTCGCTAGATATAGACTTATTGCTGTTGATTAGTATTTGCATACATTTAATAGACTCTATTTATCAATTAACTAAAATAAAAGACATGAATTTTAGTACTACAACAATAAATTTTTCTTATTGAATAAATATTTAAGTAAATTTTACGAATAAAACAACGTTTGTTGGGTTAAAGATGTATTTAGTTTACTAAATTTGAATTAGAAATACTGTCTGTAGTTTACGCGAGTAGCACACATTTAAATAAAACATTTAAACGGTTTAAAACCCGATATATATAGTTAAACTGTCCGAGAATTATTTTTAAGGGGAAGTCGTGCAGCAGCCGCGGTCACCGTGACCACGGCTGCTGCAAAGCATCCGAAACGTCGGGCCCTAGTTAAAAATAATTCTCAAAAAAGATTAACTAAAATATAACGCGTTTACACCGTTGAAGTGTTTTATTTTAATTAGAAATTAGACTATATGAAGGCTACCAATCTTCTCTTTTAAGTATGTTCCTAGAACCGAACAAAATATATGAAATTGCCATAAATCGTCCCTAAATATTTCATTACTAGTTAGTTATTAACGACTAGGTATATAAATCGGACCTTTTTATAATTCAAAATTAGTTACTTTCTTAGGCGATCTATATTTATTCCTTACTTTTATTAAACCAATGCCGAGGTTTTAGAGATTGTATCTCGAATTATATTTTTGCGATATAATTAAACGTTGCCTTTATTAGAACTAACTAAAACCATAGATTGTATTTTGAAAATGTCTTATTCAGATCATGAGGTCTCACAACTGCTACCAAATCGTGTTCTCGTCATCATGCACAGTGTACGGCGAGCCTGAACAGCTACCGATCACGGAGACACACGCAACAGGAAACATAACAAACGTCTACGGCAGAACAAAGTACTTCATTGAGGAGATGCTTAAGGATTTGAGTGCAGCTGACGATGTAAGTTAATTCATTTTTAATGACAAGCGGTTGACATACAACTGGGGGGAGGGGGGTAAATTAGTTGTTCCCAAAATATGTCGAGACAGACAGACCTAAGCGTGGATTTACGCGCCATCTGTGGATGTTTTTATTAGGCACTTCAGACAGAATAATGATTAAGAAATATTTAAAATGACTATATATGCGACTTCGTCCGCGTCTAATTTTTATTTTCGTCGAAAAATTTAGTCGCAGCCTGATGTTTAAGAAAAAATGTATTTTTTCAATTCGAAGCAGTTCTTGAGTTTACAACGCGTTCAAACAATCTCTTCAGCTTTATTATATTAGTATAGAAGTAGACATCATGGACCCGGTTGCAATCGAATCTACGATCCTTTGGATTTTAGCAATATATTACTAGCATTGAACAATGAGCCTGTAAAAAAGTGACTTCTAAGTTTATTGAATATAGTTCCCTACTTGATTATAGTATCCCATATATCGGGCATGGGGGCAAACATGATTGATTTAACAAAGAAAACATGACCTCATCGAAATTTCCAAGTAATAAGGTGATTTTTATAATGATTAGAAGTGATTAACAGTCTTTACATAAATAAATAACGGGCACAACTGGTTCGCTCATCACACACATCATAGATGATAAGTTCAAGGGCGTTGTAATTCCGCATTTAAATTAGGTCGTCGGAAACCAATATTTTTTCTAGATTAGAGAATCTTTATTCTAGTCTAATAATTTATATTATATTACTGATATTGACGAGTGTAAGAGACGTTTCACACCAGTGACGTTCGAGCGTCGACGTCGTGTAAGTACAGTACAGTACAATAAGCCTTCAATTGATAGTTTTATATAGTTTTGGATAAAAACGTTTTAAAAGAAAATTTTCTATAGTTTACGCGAGTTGTAAACTTTTAAATGAAACACTTTAACGTTTTAAAATGCGACATATATTGTTTAAAGTTTGAAAAGTATTATTCTTACGCTAGCGTAGAATCGTGTTTACTATGACATCAGAGACACCCTCCATCTTTAATCTCCCCGTGATCATGATGGGTGAAAAGCATCCGAAACGTCGGGCCATAGTTAATAAATGTCGCGTGTTAAACCGTTAAACTGCTTTATTTTAGAAGCAAATATTCGTTAGGGCATTAAAAAAAGTGTTTCTTTTTTATATCTGTTCACAATGTAATACTTAATTATCGCTTTCCAAAACTTGAAAACTTCCCAGAGTGTTATTTTTTACTCGTTAGTACGTTTTTCGCAAAGTACGTTGACACGACGTCGACGGTTGAAAGACACTAGTGTGTTGGGTCCCTTAGATCGCACTTTATATTAAAGAGGTTTATATGATTTGAATATCCTTAAAGATCGTAATAATCATGAACCACGTGTGTTTCTTCTAGAAATGGAACATCATATCACTTCGATACTTCAACCCAGTCGGCGCGCATCCATCAGGTCTGATCGGAGAAGACCCCACGAAAGAGTTCACCAACTTGATGCCGTTCATGGCGCAGGTGGCTCTTGGAAAGAAACCAGTGCTCACTATATTTGGAAACGACTACAATACACCTGATGGGACTGGTAATAACAAATGCCTATAGGATATAAGCTTTTATATCGAGCTCGTTAAAACTTCGTTTCTGGTTAGTTTCTGATAGAGGAGGATAGACAACCATGGGGTTCACTTGGGAGGTGGCCAGCCATATAACATTTGCAAAAGATGCGCTCTCGACCTATTATGATTATGGCTTTGTATGTTCGGCTCATCTCTTCATATTAGTATCATGGCTAAATTAGTGGTGGTAATCAAAGCCCACAAACATGCATAAAAGCACGTGGTGGGGTTTAGCTCTGTCTCCCATGACAACTCTGCCCGGCATTGGAACATTGACGAGACTTTAAAAAACAGTAATATGAAATTTTTTTGTCAATTACTGACTCCGTTATGATATGTAAAAAGTATATGGAAGTTCTACTTTATTATATTTATTAACGTGCAAGATTTGAACCCAATATTTATATGCTTAGCGTATTGTGCTGTTATTCTGTCAACTAAGTTATGGTGTCGATCTGGCTTCGAATCTCCTATCTCAGGGTTCTTTAAACTTTCAAACACTTTTCAATTGTTTCAGTATATTGTACGAAGACAATATTGTCTGTGCAAATTCTTATGATGTATTTTATCATTTGTTATCGATAGGATAGATACATATCAGTGCGTTACGGAATCGATAGATATGATCAAGATCAGATTCAGATAACATTTGTTTTTCAGGTATTCGCGATTACATACATGTCATGGACTTGGCTAGTGGTCACGTGGCAGCTTTGAACCTTTTGAGCACTAATCATGTTGGATTAAAGGTTTGTATTCATTTTTCACTTTGTTCACTTTGACGTTGGAAATTCAGACGGATTTTCGATATTTCTACAAGCAATTTACTTTTTACATTTTTAAGGAAAATGATTAAAAAAAACGAAGTAGACAATAGAAAAAAATAACGAGCCATCTACAGGTTGCCGCAATTAGATTTAGAATTACAATAAATACAAAACAAACAAAAAACAATAGGAAGCGATAACAAGCAAACAACATTATAAAGAACTTTTCTTAGACTAAGTCTATGACATAATTAAGACAAATGACAAACTGTTAAGTAACACGTTGTTCTTGGTGGAAATCGAAACATGACACATCAAAACACGACACGGCGTTACTTAGCCATACAACCAATCAAAAAAAATCATACGTCCCTCTGAAATGTCTGCAGTTTACGCAGACACAATCCTTATAATCATTACACTGTTACGGTTTAAAACGCGAAATATATTACTTGAACTTATTTTAACTTCGGCTCGACGTTTTGTTGCTTTGCAGCAGCAGTGACGTCTTAACAATTTTAAATAAGTTTAACTAATATATTTTTTATCTTAAAGCGTTTTTTAAAAGTCCCTCTTGAACTTAAGACCTATTTTTTCACAGGTGTACAACTTAGGCACCGGGCGAGGTGTGTCCGTCAAAGAATTGGTTGACGTGTTCGAGAGGGTGACGGAAACCAAGGTGCCGACGAAATACGTCGCGCGACGATTAGGCGATATCACCGCGATGTGGGCTGACGCGACCCTGGCAAAAACTGAGCTGGGATGGAGTACGACTCGGAGTATTGAGGAGATGTGTATGTGTCTTTTATTTCGTGGCTATATCGCAAATAGTATATATTGCTTATTTTTTTAATGTTACTGTGAAATTACATTTAAAGAGTTTGTTTGATTAAACGCGCTCAGGAACTACTGGTTCGAAGTTCGACTTTAGGCTATGAAACATCACACTGCGACTAATTGTAGAGAAGACAATCTTTGTGAGTTTTCCTTGCCTGCGCTGCGAAAAGCGGTTCTTACTTAGGTACATACTAAAAAAAATTGTATGTAACAAAGATTTCTTTTTAAATGATCCTAAAAAACGTCCGCGACATGTCTATGTATATCTTGTAAGATTAACTTGCAAGAACGACGGGGGTAACGGGCTAAGGTTTATAAAGACGAGGGCGAGGTTTGCAGAAATGCATAGCTAGTTATATTACAGTTATTATACTGTTTCGTGAATTACCTTTAATATGTAAGTAGATTATCATAATAATTTTCTAAATATTATTTCAGGCACGGACTTCTGGCGATGGCAGACAATGAACCCGGACGGATACCCAAAGAAGAATAAAACAAGCGTAATCGTTATGAACGGAAAAAGCTAACTCGGGACATGCATTTCATAGCACACACATATTATACGCTTTCCTATAGAAAATGTGTTTTATTCACTACATTATAAGTTAGATTTTCAGCCTCTGTAGCCAAATTGTTAAACGTATTGCCTAGCATTGCGTTAAGCACAAGAGGTCCTGGGTTCGAATCCCAGGGAAACATAAAATTGTTTCGGTCGGGCAGGGCACCGAAGTCTGATCAACTACTTGCCCGTTAAAAGAACCGATCAGTGAAACGGACACAGAAATGTGTTCGCCCCATGCTCCACGAGGGGGAAACGGGCTTTCACACTTTATAAGTTAGATTTTATGTTGCGATTAGATGTGGCCGCGTCTTTGTCCGCGTAGAATAGTTATTTTGGACGTCAACATTTGTTTTTGCAAACTTCCTTATAATTATAAATTTTAGCTATATTTACTACCTACGATGTGTCCACATCCCATAGTTTCGTTTCGTAATTTTTGGTACCATAAACCGTTTTCAAAGCCTACAGAGATGAATTATCTCCCCGTTCTTTTTTCACATTTCTTACTGTTTTTTCGCCGCATGTAATATTTCAAAATTAGTAAATGTTCTAACCAAAACAAAAATATTTGTTCAATACGAACTAGTAGTTCCGTAGTTCCGCGTTCAAACCAACAAACTCTTAGGCTTTATAATATTAGTATACATTAATTGATTTCGTATCTTTTGTTTAATGTTTTTATTAATTGTAGTATAGTACTGCTTATAAAAACAAAAATCGTTTTAAATCATGTATTCTCATATAAGGACAAATGTTGCCATTTTAATGGTTCAAAACCAACACTGGTGGTGTTTGACAAGAGGTATCTCGCAAATAATTCTAACACTCGTGGTTCTTCTCTCGGCAGAAGTGGTGACAGGATATCTGCAAAAAAACGGGGATGTTTTTTATTTACGTCAACTACGGTCCGAAGTTTACGAAACTTTTCAACAATCATGGTCTAGGTAGCGTGAAAATGGATAGGCGAAACTGGCTGGGGTAGTGAAGTTAACTAATCCATGCCCCGACAACAGAGATTATTAATAAATCACACTGTCTTAATTATCTTTAAAATATAACATTGCGAAAGAGATGTTTGGGTGAAGAGATTGAGAAAATTCGATAATACAATAGTAACTCGACCATTGATAGATAGCATAAGCAATTTCAAGCAAACTGTTATTCTAGTCATTTAAATAAAACACTTTAACGGTTTAAAACGCGATATATTAGTTAAACTTATTTGGAAATGATTGTTAACTTCGGCCCGACGTTTTGGATAAAGTTAGCCCGTTAAAGTGTTTTATTTAAATGTGTACTACTCGCGTAAACTATAGACAGTATTTCATTAAAATCTGGTTTACAATAACTTTATTATAATACAGTGTTTTAACAGAAGTCTATGAATTAGCATAGAAATATAATATATGTCACTCACCTAACAATGGTGGCTTATGAGAATGCAAAGAACTAGGAACACTTGCAAATAACACATCTTCATTCACTTTAATGTTACCCTTTCGACCGATTAACACTCTTTCATAGGGCTGCTTCTGTGATCCACTACCAAAATCGCACAGTGGTTCCAAATCGATAGTCAGCTTCAACCAAAACCAAGTAGTCACATATTCTACACCCCAGTTAGGAAAAATTAGATTTTTTACAGCGGAAATATTACTTGGTGAATTCGTACACCAAACAGCTATCAGGCATGTATCCGCTAGAACATTGCTTATGGGTAATGAGGCTATATCTTCATTGTACATCATGGAGTAACTGAAAAATTTAAGGGGCTTTAGATTTTGTTTGTTGAAAATCACTTAACATTAGATTCCCTGGAGTGGTACCTCTTGGAAAAATAATGATAAGTTTACTAGCTTGTAAATAAAAAACTACAGTGAAGGAGACACAAAAATATGTCTACCTCATGACTACAGCAGGCAAAGTGGGATTACCACAAACATGAAGTGGGTGTTGCAACTAAATTGTTTTATATATTCTGACTAATTTAATATCAGCACCATTTCTAAATATTAATTATAAAACTATATTTTTAGTTTTTACAATCCTTATAATCATAAATTTTCTTCAATAATTCATTCAAAATACTATATCAATGAAATTTGTACAAAACAGTATAATGGAATTACCAAAATAACTACCCCATTTTATCATTGGCTGTCTTCAGTCTCCGAATGTACTTGTTCCACCATGGTGGGTCAGCTATAACAATATCATATTTATTTCCATGTAGCTTTTGACATTGCTCTTTGACACAACCACACAGGAATCTAAAAATATTTATTATGGTTGAAAGTGTTATAGCTATAGCTGTTATAGCTGAAAATATTCATCTGTTTATTAACCAAAGAATGTGTTACATAGCTTAAAAAACAAAGTACTTTAAGAAGAATAAAGAAATTACTACAATTTGAAACTTTATCCTAAAAGGTGTACTCAGCTTCTGCTTAGAAAGCATAGTTACTAGAAGTGCTGATTTTCAGTCTATTCTATATAAATACTAAAATTAAAACTTGTTGTAGGATCTCTCCTGAGAGATTAGAAATAAATTTAATTAAATTAAAGAAAGTAAGAAATTTAAGTTAAATTCGCCTCACCTTACCTACATTTAGCTGGAATAAGAAACTGTTCTCCTTTTATATCACACATTACTGGAGTCTCGGAATTATTCCCACCACTCAATCCACTATGGTCAAATTTTGTAGACTCAAATAATTGTTTAGACAAATCTCTTACAGTAGAGGAGTCTAATAAATCATATTTATTCAATGTAGCATTTTTCAGTGTTGAAGGTAATATTTTAATAAGATCACAATACATAGCCTTTACTGCACTTGCCTAAAATTGTTAAATACAATGTTGTTATATTATATTAGTTCTATTCGAAATGGGTAATACAACATTACCGCAACTTGTGTACAGGAGCAATTCTTATGAGAATGTTTAATTCTAATGACAGAAGCAGGCCTAAACATTGTTATGAATTAGTAGGTTAGTATTATTTGGTACCATCTAGAGGATACAAAGTAATAAAATAAATACTGTTATATTCCATAGCGAAAAAGAAGAATGTTTTAAAAAGGGCGCAGTGTTTCCCGCTCAAAAGGGCAGTCTTCCTTACCTCTTCGTGGATATTATCGTCATGATTTCTTTTCATAAGTTTTTTCTTTTTATCTCGTTTTATAGAAAACAATTTAGTTGTAATCGCAAAACTTTTACAACCTGATTTTCGGGTATCGACTTTGCTATACATATTTAAGGTGTAATTCCTATGGTCGATAAAATATAAATTTGTCTCATTAGTAAAAATTAAGCTCATCTTAAATTAATAAAACAGCTACCTACTGTTACTATTGTTAACTTTTATCATATATTTTATCGTTTTAACAAAATAATAAACAGATATATTTAGCCAGTAGCGACTAGCCATACATACATAGACATAGCCTTCAGAATTTTTTTTTATAATATTTTATGGCCTGGACAAGACATAGCCTTCAGAGTCCTGCGATCATAGAGTAGGATAATCTATATTGAGCCTTAGTGTGCTACAGATTTATTCCATATTTTTTGTGGTTTAGTTATGAGACCTTTGAGCCAAGACTTTATGGACATCGATTACTAATAAACGTCTATTAGTGATCGATGGTATATTAAAATTTTTGCAAATAATCGATAATAAATTCGCTTTCATAAAACAGAATGACATTTGACAGTTGTAATTTGATACTTATTATGCCAAGAAAACTAATTTAATGTAAAAACCGTAGATAATGAAGCAATAACCAAACGCCGAGCAAATGTTAATTACTGGGGACTTTGACGCTTTCAGAATAGTGATGTTCATGTTAAAAAAATATCGATATTATTTTCGAAATAATATATCGTAATGTTCTATCGATACTTTGCGATATATCGAACATATATATCGATATTTTTAAAATATCGTAAGTAATTTCCTACTTACCTACTCTATTAAAATATTTTCTAATATTAAATAGGGAAGGTTGATATTATTAATATGAGTCACAACATCTAGAACAAATCAACTTTATTTATATATCATGCAAATGAAATCAATGGCCATACGACCCAAAAGTCAAAGATTTATAAATCCCAGTATTTCTTCTCTAAGCTTTGCAAAAACAACATTTTATTGACCCTTTTGGCTTGCAATCTGATTTTCTGCTGTGTAAGAACTGTGCGGCTTTTGAGAAAAGCCGTTCAGATGGAACTGAGCTAGCCACCATGGTTAAATATTTAAAAGCCACATTGTATAACGTTGGGAACTGTATTTTATAGTCTGCCCACACTTCTAATAGGTTTTCGTTAAATGTACTCACTGGAGTCCTCAAATAAAGCGATAACTTATCTGAAAGACTTTCATTGGTATTATTTGTTTTCCAATTTCGTTGTACCAGTTTATGGTGATCACTCCAAACTCCAAAGATCCGATGATAGACTAATTTTGTCTGAGTTGTCAGAGTCAGATTCCACAGTAGATTCATCCTGTTGATTCTTTTTAATCATCTCTTTAATTTTAATGACGGCATTTGCACATTTAAAGGAATACAATTCGAATTAATTCGATTTTTGGTATATCGGATGAAATATATCGATATTCAGTTCGATACTAGGCGTTTCGATAATATCGGATGGAAGCGATATTATCGCGTAATGTATCGATATTTTTTTAGTATCGATTTATATCGCCCACTACTATTTCGGATTTAATATGCGTGGCGGCAAATATCGCAGGCAACGAATCTGCGGACAAGGTCCGAAAAAATTGTTAATAAATTATTTATGAACGTATATTTGTTTGTTTTTGACTTTCATATCCAAGAGAAAGCTTCGAAGATCGACTCTAAAGTATATAACATTCTATTTAAATAAAAACTTCGCGCCATACGCGCCCCGTTTGTGCGGCAATTCTTAGTGGTCATACCAAGGTACTATATATTACTAAGAATACACCTACATTACTTCACCTGAAGCACACAAGTGATTAAAATAGAATGAATCAAATGTCCAAAAATGTATGTAGATTATATATTTTTTGGACATTTGATTATTTTTCTACAAATAATGTAATCCTGTCAAAAAATCCAATTTGAAGCAATAGAAATGGTAAATGAAACGAAATGTTATTTTTAAATTAATCATATTATATTGAAATTATTATCACCATTTTAAAACAACGTCGAAGGGTGGCAAGTGTCTTACGTTTCACGCAAAACACAACGCAAATGAGAAGACATCGTGACTATAAGGTTTGAATATCGCGGCGCCGGCCTGTGTTTCGTAGACTCGCCTCAAGGCACTTAGGTTTTGTTTGCTTTTGTATAGTGGCAAGTCGGCGACACTCTAAATTAGCGTATTCATAACAGTCTCGAAATAATAACTCATCAGGCGTTGGGTAATAAGGATTAAAAGCATAGAAAACACAGACCGGCCAAGGCTACAAATTATTGCTTATCTGTTCACTTCAAACGAGTTTGACAATTAACAATTGCACAGACTAAAAATCCAGATTATACTAACATATGCAAATCCTTAAAATCAGTCTGATCTAGTCGAGTTATGGAACTTGGATGAATTTACGTTATTGCGTTACATCGGCACTATTATTTACTAATCTCTAAAAAATATAACAGCTGCTGTTTGAAATTCCGTCTATCTAACATCTTCAAAAATAATTTTGACACAACAGGGTTGGCGGAAAGTAACAGTAACGTAAGATATCGATATTGGCAAGTAAAATTGTTAGGAAAATAAAATCTATTATCTGCACAACCCTCGCACACCACAAAAAGTACAAAAGTCTCTCATACTTATTTACTATACACATAATCATTTCACTAAATATTTCAACGCTATCCGAACCTCGTGTCTAGCTTTAATTATTAAGTTTTCTATGTTATAAATGCACTTCTCGTTATAAAGTTAATTGTTACACATAAAAAAATTGTTTAGTCTGGTTTTAAAATGGCATATGTTTTGCCGGATCTGTTGATTTTTACAACGATGAAATAATACTAAACAATACTGAATGAAGTTGCGCCTATTTGAATCGCTTACATATATTTCTTTGGTGCTGTGTCATTTTTACTCTGTGGACGCTATTTATTGGCGCAAAAACGTAAATTAAAATGTCTGAACATTTCGCGCCATTCCTAACCTAGCGCTTTTATACATCTAATATTTTCATGCTTAAACAACTTAAGTAGTATTTACACGAACTTAGCCTATTTACAAAATGGAATCATTGAGATCATTACAATGTTATTTGCTAGATATTCTACGAGGTATGTCTAATTTTAAATAATACTTGGAAATAGACCGGTTTTGGTACAAGTCGAGGGCACCTCGATTTCAGTATGAGGTAATCATTCGACGAACCACTGACGGTTGCCTCCATTTAAAAAAAAAATCCCTTTTTCAACTGTACTACTGTCACGGCTGAGTAATTAAAACAAGTAGTATTTAAAGTTATAACCCGACGACTGGTCAAATTCAATATAACACCTTTTTTTGTTCAAACAATACCATATATGCAGTTGAATCTTGTTATTTTTTTAATGTATAAGGAAATAGTACTAGACGAATTAGTGCTGTTTGACAGGAATTTAGTTTATTAAGATACGGATTATACAAAACTCCAAGTCTTATTAGAGTTTCCGAGAAGATCTCTTTATATTTTGAACTTAGTCATTATAGCACGCTTAGTAGTTAGTACGAATTCGGATGAAACAAATTTTGCCGTTACGAGTACTTCGAAGCATTCTTAAATGTCTATTGTTGAGTCCTGTTTCAAATATTTCAAACATTAACAAGAAGCAACTGTTTATATGATTTTGTTGTGTTTATACTTTTGGAATTATTATATTTATTAACTCAGTACCAATTTTTTATTTGTACTGGAGCAATGATCATTATTTTTGTCTGGCAATCGTCGGGCGACGAGAAGGATTTTTATAACAAATGATTACCACAGAGAGTACCGACGAAGCATAAAAACCGCCAATGGACGCCTGCAAGCGTCTATATACACGCTATTGCACATTGACCTTAACGCTTATAAAAATAACGTCGCTTTCCTATCAACCGAATCTTTCTTTAACGAGGAACATTAGTTTCTTCTTTCCTTTGTATTTCAGTTTGATTTCTTGTAAGAGGGCAGCGAACTGGTGCGGTCCGTCGTCCGCTAACGCGAATGTGTCGCGGGCTTTACCTGAGAAGCATAGTATAATTTATAATATCTTATATATGGCTGTAAGATATAGTAGCGATTAAGGGTTAAAAAATAAAAACTATCTTGAGGCTCATGATGGCATTATATCGACTTTAGAATGAAAATATTTTACGACACGGGCAGGACATCCACAGCGCTCCGTAGGGTGTAACAGCACGGAACGGGTGTCGTAATTTATTCTTCATTGTAAAATATTTATTTACTTACATTATAGTTAATTACTATGATTTCTACTGTTTTCCAAATAAAAAATCTTAATCGTTCAAGGCAACTTTGAATGAATAGACAACTTTCAATAGCATATTTTTTTATAATTAAGTATTAATAACTTACCAAGGAAGTCAACGAAGTCTGCATAATGCCTGGGTGATATGTGTGCGAGGCGCGCATGCGTCGTCGAGGCATATGCACGTAACGCGGCTTCCAGAAGGGGTCTTAGGGGGGTGGGCGGACGCGGAGGTGGCGGTCTAGCGCGACTGCAGCCGGCAGCTGCTACACAGCATCGTCGGAGCACATCCGACTAGAAATAGACATTTGATTAATCTATGCACTTATTAACGTATAGCCTAAGCGAAATGTGAACAAGTTGTATTTTATGACTCAAACTTATATACAAGGCGGGATGTACGGGACATCTGTCGCCTTGGTTTGTTTCTATTTTATCACTTTTAAGTCTTTTTTGCCTGGAAGAATTTCCTTAGCAAGAGGCCAGCGTCTCCCCTAGTACTATTAGTTTTTTCTTTTTCTTTCTTGATAATAAATTTGATTGAGTTATTTATTATATTCTATTAATGTAGTTGTATTTGATTTTTGATTTACTTACAAGAACAGGTGCGCATTGTACGTTTTTGACGAGTAAAGGCAGCATCGCTTGTAACTCGGCACGACCTAAGGAATGCGCGAGCGCAACAGCCCAATGGATGTCCGCTATCGCCGGGTGACTGTCCTGTAATTTATAACAATTTAGAATTAGTTTATAAAAATACTAAAACTTCATATAGAATAATTGTAAATGTGTATTTTATGACAGAGGACTTGTGTATCCTATAGAGTTCGAAAGAAGATGCGACATACGTAAGAGGCTGCCTTGGATATTATTGGACGATAACAATCGATAGTCTACTTAATCCTTATTAATATTATAAATGCGAAAGTCTGTCTGTCTGTAACTCTTTCATGACAAAACTACTGAACGGATTTGAATGAAATTTGGTACACGGTCTAGACCCTGAAAAAGGACATAGGCTACTTTTTATTGCGAAAACGTTTAATTTGCTTTTACGTTTTAGAAAAAATTATCCAACTTATGTTGATTAAATTCTACAGATCAATTTCTGTACTCGCAATCTTATTTGTCTGTACTTTATGCGAGTAGAACACATTTAAATAAAACACTTAACAGTTTCTAACGCGAAATCATTAGTAGTAAACAAAATGATTCACGATTAAACACAAAAGTGTTATCCCTATGGGATAATCTAGGCAATATTTCGTCTAATATCTTGTAGAGTTGTTACAAATGACACAAACCTGATTGTAATGAAGATGTAAATTTCTCATAGCCAACGTAGCTAGACGCATAGCTCTAGCGGGCTGCCCCCTTTGTTCCATGTATCTAGCCACTGCGAACAGTTGACTAGACGCCAGCGCACCGCGAGCAGCAGCGCCGCCGACCGCTGCACAAGCTGCTTCGAACGCGCCAGCTGATCCTTCACACACTGATAACGCGCTTAGAGCACAGCCAGGCGGGTCCTAGAAGCAAAATATCTTTTATACTAATATTATAAGGCTGACGAGTTTGAACGCGCTAATCTTAAGAACTACTGGTTCAAATTGATTTGTTGTTTAGAGCATATAGCGAAGAAGGCTTTAGGCCATAAAACATCAGGCTGTGACCAGAAATTGGGAAAAACGGGGCAAATTATTCGTCTTTGAGAGTTTCCGTTTGTGCGCTGCGAAAACGGTTCAAGGAATATGTATAAAAGACTGATAGATATGTATAAGAGACTCTTTGAATGATCTAAAAAAAAGCGACAGTATATATTTATCTTCTAAGATTAAGTTGCAAGAACGACGGGATGAGCAGGATGATGATAACGGAATGACGATATATAAAGTTGAGTTGAGAAATTTAACCGCCAAAATGACAATTCCCGCGGACGAAGTCGCTGGCAAAGCTAGTCCAGTAGAAATAGTATTCGGTTATAGATTAGTATATAACTTGAAATATGGCACTAACTAATCTAATATTTTCAATCCAAAATAAATTTAAATACTTTAAAAATCGAATTCAAATTAATTTTTGATTCTTAAATTATATAGTAGTAATGATAATATGTGCGATAACATGTGAAAAATGTTAAAGTTTTCAAGTTTAAGTACTGTCTGTAGTTTACTCAAGTAGGACACATTTAAAGAAAACGGTTTGAAACGGGAAATGTATTACTTAACTTATTCACAATTTATTTTCACTATTCGGATGCTTTGCCAGCCACGGTCACGGAGCACAACGGTTAACTAATACATTTCCATTTTAATTTATTCCATATAAATTTACCTTAGCGGCACACTGCAAAGCTAAAGTCCTCGCACACGAGCTAAGCTTTTCTTGCTGTTCAAAACTAAGGCCAAGCCGTAGAGCGGTTGCATGTGACATTGCTGCAGCAGCAACTGGACCAGTAGCCTCTGTTGGTGTGAACAGCTCGTACCTGGAATGACATTTATAAAATTTACCCGTAAGAAAACTAGTGGTTTGTCATTCGAGCTGATTAAAAACTATACTCATATAGTGGACCTAAACATTCTTAAGCAGTATAACATTTCTTAATTACTTTTTTCCAAAAGGAAATATTGTAAAAAGATGTGAGAGGTCACTTTCCAAAGGTATTTGGTACAAAACAATTGTATTTGCCCGTACAGTGGACCTGTAAATATATATGAAATAAAAGGTTTATGATTATTAAAAGGAGACTCACCAGTTCTGCATGATGGAAAGCAAGGCGTCTAGACCCAGTTCCGTAGCGCAGGTAACAAGCCACCGCACCATTTCTCGTCGCCTCCAATTGACAGCTGATAGTGTCATTCTTAGTACCTATAAAATAATTCAAATATATTGAAATAGCTTAGCATTTAAAAAAAAATGCTTTAACAGTTATTTAGCTTAACATATTTAAGACCCACGATGCTATATTTCAGTTGCTGTGCAACAGCCGTGGTCACGGTACGGACGGCGGCTTTTTTTACTTTCTACTATTTAAATATTGCTACATGTAAACACGTAAAACATTAAACATATTTTTTTTATTAATTAAGTTATTTTTCTGAGAAATTCTTTTCCAGATCGTCATAATATTTTTGTGTATGTAATGGTAACTAAAATGAGTTAATTTGCATGCATGCATTAATGCATTATTTGATGGGCTCGTTGGTGTAATTGTAGAAATGATTGGCTAATAATTATTAACCAATCAAGATAATTAACGGGTTGGAGTTTCCTTATCGGGTCTAACATATTATTATGCTGAAATAGGAAGGAAATAATATAAAAATTCCGTCCGGGTTACGAGCCACCGTCTACGGATAAAGGATTCAAATTTTCAGTTTGTGGTTTTCCGAATATGCAAAGCTAAAATAGGTCAATACCTCTTCTATCGCAAAAAGAAAATAATTCTTACCTGTAGTCCTAACTCAAAAGCAGCAGCTAACAGGTCTCTATGGTGGTGAGGTGCATCTGGTGGCGCAGCGTGCCGTAACGCATCCTGAGCTAGACGGAAGAGTTGCGCAGCAGATCGTACGTGAAGTTGCGCGGCCGCTAGCGCAGCACGCAACCGAGTAGGATTCCCGCGAGCGGCACCTGAAAGAGATGATTTAATATAATTTTTTATTGGATTGAACGCTAGTACGCTATAGTTATAATTGGACATTTAATGTGTAACATCAGACATTCTCATAAAAAGAATAATACAATTTTATCGAATGACCTAAGATTATCTTACTTCAAAGACTAATTTAGTGGAAAAAATATCATTGGACAAGATAAGCATAGGGTTTACAATAGAAGCCCATATAATTAAGATTAAATTTTAATTTTTATGGCAATTTTGATAGATAAGAAATTTAGGGTACTGTAGATAAATGTCGATCATGTTAATTAAAATACTAACCTAAAAGTGCACTGGCAAGTGCGGCCTGCTGTTGTTCAGCGTGTTGTAAGGTGTGCCATGCGCCGGCGCCGCCTGCCCCCGCAGCCCCCCCGTCCAAAGCATATGCTTCTTCACCCATTGGTAACCTGAAATCGGATGGGGTAATGTAAATTCCATTTTTAAAACTCTTCTTTTGTTTCTTTTTTTTTAATATAAAAGGCGATAGACAAGCTTGGGGTTATTAATAAGATGCGCCGTCTTTTGTACGTATGGACGATGGTTCGTGACTCAGATAAAAATTCGATATTTCTACCACCCCTTTGAAGTTCACATTTCCAGAAGTTTAAAAATATACCTAGAGGAAATAGAGTCCTCGGTTTTGTTAGCCATACATACAATGATGCTATAAACCAGCCTTTTAATTGTAATGTAATTACCTCATAGCTCGTAGTCCGACTCGGTACGCTAGATCTGGGTCGGTGGGCAGTAACGCAAGGAATAGAAACCTTGCAAATGTATGCGCGGGCGCAGATCGCGGGTGGACTTTCGTGCCTAAGCAGGAGGAGGGCCCGCCAGCTAAGAGGGCGCGTGCTACTCTACCACATACGCCGGCAGCTGCTTCACCTTCCACTCTTTGGAGTTGGCTTATCAGACGTTCCTCCTGGAAAGAATAAACATGACATCTATACTACTATTAAAAAGTTAAGTTTGTTTGAACACGCTAATCTCAGAAACAGGATTTAATTAATTTTTTTTTGTGTTGGTTGGAACATTATCGAGGAAGGCTTTAAGCTATAAAAGATCACGCTGCGATTAATAGAAGCGAAGAAACAGTAAAAAAAAGTATGTATGAAAGAATGATTCCTTTGAAATATAATTGTAATGACGGCCCACGTTTCGTATGCGTTTTAAACCGTTAGTGTTTAATTTAACCTTATTTTTAACCCTTAAAAGTGACACGAACCTGCTTACAATACCTCTCCTGCGCATACAACCCGCTAGGTAACATCCTTTGCATTCCCAATCCGAGTAACGCAGCCTCCAACGCTAGAGCCAGATATGTCTCTTCTGGATTTTTACTGCCTGCTACCGGGACGTGTTGGTATCTACAATAAAAATAACTACATATTTTATCCGAACCGCTACTAGATGGCGCTACACGACTACGAGATTAATGTTAAATCGCGGTAACTAAATATTATTTTCAATTAAATTAAATTCAATACTACTGTAATATCGTGTATTATTTTTAAACCTGAAGATTAACCAAGGCACGTTGGTGGTACTACAAGTTACCTAGGAGGAAGTCCAGTGTTTGGTTCTTCGTCAATATAGGTGTGCAGCCGCGGGGAAGCGCGCTGGTCATCTGGCGCTAGGCAAGCATCAGCCAGACATTCGTACACGCACCAGATGGCTTCCAGAGTCCAACCAGTCCAGCATCTGCTATCTATATATTAGTGAGGACATACAAATGAAATTATACTCGGTTCACAGTTTCTGGTCCATACTATCATTCCTGGTGAACTAATAAGAACAACTAAGCTTAACAAGTGGGCATTTATCAAAGTTTTAGACGTTTATCGATACAAATAATTAAAAGCGAATATAATAAATACAAACTTAATTTGTTACAAATTAAGATTTCTACTGATAATAATATAAAATAATGATTCGGACTTAAATCGGAATTATATTCAGTCAGCACTACAATGTAACAAAAAAAAAGACAATAAATAAATAACGCAAGTACATATTTAAATAACTCATTTTAAGCGGTTTAAAACTCGTAATTTTATTGCGTAGTATTATTCAAACGTATATTCGCGTTTTAAACCGTTTAGGTGTTATGTTTCAGTAATATTACATACTTAAAGTGTTACCTTTTCCGATACACCGGTGTGTGTGCGAGAGGGCACATGTATATGTACCCGTTAGGCACGTGCCGGCGTCCATGTGCGCGCAAACAAGAGATAACTTGACTCTATCGCATTGTCCGCCGCACGAGTCACTTCCGCATTCTCTATTCGAATCGCTAGTAGAATTATTACTACTCGACGCTTCCCCTCCACCGGCTTCTTGCCATTTTTGCTGTGCTACTTCCTGGAAAGAGTAATCTCTATTAATATCTTAATAATATCAGTATCTTCCATTCATTTCGTATAATACTTGGTAAATAATCATTAGGATAACAGTAAAATAAGAATTAATACAAAAACATGACATTTAATTTGAATCGAAACAAACGTATTTATGTATTTTACACTTGTATTTTATTTGATATCGGAGAAATCGTTAGGGAGATAGATGCCTGGCTTTCACGCCATACTTTATGTCACATCTAAATAGTGCAAGAATTAAGTAACTATTAACTATATTTAAGGAACAAGCGTTGTTTAATCTGTTTATGTACATAATCGACCATATTATACGTAAATAATTTTGATGTTTTAGTTTTATGCTTTTTTATAAAAGAATATATTGTTACCCAAAAAAAAGTATGAGTTTTGCCGAAATTTAAAGGCAGAACTTCTTTGATCTGTCACAAAGCTGTATGACGAGCATGAGTTCAGTTAATGGAGGGTGAAATACGCCAGCCCTTGGATATTATATAATATCTCAACAAGATGCGCTATCGACCTTTTTTGGCTTTGGATATTCGGAAATCCACAGACCAAAACGCGGTTAAGCCCCAGGTCTTTTTTATCCGTGAACGTGTGTGTACCAATCATTTAATATCCATGCTTTCAGGTGAAGTGCAGCCTGGTTCAAATTGATAAGGAATATTTTGGATTCGATAGGAATCGAACCCACGACACAGTAACACATTGCTACCATTGGATCAATAAGAGCATTAGAACGAATGAGCTAAACAATTAGTATAGAGTTATAAAATGTATCATACCTGTCTATGGCGCATGGCTCTAGCAGCGGCGACTGCCAGTCGTAACGCAGCAGGTGCGCGCCCATGGGCTCGTAACGCTTCTATCCGTGCACCGACAACGGGTAGGTGTTCTGCAATACAAGATGGTACATTAAAAACCGCCTTTTCCCCATTTTTCTCTTATATACATGTATAGTACATTAGTATAGTCTGTCTGTCTAGTACCAGCCCAAAGTTTGGTCGAAATCATCCACGTGTTTCTAAGACCACGTTAAGTCGTCGGACTAACGGTTACTACTATAATAATAATTAAATGGCTGTAATCTTAAAGCCCACCAAACCCCACTGCATGGTGAGCCTAAGTTTCTACCCACCTAAGCAAAGGTCTTGTGCCTATCAGTAAATAAAAAAATAAAACTTAGTTTCAGCAGTTTGTTACATGAATCCAGCATTTTCCCGCTACCTTGACCAGGTCGTCGATCACTTGGTAGCTCCAGAAGCATTTTTGGCCCAACGGCCGTCAGAAAACCAAAGCTTACCATGCCACAAAGGTTCTCCTATTTCATTGAACTTGGGGTAACATTGCAAGGTATTAGACCCAGCAGAGGCGCTGGACTTTCCCGGCTTATCCGAGTTATAAAACTCGTCGGAACTTAATATATTTTTCAGGTGTTCATTTTCCCAGGATATATCTACAGCGTCCAGTGCTCTGAAAACAACACGATGAGATAGTGAAAAAATTTTAAATATACATTTAAAACAGTTCGATATTCAAATCCAACTTAATGGAGCTATTCTTGAGAACCACTTCTTTTAATCATAGAGGAAGAAAAACAAACGTGATGGTGGCTGGTGAAACCGCTCCAGCCATGGTATATCTCAACAGGGTGCCGACCTAATTTGGTTTTGGTCATACTGAAATACGGATTTACATTTATCGGCTTTTTAATCTGTGGACATGTCATATTCCGGCCTTCCGATTATATTCGGACATTCTAGACGCTGGGTCAAACATACATTTACGGCTTATCAAGACGTACATAGACGGCTACCGAACCAATTTTTTTTTTAATTGATTTTTATGATCTAACAGGTTAAATTATACATTAATTGACATTGAAATCTCGTGGGGAAAACCATGCCTCATTGATGTAAACCGATTTTCCTATCGTCCAATTCTAGCTTTGATATTTAAATAGAACTCACTTGTGAAACACTGTCCTCGGTGTTAGGGGTTGAGAAGACCGTTGATTGTGTAGCCTCAATCGTTTGCTGGCTCTTCTGTATTCACGTTCGTAACTAGAAAAATAATATGTATCTACAACCAAATAAGCCACTTATTAATTATAACTATATAATCTAAGGCTGGAACTGAGCGGCTTCGTCGTCTGTGGTCGGTGGTTGGCGACCCGGCTGAAATTTAGATACTACCAATTTAATATCTAATATTCCAAAACGACGACAACCATGTTTCAGAAAAAATATTAATTGAGGAACATGTAGGACCTGATTATTTAGCCATAAGTTGCGACTATTGGGCCAACAAACCTGTCAAAACTACTTAAATAAAACTACTTTAATTATGTATTAACTACAACAATATGTTAACAATGCTTTGTAGCAGGCATGGTCACGGAGAACAAGAAATAAGTCAGATAATATATATCGCGTATTAAACTGTTTTATTTATATATTAGTAGTAGACTTCGTTTCGACTAGTTTTCTATGCTTATAAACGTAACCTTTTAGATATGTGTCGAATAATTACTTACTTATTTGGTCTAGACTCCTCATCTGAACTTTCAGAATGAGAGTTGAGGTCCCTTCTCTGTCGTTCTCTATGCCTTTCCCTGAAAATTTTATTAGTATATATTTTTAAAATGTTCAGTTTTATTTCTTTTAATTAATGGAGTTAAAAGAAGAATGTCTGCGAATATACCTGTCCCTTTCTTCTCTTTCCCTCAGTCTCTCTCGGTCTCTCTCTTCCCTGTCTCTATGCCGTTCTCTGTCCCTATCGCGGTGGTCTCTGTCGCGATCTCGTTCATTTCTTTCTCTTTCTCTTGCATACTAAAAGTAAATTCAACATATTAAACATTTTTATAATCAAAACAATGTTTAAAACGAATTGTAGCTATATTTTAACTTAAATAAGTCTTTCGAACAATGCAGATAAAGACAAAGTAAAATCCCGTTTCCCACGTTGGGGCATGGGACAAAAACATTTATATGCACGTTTCGCACAATCGATTTTATGTATATACATGAAGTGAATTAGATATATGCCCGGCTGGAACTTAAGAGTATTTAGTTTTTCGGGATTCGAACCTAGGACTTCTCGTTTAAATGCAATGGTAGACGCGTTTAGTTAAACGCGTCAATAGTTATTTAGGATTTTTTAACACATGTCGTTTACCACTTACCAAAGGAAACGATCTGTAATCCGGGTCTTCCGTTGGACATACTTCAACAGCCGACCATTTTTCTAACAACTGTCTCCACTGCATCCTATGACACTTATTGCTTCCAGGGTCCAGCACTATGCTGACCCATAAGGCACCGAGTTGTTCCCACAGCTGCCGGCACTTCTCTGTCATGGGGGTGTTCTGATTCCGCCACAAGAGCAGCCTGGGGTCCGAAAGGAACTGTTCCGTCATCAACATCAGCATTCTTGGTCCGTTTGAATCTTGCGCACGAAGCATTTCTCTTACCTAAAAGTTGAAATTCTGTTAGCTTTACTATAAATACTACTAATGATAGTAGTTGTTGTAGAATTTAAATAAAATATTGTTAACGGTTTAAAACTCGTTAACGTGACCATAGCTGCTGGGAAGCATCAGAAACGTTTGGGTATTTAAAAGAAATACATTTCACGTTTTAAACGGTTAAAGGTGTAATATTAATATATAAAGAAGTCTGTCCTGTACAAGAGTGGTACACATTAATTAAAACCTTTCAAATGGTTTAAAACGCGCAATATATTAGTATTTTTTTATAACTACCACGTAGCTGAAACGTAGTTTGTTTGGTGCTTTAAACCGTTAAATCTTAATTAATATGAAACTGAAACTCACCTTAGAAAATAAGGAATTTAATTGTTTATTTGCATTGTAATATGTGCCCTGTAATAAATACGCCCGTACTTGTTCGCAAACCTGAAATCATAAAAAACAACATATTTGTTTATTTTGTCCAAGTTTGTTTTACTGTATTGTTTGATATCTAAATATTGTCCGCGCTTTTTATACAACAAATAACAATGTTATCGTTCTCTGAGCATAATATTTGATATTTTAACTGGTAACATTAGTGAAAGCCGCGGTAACTCGATTGCTAGAGCTACAGCAACCGTGTATCGTGGGTTCGAACCACAGCAATGTTCCTTTTTCCCAATCAAAATTTAACGGTAGTCGAAAATGACTTGAACTATTTTATAGTAGTCATAGTGAAATCCTGTTTCCCCTCGTGGGGCATTGGATGAACACACTTCTGTGTCCGTTTCACCCGTATCGGTTTTATTTACATGCAAGTAGTTGATCAGACTTCTGTGCCCTGCCCGACCGAAATAATTTACTGTTTCCCGGTATTCGAATCCCAGACCTCTCGCGCTTAACGCAATGCTAGGCAACACGTTTAACCATTTAGCTATAGAGGCGGTCGTTTTATAATACCTTTTATAATAGTCGTAATCATATAATATAATAGAGAGAGATAGAATTAAAAAAAAAATCATCACATCTGTTTGGACCAGTGTGTTGTGGTGGGCTTGAAGAGCTAGACGAATGCTGACCCGGGTGATAGGATAGCTAATCGCAGCTATTTAACACAAGCACCTGTTGTTCATCCAAGTGCCAAGCGTGGTGTGCGTCTGGTGGCGGCCCAGCGGTGGGATCCGGAGCCCCACATATCCTATTGATAGCGGACCTGGCCTGCAAGACTTCGTCAGCTAACCTCTGCGCGGTCGGCAGCACCTCTGTATGGTGCTCTGCTATCAAATACTGTACAAACTTCTGGAGCTGTTGCCGATCCATTTGGAGGAGCGTTTCTGAAACATATTTCATGTAGATGTGAGACTTATGGTTTGTATGTAAGAATTTATTTATGTCGCTACAACATAGATAAAACCTAATTGTAAACAAATTGCAAAAATTGCTTCTTTTATATATCAGAAGGGGAGACATAATTAAATCCCGGCCCCATTAACGTCTACACAAGATACTATCGATATTTTTGGCTATCCACAAATGTCGAACATTTGGCAAACCACAGACTAAAACTGTATCCCAAATGTACACTTTCCTTTTTTATCTATAAGCGATGGCTAATGACCTAGAAGGTATTTCGATATTCCTACTAACCGTTTAGTGATTAGATTTTTTGAGACGGAAATATGTATTGATAGAAACATATTTCATCATTGTTGATTAATGCTACAAGTCAATATTAATTATATGATTTAGTATTAGAACTGGTAATTTTCGACTGATAATCTTTGCTGAGTCGAACGCTAAGTAACAAAGTAAACGGTGTCACCAGCTCACCTGATATAGGAACCCGTAGTCTCACAGAATCCGCATTTCTGATTCGATACAGAGCCAAAGCGACTACGTGCTGGCACCAAAAGATGTCGCGCGCTTCGCAGCTGCATGTCACCCCAGTAATTTTGCATCTGAAAGTAAAATTAAAATATCTTGAAAATCAATACCCCTAAAACTATGTTTTTAAATATAAATAAATTAATACATTCAAAGAAAAAGCAGAGCAGCTCTTCTTCAAAGCCACTCCACTCTGGCTGGCACAATGGCTTTTAATTTTTCGTGTTAAATAAGTTTAAAAATATAAAAGGATTCCTTTGAAAATGTATAATTTTTTGCACACTTCGATATGACGCAAATAATAGTCATGTAGCACATAAAGATTGAAAGCGAAGCCGAATTGTAGGGAAACACTTGACATGTCTTGCAGGCAAAATCTAATCTTTTCAATTACTATTTTAATACATTATATAAATAGTGTATTACTACAATATTTAATGTCTATTTACAATCTTAGTCAATCAATTTGCATTTTACAGCGAGTTTGACAATAACCGAAGTTTCGGCTTAGTCGATTTAACCGAATTACGGGCCAACACTATGCCACTTCTAGCACGCAAAGTGTAAACAGAGTAACACCTTAAGACGCAAGTGCTAAGGTTGAAAATACATTGCTAGAGAGCATGTATCAAATATTTGAAAAAAAACTCGACGATGAGAGATTCGGCAGCTCAATTGGTTAGAGCAACAGCACGAAAAACTGACGATGCCAGTTCAAGTCATGCCCGAGTCGTAAATTTTTCAATTTATAATCGATTTTTTATCTATAGAGTTCAACAGAAGCATAAAATTCGTATGCATAATTCCCAATTCTACATGCTCAGGACCAAGTTGAATAAAATGGGACAATCGTCCACAATCTCCAAGGTGACGAAGTTTCGGGTTGCTAACAAAAGATATTCCGCTAGTCCCCCGCGGTAATAAAAGAACTTTTTTACACTGCGTCCTGATTCTAACAATGCCGTCAGACGTTTGTGTAAATCACACAGTGCTTTCTTCGCTGGTATTTTATTACACGCTCTATGTTCCCCTTTTACCCGACGGTCGGCGAAGGAAGGATAATGTTTTTGTCAGGGTATGCGATGTTCAACTCCGCAAATACTGAGCTTTGGATTTCTGATCCACAGACTAGACCGAAACGCGATTAAACTTCAATTATACATGCTTAAACGGTGGTTCGTAATCCAGAAGAAATTTAATAATTCTTATTTAATATGCAGTCCCATGTTTCAGAAGAATTATTAAGTAATTTTACTAAAGTATTAAAAATTTCAAAAGTAAGGTTTGGATGAGCATATTACAACATGCCTCCGTGCATTCAGTGCGAGGGGTCATAGGTTACAATCCTGGGATATATAGTTTCAATTAGGCATACAGAAGTAAATAAAAATCAATCAACAGATACCAAAGGGACCACGAAATTCTCTTTATATATTGATTTAACGAGTCCTAAACGAATGGTTAGAGCAACAGCTGTGAATGCCGGTTCAAGTCCTGCCCGAGTCATAAAATTGTTTCAATTTATATAGTAAAATAACATGTGAAAAATATTATAATTAAAATTTGTTGACAGTCTTTCCTTCGTACGTGGGCGAGTGACATTGACGACGTACCTGTCAAATGAAACTGTGACCCTATACAGTCTTTCAGGTTCGGCTGAGCAGGGACTAATGGCTGCTGGGGCTCGAACTACTCCACTCAAATGGAAACCTGGAATCAAAAGATATATGCAAATTAGTTATGTTACCAATAAATAAATTACGTACGTATCGAGCAAAATAGAACCGTTCGAAAAATGGTTACGTTTGAAAATTAAATCACGATATGAATCCAAAACGAGAACTAGAGCAGATTTTATCGAGCATTGAAAGGTTAAAGTTTCACTTTCAACGACTAAAAGTCAATTCCCAGGTTGGCACTCTTGTGTAAGAATAATTGCTCTCCACGAAATGTCAGCTATATAATTTCGTCCAAGTCATTGGCCAAGGATAGGGCGCCTTTGTTCTGGAGCCCTAAATAGGTGCTGAAGCATTACTCTCGCAGCGAAACGTGGTAATTACGTGTACTAAATTTAGGTCTATACAGAACGGAAGTATTTATTCCATAAAACGATCGTGAAAGAAAATTAATCATTCCGCATAATTCTATAGACAAGAATTGTTTGTTGTTCACGCGAGTACACATTAAACGGTTTAAAACGCGAAATGAATATAGGTTTTATTTATACTGCATCAATGCATGCAAAATTGATCTATATGTATATGCAATAATCTTACTTAAAAATACAGAGAACAATATTTGTTTAAATAAAACACTTTTACGGTTTAAAACGCGATATATCTTAGTTAAACTTGTTTGAAAATTATTTTTCAACTAGGGCCCGACGTTTCGGATGCTTTGCAGCAGCCCCGTTACCTCCCCAGAAAGAAGTGTTTTATTTAAATTTGTACTACTCTCGTAAACTGCAGACAATATTTGTTACAATGTAATTTTGTTTAACTATTATCTATTAAAATCCATGAGTTATAAAAATCATAATATAACAAAAATTCAAAATTGAAATACCTACTCTTAATTTAAAAATCGAAAATAAATTGAAATAATTTACGACACGGGCAGGACTTGAACCGACATTGCTCAGCGTTCCGTGCTGTTGCTCTAACCAATTGAGCTACCGAGTCCTAGTCCTCAAGTGGTTTACAGTTATTAAAAACGCTACAACAGTAGAAAAGTTTACAAAATATTAGCTATGATTAGAATTTTCACGAGATTGTGTATTGTAGCGGGCATCCTGTTTTCAATTGCTTGAAATACAGTCGTATTAAAGTCGCATGGAAAAGGTATCTGCTTATTGGGCTTATGTAAACTAATATTTCCCGTATACGGGGGCATGGGGCACAAACAATTTCGTGTCTCTTATGCTGATCGATTTTACAGCTCAGAGTTGACAGAAACTGATTTTGTTTCCCCGAGATTCAAACCCAGGTCCTCACCATTTGATGTACAAAGCATAATTGCTGTACATGTTACTCTTTACTAATATTAAGGGGCTGATAAGTTTAAAACACACACATTGAAAAGTTTCGAACATCTAACCTTATATATAAAGATGAAGAGTTTGTTTGTTTGAACGCGCTAATCTCAGGAACTATTGGGCCGAAATGAAAATTTTTGTGTTGGTTAGAGAATTTATGGAGGACGGTGTTAGGCTATATATCATCACGCTGCGATAGTAGGAGCGTAGAAACAGCAAGAATTGTGGAAAAAAACGGGGGAAAAATATTAATTTTTTTGAGGGATTCCGATGCATGCTTTGCGAAAACGGTTCAAGGTAGACAATAAATATGTATGAAATAATGATTCCTCTTTAGTTTTTTTATTATTTTCTTATTATCTTAAATGATCTTTAAGATAAAGTTGTAAAAGTATATTCAATCTTAAGATTCTTTGCACTAAAATTGTAATATAATGCCCAAAATAATTATTCCATGCAGACGAAGTCACGGGCACAGCTAATCAAAAATACAATTCATTTAAACACGAATTCTCGATAATGCTATACAACGTTCAATTAAAACGCAATGAATTGAAATCGATCGATGCGAAAATGTGATAAAATTGAACGCTTAAGTATCGTATCCATTGAATTGTATAAAAAACCTAGACTGCTTTTGCGCAGCGTTAAATAAAAATTTGGCCACCGAAACGGAAGCGAACTGGCACTCGAGAAAAAGGCAGGTTATGAAGAAAAAGTAAAAAAAAAATGGCAGCAATAGTCTTGCAGCTGTTATATTGCGTCGCGACGAATGTTGATTTGTTATCGTTCAATACAGCTGAGTACACAATCGTCGTTATAGCAATATCAGCTGTATGTTCATCGACATAAGGATCAAATTTAAATATTCGAAATAAACTCCCGGTTTTGCGGGGTACATCGGTAATCGCACATACGCTTTGATAAGATTTTGATTGGAATCACTTTTTACAGCTGTAGCTTTTCGGTTGCGGACTTATTTTAGTAATGCAGTCTTGTATTATTACAGATTCCTTATTTAAGATTGACATTCGGTAAAATTAATAATGAAATTCACTATCTAGGTTATATGAGGCCGCTAAAGCGAGAGTAGCCTAACTGCAATTTTATGACTTAAGTTATTTATATTTGTATAATCTAAAAATATTAATCTACAAGAGCACAGTGACCGAAAATTGTTAACATAATTCTTACACTAATAATAGTACAAACTCATTTTCGCCTAAGTTAATTGCGCGTTTTTCTTTTTCTCCATATTGAAAGTCATGTTTTCTGTTATTAGGCCACTCTGCTTCTAGCAACCTCATAATGTCTAATGTAATTGTCAACTTAGGATTTTTTAAAGTCTAGGTCTAAATGTAAGAATAAACACTACAATTTTTTATTGCCATCAAGAAAATCGTAGTGATCTAGCTTGAAACTTAATTATTTTTCACATGTTACCACACAATAGCTTCATATGAATTAGGAGTCATTTTAGCTGCAACAAATTCGCGTTGTTAAGCTGGAACGAGCGTTCTTAGCTATTTCCTCTACAAATCTACTTGTTGTTTATGCTGGTTAAATAATATTTTTTGCAAATCTCTTCATCTTTATAAATTTACGTTATTCGCATCCTGTCGTTCTCTCATTATTTTAAAAGATAAGCACATTTCCCTGGTTTTGCGCTGTTATTAGTCGCAGCTACGAATTAGTCGATAGCCTTCGTGCTCTAACGAAACAAATTTTTAATTCAATTCCTTCCACTAGTTCCCGAGATTAGCGCATTCAAACCAACAAACTCTTCAGCTTTATTTATTAGTTTAGAGTATAGATCACCTAATTCATCTATAAATATTTAAAAGTGCAATTGACAAGTACAATAGCTACTATAGATACTCGAACGCAGAAATAGATTGACATGCGTGATTCTGCAGAAATCTGATATTTGCAAATTTTAAGATCATGATACAATTAAATGTACGAATTACATCTGCGGTATGTCGTAACAGTGAACCGTATTTTTCTTTCGACCTTCTTTACTATTCAGGTCAGTGGCTAGGTCAAGGCACTTACCTATTGTGTGGAGACATACTTTAATTACTTGGTTATGTACGAGTAATATTGCCTTTGTATCTTGTTCAGATAAGATTAATTTATATTCACGTATCACTGTATGATATGTATAACTTTAGGTGTTCTACTGTGAATATAACGTGAAATAGCGTTTAAATAAAAGTCTTTGACGGATTAAAACGCGATTTACTTATGTTAAAATAATTTTCAAATAAGTTCAACTAAATATTGCGTTTAAAACCGTTTAAATGTTTTATTAAAATGTGTACTAATCGCGTAAACAACAGACAGTATGAAGTCACGTTTATCATGGGGCGAACACATTTTTGTGTCCGTTTCATTGATCAGTACAGTGAAATAAAGGTTAATTAGACTAAATTTTATATAGATGGGAAAAAATTTCGTTTTCCAATACTTTTCTTAGTAGAACAAGTTTAAAATGATTTACTTAATAGAGCTATAAATGCAATTTTATTATGATTAAATTGGAGTTAAGCTAATTTGGAGCTTTAGAAAGTTGCCCAATCGTTTTAAAATACGGACCTCAAACCACTTTCTCGTGTAAATACGCCATATGTCACGAGGTTACAAAAAACTTGTTTAAATTTATTCATGTTTAAGAAAAGTTCCATGCCTATTTTTTATTTAAGAACACGTTATATTGTTAATTATGTAATTATATTAATTATGTAAGGAAAAACAAACATAAAAACAGTCAAATGCCGTTTTCTCAACTTGGAGCATTGGGGAGATATTGATGTGAGTGTTTATTGCACTACAACTGTACAAAGACGACATAAAGTATGTATTATCTTTAGTTTACGGAAGAACACTTAAAAAAAAACACCTTTAACGGTATAAAACGCGAAATAAATAACTTATTTTAAATACTACACGTCACCACGACTGCAAACCATCCAAATCGTGAAAAAAAAACACGTTTAAGACCGTTAAACGTGTTTTATTTAAAATGTTATAGCATATAATAAAGAAGAAAACTAATTTTTTTAATATATATTATAAGGGAGGACAGCCAATATAAGGATTACTTGACAGAGGATGAAATACCTTAGCTATTTAACAAGATGTGCTGTCGGCTTATTTAGGCTTTGGATTTAACGGGAGGGGACGCGATCGTCGTCGTGTATACGGCTTGAATTTATGTATAGGTTTGCAAAAGCAAATTAGGATGCCCAAAATAACTATTATACGCGGACGAAGTTGCTGACATAGCCAGTATATAATAATTAATATTACATACAATGACAAAACCGGATTAGTAAACATAAATGGCAAATGTGTAGGAACAGTGGACAACACTATAACATTCTTTACGATTATACTCTTTTGAGTTTAGCGACTGCGTTGTGAATTCTAATTTTTTTGTTCGCATTCGGTATTGTCTGTTTTATTGTTCTTTGTTGTAGAAATTTGTGGTTATTGGCCTTGTTTGGTCGTAATGTTACTGTTAAACTTAAGGCTTTATGGGGACTTTGTTTAAACTTAAATTTAAATACAAAGTATACATAAATTACTTGTACACATTTTGTTAATTTAACTTGTCACATCGCACTTAAGAAAAAAGAAAACAACTTCTTCAATTCCTTGTTGTTTTATTATT